GAGATATTATATTAATATAGTTTGGATAGGACTTATTTAAAATAAATAAAGTGGTCATTGAGCGTTTCGGATACGATAATTATATCATTACAATAGTAATCGGTAACGTTAATATTATTTAGTAGGAGATTTATTTATTGTTAAACGTAAGTATTAGAATTCTTATAACCCATAATCGCATAATTAAACGTATATTATCCTTTATAGGTTATTATAGTAAAAACTTATCGATTTTGAAAATGTACACGCTATTAGTAATAGAATAAAATAGCATTAAGGACGGTAATAAACTTTGCGGAATATATTTTATTTAAGATTTCGTTTTGTATTTTTATCGGATATGCGTCGGAGAAGACCATACGATTTAAATTGCGGATATTAACGACTATACGACCTTTCTTAGTACTATCAGGCATATTTCTCTAAACGACGAAGATAAGAAAGTTAAAATGTTTCTATAATAAAGTCTTAGTAATTTTGCCGTCTTGTTCGAGGTGCTTAATAATATCGGTAATAACTTTTAAATCTACGGCCTTAAACGGATATATTTTACACTTTTTTAGGATATTATTTTCTTTTCCTAATCATATAGCGATTTTCATCTAATAATTATTTTTGATTACTATAAAACTCTTATCTTTAAAAATATTTTAATAATAATAAAATATAGTTTCAATACGTTAATTTTTATCGGTTTAAAGAGAAATTATTATGCCGTTATTTAATATACGACTATTAAATTTATTTATCGTAATTAACAAGGGCAGTACGTTATCCTTATCTAATTAATAGATTGCAAAAGCTATCGCGTTCATATAGAATACTTTATCGATCTCGCTGATATAGGTAGTAGGATCAAAATTACTAATATAACCGACGGTTATATTTTTCGCAATAGTAAGTAAGCGATTTCCTAAGTTGGATAGAAAAATATAATGCAAATATTAATTCGTCTACTAAGCCTAAGATATATACGATATAATAAATTAAAATAGAAGGTCCTATCCGTTATTATAGTAAATACAATAATTTATTAGCAGCAAAATAATTATTTTAATTGAGATAACGACATATTAAATATATTCAATTACTACAATAATTATATTAGCGTATCGCTTAAGTAAATAAAATATACGAACGCTATATAATAATATAATTATAAAGTCTTTAAATAGGTTAATGTCGAAGCCTTTAAATATTAAATAGTTTGTACCTAATAATATGTTCGTAGCGAGCTTATTAATAATAATAATTTCGTATTAGAAATATATAAATACTAATTTTATTAGAGCTAACTCTAACTTAACAGAATTACAGGTACCTTTAAAATATATATCTATAATAACAAAATTTAACGAAGAATATATATTAGCGCCGATACCGCGTACTACTATAGGGGCAGGACGGCGTTAAATCTAAAAATAAAGGTAATATTTTTATAATTATAATTAATTCACTAATATAATATTCGTACCTATATCGCTATAAATTATTTACTCATTATTAATATCTAAATTAAGAGTAATAGCGAAACGCAAATAAGTATATAATTTGAAGCTAAAACAGGCGCTAAATTAGAATTATAAAATTAACGAATTTATAACCTTTAATCATTTTTTACCGCCGACGGAAGAATCTTTATAATTAACTTAAATTAGGGCGGACCGATAGGCTAAACGTTAATTCCTATAACAGCAACGTTAACGAAGCGAATACTTTTACAGTTTTCAATATTAGAATATAATCGGCGTATATAAAGGTATTCGGTATAAACGTATTTTATAAGTTAATTTTTATTTAGGAATTTACAATAATAGAAGCGATGTTTAAAATCTATTACCTATATTATAGCGAAGTTCGTAATAATACTTTGATCCTTTATATTAAATTAATTATCATTAACCTATTCTACATTAAGGGTAGCTCCTAAATCGTTATAGTCATCTTCATTACTATTTCCGTAATACGCACCTTACTCTATATCGGTATTTTCAATTATAGGAATATAATATACAATTTTAAGAGGAGCGAGGGAATGCTTAATATTAAAAATTTTAACGACCTCTATTATTATTATAATATACTGGCCTATTCTAGTATTACTACTATTGAATTTATTATAGTAATTAGCTATATAGTGGGGCATTTAGGTTGAATGGTTTATTTAGCGCTGGCCTATTATTCTAATACTATTATTTCGGAGTAGAAGACTTATTATCGCAATTATTACGAAATTATTACGTTCGAACCCGGTTATCGAATACAATCTTCCTTAAAACGCTTTCTTTTTCGCGTAGGTCGGCTATAAATTCTTCTATTATAATCAATATTGTAAGCTTAAATAAAATACCCTAAATATTACCTTCTATCGCTTTAAATACTAAAAGAATTTGACCGAAGACGTCGTTATTAATTACTTTAACATTTTGGAGAACGGTTTGTATAAAGATTTAGATGTCTTTACTATTAATAATATCTTTTAACGTGAATTTAATTAATTATAAACGTTAATTTACAATAGAATAATCGGTTTTGAACCTTTCAATTAATTTTGCACAAATAGCATTAACCGATACACCTTCAAATAATTAACGATCGGCATTTAATAGGATATAACTATACCACATAAGAGCGCTCACCTAAAAGTATTAAATTCATACCTTATTAATTAGGCATTAGAACGAAAGCAGGCTAAGTATTTAAAACAATCCATAAAGGTATAAATATAAGAATACTTATTAGTATATTTATCAGAAGAAATACTAATACTTAATTCGTCGCTGAATTTTAGATTAAAAAATCCAACGTATTTTACTTTGAAGGGTCCACCATTATTATTATATCCGACGTCCCATAGTACCAACGTAATAGCGTTTACAATACTAATTTAAATATTATTAACAATAATTACCTACATTTTACTTAATATCTCGGCAATACTAATGATTAGGGTATCAACCTTTAGCATCTTATCCTTTAACTATTTTTTATCCGCTATATTATTACTTATATCGCCGATTGGGGAACGAAGTCAAATAGCAACGGGGAAGTGGCAAATTTAAGTAAGGGTAGGAAACCGTCGTTAAATTAGAGGAACTCAAACTAAGGAGCATTAGGGAGCTTAACGTTAGGGTGATTAAAATTAGGGAGTTCGATATATAAATTTGCATTAAGGATTTCAATATTAAAATCGTCGTTATAATCAGGGAGTTCAATATTAAAATCGCCGGTAGTATTAGCAATAAAAGCGCCGGGAATCTACGGGTTACTATTACGTTTGCCGCAGGGTCTAAGTGAACCGTAATAAGACTAGCAGAAAATATTTATAATGGAAATAATTAAGACTTATTATAAAACTAGATCCAGTCGAAGGTAATTAGGATTAGGACCTACTATTTCTCTGTAACGCGAACGACGTACTAATATACAAAAATAATAGATGCCTTAGAGGTTTCGAAGTGCTAAATTTACGTTAAAGATACGGAATGACTCTTAACGAAGTATTAGAATCGTATTAAGAAATTGTAGAAATTTCTACTTAATCCAGTTATAAATACGCGTTTAACGTGCCCTTTCCATTAGAGATATTAGACTACTTATAAATAAAATTAGTTCTAATTAACGTATAAATAATAAAGCTTAACGCGATATCAAAATAGAAATTTAATATAATTATAAAGTTTAACGTAATGATAAAAATTTAACGTAATTATGAAATTAACGCGTATTAAAATTAACTAATATAAATTTTTCGGAATTTATTAAAGAAAATTTGAAATGACCTTTTACATTTATATTAATCTAAGGGGTATAAGGACTCGTAGATTAGTAGAATCGTATAATTATAACTATACTCATTTCTTACGATCTCTTTAATTGCGTCGATATCCTTACCGGAATAAAGTTCAATGGCGTTACAATATTAAATATCATAAAATCGAAGGAGTTAACGTACTTATTTCTCCATCGATATACAAGAAAATTAATAATATTAATTTCCAATGGTAGCGGGGATATATATAGCCGGTCGAGGGAACCGAACGATAAAGTTGAGATAGAGACGAAATAAAGAGTTGAGTAACTAGGATGAAATAAAAAGTCGAACGGGAGTGTCGAAGTAGGAGAGGAAAGGAAAGGGGTAAACCGGCCAATAACTTTAGTCGGCGGCGGCGGGAATTAGTAATTTAGTATTAATTAAGGTTCTAATTGAAGAAGATTAATAGTTACTAACCGTTAACGACGCATTGAAGGGCCTAGAGTACGCGACGCGGTATTGTAAAGGAATTAGTAACGGTAGAAGAACCGAATTAATAGCTAGAAAAGTTAACCTATAACCTCAATTATAATAGTAACATCGTAATTAAAAACGGCTAAATTAATGGTATTAATAGTATAACTAATTCTTTATCCTTGGTAATTAACACCGAGCTATATAAGAAAGTAACTAATATAATTAAAATAGTAATTGCTAAAAGAAACGACTACGGAGTAAGGAAATTATCGACACTTAAGGGGAGACTAAGAGTACGAAGAAATTTGAAGGAGGAAGAGTAAGAGCTTGGTAGGAGAAGAAAAAGAAGACCCGCGTCCTTATATTCTTAGTAGCACACTAAATTATCAAGGAAAAGGCTTATATCAATTAAATTGATTGGTAGAAGAAGATAAAGATGAGAAAGAAAATTGGAACCTTTAGAAACTTAGGATAGCCCGCCTTAAATATATATAAATTCATCCTTAACTTTAGAACTTATTAGGTACCTGACTTTCTCATGTACTGGAGTGCCTTCCATTCTGAATAGCTTCTTCCTTCCTGTCTTTCAGAGCTCTTTCCCAGAGTCTAGAATCCATAACGGCCTCCTTCTATATATATATCTATACCTTCCCTTTCAGAGGGGTGTAAGCGGGGTAAGTGGTGTGATGCACGGGCCCGTCGGTCAGGGGTCGGTGCCGAGTCCTGACAAGCCCTGTGGCCCTTGCTGCCCGAGGCGCCACAGCACTTTCCACAATCACGGCGCCTTCCTGCAGCATCCAGGAGGAGCCGAGGCCCAGCAAATCCATGAATATCCACCATCTCCTGGCGACCTGAACCCGGCACCGCACTGACCGTTCACTTTCATTCACTCTGACGAACTTCCTCGACCCGTAACCGACTGACAGGCAGCGACTCTACCGCCGATTTTTGTGCGTCATCTCCATTCTGGATCCAGGGCATCCCATCCATCGATCGATTCATCTAATTTCGTCATACCAGTCTAGCGGCTTCATATTCGCACCATAACCGGACCCCCAGCTTTCCATCCGACAAGCTCCCATCCGCTCGCCCCTGCGAAGCTCGACATCAACCTCCCGTCCCGATATCAAGTCCACAATCGATTGCGACACGATAACGACGACACTTAATCCCGGTTCCGGCCTTCGGTCAATGTCGCGCCCTTAATCTCGAGACCAACACCCGAAAAAGGACAGTCCAGAATCCTCAATGTCGACGGCCGCCGACGTCCCTAGGTTCAAGAGCCCAAATCCCATGATCCAATCCATCTCAGCAACAAAGCGATCGACTACCGGTACTGGCGTCAAGAGCGCAATGTCGACAAATTGGTTGGGCGCGTACGGTGACTTTATCACCAAGAATAATCACCAGGTCTCACAAATAGAGTCGACCCTACGGTCTCTAACATACATTATACCTGGTTCGTACAGTCATCGCATCGCACCATCATTTACCGCTTCCTAACGTCATCTACAGGCCGTTTCCGTGACGCAGAGATTGCCTCCGAGTCCATCCACAGCGGCGTCCAGCTCCTTTCTCTCTACCATGATACCCTACTCTTCCGTGCATCCTCCAAGCTATCTCAGCCGTCCCTCGCAAACGCGCCCTCTCCGCATAAACGATACATCCGCTTCTGGTTTCTCAAGAGCCCCCTCTACCGGCGCGTAGCCTATCTTCTGCAGATCGTCAACTATGTCGAGCTCCTAATCGAAATGGCGGCCAAGCGCCGCGGCGAGCGCATCCGGTGGCGCGCCGTCATCATAATAGAAGCCATCAAGGCCTTTTGCAAGCTTCTTCTGCTTAGGATAACAAAGTCGCGGCCGCTGATAACCCCGGTTCTGCCCGAGCGCGAGCCTCTGCCCGAAGCGCCGACCGACGAGGAATCCGCATTCCAAGGGGACGACAGCGGATACGCCAGCGCATCAGGGTCGCCACAGCAGTCGTCACCGGATGGAGAATGGACTATGCCTCGCACCGGCATGTCGCTGCCGACATTACCTTCGCCCGGCGACATCAGCAGCTACCTCCTTTCGCGGGTGCTAACAGCCGACGACATCAAGCCGGCGGCGAAACTGGTCAACCAGCTACAAGGCTCGGCGCAGGTTGCTGAAATCCTGCACATCCTGTCACCACTGGCATTTGCGGTGGCCATGGCTCGCAGCAAGAATAAGCGCAAGGCCTGGACTCCGTGGGTGCTTGGGTTGGCGATAGAGTTGGTCGCTCGGCAGCTGCGGGATCGCAGCCTACGGACGACGCCGCTTGAGAAGGAGGAATGGAGCCGTAGAGGCTGGGCTTTGGGATGGTGGATGATGCGCGGGGCGTTCTACGAAAATATCACAAAGTCGATGGTGGAGGGCGTGAGGAAACGGATGCCGAGCTTGATTGGGGGCATTTTGGAGGACTACGAATACTTGTGGGAGAATTATCATTTCAGCACCAGCCCTTGATAGGATTCAGCGTTTCTGGGGTAACGGGCGGGGGGCTATTGTACACAGTGGAAACCACGGTATTGGTCACTGGTTACCGAGTCATATACCGCCAACGAGTTTGGGTGCCGGAGGCTTTTTCATCCCAAACTATCTTGAAGCTTGGTTCAACGCGGTTGGAAATAAACAAACAGGAGTTTCAGGGGTGGACGCTTGGTAAACTTTGTTGCCAGGGCAATATCAAGGCAAGCGAAGATGGAAGAGTTGGTGATGTACGAGCATGTTCTGATTAGTTCAGCACTTTGTATATAAATACGATAATTGATACGACACATTCAACCACAGCTGGGCTTCTGTCCCGGTGTCGTGAGTAGGTAAGCAAGGTGCGTAACCAGAGTTCGATCAGCGATGAGTTGTAAGGAAAGTCATTTGAAGCGGCAACCTTTCAATATAGGCTCCCAAGACTGCCGGGCCGGTATGTTCTCTCCGCTCGCTGCCCTTTAAAAGCACACACATCTTTAGGAACTAACTTGAGGCCTCCGGTCAACCAATGACTTTCAGGGCATCCAAATAAATAAAACAGACGAGACATTCTTTCTTAACCATGGTACGGGAAAACGCTCAAGCAGATATGCTGAGTTCAGGCTAACTATGTCTATAGGTTTGATTTGTACACACATTCGATTCTTATCCAACTTAACGAGCGTCCCATCCATCAATCACCACACTATCTTCTCCATCGTACTCCGTCATACACACACACCATACTCTAGGTATCTGACCTAAGATAACTGATCACAACCTTGAGCCCAACTAAGCACGGTCATCAAACTTAGTTCTTCTTAGCCGGAGCCTTGGCATTGCAACGAAGCCGGGGCAGAAACGCTGGCGCTGGCGCTGGCGCTGGGGGCGACGGTGGCAGCGGCCGAAGAAGACGCGCTACTAGTAGGGCGAACGCCGGTAGGGAATCCACCACTAGGGAATCCGCCAGTAGGGAAACCAGAAGGGCCGCCACCAGGACCACCAGGGCCGCCAGGGCCGCCAGCATTGGGGTTCGCAACGCCGCCGCTCTCGTACAGGGTAGCAGCAGCCGAAACGGTGCGGGCAAGCGTGGTGTTGATACCGAAGCCGATCCAGCCGAGCAGACCCTCAGACACGGAGCTGCCGAGGTAGACGTAGTTGACGACGGGGTCACCGACCTGCGACCCTTGCTGGAAGAGCATGTCCTCGGCGTTCAGGGTGTGGGGCTGCGTGTTGGTGTTGTAGACGGGCTCGGCCTCGACTTCGGTGATGAGGTCCTGGTCGAAGTAGATCTGACCGACGTGCGAGGCCGTGTTGGACTGGATCGTGTTGTTGGGGAACACGACGGTCGGGTCGACGTGCACCATGACGTGGATGTGGTTGGCGCGGCCCGTGTAGTGACCCGGGAAAAGGGTCTCGAATTGGGCGATGCCGTCGGCGTCGGTCTGCTGGAGGCCGCGCAGGAAGGTGGCGTTTAGGTTGGAGGCGTCGCCGTTGTTGCCGTTGCCGGAGGCGGAGACGCCCGAGTAGACGCCGGTGGTGTTGCAGTCTGGGATCATGGAGAGTTAGTTTTATGGGTCTACTACCTAAGGTAGGAACAAACACTGGTGAATGATGGAGGGAAGTGGGGAGAAAGGAAAAAAAAAAAAAAAAACGTACGCCAGATCTCAAGGTAGACGTTGGGAACGGGCTCGCAGGTCTCGACATCGTAGACCTGGAGGTCGAGAGCAAGGTCGACACCGGCCTGGTCCTCGGTGATGTCCTCGCGGATGTACTCGCCAGCGACGTAGTAGGGACCCTCGGTGACCTCGGGGCTGAGGAAGCAGAAGTCGGTGCTGGCGAAGATCTCAGAGACGGGAGTCTGAAGAGTGAAAGTGGAGTTGGACTGGTGGGTGCCACGGGCATAGATGGAGCGGGCTGAGATGAGAAGCGGTCAGTCAGTTTTCTGAAGGGTCCAACCAGTCTTGAAGCATTGATAAGGTACTCACCCTCGAGGTTCCTCTTCTTCATCATCTTCTTGGCGAGCTCCTCGCGTCTAGCAACGGCGCGGGCCTCAACGCCACGGGCCTTGAGCTTGTCAGCGCAACGGCCATAGTCGCTGCGGCCGACAAGGTCGAGGATAGCCTGACGCTCGGCGTGCTCGGCACGGATGTCATGGCCAGGGTGGGCCGAGACGGCGGTAGCGGCGATGGCTCCGAGGAGGAGCGAGGAGAGATGCATCTTGACGGTTCTGATCAGAAGGACAAGATATGGCGGTTGTTGGTGATAATGAACAGAAGATCGAATCCCCCAGTGCGGGAAGTCCTCTGATATATATAATGGGAGGAGCCTCATCGAGCATCGAGCATCGAGCATCCATCCACCCAGACCGCAAGGTTCACAACTGGAACTGGGAAGCTTGAGCCTCCTCCTCCCACATGCCAAGCACCATACACCCATGGTGTGCTCGTCGGGGCGTGCTATGGGACCTTCCCTTTCGAATAACCCTGCGGTGACGAATGCGACTTCGACCAGGGCAGGGAAGTCTAGGAGGGAGTGGGAGGGAAGGGCAGCAATGCCAATGCCATTTGTTTTCCTGGAATTCCTGTTGGCGGAGAAACATCTCAAGTCACACCTCCCAAGCCGACGCCGAGCCTTGGTGCCAAGGCCGATAACTTCTGAGAATATCTATGCCAATGCTCGGCCGCAACATGATGGTCCTATCAAAACCGGTTGCAGGAGAGGCTTTGCTTTGTCGAGTTCCCGCACTTGGAGAACTTCGATACTCCATTGTCTGAGGTTGAGCTCATCGCTACCGCCACTCCCTTCCCACCACTGCAACAGGGTCTGACTGCCACGGACCCCATTCACATTGCAACGATTGCTTCCACGCAAACCGACGCGTGGATTTTGCATAGCCCTTGGAGAGGAGTTTCCCGAATTCGTAACCCACGGAGCTTTGGGCAAGATAGCCTGAATTCGAAAGAAGGGGAAACATGGCGTTCGGTTCGCTTGTAAGTTCCTTGGTGGACGCGAGCGGAGCTTGATCCGCTTGGTACCTTTATTATACTGACATACTCTATGGCAAACCGCTGCTTAACACAGGCTATTATCATGTACCCCGGACAATGATAGATTGAGGTGCTATATTCTCTGCATAAGATGTTGAAAAGACACGACGCAAGAGAAAACAAGAAACACGCTACGCACAAATAGCTGGAAGGGCTGGGTTGGTTTGACAGGAAACGATCCCCATCCTCATTCAATGCTTGCTTGACAACTTGGCCCTTTCAGTTTTCTGACGGAGTTGTAATGTATCTGGGGAGGGATTCGTCATCCCGGCTCCACACAGAACCCACTTCCCCCTGGACAGGGCCCTTGCTCGAGGAGATCTGGAAGACGGAGAATGGCAGAATGGGGGTTTCCGAAATGGGGATGTTCGGGTTGTGGGGGTGAAACAGAAGAACCCGAGGAAACAGGGGGTCAACCAATGGCATCTGCCGATAAAAAAGAAACAGCCCTGGTCCACTTGAGGCTCTGCGGAAGCTGACCTCTTCGGCTGGACTTGACCCTCTCGTTTCTATCTACACCCCTCACTGATGGGATATGGAGTAGACGCTTCCTACTGTGTAGACAGGACGTTCGGATTCTTCCGTATAACGTTAAGACCAAGATGAAGCTAGGTCAAAATAAGACATCACACACCTACCTCAAGCGGGGGATTGATAAGTCAGAACTTTGAGGCAGGTATGCAACAACCCCCGGAAAGGGACAGTGGTCGAGCGGTATGGTGCGCAGCTTTGCTGGAATCCACCAGGGTTACGCCCAGGGGCACATGCCCGCGTACGTTGGCCTCGTCACACTACAAAAAAGTACAAGTGATAATCCACTGAGCGGGCCCCTCTGGGATAGTATGTTGTAGCTGGCGTCTTCCGGCTACGCAAAAAATAGGGCTCTTCTACTCCCTTCCAGTTGCTCAACGTCCCCTGTTCGATTCGCGATCGAGACCTTTCCACTCTTTTTTTTTCTTCGTGGCTCCGTGGCTCCGTCTCTCTACTGCCTGCCGAGACGGGAGAACCGCGGGAAGAACGAAAGGAAAGGGAAGACGGAGAAAGCAGCTGCGGGATCTACAAACGCCAAGATACCTTACCCTAGCTCAACCCTTTTTTGACGCGCGTCTTTTGTCTGGGCATTGCTGTCAATCCGTCTTGGCGAGACGCTTGTGAGGGAGCGGAGGGGAGGCGGTGGAAGCGAAAGGAATACGTACGTCAACTGGCACATAGTGGCAGTCCAGGGGTGGGAAGTACCGAGAGCTAAGCTTCACGCCTAAGATGGGGTCCTGGTCATGACCCCCCTTCAAAGATCCGAAGAATAGCCCAGATGTCTAAGACCCGACCTTGTCCCGGTTCTGTTCTGTTTTCCATCTGAACAGCTGAACCGGTTCTGAGAGAAAACATAAAGACCTACCGAGACGGGAGAGATCTGGGTCTGTCTGTGTGCTGCATTGCATTATCTCAGATTTCTCAAGTGATGTGCCTACCGCGTCAGGAAGGCCAGAAGAGGATACAGTTCTTGGCAAGTTCGTCTGGCGCAAACTTTGCTGCGACACTACCGCCAAGAAAGGATGGAAACCTGGTTCATCACCGCCTCGTTAAGGATATGGATACGCGGAACCAACGACCTTGATGAATGGATCATGCACACCTGTACGAGCCAGCATGTACCGGTCGACGGAAAATCTTCTGAATAGCGATGACGATATTCGGGCAAATATCACTAAATTTGATCATGCCGGTTGTCGCTGATTGCGCGTCGTTCTCGTCAAGGGGCGGATGAGCAGCAGCTTGGCAGTTTCACTGCCACTGGGCCTGATTCAGGACGACACTTGACGTTGAAGCGCTCAGATCGTTCAGCGGCTGAACGAAAGACCCTTGTAATGGCTTTGATGATTACGCGGAGATTAGTATGACGAAGTCGCAATTTTAACCGTCATGCCCGGCTTGCAAAGAAGGAATGACCGCACCACCACTTTGTAGCTGTCGCTCTGGTCATTGCTCTCTCCGGGTCAATCGAGCCGAACCTACTATTTTCAGGAGTAGAAGTTAGCTGATGCATTAAAATGGGGATGTGGCCGCACCTGAGAATGCGATGGTCGTCGCCGTTGTTGTTGATGGCGAGAAGGTTGAAGTTGGGAAAGGCGGGGAGTTGACGGGATTTTGTCAGTTTGACTTCTATCCCCTGCTTCTCTGCTCGTGCCTTCTTCCTTCTCCCATTGCACCTTTCTAACCTTCCTTCTTCCATTGATGCGGGAGATCCTCGGTCCTGCTCTGATCCCACACGCTGAGTCATGGCATCTGCGTCCGACGGCAGGAGCGAGAATCTCTCGCATCGTTCATCTTCTCTTCCCAAAACGGGAGTCTTTTCACCTCTCAATGTAGTACAATGAATCTCCAGCTTCTTCTTAAAGCATACCTACTGTCTCGAGGCTCATTGATTAGATTGCCCTGGAATGATTTTCTGAGATGAACGGTTATTTTTGGCCACGGTTATACTATTAGACAGTGATCCGGCACCCCAAAGATCACATCAATAGGCCTGACCTTCGTTTGATGAAACTAACGAGTTCCGTAGAAAGAACAGCCTTTTGAATGCGAACGGCGATATAGGACATGCGCCGCGATTGTGTTCTCCTTACCTGCTAGCTATGAAGGACTTTCTGTTAATGCTATCCGTCAGAACAGCGGATAGTTGAATGCTCGAAAGATCCATTGGGTACGAGGGTACCTACTTTAGCAGTCCAAAGAAAGATTTGTGAAGACTAAATGCTGCAAAGCCCAAAATTTACGTCACTATATTTTTCGCTCGTAACATCTCATTGTACGCTGAAAAGCACCGAGTGTTCGTTCAATCTTTCTTCACGTCCCGCGTTGCAACAGTTTGCACTTCCCTACCTATCGTTGTGGTTTTTGCATTCTTAATGCCAAGTTCCACGCTCCACAATCATCCAATCATCGGAACCATCCTCATCGGGTATGGTGTAGCGGTAACATCGTTGACTCTCACTTCTCAGAAGTGACTGCTCTCTCAACAGCCCCGGGTTCGACTCCCGGTATCCGAGTTACGATAAGTTTTTTCCATATCTTTTTTGCCATTCTTTATCGTATGCGGACTTATTCCCGTCCTAGTTTCTTTTTTTTTTTTTTTTTTGCCATCTTTCTTTATTTGTCATCTGCATTGTGGTGAGATATCGGATTTGACGTTTGAGAGCGATTGTGTAATACACCATGTAAATCGAGCTTGGTAATTATTCGGTGTTCAACACATTGCACCGAGTGCATGGCTAGTATGCCCTCGGATTAGCCGTCCGTAAGTTGACGAACTATCCTCCTCTAAGCAAGGCTTCATGGGCCATGGCCAACTGCAGCTCAACAACCCACTGGGGGAAAGGGTCACCTGCAGGCTTTCGTATCGCGGGGAAAAGACTCGATAACTCAGAAATCGTATAGCGGCGTAGTAGTCCATGTGTCAGAGCCAGGTCCCTGGAGAGCACATCAGCCCGCCAATATCAAGGTGATGTGTGTCTATCGTTGGGATTACATAGTGTTTACCAGGAACTTCAAGGCGCCGTTGTATCGGCAGCTTCTTTCATAGGGCTTGTAACGTGATATCAGCACCTCTTTCATTAAGCAGAGCCCTTTGAGTTAGCGCGTGATGGAGATTTGCCCGCTGCTGAGACACTTGCTACTTAGCAGCAAATAGGCATAAAGGCTAGCTCATAACCCACGTCCCTGGATGAACGGTGGCTCCGTATTGCTCGGTTTCGTAATCAACCCGCGCAACGTCGTCTTCTCGAGTTTGCCGTCGACGACTTCCCGCTCTTTTCCCGCTCTCTTCTCTTCTCCCCTTCGAACTGCCAGCGACATCATCATCCGCACCATACGCTCGGCAGCTTCTCTTACACGTGCGTGCTGACTGGGCTGGCTTCCAATAACCTTACAAATCCGATAGGATCCTACATTCTGAATCTAAGCATCGGATCGACACCACCCTCCATTCCAGCTCTCAACCCGGTTCCTAGATAGCACAGTTCACGGGCGTCTCAGTTTGCACGGATGCCCAAGTCTTGCAATCTTGGAACGGCCCCAGTGGTTGCAGCACTTTAGCCAGATCAATTGATCCCTTCGGTTATCCCAGCCGACCCCGAAAAGTCCAAGACCCTCAAAAACGCCCATCACGGTCAATCGACCCTGATTCGGTTACTCTTCCCGGATTCGAAGCAGCAACCTCCAGTCTCGAACCTATGAAAATCTCGGTGCCGAAATCTTCCTGACATTGAGAAACCTTCAACGCCCGCCAATTCGTGGCAAATCCGGGCCTTCCTGTTGGCCTCTGTCCAAGACGTATGCGCTAACGAAGGTCTCAGACTCAGCCCATCAAGGCAAAAAGCTAGACGTGTGTGTCGTACGACCTTTGAGCACATAATTCCTCCCGCTCGTTCTCCCTTTCTTCCAGAACATTGCCTTTGCAACCTCCGAGCCATCAGCATGTCCCCAACCAGCCGGTCGTGTTATTGCCAAATCTCTAACACTGTGCCATTGACGGCACTGTTACCTTATCTTGGATCGATCTGGTGTTGGCTTCGGGGGTTCCATCTTGCACTATTCGATCCAAGGTGGCGCGGCAACAATGAACCCCTTTTTTGTGTTCCAGGGATATGCTGAACCCGTGTCCATCTTTCCAACTTCAGTACACATGGCTGGACACTCGCTCAAGTTACGTCGGATCTTCGGAAGAGCTAATGCTGTGCCATTGTCCTGGATCATTCAAACGCTAATTCAAAAGCAGAATTCTACCCAGCTCCTGTCGCTGTTCCATGTCCACTACTCCACTCTTTTCCCGGTGACACTTGGCAGTGAACAACAACAGAGGGTGCCAACTCCATGTAATATGGTAATGCGGCCATGCAGTCCCGATACTGGCATTCAACGAATGGCGCAATGTCGTGACCAACCGAGGCAGTGTGTTTTGTTCGTCTCCGCCAATCATCGAGTTTACTACGGCTCCAACGCCGCCAGCCCCCATACCATCTGGTACGCCTCGTCGAGTCGCCTTTGTGATGGGTCACGCCTGCCATTTGTTGGTAATTCAAGGCAGTCTACCACTTTACCGTTTGGGATTAGCAGTCATGATGTGAGGTCAAGGATGTCATGTCTTGATTGTCAACTTTCTGTCTGCCAAGATACACTACTGTCGAAGAGGTTGCCGTGATGGGTTGGCCAGCCCACTCACTCGGAGCTTGGTGTGCCAACGGCATCTTATCAAGACGTAGGGGAGGTACGCCGACAGAGTATGGTGGCTCCTCAGGGTATCAGACATCAGAGCGGCAGCAAATCGTATGCGCCCCGTGCCAATCCTTCCCACCAGATCGCGCACAAGAACGCCCCCTTGGGCTGTCACATCAGCGCTCTTTCTAACTGGCTCAGACCAGTGAGTAGGTCCAACTTCATGCTTTCAAACGCACCTCAACCTTGCTCAAGACATGGCAATACGGCACCTTGTCGTCCCTCCACCCTGCCGCAAGCGAGTGACTATGCATCAAGGGTACCCCTTCGTATAAGGGAGTGAAGGGGTCGCCGAACTCCCAGGGCTTAATATGGGCAATAGCAACCTGAATTCCAAGACCCGCAGCGGCACTTCGGCGACCAAAACCTCACTCAAAGATCCCGTCCCGAGCGGGCGATAGCCTGCTTCAACTTTCATACATGGTACGCACAAGCCAACATGCGCGAAAGGGGGCTGTCGAACCGAGCAAGATCTGCCAGACCCAGGCCTACGCCCTAAGAGCCAACCTCGACCACGACCGGGACCAAAATACTCCCAGTGGCGGGGGCCACTGTGTACTGAGATGGGTCTTGAACTCTTCCATCACTCTCCATCGTGAATAGCAAGCATGAAAAATCCGTGTCCGTATTCAGCCCGGTCTACAGGTCACCTGTTCTTTTTCGTTTTGAATTACTTTTGTCTTGTCACTGTTCATCAAGCTCGGCAGAGAGCCAAAAAACCTCACCACAAGTACAACTCATCTCTCTGGCGTCATGGACGTTCAATCTGGACCGCACCATACCGATACGGAGGTGTGTTCCCACACTCTCTTATCAAACTTCCATCATATCTAACCGTCGAGCAGATGGCGTATCTCCCTTTATCCCTCAACAGGGAACAATCCGATGGGCTGCGCTTCAAACAGCTTCTCTCTACACTCCATGACTCTGCCCTCGGCATTCAACACTATTCCCGACCTGAACAATATTCAAGCATAGAGACCTTTAGGGAAGCCTTCGAACAGACTGGAAATGCCATCGCGTCCCTGTTGGCGACCAATCAACAACAGTACGAGGAAATCAAACGTTTGCAAATGATCAACAAGGAAACGGAAGCGGCAGAGTTGAGGAAGAAACTCGCACAAGTCAACGAAGAGTTGACCATGTGGCGAAGGGCAGGCACTCTTAGATGCAGGAGTAAGCCGTGCCAGGAAGTTTTTATGACAGTGAGTCCATCGGGTGGCTGGATCATGTTGAGTGCTGATGAAAGTAGTTCCAAGCTCTGAAGAATCACGAAAAGGGTGTCCATAATATAGGAGCAGAGAGATTCTCTTGCCCGTATTGCAGCAAAACGTAAGTCATGCAGAGACTTTGGCCAGTATTCCGTATCTGGTAACTAACAACCGCAGATACGTGAAGAAGCCATCGTTTGACGAGCACCTACGGCGCTGTAGGACGACAGTCACGAACCAAAACCATCTCGATGCAACGCCAGCCGTTATATTGCCCTTAGATCAAACAGTCTATACGACGTCTTCAAGCACCTCAGCCACGATGAATTCATCCGATGATACATCGAGTTATCACTCGTTGACGGCCGCGTCGTTATCTCCTGATACTGTCAACATGACCCCTTCTTCACAGCTAGAATTTCAGTTCCAACCCCACGACCCCATTGCAACATTCTCGTCTTCGCAACTTGGAGCAGGAATAGACAACACAGGCACCTTCGCCCCGGGAATACACATGAGCTCAGCCGAGGGCTATTCCCCAGGGGAGTCTGCTCCCCCACCACACTACATCTTGTCGCCTATCGACCAGCAACCGACTTGCTCCATTCCGATGTTTACAGAACCTGCCTGGCACTCTGAAGAATCTCTGGGCCATCACTATCAACCTTTGCCTGCATCAATGACGACTCAGGTCTCGACGGAAGCGCCGCCGAGGGTATTGCATTTCCTCCGGCCTGGGCAGATAACGCTCTCGAGAAGGCAGAGCGCCCCAGCCTGTTCTCTACCTCTGATGCCAGGAGAGAATCCGCCTTTTCGTCTTGATGGACCGCCCCCTCCGTTGCCGTCCCATTTATCAGTAGCTGTGGCGTCGCCGCCGCCGCCTGCTAGCCCTGGCTACACCGACCAGCCGCTGGGTCTGACGGAGGAGCAGCCACAAATGACGTTCCACCGTGTGGGCGACAAGAAAAAGGGGCGGATGCAAATCGCCCAGAGCAACATCATACAGCATAACACTTGCTTCACCAGCGGTTCGGAAACACGGAGCTATGGCGCTGCGGGAGGATGGTCGAGTATGAATTATGCCAACACTGGGTTCGGTATGTGAGGCAACTAGCTGGCGGCTGTCACCTGGATGTTTTTGGAGACATTGAAGCATACAAACATCAAAAACTTTCCAGGGACCTTGGGACCTGACCGGTCATTGGTCCCCAACTGTCATTTCTTTCCTTTAATCCAAGCAGGCCTTTTCTTACCAGTAGTCCCAACCAACGCTTTCGTATTCTCCATACTTCTCTGGGGGTCACTTCTTCATTCCTGCCCGATGTACATCTACCAAAGTTACCGGCATTTTGTTCAGTTTTATGGACAACCTGTAGAGACAAACCGCGGGCAAGCAAGCACCAGTTCATTCAACGAACATTTATCAATCTTCTCTGTTGGCATATCTTTTTAACGTATTTGCATGTTTCGATGGGGAACTATAACATCACGCATCACACCTCACAAAAAACTTCCACCCTTTAGTTCCATATGACGACACAGTCAACGAGTCAAACAGCTGCTACACGAATGATAAATTCATGACAAAAGATATTAAAAGGTCATACATACATGACTGACGACGGCCAGCCGGCAAGGCTGCCGAGAAAAAGAAATAGAAAAAAAATTGGGATTGCCCGGAATCGAACCGGGGTCCTCACGGATCCGTTGTGTCGAATTTGACCACAACGTGAAGTACTGACCACTATACTACAATCCCTGTTCATTGTTGTAAGATGGCGCACGATTTGGGGCTTATGTGGATGACACACAAAAAAGGATGTTCATGTTGTGCTAGGTACCTACCACGGTACCTTCAGTTTTGTTCGTGCGCGATAACTAAGCGATTGGGACAAGGTCAGAGATAAGCTGTACTGTACTGTAGCATGGAAAATGATCCTTGATGATATGCTTTTTCCAAAAAAACACTCCTAGGCTCTCAAAATTATGGGATCAAATTCGGTTGGTAACAGGTGATAAACAATTGGCGCTTGCACTGATGGAAGGACGTCGTCGGATCTGCAGGCACAGAGAGGCAAGGACGGGAGTGTTCAGTTCAGACGAAAGGCAACAGGGTTGCATCACACAAGCATCTACGGCTATACAAAGTCGATGTCATCATGTTCATGTCTTGTTGGTATGTATAATCTAAGCGTTAACCATGCATGCTATCTACAAATCATAAAAGTATATGTACTAATCTTAAACGCCAAAACGGGTCTTGAAATGCAACCGCCGTGTCGCCCATGTGTCCCGGGCGCGGTGCATGGCCGGTAGTCGTGCGCGCGCCGTGCATTGCGCCGCACCATGTTCATTCCATCTCATCTCTTGAAAACCCCAAGGCAAAAGTCTTTTCTTTCCCCTTCAGTTCATCCCATCATGCTAAAAAGGGCACCTTCTCATACAACCCATCATAAACCTTCCCAACCCACCCCAACGTCTCCCCTCCCCTCGCGACAACCCCCAGTCCACCAGCCGCCCAAACCGCCGCCGCCGCCGCCGCTACGGCATTAATCCAAATCAACCTCCTCCTCCTCTTGCGCCTGGCCTTCCTATCCACCTCCGGCACGCCCGTATGCCTCTCCAACGCCCACCCAGCGCCCTGCGACACGCCAAACCACTTCGCCCACCCCCACACCATATGACCGCACCCGATCCCCAGCAGCGCCGCGTACGCAAGCCAAGACGTCCACGCGTGTCGCACAAACCCGTGCGCGACGTACGCCAGCCCGATGTTGGCCGAATCCCCCTCCACCGCAAGCGGCAAGCCGCGGTTCATGAACGCGTGCGCGGCCACCACCGCCGTGAAACTATAACCCGATAGCGCAATCCAGCTGAGGCGCGGCCAGCCGCTGCGCAGGAAGCGCGCCGTGGGCTTGGCGATCAGACCGTGTGTTTTCTCGTCGGAGCCGACGCCGTAGTAGCGGCGGAGGTTCTCGCGGCGGCGGAGTAAGCGGGCGAGTAAACCCGCGCCGACGTGTGCGACGATGGGGAGGGCGACGAGTAAGGGTTCGGAAAGCGGCGTTTGGTAGATCTCGCGCGCGAGGAGGAGGTAGGATTCGGAGGCTGGGACCGAGCGTGCCAGGACAGGGATGACGGAGGTTGTGGCGAGGTGGAGGGAGGCGAAGAGGGAGAAGGTGTAGGAGGAGTAGCGTTGGATGCGGGTTACTGGAGGAGGAGGGGGGAGAGAGAGTGTCAGTAGTTGAAAAGCCGGGATTTTGTGGGGAGGAGGAAAGTCGCAGTTTGGGTGGGGGATGAGGTTTTCTTACGGTAGTATATCGCTCCATGACCGCTACCGCTTAAGCCGAGTGGTGTCGTTGTGTTTGTTAGACCAATGCCTCCGGCCGTCCCTCCTGATCCGGATGACTTGAGAGAGTGTATCGAGTCTGCTAGAGAGCCGCCTTCGCCGGCGTCGTCCGAGGGCGAGGCATCTCTTGTTGGGTCAAAGTCGGGACCGTCTTCTTGGTAAGGGTCTAGTATCGGCTCTGGGTCGAGTTGTACTAGCGAGATAAAGGTCTCTTGCGACGCCTTGTGACTTAGTCGGTGGTCCCGATGGTCCAGGTCGTGAGGATCCATGGTGGATGGACTGGCTGTGGTGTAAAGCGTCGGGTTGCGCCAGTCTCTCGCAACCGTTACTTGTTCTTTCTTCCTTCTTGAGGTTGTTTTTGATCAGTCAATTCGTCTCTTCTCCTGATGTTGTGGTACGAATTGGGACTTCAGGAGACCCGGGCAGGTTTGTCGTCAGGAACCAAGCAGACAGATGGGTGGAGGTTTCGGGTTCTTTAGGTACGTACTGGCGCATTTGTTGAGTGACGAGGGTGGGTCCTCACTGGCTCAGCCGTTGGGGTCCTCAAGTGGACCACAGTGTCCGCTAAGCCAAGCCTGGTGGGGATTGGCGGTGTGGTGGAGTCTGTGGGGGCACCTAGCTTCCCCACGTTTCCCTGCTGTCCGTTAAAGTTGCATTTGAGCGAACTTGATTCGTGCCGCCGGCAGTTCTTGGTCTTTGGGTGTGACCTCACACGCAAGACGCGCTTCATTTCGAGCTTCGACTTTACACATGTTCACTTCCCTCGCAACCAAACCCAACGACAACACGCAACGAAATTGAAAACTCGGCAATTGACAATCGTGATAGCCGTATTTTCATATCAGTTCAGAAGCCTCAATCTCGACCATATTGTCTAAACCACCGTCAAAATGCCTCCAGTACGTCGCCATCCATCCATCCATCCATCCAATGCTCTCCACGCAACCCTTCCTGATCGCAACATGTTAACCACTCCCTCAAATAGCGCCACCAAACCCTCCCACCAGCTCAAACCTCCTCCGCCCGCGAAGCCCTCCAATCCTTCTACTGCCAGCTATGTCAAAAAGGATACAGCCGCATGAACGACTATGAAGCCCACCTCTCCTCCTACGACCACAGCCACAAGCAGCGCCTCAAGGATATGAAGCAGATGGTGCGGGACCCCCAAGCTGCCGCACGCGCCAGGAGACAAGAGCAAAAGAATGAGGGCGTCATCTCCATCAAGCTTGGAGAAGCTGCGGCTGGTGGTGCTGGTGCTGCTGGGGGCGGCGGCGGCGGTGGTGGGTTCAAGAAGGGCGGATTCAAGAAGTCGGGTTTCAAGAGCGCTTTTGTTCCTGTCGGGGAACCTAAAACGGCTACATCAGCGGCTGCACCGGCTCTAGCAACTAGGAGCGATACAGCGCCGGATGGCCAACAACCGGGGATTAGGAGGGCACCGAGAAGCGAACTGGTTGAGAGCGACACCGAAGACGAGGGATATGAGGTTTACGATCCTAGGAAACCGACTGACTGAGCGGGCATGTCATTGGAGGATATCAATACCGAAGTTCGTTGGGACTGCGCGTGCAACCAACAGCATTAAAACAACAGATCTGCAGGAGCCATCGACTGGTTTTGGGAAGGAAGTCTATCAGCTTTGAACGCCAAATTCGCTATTACAGAAGGATCGAATTGTTGCGCCATCCTCCCATCGAGTCGACTCTGCCGAAAATACCGCCCCAACTCCAGCGCGCAAAAACAAGAGCGGAGAGTCCGCCAAGATCAAGGATGGTTGGAAAATGGAAAGCCGCCGAATTGTTTTACAAGGCGCAACACATCTGTCGCCGATCGGTTTTCTACCTCAAGGACCCCCGGTCATAGTCGTCCAAATCCTCGGCTCAAACCCCGACAAGTCCTCCTCCACCAAGTTCATGATATGTCGATGGCCGGAAAACCAGTTACCGAGCTGCGCTGTTTGCGTCGCATCTATAAGGCCAGCGGGCATATCTGCAGAAAAGACACCAGGTGTGACGGCGGCGGCAGCGCCTGGCGCCGCCATACTGCCATGTTGATGTTGTCGCTGCTGATGGGCAGGGTTGGAATTGGAGTTTGCATGCTGTTGCTGCCCCTGCTGCTGATCATGGAGGAGTTGCTGGGGCATGAACCCGAGCTGAGTGAGATACATGTCGAAATCATGACCGACTAGCATCATGTCCTGGTCCTGTTGCTGCTGTGCCTTGGTCTCGACGTACAGGCGTGCGACGTGGCAGAGGACTTGACATACGCGATTGAACTTGTCGATAGCCTCGGAGATGCTGCAGACGGTGGAGAGAGAGGCGACAAAGTGGTCCATGCGGTCTAGGTCCTGCATGTTGGATGTCTCGATGACATGGCAGAACAAGACGATGAAGGGGATAAACGGGGCATAGAGGATCGTCCTGTTGGTTGGTTGGTTGGTTGTTTGTTAGAGTTGGGAGACCTCCCAATACAAATGTCACCTGGGTGGTGTGTGAGACTTACCAGTGAAGATACCCAACCTTGGTGAAAACGCTCAAGCCAGGAATCTGCATGCATTCCAAATGAACCTCGACCGCCCGTCGCGCCGCTTCGATACACTCCGGGTTGAAGGTGCTACCGAACCCAGGAGCGGCCGGAATCGCGCGGTATATTAGACACAGCGATGCCCAGTACGTGACCTCGTCCGACCGCAGCATCAACGTCACCGTGAACCCGTCTCTCCTTCCGGAATCAGCAAGCTTGCCCGTCTCGCGCGCATGACGGATGAGCTCATCGTTTTCCCTCGCTATTCCCTTGATGGCCTCAACCAGCTGACGCGCGCTCTCGATGCGCTGCTCGGGCGGTCGTGACAGGGCCGCGATGGAGTACAGCTGTTCGTAGGCCTTGCCCATTACCTCGGCGTGTTCGATCCACAGGTTGAGCATCTCCTTCCAGAAGTCGGCGACGTTGATGGTCCGGCCCATGCGTTTGGGGATGGCGATGTCGTAGTCTTGGATCATGGACGAGCGGCCGAAGCGGAGGGAGAGGCCCTTGTCTAGCATGTAGGCGAACCAGAAGAGAGCGGACTTGGTGTCGTTGGAGACGTCGTCGTTGGCGGAGGAGGCGCCCGAGGTGGTGGCGGGAAGGCGGTGGTAGCCGAGGGTTTGGCAGATCATGACTGCTGAGGAGTTGAGTTGCCAGGCGAGGGTGAAGCGGGAGGCTTCGACGGCGTAGGAGGCCTATGCGGAAGGGCTGGGTTAGCACACCCATGGATGTTATGTCACGGACAAGGGAAGGAATGAAACTGATCTTGAGCTAAATGGTAAGAGGACTGGAACTTACAGCCAACAACAATGCTTCGATACTCTCCTTTCTTGCCGGCATGAACAGAGGCAATGCCATCAGGGCCGTCTCCAGATTGTCTCGGCACAGGTTACGGTACTCGAGCAGCTTTTCAGCCTGATGAGCCTCGTCCACCCTTGTAGCCTTTTCCTGGAAGAGGTAGAACAGACCGGCATTGACGACGATGAAGGTTGCCAAGCTGTAATCTTCGGTAGCGAAGTATACCCTCCGACAGCAGTCGACGAAGTCGTCTACCGCGATAAACGTGCACATTAATGTGAAGGTTTCTGGTAGCTCATTCTTAATATCCCGAAGAATGCCCACCACTACTGGGCTCGGAGGCATAGGCAGTTCACGCATACACCCTCTAGGCATCGGCTTCGCGTTAGGAAACCTCGAGTCCTGGTTCGTCCGCTTGCGGTTCTGCATGCTCACAATCTGCCGGAGGGACGACAGGGCCGACTCCATGCTGGGGCTGAGCGACGTGTCCCGGGTCACGGCGTTCTCGAGAAACTCGCTGGCGAAGACGGTCTGGGCGGCCATGGAGGAGTTGCCCTCGAAGGCAGAGTCCATCTCGTCGTCGTTGTCGTCATGGTCGTCGAGGGGAATCTCACCCCGGTCGGGATCACCGACTATGTCGCTGATGATGGCCACTGGGGGTTCGCTGGCGGGAGAAGCATTGCTGTTGTTGTTGTTGTTGTTGTTGTTGTTGGCGGCGGCGGGGCCGGCGAGAGATGAGGATGCGGATGATGGGCTGCTGGATTGTGAGATGACCATTAGCTCACGCAGCATCTTTTCGATGCCGGTGAGCCGGGTTCCGAAGTGGTCGATCTTGCGCTCATATTGCGCCGAGATGAGAACTCGCTGTCGTTGTTCCTTGGGCTTCTGGCCTACTCCGGATGAGCTGCATGACCGGTTTGCTGTCCTACAATTTGAGCACGGTGACTCTTTGTCACAGCGGATCTATGTAGTCAAGAGAAGGGGGATCCAGTTAGAACTTTTGATGAGAACATGGCCTTGGACCTACCTACCTTACGGAGCCGGCATTGATCGCACTGTAAAATCGGCGTGTGTCAGTGAAACGCAGTTGCACTCATGCATTCTTCAATGCAGGTAGTATTGCTGGGCATGAAATTCCAAAAGGAGTGGTGACATGCGAAAGGAAATATGCGGAAGTACGTGTAAGGTACCCCGAGTTGGAGGGTGCGGGTCGGACACCGCGGGCACCCCATCGGGATCCGTGAGGCCGGACCCGGACCGGAGCGGGCCCCGCTATTCAGACATCAGGTTTTCGGCGTGCGTGACCGAGTCCGTGGGACTTTAAAAAGGAAAGGACTTACTGCTCTCTTTAGACCTGCCCCTGGGCTGTTTCCCTCGGCCGCATCCCTCTCGCCACTGGCCTCTCTTTCCGTGTCCATTTGAGATGTGTTGGTTTTCCTTGTGCTGATCCAAAAGACCGGGACGGTAGTGCAAATTGGAGTTTAGGTAGCCTGGGCTTGCGTCGCCAAGGAATCGATGTTCACATTAATGCAGACCAAAGATACCTATCAAATGCAAATGTTGAAAAAGGACAATATCAGCAATGAAAAGACACCCGAAGCGATTGCAGACAGATGCCCTACTAAACTGCTGTGGCTCTGAGGGTATACAGTTATGTGGAGCCTCGTATTGTGCTGAAATGACAGGACTGTTGAGGCTGTGAGAATGCAATGGGAGCTGCTGTGACTGCTGAGTGCTGACGTCTCGACTTTGGACGTCGGATGGCATTGAATGCTTGGCATCGCGGCCCGCGGATTCCGTCTCCGCCCGCGGACATTGCCCCACTTTTCTCGAACTACACTTCAGTCCCGTCCCGTCGTTTCGAGACTTGGCTTTCTTCAACAACCTCCCCTCATCCGCCACGGCGCCGTACTTTGAATCGTTGTCACTCGTCTTGGTTGCTAATTTGGGTGACTGTATATGGACTATACGCGTATGTTGAGTTTGATGGGCCCTCACCGCCGTCTTCACCATGTTACAACGGGGAGTTTGCAAGGGGCCTTCGATGCCATGATACCTTATGGCTTCCATTGTGCGGAATGCTCTGTTCCCGGGCCTGGATTGACATTCAATTGGCCGAAACGACCCTGCGCCCTGGCCTTTCCAGAATTGTGATTCGTTGTATCTTGGCCATCAACACCACTTTGCTGCAAAAGTCCACCACCAAAATGTGCCAAGGGAACGACAAGTTGATACCAACTTGCCATCAATGAATGGATGCTTCCAGCCCGAGTATATATCTTCCAGACACAGTCCGTGTTTAGGTGTGACAGAGCGAACAGACGGGTATGAGTTTGGAGACAGAGAGCAACACGTCATCGCATGGAGACCAACAACATGGCCGTGGCCGAAGAATCACCTTCCAGCACCTCAATCACCGACGACGGCAGAAAGCCAGGCGAAGTTGTCGTACCAATTCCCGAATCTGGCGCGGCTCAAAATGAAGACGGGACCGATTGTGTATCAAACAAATGCGAAGATGGGAGCCTCAAGAGTTACTTTGTGAGTGATGCGTCCCAACAATTCAAGACATGTTGAGACATGTCTAGTGGCTGCTGACCACCAACTAACACCTTTCAACCTTCCAGAGGATCTTCAGATACACAGACCGCATCGGTTGGTGGACACAGCCCTGACTTGCATGATAGCGTCTGGTGTTCTCCTTCCATTGATGGACCTTGTCTTTGGCAAATTTGTCACTGTCTTCAACAACTTCATAACCGGCAAAGCTACCCCTGCAGAGTTTCGTTCCAGCCTCAACGACTACACGTAAGCTTTTTACCCGCTGCATGTTCAACAGATACTGACACAAGCTTTGGATTTCCATACTATACTTTGTCTATCTCTTCATCGCCAAACTTGTCCTCGTATACATCTGGACCGTAAGTCTTCTTGCCGTCTGGGAAGATATCTTGATCCGTCACTTACATACACCCCAAGACCCTTGCCTCCACCAACGCCATCAGGATCACACGGTCTCTTCGAATCGACTTCCTCAAGCAAACAATACGCCAGGAAATTGCCTTCTTCGACCTGCCCGAGGCCGGATCCATCTCCAGCCATGTCACTACCAACGCCAACCTCGTCAACCAGGGAATCTCAGAGAAACTGGGTCTCGCCATTCAAGCTATTGCAACCTTCTTCGCCGCCTTTGTTGTCGCCTTTGCGGTACAATGGAAGTTGACCCTGATTACCATTTGCATCGTGCCCGTCATTGTCATCGTCACCGGCATCTGCATGGGCATCGACGCAAAGCAGGAAAACGAGATCATGACCATCAACTCCCGAGCATCCAAGCTTGCCGAGCAGGTATTTGCGAGTGTCAAGACTGCTCATGCCTTTTGGGCCTTCCCCAAGTTGTCAGGCAAGTATGCAGCTATTCTGGATGAGGCCAAAGCGGTCGGCGCCAGAAAGAGTCCGAACTACGCCGTCTACTCCACGCCAAGCATCGCGGCCAAGGTTCAATCTGGTTAACCGGTTAGTGATTTTCATAAGCAGAACAATTTGGGGGACAGCAACTTACAGAGAGCTGATGAGTCGTCTCTACTTCATCTTCCTCTTCTCCATCCTCGCCTTTGCTTGAGCTCTTCTCTTCGCCTTGTGTTGAGCATCTTTGACGGGATCTAATTTCCTAGCGGCCTCCCTCTTAGTCCTCTTCGCCCTGTATGCAGCGTGTGCCGCGGGATCCTCCTTGAGTTTATCCATCTTCGCCTTATATCTCGCATTAAACTTCGCTTTGTGTTGAGTATGTTTGATGGGATCCTCCCTCAACTCGTACAGCTTCGCTTTTGCGTACGCAAGTACCTGAGGCCGCCGCCTCTGATACTCTGCCTTTCTCTGGTCTAGGAGTGCCTTGTGTTTGACTGGGTCTTGCTTGTACCTAACCCAACGCTCCTTCTGATGCTGGCGTTTGACTTCTTTGGCGTTTTGCTCTGCAAGAAGTATGGCGGCCTCGAGTTTGGCTCCTGTGAGGCCAGACGAATACACTGAGGGTAGTTTCAGACCTTCGCTCCAGGCCGGATGGGAACATAATCCTCCATATGGGATTGACGAAGCCCATTGGGTGTTTTGTGAGCGTAGGGTCGACGATACCTCGGTCTTCGTAAGCATATAGGCTGAATGTTATAGCAGCCTCCAGGATATAGAAGAGGGCGCGAGCTGGGAGGTGAAGAGGAGCTGGCAATGGACATGGTGTCTTAACTAATATTTTTTTGTGGGTGAGGGTGTAGCCTTTTGCGATGGCCGCGGCGGTATACCTCGAAAAACCCGCCCCTCGGCTATACTCGTCAAGCCTGTATTGTACGCCTAGGCTCCTGTGCGTACCCGAGCCAACATATACTAATGGTGGCTGTCCGTTATGCTCGAAGATGAGTAAGTAAATCGCCCAAGCTCGTTCATCGTCCGAGGAGAACTCCGGTAACGATCTAAGAGTATCGAGATTGGGGGCACTGGCAGCGTTGAAGAGTGGGCAAAGCCCGGGTGCCCATTGTAGTTCTAGCCCGAAGATGGTTTGAACCAGTGTTGGTATAGACGGCAACGATTGGGCAATTTGCAATTTGCGTCCATCAGCAAAGGCACAATAAGCGCCATATGCCTTGAAAAGATACAGTGACTCGGGGCTTTCCACTTCGTCGTCGTCATCGCTAGTGTCCATGTCCCACAGGTCGTCATCGTCGCTAATGTCCATATCCGACAGGTCGTTATCGTCGCTAATGTCCATGTCCGACAGGTCGTTATTGTCGCTGATGTCCATATCTAACAAGTCGTCATCGACGCTGGTGTCTAACACATCGTCATGGTAGGAAGCCTCTAAGGGGTCGTCGTCGTAGCTACTCATAGCTACAGCCGCCTTTCCTCTCGTTGTCGCCACCATAGTTGCTGCTGTTGCTGCTGTTGCTGCTGTTGGCGCTGCTGAGAGAAACCAAGAAGGAGGGTAAAAAATCCAGCAGCGCCAGCAGCAGCAACAGCAGAAAATTTTTACATCCTTCCAAAGAAAGGAACACTCGACAGCATCTCACTTGTATTTGGTCCTTCACGAGGAAGGAACACTTCATCTCTGTAGGATCATGGTTAGCTCGCCGGGAGGCAAAATAAGAGGAAGGAACGAACCGTACATGTGCAAAACCACCATGATCTCTCTCCTCGAGCGCTTCTACGACCCCACCAGTGGCACCATCTTCTTCGACGGTGTCGACTACTCGCAGATCCACCTCGGCCGCTACCGCAGCAACATCGCGCTCGTCCAGCAAGAACCGGTGCTCTACCAGGGATCGATAAGAGAAAACATCGCGATGGGCGTAATTGACAATGGCGAAGCCACTGGGGTATCGGATGACGAAATCCTCGAGGCCTGTCGCCAGGCTAACATCGACACCTTCATCGCCTCCTTACCCGAAGGGCTAGCTACCCCCTGCGGGTCCCAGGGCCTGCAGTTCTCCGGCGGGCAGAGGCAAAGGATTGCTATTGCGCGGGCGCTGGTTAAAAAACCGAGATTACTGCTGCTGGATGAAGTGACGAGTGCGCTGGATACGGAGTCGGAGAGGGTGGTGCAGGCGGCGCTTGATGCTGCTGCCAAGGGCGAAGGCGAGAGGAAGCGGACGACGGTTGCTGTGGCTCATCGGCTTTCGACTATAAAGGGGGCGGATAGGATCTTTGTGTTTTCGTATGGAAGGATTGCGGAGGCGGGGACGCATGAGGAGTTGTTGGAGAGGAGGGGGATGTATTATGAGATGTGTTTGGGGCAGTCTTTGGATGGGTGATACCTTACATTATTGTTGGGGTATAGAGCGACGACGACAATAATAGAGTTTCAGTTTCTATCGGCCCACATTTCCAGGGTACCTATGTTTCGGGCCATCTCCGTCCGTGGACTGAAACAATGACGAACTTTGCGTGGTGTTTTCCGCATTTGTGTAACATCGACTTTCCCCCTGATGCTACTGTCCCGTTCGATAATTCTTCCGAACGGATCGATCGCATAATGCCACCACTGAAAAATCCGTGGTTGTTTCATCCGCACCTTTTTAACCGATTCCCCACATTCTGGGACACGATCCCTCATTCGGGCGCGTGGTATTCTCTCCTCAACTGACACAGGAATGACATTGAGGAGGATTTCTTGGTAGGACGCCGTCGATTCACATGTGTGTGTTCAAGAGTCGCATTTTCCTGGGGGTATGGTACCATGCTCGAATTGGCGCCGGAACCTCGGAGCCGAACCCACCTTCAAATTGTATAAAGAACAATGTGATTACCTCCCTCCAGTCATCCAGATGCTTTCCTTGCTTTGACAAGCATCCCGTCGTGACCAACGTTTTGTGCTCAACCCTCCCTCCTCCACCATGCGGTTTTCTTCCACGACATTGATCGCCGGCCTCGCTGCCGTGAGTGTATCTGATGCGCGGAGCGTGAATCTCGTCGATTGTAAGCGAGCAACGCCTACCGTCTACCTTGCCGGTGACAGTACTACAGCCAAGACCGGGGGGCTTCTCATGGGTACGTACCTAGTAACTAGTCAATCCCTTTCCCTGTTCCCTGTTTCCCTCTTCCCAAATACCCAGTATCCTAACAAACCTTTTTTTCTTTTTAATAGGATGGGGTGAATACCTCCCCCCCCTCCTCAACGGCATCACCGTCGTCAACAAAGCCGTCTCCGGCCGCTCCGCCCGCTCCTACACCAACGAGGGGCGCTTCACCGAGCTCGCCAACCTGGTCACCGCCGGCGACATCGTCGTCATCGAGTTCGGCCACAACGACGGCGGCTCTCCCAACTCGGCCTCCGACAACGGCCGCTCCGACTGCCCCGGCACCGGCTCCGAAGTTTGTGTTTCAGGCAAAACCGGCGAAAAAGTTTACACATTCAATCACTACGTCGAGACCGCCGCCAAAACCATCATCGCCAAGGGCGCCTCCGTCATTTTTGCGTCTCAAACGCCTAATAATCTGTGGGAGGGCGGGAGCTACGGCGGGTATGCCCCGCCGGTGCGGTTCGTGGGGTATGCAAGCCTCGCGGCCAAGAATCTTGCAAACACAGGAAAGGCCAGTTTTGTGGATCATTATCAAGCTGTGGCGAATATGTATTTGAAGCTGGGGAACACTAAGACGAACTCGCTTTATCCTAGCGATCATACGCATACCAGCCCTGAGGGGGCGGATCTGGTGGCCAAGGCGTTTGCGCAGGCGGTTATGTTAGCTTGGAATGGGACGACGCCGTTGAAGGGGTATTTGAGGCCGGGGAATCCTACTGTTTTTTAACTGAAAGAAGGAGAGGTTAGGTTAGCTCTAGAAATGGAAGCTTAATCGGTTGAAGGAAGTCGTCTTTGAGTTTTTTTAATTTGTCTGCTTGCCCCGCCGGGCCGTTACGCAAACGAGCGGGCTGGACCGTTCCTTCCCGGACAGTAGGACGGGAGGTAAAAGGTAAGGTACCTGAGTGGGTTTTCATCCACTCGGGTACCTAGGGTACCGTACCTACCTTACCTTGCAGTAAAAAAAAAAAAAAAAAAAAAAAAAAAACAAAGAGGCCAAGGAAGTGCCACGAGGAAGGGCGTTGCTTGTGTCACCTGTGACCTGAGTGTACCTTATGTTTCCTTTTTTCCAATACGTTTCTGGTTGACAACGCCGTTGTGATGAATACATCTACACCTTGCCGTTCTCCACGATATAGTGTTGATGCTCCAGCCCAGGCGAGCTTGGTGGAGTGCGGTAGAAGACCTGAGGTGCAGCGATGTCGGTAGATAGCGTGAGGACCTTTTCAAGGAAGGAGCTATGAAGGTTCAAAGAAAGAAGTGTGAGGAGGAAAGAGCGAGAAGAGGAAACAGGCAGGAAGCAGAGAGTGAAGCAAGTGGAAAGTGTACCGGGGGATGCAGTGACATCCATTTCAGTTCCAACCCACAATTACTTGAAACTTCTTCCCATCCGACAACTATGTTCTTCACCTTCGCCCATCCGAACTTGTTTATTTTGAGGGAGCCACTTCAATTCTCGTTCAGCCGCCCGAGGGACCATGAGTATTACTCCATGGGAAGAAGACACTCCCCGTTCCAGGGCTAGAGCCTATGCAAACCATCACTACCTAGGTGCTGACCAGTCCGTTGATATTCGAACGACAAAAACAGAATGGAAACTTGGCGATGTGTAACAACGACACGACATTGTTATATATATGAATGAGTGATGACAAAAGGATGAGAATTGAATACCGAGCGATTTTATGCCAAGACACTACAGTAATATCCCTTCTGCAAATACATACAAACCCCTTTAACTGCAAAATTTCCGAAGCCAAACATCTCAATTAATCTTTAATCCCGTCATTCATCAACTTCCTTCAAATGCACAAAGCTGCTCCGCGACGCAACCAAGGTCGCCAGTTGCCGGATGCTAGAGCCGCCCATGATATCGAAAACGGCCACCTCGGCACCAACTTCCTTCAGCAACCACGTCCGCAGCTCCACGGCCACAAGCCAATCGACGCCAAACGCGTGAAGAGGCTTGGACGCATCCAGGTTTACTGTTTCTACTCCAAGCGCCTTGGAGATCTTGGTCAGCATGGCTTCGAGAACAATGGCTTCTGCCGTGTCAAGCGAATCCGTGGCGCCCAAAGCAATCCGTAGTTGACCGTCTTGTCGGCCGACGCCAGACCTCCGGCCATCCGACGCATCTGGAACAAGTGGCTGAACAGCGGATCGTGCTGCCAGCCCGGCGCTTCGATGCCTCGCTGCGCCAGTGCCTCGGGAAGCTCCAGCCCAAGACAGATCTGCGACTTGAGAAGGGACGGCACGCTCGATCCCGACGGGCCGCATAGTCCGTCGAGCAGCGCATGGAACTCTTCCTCGCGCATGGCCGTGAACCCTTCGGCCCTCAGATGGCCAATGAGTTCAGCGTTCTCCGCCACGAATCCAACAGAGAGAATCATGCCCAGGTCCAGAGACGTGGCTGGCAGTCCCTGGGATACCCTGTACCGCGCCAGAGCATCTTGGTACGTGTTTCCGGCGCAGTAGTTGGACTGGCCCCGGTTGCCCACGATGCCAGACGTCGACGAGAGGAGGATGAAGAAGTCTAGGTCCTTGTCAAGGAGTACTTGATGCAGATTCCACGACGCGTCGACCTTGGGCTTGATGGCTGTGTGCCAGTCGTCGATGCTCATGTTTTCGAACAATGTGTCCTGGAGTGGCGCGCTGTTAGCTTTTACCATAACGACATGTGGTCTGGGAATGATGGATACATACCTTTAGCACCATTGAGCCTTGGATGCAACCCCTGATGGGAGGCATCATTGTCAGACAGCCATCCAAGGTCTTTTTCAGTGATTGAGCATCCGAGACGTCACAAGCAGGTGTCTCTACGTGGACGCCGGCCGACTGCAGTTCCGCTACGAGTGCCTTGCCCGACTCTCGGAGTGGACCAAACCGCGACAGCAGAATCAGGTGCCGGGCTCCCCGAGACGCCATCCACCGTGCGATGCTCCTGCCCAGACCTCCAAGCCCCCCGAGATCACATACGAAGCTGACGGGTCAAAGTTATACTTGGGCTTTCGGCTGGGGACGACAGGAACAATGTCATCCTCATGGGGCTCCAGCACGATCTTGCCCGAGTGTGCTCCGTTCTGCATGTATCTGAAAGCGTCTTGGATCTGACCGAAAGGGTAGACTTGCACCGGGTGAAGCTGCCGGATTGCACCGTCGCGAACAAGACGCATGCAGTCCTCCAAGATGGCATTGAAATGGCGCCCGTCGTTGTTCGCCATGTAGCCGACATCGACAAATCCAAACGTGACGTTGTACTTGAACTTGTCCATGTTCAGCCGGGCTGAGGAGTAGATGTCGACTTTGCCAACCTCGACGAATCGTCCAAAGGGTGCAACACAGTCCCACGTTGCTCGGAGAGCGTCGCCCGACAGAGCATTGACGACCACATCAACCCCGCGCCCTTTGGTCAGTCTCATGATTCCGTGCTTGAAGGATAAATCTCGGCTGGATAAGATATGGTCCTCAGGAATCCCATATCGAGCCCTGAGGAGATCCCGCTTCTCGAGCGACCCGACGGTCGCATACACCTCAGCCCCGCGATGCTGGGCAAGCTGGATGCAGGCCTGCCCAACACCCCCAGCAGCAGCGTGTATCAGAACGGAATCCCCCTTCTTGAGATGTGCGATGTCGTACAGGGCAGCGTAAACGGTAACGTACACGACAGGTAAGGAGGCGGCCGTCGTCCAGTCCAAGTCTTCCGGGATCATCACGAGGGAGGTCTCCCTAGCACGAGCGTACGTTCGCATAGTCCCACGCGCAATGCCACAGACGCGATCGCCGACCTTGAACCGGGAGTTCGGCCCCGTCCGCGTGACGATTCCTGACCCTTCGACTCCGAGAGCGGTCCCAATCACCTGGCCGAGCGAGACCATGATGTCAAGGAAATTGAGGCCGCATGCCGCAACTTTGAACTCGACGTCGCCTTCTTGCAAAGGTGTGTCGTAGAGCTGATCGTCGTCAAACTGCAGGCTATCCAGAAGTCCAGGTGTGCCGACAACCAGATCGAGGGCTCTTGACGGATCCTCGCCAAATTTGGCCGGCGCAGCTACCTGCTTGGTGGTCTTCTGAGAGATGTGTCGGTTCATGTAGTCCGCCTCGATCACCCGGCCGATGTGTGTCACGCCGCTTGAGACTGAGAAACTGTTGTCGATCACGTCCTTTCCACCCTTGACGAAGATTTCGGTGAACAAGGAGAGTGTATGCTGGCAGACAGCTTCGACACTTTCAACGCCATCAACATCATCCTCAAAGGTGAGGGTGACAAAATTGATGGCTGGGTTCTCAGCTCTGATGGCGCGGGATAGTCCTGTTATCATCTCGATTTCTGGCCTTTTTGCAGCCTTTCCGCCTCCGTGGGTAAGCCACAAGATCCCGGAGAGGGATGCAGTCATCTTCTTGATGACGCTCAGCCTGTCGGCAGTCACGTCTTTCAGGAACGAGGCCTCGATCTCAGGAAGGAAGATGCATATCTTCTTGTCAAGGTTCGCAGACAGCAGATCTCCCACGCTGACCACTTCCACTTCACAGTGAGTATTACTACCCTTGCCTTTCAGTGAAGTCTCAATTTCCTTTGCGACCTCGTTCTGGAATTCGGAGCTCTGGTCTGCTACAATGATGGTGGGCGGCGGCGGCGTCGTCGTCAACAGGGATTGTCCCGCTGCTGCTGGTGTCGTGGCTGTCGAGATCATAATAGTGTTGATTTGGTTCTCCGACCCTGAAAAGTCGTCAAAGGCGAGATCTACCCCGGTGAAGGCAGCCCGCTGAAGATGGACCGACCAGTCCGGGACGGTCATCAGGGGAACCCACGCCCTGTAGGGCTCATCGGACAGCCACCAGCCGGGAAGTAAGCCGAATCCAAAGTGAGCGCGGAGCAGGTTGATGTTGGTCAGCTCGTAAAGTGCAAACTTGCCACCAGGCTTCAGCAGTTGGCGAACATTCTTCAGAGTCGCCTCGATGTTCTTTGTTGCGTGGATGACGTTCGCGGCGATGACCAGGTCATACTCGCCCTCCTCGAAGCCCTGATGTCTCGGGTCGTTCTCGATGTTCAACACTTTGAACTGCATGCGATCTGCGGCGGATTCAAAAGTCTCCTTGGCCTGCTCGAAGAAGCTTGGAGATATGTCGGTGTAGTCATATCGCTCGAACCGCGCGCCGAACTCGTTCTCCCCATGGTGGGTCAGCGTGTTGATGACGGTCACGGTCGCGCCTCCTGTACCCGCCCCGATCTCGAGAATCTTCATCGACGGGTTCTTGTGGACCATGGCGTCGACGAACCCAGAAAGCTGGGCGTAGATGATCTCGGCGCCGGTTCCGTACCGGTAGACATTTTCGGAGAGCTTGTCGTTGAAGAGAACCTGAAGAGGGTCGACCTCTCCAGACAAGAGCTTTGCCCACGGCGACCACCAGCTTGGCTTCGGGAGTGCCATTCTCCCCTGCCATTTCGGCTTCCATCTTGCTGAAGGATTCGTCGTCCAGGGCCATCTTGTTCCAATCCTGTTGTTGTCCCTTCGCGTGCACCAGATCGCCGCGATCAAAACGATCAAATACGTGCTTCATCCATGCCACGTACTTTTGCAAGTGAGGCTTGCCTCCGACATGTTCAGTCCACAGGTCTGGGTTCGCAGCTGCGTATCTCCTCAAATACATGTAGCAGATTCCCTCAACGTCCGCAATAAGCTGGGACGGGTCAAAGTCCACGAGATCTTGAGGCGGGCGGAACAATCCGGCCGCACTTTTCTGATCAAGCAGGCTTGGCTCGGGTTTCCAGTCGATATTGAATGCATGCTGACGGGCCTCGTCTTCCCCATCATCTGTTGCGCTGCTCCGACCCGAGACAGCGGTGGACACAAACCCGTCCGCTTTGATGAGGGGAGCATGAGTCTTTGGGTCGACGGCGATGATGGAGGCTTCCGCCTGCCGAAGCCCCAGGAAATCGGCATGGGCAGCGAGACGATACTGGTCGTGAGACGCAAGCGCGTCCGCCGAAATCCAGAGCTCTTTCATCGAGGTGGGCACCATGGCCTCTCTGACCTCACGGCCACCGCGGGTCAAGGCGACCATGACGGCCTGCAAGACACCGTCCAGCGTCGTGGGGTGAACGAGATGCTCCTGGACAAATCCTTGGGGCATCTTGCTCTTGATCTCGGGGACTTTGGACGTGATGGTGGCGATCATGTTGCGGTCGCCGTCGGGGTCGATCCGCACGTCAGAAAGGGTTTGGAACGTGGAGCCAAAATCGAACCCGACCGTCTGGAGAAGCTCGTAGAGCTGGTTTGTCGACACCGGCTTGCCACACCTCTTCTCGGCCGAGGCGACATACTCGGCGCACTGATCCCGAAAGGCCCGGTCTTCCAGCCCGTTGTCCACCGGGGTGTAGGCAGCTTCGTACTCGGTCTGCACCAGGCCGCGGCAGTGTTCGCGCCACTCGTCGTTCTCGTGGCTGAAGAGCTGGAACTCGCTCCAGTTGGACGCCGTGCTGGACATGCTGTCCATGTAAGGCCGCAGGTAGAAGTGCGTCTCGACGCCCTCCGCGCTCGCTGGCACCCGCAATGCCATGTGCAGCGATACCTCGCGGAACCGAAAGGCTTTGATCGGGCCCTTGTCCGGGTTGGCCATCTGTCTGCTGGCCTCGATGGCCATGACCAGCATCCCGGCTGCTGGGTAGAGGGTACTTCCCGTGATCCGATGGTCCCGGATCCATGGGTTCTCGCCCAGCCGGATCCAGTTCCGCCAGAGCGCGTTGTTCTTGTTCCAGTCTGGAACCGATGCGCCCAGGAGCTCGTGACGGACGACTTTGCGGAACCGATACCCCTTGCTGATTCGGCTCTCGCGCCAGTATGACTTTGAATGGTCAAACGGGTAGCTGGGGAGATCTACCAGCAAAGAGCATGACCTTCATTGAACGACGACGGCGGATTAACAGCGGACATATCGAGCTTGTAACCGCGCGAAAAGAGCCAGCCCGCCGCGTTGAGAGCAGCGTTGGTCGAGCTCGAGTTGCGCATGAGCAGGGATTGGTACGCAACAACCTTATCGGCTTCAGGAATCTGTTCCAGGATCTCTCGGATCGGTCCCCTTAGGGCACCATGAGGCCCAATCTCCAGCAGCTCGGTGATGGGATCTGTCTTCGTTTTTTGAGGGCCGCTGGCGCCAAGCTTCCTCTTCTTTCCTTTTACAGAAGAATCAGAGACAAGACGAGACAGCGCCTCCGAAAACCTTACTGGCGAGATGAGATTCTGTACCCAGTAGGCCGGCTCACAAAGCTCCGACAGCTTGGCCTCCGCCCCGGTGAGCGAAGAGTAAAACCGGGGCACAGGGGACTCCTTCTTCTGCTGTTCCTGTTCCTCCGGGCCACTGCCACCACGGCATTGTCCTCCAGAGACAAGACCGGCACCTATCAGCTGTAGGTATAGGTCCGCGATGGGCTGCATGTAAGCCGAGTGGTACGCATTGCCGACCGCGAGCTTGCGCGCAAAGATGTTGTCCTTGTCGAGCAGCTCCTGCTTGAGGTAATCGATCTTGGAGACGGCGCCGCTGACGGTGACGTTCTTCGGACTGTTGATGCATGCCACGGCAAGACTACCGGCAGCACCGCCGTGCGGAAAAGCGGCATCGACGCGCGATATGTAGGATTCTGCCGTCGTCTTGTCTAGTGCGACCGAGATCATGCCACCGCCGCCGCCGCCGCCACCACCAGAAACACGTGCAAGCTCAGAGGAGAGGATACCCCGGTAATAGGCGAGCTTCCACGCCGACTCTCTGGATATCGCGCCGGCTGCGTACGCCGCAGCGATCTCCCCCGACGAATGCCCTACGACGGCTTGCGGGAACACGCCCCAGCTCGCTAGGAGGTCGACGAGAGCCACCTGGAGCGCCGTGCAGATGGGCTGGCTGAAGGCAGGATCGTTGATGTTAAAGGAGGCGGTGTCTTGTTATTGTTGTTGTTGTTGTTGTTGTTGTTGTTGTTGTTGAAGCACCTCGGTGATAGACCAAGAGCAGCTCAGAGCTTTCCTCAGGTACTCGTCGGCCGCAAAAAGACTCGCACGATACGGCTCGTACACCCCGAGCAGCTCCCTGCCCATACCGGCCCATTGCGCCCCTTGTCCCGTGAACACCAGGGCAAGTTGCGGCTTGCTGCTACCTGTGTTAGGGGCGCGGGTGGCCTTGTTGAGCTGGGTCGTCTCCAGACTGCGAGCGAGCGAGCGAGGTCACCGAGTCTGCTACCGCCCATGAAGACCAGCTGAAGCGGGTCCGCTTGAAGGCCAGGGTGTAGCTCAGATCGCTCAGATAGGATGACTCTGACTCTGACTCTGACTCTGACTCTGACTCTGACCCTTCCGATGATGCCGATTCGGTGCCGCTGGTCGAGAAGGAGGAGACCTTGTTGAGTAGATGCTCTCGGTAGGCGGTCGCTAACCGTTGGATGCCGCCTTCGTCAAAGGCGGAGAGGATGAAGAGGCGGTCCAGGCCGTCTGCATGCTTTGCATGACCGTTTTGTATAGAGGTAGGCTCGGCATGCTGTCTGTTTGTTCCGTTGGCAAAGCCATTCTTTACCCCATTGGTCACACTATCTCTGGCCCCGTTCGTCGTTCCATTGGTGTGGCCGTTGGCATGACTGTTGGTATGGCCGTTGGTATGGCCGTTGATGGCAGTCAGGGCTTTCTCGCCGTTGAGGTCCCCATTCACATGATCCTGGAGATTGGAAACATGATTTCCTTGGTGAGGAGCGTTCATGTCATAGTCTGTGGCAGCTTCACCATCCAGAGCATTGCTCACATGCTCATTTGTGCCGTCGGTAATGGCGAATGGTGGAAGTTTTGGGTGCAAGACGGTTCTATGGCGACCCTTGAGGCCGTTGAAGGCCAAGAAGTGTAGAGCATCGTCCACGATGACGGTTGCGTTACTACCACCGTACCCAAAGGAGTTGACAGAGGCACGTCGGATACCCTCGGTAGGCCACACTGTACTTGAGGTCGGAAATTGAAAGTTCCACTCATCCGGGATCTTTGGGTTCTTCTTCTCAAACCACATGTTGGGCGGGATGATGCCGCGTTCCAGGACCATGACAGTCTTCAAAAGACCAGCAATACCGGCGGCACCTTCCAAGTGGCCAATGTTGCTCTTGACAGCCCCAACGTACAATGGATCCTCGGGCGTCCGGAACTCGGAGAAGGCGTCACTGATGGCGCTGGCTTCGATGGGGTCGCCAACCGGCGTGCCGGTACCATGAGCCTCGAAATACCTCGTGAGGCCACGGTCAAGCCCCAAGGCCTCGTACGACTGTTTGATCAGGTTGGCCTGGGCCTCCCTCGTTGGTTGGGTGATACCAGGAGATCGTCCATCTTGGTTGGTGCATGTGTTCCGGATGACTGCACGGATAGTATCGCCATCGCGGAGAGCGTCTGAAAGACGCTTGAGAACAGCAACGCCAAACCCTTCACCTCGGGAGTAACCGTTGGCGCGGTGGTCGAAGCTGTAGCATTTCCCGTCCGGGCTCAGGAAACCGAGACTGGTAAGTGGGATGACCGTGTCCGGGTTCTAGAAAAGGTTACAGCCGGCGACAACGGCCTATATTGATGAAGCCGAAACAACGTCAGCTTGCAAATCACCTCAACTTACCTTTCCACACAATGGCCACCGAGGGGGAATCCAGGCTAGAAAAAAAGTAAACTTACCATGGAAGCTTCGCCGAGCCTCAGACTGGTGCAGCCTTGATGAACAGCAACCAGACTGCTTGAACAGGCGGTGTCTAGCGTCAAACTGGGCCCTCGAAAGTCATAGAACCACGAGAGACGATTGGCAAGCATGCTTGTTCCGGTGCCTGTAGCGAGATACTTGAGTTCGATCTCCGGATCCCTGCTCACAACGCTGTCGTACTCGCGAGTGAAGCAACCGACATGGACAGATGTCTTTGAGCCTAAAGCCTGGGACATGGGAATGCCAGCTACGGTAGTTCACTCATCAGCCTCACGGCACTTTTGTTTTTACTTTTTTTTTTCCCCATTGTGGTGCGAGACCTGCGCGGAAAGGAGAGGAGAAGAGGCTGCAGAGTACAAACTCACCGTTTTCGAGAGCGCGATAGACAGTCTCAAGGAGACCGCGCTGCTGGGGATCCATGCAGACGGCCTCGGCCTGGGTAATGGTAAAGAAAGGCGCGTCAAAGGCAGCAATCTCATCTTTCAAGAAATGCGCATGCCGGACGTTGGTCTTTGAGTTGTGTTAGAGGATTGGATCTTGAAGATCTGGGTGGTGAGAGAGAGAGACAACATACCGTACCCGATCTCTGGGGATCCGGGTGGTAGAATGCATCAAGATTGTATCGGCCTTTGGGTACCTCGCTGAGGGCTGAACGACCGGAGAGAAGGAAGTCATAAAACTTCTCGGGCGTGTTGGCATCTCCGGGGAATTTGAGGTCAAAGCCAATGACGGCGATGGGCTCAGTGGTGTTAGCTTCCATGTTGAAGAAGCAGGGGGGAAGGACTCAGATGGGAGTCTATGAGTCTTGCTTGGTTGCGTGAGATGAAGTGTTGAAGTTTCCACTTCCGTGTGGACGGGTAACGGAATAACAAAAGACACTTTGCAGAAAAAACCGAGAATGTGGACTGCCTTTGTCTGTGGAGGTCCTTCTTATAATGGCTTCACATCATATACACTGCCGCACCGTCATTCTTGGGACGATGGCTCTCCGATAGCTTTTTTTCTCCGCACAAACTGAACACTCCTGAATCTGTTGTCTCCGCTTCTTCAGCCTCCTGCTTCCCCTCCTCCCCTCCATGTTCGGTCTTCGGTTTAAGCTTGAACAACTGCCGTATCTGCCGCGGATCGATCCAGACAACCCAATCTCCATGGTACGAAGCCAGCATCCCTAGGTACAGTAAGTGTTCGCTCCCTCACTGACGAGTATCACATACACCATAGCTAATCACTGTCTCTATCACATCGATAGTCCATCTTACCTACAGCTTCCTCAATGACGAGTGTTACATACACCATAGCTGATCACCGTCTCTATTACATCAATAGTCCATCTACCTACAATGCAACATGATCCTCAATCTTCCAAATTCTGATAAGCCAAAAGCTTGGGTCTTCTGTCTGTATGGTGACGAACAGCAGCCATCTCACGAGCATGTCCAAGAGCACGCAGTCGAAAAAGGAAGATGCCGCGACAACCCGGGCTTGGCCTCTTAAGGGCACATCTTCTAAGAAGGTATTAGGATTCTCCCGATCGGCGCTGCGTGTTGCTTACCTACCTTACGTAGACGCACGCAGTATTGGTTTCCAAGACTCACTAAGTCCGAACATCATCAAAGATTGCGTTCAAGTGCGAGGGGTTTGGCAAATTTCATGATATCTGGATGCGACCAACAAGTGTTGCCATTCACACCAACCTTCACCATGTTATCTTTGAGCTCGGTTGGTTGGTTGGGTGGTTGGTCCTATGCTCTAGATACCTCTAGCCAACAAAGCTCGCAACTACGTACACCTATCCACCTGGGTAAGTCGTTTATGGCACCTAGGTAGCATTTGGGAATCTCATTCTCGCGCCTCCATTCAGTCCTGAAAGCAAGTGCACCTACTGGCGCAAGAATCGCTGACGAGGCCATTTCGGCGACCTTTCTATCCCATCTTATCGATTCAACCTCTCCACATCTCGGTAGGACCGCTTTGAATGGCAGTCACCTCCGACTCGCTTCCCTTCAGTCCACCAGTTCCACCAAGTTATCCAGCATGACTATCGACGCGTGAGGACAACCTAAAAGCTGCGGGACTCAAAGGAACGAAGTGTAACGAAAACGTCAGACTTGATGAAAGGTTGAACCCGTTCCTTTCTTCAGGTTAAAAATCACCTTCATGCTCCTTACACTAACTACCTCTAGTATAGGACGTAAGAAATCAAGACATTGAACCCTAGTATACTTCTTCGCTTCGTATATATCTCATACCAGACATGAACTACCTACTGAGCGTTCACTAAGACTCGAGAGGTGCTAGGCATCTGTCAGCTCTGACACACTGTCCGTCCGCACGGCAATCTTTCTGGGGAATACATATGGCCAGTATGTGTTAACTCGACTCTCAAAACTCCTTGCAATGCACGATATGCTTCTCCGTAGAAAATTCCGTGATAAGGATGTAAACCAAAAATGAGGAGGACGAACTGTCAGGATCTTGTGCTGCTGCTCCAGCCTTCTTCCAAGTCCCTCCATCCATGATTCCCTCCAACAGCAAAACCATGCTCAAAATACCCAAAACTGCAAAACATCTCATTGCCGGCCATACTCCCCAGTCTCTTATCTCGGCTTCTAACTCGGTTATTTGCTCGAGGACTTGCGCGTTTTCATCATCTGGAAGGATTCAGGCATTGTTCTAGATGCTTACATTCAGCTTATGAGATGGTACATGTAGAAGTTGTGAATGCAGTTGTTGTCTCTTGCTTGGCTGTGACTTGAGGCTACATGAGCTGCCAGCCCGGGAATAGCATCTGGGACGCAGAGGTTCTCGTAGGATTCAGACCCATTATTCTTGTTTACCTGGTTGAAGGGGGATGAGGCGGTTCGATTTGGGTTGGGGGTCGTGCACACCACCAAAACTCGACGATCTTTTGAGTTCCGACGATTTACCGAGTTATGGCGCGAAGTCTGATGGCTGCTAGTGTTAGTGCTCGTATCCGAGTCCACCGGTCATTGTAAGACATCCCGCGTCATCCTACGGTAGTAGAATTTGATAAACCTCCCCCGCAAGATATACCTTCTACCCCCGTGCTCATCGGTATCGGCTCATAGGATAAGAAAAATGAAGACAAGAAAAAGATGAGTGCATGGAGCAACCCTCCTTTGGATTTTGAGGCGACGTCGTGATAAGAGCTTACATATGGTCCAAGCTTTCTGATGTGGGTGGCTCGGGTGGTACCACATGTCAACAAGTGTTGAGAGCGGGCAGTCTCCGGAGTCTGGCATGATCAGCGAATCCTACGGCTACGCAGATCAAAACATTGTCGTAAGATTTTTCCAATGGCCACGGCCTTAAAGATTCGATGCGGTCATGCCGTACCTTGCGACTGCCGCTCGAGGCGCTTTATGGGGTTAACCGCCCCGTGCTGACGCCCATGCACCATGCTTGGGCCAATATTGCTGCATTCGGTTGCTAATCAGAGACTGGACTTTGGTGCGCATATGAAGATGGAGGTGGCAAGTGTGATAAGATGGGAAACGTGGATGTGGATGTGAGTGACGAGAGTGATGGTGATACCGTGATAACCCTCCCGCACATCCTTCCAAGCAGAGACACGGCTAGGCGAGTGAAGGTTCCCCGTACCTGTAACCTAACCCATCTCAAGCCCAGTCTGTGGTCCCCATCCTTTCTGCTGGGTTGGCAGGAGGGTATGCAATGCGACGGTACGCGTGTAGCGCCTGTGGCGCGATCATGAAACTCCCACCATCCCCGCTAGGGTACTGCCGAATGTCTCGGAAGGAAAGTTGATGTTGAAGTTTCGTTGGGCAAAAGATGCGAATCCGAGTTCGAAGGATGCGAATATCTTTCTTGACAAGGTCACATTTATCCACTTGCAATGGCAAACAACGCAACTAGGGGGACGGGTTGCTTTGTAGAGGTAGGTACGTTTTGTGTACGTTGGTTGCTACAGGGGGGTGGGGGTCAAGGGGGGTACAAACATTTTCACAAATCAGGACATGGGACAGACACTCGACGAATCCGGCGTCAAGGGATCATCATTGTTGTTATAATGCGAGCCATTCGGAATGAGGCCATTGCAAGCCTAGAATCCGAGGCAGCATTGGGGCACGACGGGCGGCGCGGGTTTCGCTGCAGACACAGACGGTTGAGCTCTAGTACATTGCTTTACCGGTGTAAACGGAAACACAAGGTAGGTATGCTTGATCGGTTAGAAAGAAGGAAAAATCCAGGCATGAGAAACTCTTTTCGGGGAAATCTGTGCAAATGCCTTCAGGAAGTGGTTCGAAGACGTTGAGATCGTCCTTTTGGGGTTTCGAAGGCCGTTGCACCTACCCAGCTAGCTACCTCTACCTACCTCTAGGTACCTACCTAAGCTGAGTTCAAGCCAGCAAGGGACGGGATAGCTGACAGGTGTGGTTATCAGCTTCTTCTCTGCTTGTTCGGATTCCTTGTATGACTTCGAGTTGCACATAGTATCTGGGCTCAAACAACTACCTCTAATATCCCACCACTCATAACCCCATTATTTACCTTTTAGCCGCTTCAACCCTCACTTGTTCGCCCATGCTTGGCTGATAGGCGTTTGCTTGCAGAAGGAGTAGACATCACCATGAGCGTTCAATACACCTTTGTCCTGCTCATCTCCCCAATCAGAGATCTCTGAGTGTTGCTTTAGATGCCTCCTCTACAGCATGTCAATCGCTGAAGAGTCAGTTCCCAAACGGAACATTTCTCCCCGATGAAGAGGCCTATCTATACCCCAGCATATAATCATATGTACCTACCTACTAGATGGCTTCTGTTCCACATTCTACTGTGGTATAGAGGTTATCACAAACATTAATCCGAAAGCTTGTAACCTACCGGAACCTTTGCCGTCCCCCCCCCCCCCCCTCCTCCAGATTCTTGGTCAAAGACATGCGTCCTACCCCCCTCATTCTGCCAGCCAGGTATCTGCAGGGCTTTCTATCTATTCTCAGAAGGACGCAGACCAGGTTCGCCATCAGCACTAGTGGCGGCCACATGCCGCCCGTCCCGTTTGCCGCGTTCATTCTCGAACGGGGTGCTGATCTCGATGCGCCGCATCAACAACCCTCCGTCTCTCCCAACCCGAGTCCAACAAAAGAAGTGGAACGCTCCGTCACTCTCGGCACCGGGGGCTCCGCTGGCAGGACGTATATCCCGTGTCAAGGACGTGTTCCAGCCGCTGGCCCATGGCGCCAAAACACCTGAAGAACATCAATCGCAGCGGAAGCACTATACTACAAGAGACTTGTACAAATCAAAAATGGGATGATCTTTAGATCTGCTGATGAAAAGCCTAATATTATCCGTGACCGTTCTCGTACATCCATCCCTCTTCACTGAACCAAAGTAGCCTTCGCAATCACCTCCTCCACACACTCCGCCATCTGCCGCAACACCAGCATTAAGCCGCTCGGAATCTCATGACCAGCCCCATGATCGAGCAGGACACTCGGGCCCTGACACAGCCCCGCAAGTCTCATCGAAGCCGCTAGATCCGGGTCCTTGCGGCCCACGATGTTGGCCACCGGGATAGGAAGCTTGAAAGAAGTGGAAGCCTTCCGGTCTTCTTCTTCGCCACCACGTTTATCAGGAGGATCCAGGTACTTGATCGTTCCGGAACGAAGCGAGTCTTCGCAGAGCGGAGCGCCGGCACAGATGAAGATGGCAAACGAGAAGGGGGACGATGAAGCGGTATACGTGTGGGAAGAAGCCTCCTTGTTACTAACACTAACACTGGCGTTGTTGCAAGAACGTGAAATGAGCATGGAGGCCAAGGCGGCGCCTTGTGAGAATCCCATGACGCCGTCGAAGGGTCCTTCGTCTGCGAGGCATGTACTCAGGTCATCGAGTGCTTGCAGGATGCTTTGGGGGGAGGTTGGGTCGTAGTAGGCATAGTAATCCGTGTTTGGAAAGAGAGCAGCAATACCTGGATAGTCAAGATGTTTCAACGATCAGCCACGCGACCTTGAGTTTCCAGGAGTAAGAGTCTCAAGTCATGCAGCAGCAGGCTGGGGATTGCACTGGCCGTACCTGGTGCAGGTGGGCTCTCCACGCCGCCTTCGACGAACTCAAAGGTATGTAGATTGTCACATCCAAGTAGAGATCTGAGTCCGGCGGTCTGGGTCGCGAATATCTGAGTAGAAAACCCAAGAACTCGTCAGCGGAGGTTAACGTAATAGGAACATCAGAAGAAAATTGCATGGCTAAGCTAGTTGGACGTACATCGCTGCTTGTGCCCATTCCGTGAAGACATAAAATCGGCATCGTGTCTTAATTCTAGCAGATTGTGGGACCAGACAGAATATGGACGGTCGGAGAGAGGAGGAACTTGAGTGTCTGATAGCTGAAGTGCTCGGTGACAAATTCTTTTGGTACTACATCGTCTGGAACCAGTATCAAACAAGCCGGGCACGCTTATATCGTGATGGATGTTCGGATGGGTTAGGAAAATTGATGATTTCTGCTCTTATCTGTGTGTCCTTAACAACGCGCGTAAAACTTGGTAGATCGATCCTCACACGGTCTCTAACTAGAAGACATGACCTCGAGCCAATGCCATGGGGCCGATGGCAAATAACACTACAGTTGCCAATAACAGCCATTGGTCATAGTTGTTAGCCCGCCATCGGGACATGCGGGCGTCAGCCGTCTGGAGATGCATAGGGGATAACTCGCGCCCCCTACCTCCGTTGAGACCTTTGACATGAGATGACGTTGATTGCTTCGCAGGATCCAGCTCAAACCGGAGACCCCAGTCGTACATGCATTCCTCAATCAAGTCAGCAGCGAAATGTTTTCCGCGTGAGGCGACATGCGCGATGCGCTGCATGCGCCGTACGTTCCGTCCAAGTTCACCGTTGGTATCGAGTATCATGGCAGAGATTATGGACGCCAGTTGGGCGGGTGTGAAGGTATCCTTGTCGACACCCTTGGCAACACCAGCGGCCACCAGGCGGAGATTATGTTGAATTTGATCACCGTAAAAGGGCATAGAGACCATGGGAACACCATGGAACAGGGCCTCGTTGGCCAACGATGGCCCGGCTGGGTCACAAACAGAGTGGTAGACGGATGGTCCAAGACTGCCCTCTGGGGGGCGTACTCCAGGATGAGCCAAGATGGGTGTTGGTTCGCTAAAAGATGACCGACGGTATATTGATCCTTTGATCCTTCGAGCAAGGCTGGGTATGGCCTTTGCGGGTCGAGTCCATCGCGGGTGGGACCCCGCAGAGCCCAGATGATGCCGTCAATGGAACCCTGCTCAAGAGCACAGCAAAGCCCTCGTATCAGCCTGTCCACTTTCTCGGGCGTAAGAATGACATGGGTGCCAAAGGCGACATAGACGACGGAGGTCTTGGTGTTGAGGAACTTGTCAGTGGTGTCATCGAGTGGGGCGTAGCTGTCTGACAGAAGAGGACCGACGGGTTGCAGGAGCGGCGGTACATCCTTTGCGGGTTCGAGGCCCCAGAACGAGTTGACAAGCACGAGGTTGTCCGGTTTGGGCTTCAGGGCTGGCATAGAGTGAACGCCAGCCTGCTTGCGCATAGAGCGGGTCCAGAGAAACAGGTGCAGAAGCTGGGGCGCATATCGAACGAGATAGGTCTGGTCGTAGAGGCGATCCCACATGGAGGCATGTTCGCTGGTTAGGCAACGAACTTGGGTACCAGGCTCGCCGGGAATCCAGGAATGGGGCGCCATGAGCCAGGGCATCTGCGGCCACATGGAGACGAGCGGGATGCAGCAATGCTGAGCAACATCACGAGCAGCCTCGACCTGATAGTCGGAAAAGATGAAGTCAGGGCGGCTGACGTGAGTGACGACGTGGAGCAGACGGCGGTAGACCTCGGGCCACCAAGAGTCGTAGAACTTTTTGCACTCGATCATCTCATTGCGACCGCGCTGCGTCTTGTTGTCCCATCTGCTGAACTTGTCGTAAAGCTGCCGGTCCTCGTCGGGTGTGACGGCACGGCCGACCAGGTGGACGGTTGAGACAAAAGGGTATGCCGCAACAAGGTCGGCACGCCCTTCGAGAGTCGCGAACTCGATGGCATGGCCACGGGCGGCGAGAATCCGGCAGATTTCCAGAATAGGAGCTGTTGATCGCCGTGGTTAGCCTTGATCCATGTCTCTATCGTAGTGTAAAGATACACAGTACAGGGGGAAAGCAGAAGATCTGCATGGAATGGAAGGAAGAGGTTCCATAGGTCGAGATGCAAGTAAGACTGAAAGCGGAAGAACTGATCGACCATGTGCTCGAAAAGGTGCCCCCTTTTTTGTCAGGGACGAGCCCGACTGGGCAGGAGAAGTGGAAGAACAGGGGGAAGTGGACGACGGGAAGTGGACGGTGGAAGTGACGGGTGGAAGAAGCGACGTCGGAAATAAGTAGACACCCCCACGCTAATGACAGAAAAGCTGGCACTTTTTCGGGCACTAAATGGGCGATCAGTGTAACAACGGAAGTGCCAGCTTTTTTGTCATTGGCGTAACCCCCGCCCCCACTCAAGCCATGCACTGCCCTGGAACACTGAAGGGCTGAGCTAGGATCGGGCCGGTCAGTGGAGGTTTCTAGGGCCATGCGCTAAACTTACCCGAGTTAGTGGATCCGCCAACCGTGACCACCACCAGAATCTTGCGAGGGGGGTGCGGGTCAAAATGCGATGCAGGAGCCATGGATGTGATGGACCGAAGGATTGGATGCTGTGCCGTTCAAGGACGTTTTGTATTCCAGAGTCGGATAGATACTGAAGAACGGGGAGGGGAAAAAGGTGAAAAGCCCATCTGGCCATCTGGTCACCATCAGGGCTTATTATAGCCATTGGCTTCACGTTAGGTAACCTATGCTCTACCTACTTGTAGAACCTGGGTACCTACACCCCTTATCAAGTATAGGTTGTCGTGACTTGGAAATTTGTACCCCCCTTCCGCTACATGGTGTATATCAAAGGTACGTACCTGTCACCCTTGCAGGAAGGCTGTTTATCCGCTCTCTTCCCGTTGGATCTTTGTTTCTGGACCCAATCCCATTACAGCACTGGTCTTGGGGCGCTGTTTGCCTAGAAGAGGTATTTGCTGATGCTCCTGACTGGAATGATGATGTGTCACCGACGGTCTGCCTCTTCGTTTTGACATCAAACGCCAGTGTTTTCATTCAACGCTTCAACCTCACAGCTCACACATCACACACTAACATTTTCTCACTATGCTCTCCAAAGGCGTGCCATCAGACCCGCTGGATTCGAAAGAAGCAGCGCCGCAGAACTCAGCACCAACAACAGTACCGTCGTCACCTTCATCCCATGAACACAACCCCGACGGCAGTGCCAGCACTGAGTGCGAGCAGCAGAGCGAGGGCCCCTTCATTTCCGGGTGGAGGAAACACGTCTTGACTTTCGGCATCTGGATAGCTCTCTTCCTGTCGACACTCGAGACCACCATCGTGAGCACCTCGCTCGTGTCCATCACCAACACCCTCAGCGGCTTTCACTTGCGCGATTGGGTTGTCACCGCCTACTTCATCACATACACGGGCTTTCTGGTTATATATGCCAAACTCGGAGATGTCTTTGGCCGCAAGACCATGTGCCTACTCGGACTGGCCATCTTTATCATTTTCTCCTGTCTTTGTGGCGCTTCCACCAATATCGTCGAGCTGCAAGTTACCACCCTCTTCAAAAAGCTAGGTGGTGGTTTACTTACACAATGATATAGCATTATCTTCAGGGCCTTCCAAGGGATGGGTGCTTCTGGTATCTATTCCATGACCATTGTGATAGCCCCGACTCTGGTTCCCAAGGCCGAGTTCGGCAAGTACATCGCCATAATCTCAACCGTCTTTGCACTTGCAAGCATCCTCGGACCCATCTTGGGTGGTGTAGTGAGCGCACACGGCAGCTGGCGCTGGGTGTTCTTTCTCAAGTATGAGCTCCTCCCATCTCCCTCGGTTTCGAGATAACAATGTGTCTTCTTTGCATGTGCCCGGCGCTAACCAACGGAAAATAATTCCATGAGTGTGTTCAGTGGCCCAGCCGGAGGTCTAGCATTCGTTCTTCTAGCATGGCTCCTCCCAGGTTCCAATAAAAACAACAAAAACAGCCCACAGCAACCTCTTCTTGCCTTGCTGCGCAGCAAGGTTACTTCCTCTAACCTGAGCAGGGTCGACCTCGCCGGCGCAGTCCTCCTTCTCGCGTCGTCTATGCTCATAGTGTTTTCGCTCGAGAGCGGCGGAACAAGGTATCCCTGGAGCAGCCCAACCGTCATATCGACACTTGTTCTTGCCTTTGTAACAGGCGCCCTCTTCTTCTTCTGGGAACGATCGAAATGGGTCAAGGAGCCCGTCTTCTCGCCCCGTTTGCTGAAAGGTCGGTTGATGCCGGCCATGCTTGCGTATGTTGTCATGTTATGTCATTTTGTCTAACTCTCTCTACCTCTACCTTTACCCATTCGCACCGCACCTCCTTTTCTACAATGACTAGTCGACTGATCACTCACTCACTCACTCACTCACTCACTCACTCTCCGTTTCCGTACGGAAAAAAACAGTTCCGCTTTCTTCATCGGCTTTCCCTTCACAGCCATCGTCGTCAACATTCCCCAAAGTCTGCAAGCCGTCTACGGATATTCCCCCCAGAAAGCCGGAATTGCTCTTTTGCCACTGCTCCTCCTTTCGCCCGTCGCGACTGCTGTGTCCGGGTACTTGACATCTAGCCGGAACGCTCCGCCCGTCTATGTCATTCTCGTGGGGTCTGTCTTCCAGCTGATTGGAGTAGGCCTGACCTGTTTGCTTCCGACTCTGCCCATCAAGGGCGCAGGAGGCGCTCATGTTCCAGCAAGTCAATACGGCTTTGAAGCAATCATGGGCATTGGCTTTGGCTTGACTGTTAGTACAATCTTGACATTGGCGCCTTTGGTGGTGGATCCTGTGGATCTCCGTAAGTTATTCCTTGCTTCCTTCCGGCACCTTGGCATCAAAACACTCTACCTAGTTTTCATGCCCGTTGCTGAGTTAGTCTTGGCGGTTACTGACCTTAAGCGTTGGGAATAACACACAGCCGTAATGATGGGTGCTCTAACCCAAGTCCGTGTCCTCGGAGGAACGATTTCCCTCGCGGTTTGGTACGTTTCATTTCTTTCCTTCGCCACATCCCATCCATCCATGCAGTCCGTCTCTAGAGGTGTATGCTAACTGAAACACACATTTTTTTTGAAAACTGCACAGCTCGACCCTACTCAACAACCACGTCGAAAGCAAGCTTCCGGACATTCTGGATCCTTCACGTGTCGCGGAAATTTCCGAATCCCTTTCCGCAATCCAAAACCTCCCACCTGATGAGCAAATTGCTGTCAGGACGGTGTATGCAGAAGGATACAATAAGCAGAACATATTACCGACTGCCTTCTCTGGTGTGGCGTTTATCTCTTGCTTGTTGCTGTGGGAGAAAACTCCCAGGAGACCGACGGCCCCGCCTGAGGAAGTAGCTTCAAAGTCTTAGTTAGCCCTATAGGTATGGATGGCAAAGGCGGCGAGATAACGGCCGGCTTGATGACGGTGACGGTAACTGTGATGATAAGGATGAATGAGTGCATCATGTTTAGAACCACTCGTTTCTGAAACATTGGGCGCATTCAACTCAGAGGAATAAGAGCGCTAGTTTGTGTACCCAACGGGGAAATTGTCTTTCCATTCACCACAATCCAAAACTCATCCACGTCTCATGTCTGTCTCCCTTTGATATCTCTGTATCCCCGCATCCAAAATCTGACCGAGCAGCAGCAGCGGCAGCAACGGCAGGCGTCGTCGTCTCACAAAACCTCCACCTTGACATGACACTGTTGCGGGCTGCGCAGCACCTTTTGCTGACCTTCCATCCCACTCAAGGATTCTGGCAACGGCAGAAACCTGAAGCTGAGCGTAAGAAGCACGATCATCATTCTTAGTTCCTGCATCGCAAGTCGACGGCCTGTGAGTGTGGTAGGAAGTGGAGGTTTCCTTCCGTTAGCAAGTGTCCCCTGTCTGGATGGAGATAGATCGCGCGCGAGTGGGAGAAAAATCTAAAGTGATGACTCCATGGGACGGGCCCATGAAACACCACAAGAAGGCGAGAAGGTAACAAAAATGGCAAAGGAGAATACAGAGGGATTTTGGAGGAAAAAAAAAAGAAAGAAAGAAAGAAAGAAAGAAAGAAAGAAACCCGGGGTAGGTACTCACCAAAACACCCTCTTGGTCCCGCCGAGAAAGCCAAAACTGGCAGTGAACCTGGATCAAACACTTCTTCTCCTCCTATCTCCTCATTCACCTCCCCTTCCCTAAATGTATCTACTATCTCCCCATTTCTCACTTTGCTCCTCTTCACCAGCCAACGCTCCGGCTCAAAACTGTCCAAGTCCCGCCGCATCTGATATGCTCCACCACCAAGTCCCTCTTTCAAACGCTTCTCCATCGCCACCCTCGAACTCTCCGACCTTCGACTCTCCAGCAGATCAGCTCCATCCCCGTCCACGACCGAGTCATCCATGTCATCATACGGCTCCGTAACCCTCGAATTACACATCACATGCGTCCCCTTGGGTACCGCGAACCCCAATATGTGCGTGTCGACGGTGGTCACGCGGACGATCAGCGGAACCGTGGCGGCGAGCCGGTTGGTTTCGGCTATGGTGGCGTCTAGGTAGGGGATGCAAGTGGTAGACGAAAGAATCTCGGCGGCGGAGGGAGGGCTGGAAGCGTTGGATGACGGGAAGGCGGCTCGAAGGTGTTGGCGCAGACGGTCTTGCGAGGAAGGGTGGTGGGCCATGAACTTGACGAACCAGGAGAGGGTGTTTGCTGTTGTTTCGTGGCCCTGTTTCACGGTGGTCCAGTCAGTTTCGGTTGGGGGGAAGCCAAGGAGGTAAGAAGAGGGTTTGTTATTTGGGAGGTTTTCCGGGGAGAGGTAGGTAGGTACCTAGGGGACGAGAAGGGATGTGAGGGGGATGGAATCAGAGATAAGGTAACGTACAGCAACTAAAAGCATAAGAAGCTCATCCTGCATCTCGAGGTTCTCCTCGGGTGGTGGGAGAATAGTACCCCGTCTCTCTGAAGAGATCATCTCGCGGCGAAGGATGAGGTCCATGGCACACGTGTCATGCTGATGCTGCTCATTCGCCTCCTCCTGAGAGTGCGAGTCGAGATTTGACGACAGCTCAAGAGCCTTGAATCTTGCGTATGCGCTCTTCAAGATACGCCGTATCTCTTTGTTCTTGATCGCTTCGTACCTGCGGTACGTAGGCGTCTGACGAATCAGCCAGTGGTGCAACACCGGCATTGGGCTGGCCATGATACGCTCGACACTCTTGTTGAGGTATTGTATGGCTTCGTATAAGTCCGATCGCTCAGCCACTGGCATATGTGCCGGCTTGCCCTGGTCGTCATATTCTTGTTGTGTTTGGAGGATCTGCTGCTACTGGTTTTGATGGCGGTCTTCTTTTGAGGTTGTGACCGCCTCAATCTCCGACCGGATGCCACCCAATTCGGAGCCGAGTACAGCAACCCAAATAGCATCAAAAGCAGCCGTCTCCAGATCGTGATGTGCTTCAAACGGGCGGCCGCCACCTCCCACGCGGCTCTTGAGCCTCCACAGCTCGACCAGCTCCAGCGTGGACCGGTAAATATTGGGCGCCACCACACTCCGCAAAAAAGCCGGACTCATGACGTCCACCCACAGTCGGCGCTGAGCTTTGAACTCGTGGTCTGTCGGCTTGACGATGCTGGCCCGCGGCAGCACGGTCCGGAAGAAGGCGGCGGTGCTAGGGGCCCGGTCGAACTCGCGCGTGCGGCGCAGCAGCATGTCCTCGGTCTCGCGCGCGTCGTCGACGAAGACGAAGGGCTTGCTGAAGGGCCGGAGAAATAGCTGGATTACCGGTGACTTGAGACGGCGGCATTGGGAAAAACACCATGATGAGGTCTCTTTGGTTCGCCGAACCGAGGTTACGAGGTCGGGGATGTCTCCGAGGATACGGTGGGAAGCGGTTTGGTTGTAGGGGATGCCGGGGAGCGGTTGGGGATATACTATCCGGTGGGCTAGAAGGTAGTAGCAGATTGGGAGTATGAGAGCCAAGGAGATTAGAATGGAATCAAAAAGATTGAACGTCATGGTGGTGGTAGGTACAGTAGTCGAATCCTTTTCGAGTTGAAGATGTGTGACCGTTCATTATTCCCCGGAGCCAAAGGCAAGTGCGACCATTGTTCTATATGGTCCGATGTCAGTGTGGGATGGTTAGTTTAATCTCCCAAACAACTAAATGGTGTTGTGACTAGCTCGTACCTCAGAAGTCAATACTGAAGCTGAGGCCCCGGCATCCGATGTCAGAAAGAGAGACGGAGCTACCTAGGTACTCTGTGTCAAGGGGGGGTATAAATTTTGTGGGCTGCTAAGGATGCAACCAACCACATCCGACTCGATAATCCTGGAACTTGTAAGCGGTAGTTACCTACCGTGCATGAGATGTCAGTATATGGGAAGAAACCCTCAAGACTTCTGTTACAGGCTTGGTCATCCGAAAAACTTCGAGTGACTATGAGAACCGGATGCAACATGGATCGCTGCGGAAGTTGAGTCCCACCATTCATGATAAGAATAAAGATGCAGCATTGGCTCTCTTTCCTACATAGGCATGCTGGTTGTTGCATTGTTCAACAAGTTAATACGGGCCGCTGGTCTAGTGGTATGATTCTCGCTTAGGGTTCAATCCTGAGCATTCTTGCGAGAGGTCCCGGGTTCAATCCCCGGGTGGCCCCATTCTTTTTGCTTTTTTTCGCTTTTTGCATTGCGTTCCGTTCCTTTTCCTCCTTCTTTTTTTCCTTCTTCTTTTTTTCTTTTCTTTTGCCCATGTTCTTTTTTTGTCACCTTTTTCTTGCGATGAATCAATACGGTAGGTAGGTGATGTCGAAGTGCAGAACTTGCGACAACTGATATTCCCACAACATTCATTCCGTCTTAGTTGAAATGCGCGGACCGTCCCGTCCCGTCCGTTCCGTTGTTTGACGGGCAACAAGTCTACAACAAAACCGGGTGACGGAATCTCCAGCATGAGCACATTCCACCCATGAGGACATCAAACTCGGACTCTGCATTGATTGAATGTCGGTATTCTCATTGCCTATCTATGCTAGTGATCTCACTATAACTAGTCTGTTGTCCTATCCAGCCACTTTCAAGCAGCTCTCTTTGCTATGAAGGAATCTTCCAGTCTCACCACTGAATTATTCGATGTCCGTAAATGTCCACCGCTGATATCCTCCCTAGCCTGCCTGAGTGAGTATATGCTGCACTTCAAGTGCCTAAGTGGAAGTCGTCCTAGTACTGGTAGTAACAGGTCGGCTAGTGCTCGTGTGATGGGGGAAATGGACGAATGCTGGATACTGGGCGCCATGGGACGTAGAGCCTGTTGTATCTGTTGTATTCTAAGTAATGATGATGATAAGAAGGAGAAGAAGGTCTAGAAGCCAGGGCCCTGCCCAGCTTAAGTACTGGGCTGGCGACAAAGGTTCCAAGAACCTTTGTCTGGCAGTCACGAACCAGAACCTTCATGATTAAACTAGACTATTTTATAAGGTGCTAGAAACCCAAGGTTTCCTATATCATCGTGGTTACTCAACGAGTAGTTATACTGGGGCTTGTGATTGTCGTGGTTGAAGAAATAGTAATAGTAATAGTGCCCATTATTTTGACGGAGACAGTTGGAGTCGTGAAAAGGCTAGGGTCGCGCACGTATGCGTAGCCGATCGTGTTTCCATCCCCAAGAGTCAAAGATGGGAGCTGTTGTAGCTAGAGTTAGTTGTCTAAAGCTTCCATTTAGGCTTCATGAGCAGCAGCTACCACTTACAACAAATTCATGAGTGTATAGGTCGCACTGGATGCCCTCGAAGACGCCATTGTTACTAACTAAGTAAGAAATGACGAGGTTCTATGGGAAAAATCACATTGTCAGCCATGCCTTTCTGTTCTCGATCTAGACTCAAGACTTACGCAAGAAGTGTATGATCCATCAGCGGCAGGATGTGCCTTGTTATAGCCAGTGATAGTGTCGCAAGAGGTAGTGCACTGCTCCGGGTTAGCCGTGTGGTTGGCTGGCAGAAAGCGGCTGCCTGTCTGGGTGTAAGCGGACACTCTGCGATGTTTGCGGGGCCAATAACTCTACTCACCCAAAAAGGGATCCGAACCGTCTGGGTCCAGGGGAGCACGAAGTTCACGAATTCCAATCGCAAGGGGGCCCCGATAGCCGGTAACCGGAAAGGGAACTTGGTCTAGTGCCCGAAACTCGGAGCTCATCACAGGCCCAGGCATGAAGAGCCCCAAGGCCACGGCCAAACTGGCCGACAGTGGGCCTCTCATTTTGTCAATCTGTTTCTGCCCAAATGCCCCCGGTGAAGCTTACGAAGAGACTCGATGGTTTGGAAGAACTTGTGAGTGAATGAGATGGGTGAGAAACGGACCAGCAGAGAAGAGGGTAACGCGAGTTCCTTTATACCGTATAAACTCAGGCCGTTCGTTTTTAGGTTCCAAGGAAATCAGGCATAATCAAACATACATATGCCCGAATCTGTACATTTTATGCCCGCAAAAAATAATGGGGGAGACATGTTGCCACCCCGAAGCACTGTAAATTCGAATCTTCTGGTGCCCTGTCTTTTTCCCTTGTCTTTTCAAGGGCGCTGGAGGGTGGAGACATTCAAAATCACCGTCTTGCATACAATTTCGGACGGGCATGAATGTTGCAGTATGCTTACAGACTATGCCTGATTTCCTTGGAACCTAAAACCGAACGGCCCGAGTTTATACGGTATCCATCCCTCAACGTGTCAACACCTTGTGTGCCATGTTCAGCAAACGTCATCTGCAAGATTGATCGATGTCCAAGCTCGTGAGACGCTGTAAAGCTACGCCTCACGCATCCTTCTTGCTGCTTCTTGGAAGATGAAGTGTCCTGTTGCAGGAGAGTTGATGAAACTGTCATGTAGGTAACAAGCATCACAACCTGAAAGGAGCGCTGCCAAGTAAAGGACATGAGTCTGGGCAGTCGTGAGAGGCGATATTGTTGACGTGACGAGGCGTTCGCCGGTGTGGTGTGCAGTGTGCGTAGATATTGGTACGAGGGCCCTGTTTATCGGTGTTGGAGCCGCAGGTGAGAAGCAGGTAACTGTCCGTCTGCTGGCTGGTAGAGAGCCTCGGCCGTTATGTTGCCTCCTAAGCATAGTACCTAACGATAAGGTACCTGTAGGCAGAGTTTTTTTTGTTTTGTGCATAGATCAAGACTGGAGTGTGTGTACGCGCCACGCAGTTGGAGAGTGCATTCCAGGTTTCCGACGATAGACATTTGACACACCCAGACTGCAGTCGAAGTGACTTGATTAGCCCAGATTTATCGAAAGAGGAGGTCTGCAGTTCTACAGTCACTGGCAGGTGCTGCTACATTGTGCTCCTGCCTCGTTGTTGGTTTTGGCGTCTACTATGCAGCCTCAAAAAGGGGCAGCTGCGATGATCGTACACAGTAAATAAAAAGCGCACGGCCCAGGCGAGGGTCGAAATGGAAAAGACCATCGACAACAGTCTAAAATCGTAGAGGTAGAAGATAAGGAAGGGGCCCGGGATAAGGAGGGCGGGGCAGAAATGGTCCGGGCCTCCATACTCTACAAGGTACCTCTAGCACCCGTGCACAATACAGACCTCATGAGTAAATCTCATACCGGGCGTCCGCCACAGTGAGTGTTACAGTGTCTCGAAAGTGTGTCGTGCACCGGTTGCCTGCTGAAGGACTCTGGTTGCTAGCGGCATCCACACCCACGGCGGCGAAGTAGCCTCCGCCGGCAACCCCCACCTGCCCCGTCCCGCCCTTGGGTCAGTTCCCGGCTTCCCGCGACTCGACTCGCTTGCAACTGTGCTCTCTGGACGCTTCTCCCGTTCTTCTTTTCACGATTCCGTTAGTCATTGTTACTATTCCCAAGTTCCCAACCAGCATCCACGGTTTCACTTTCCGGACGCACCTCTTCCCCAGCAAGTGGAAACCCTCGATCCGGACTCATCCTGCCCTTCAGTGTCGTCTTCGAAGCAATCCCGGAAAGCGACACGGCTTCCAGCCAATTGCCCAAGATGATGTCCGCACAGCTTCAACAGCAGCAGCAAAAGCAACAACAAGATCAACAACAGCAGCAGCAGCAGAAACAACAGAATCAACAGCAACAACAACAGCTTCATCAGAGCCTACCGTCTCGGACCGGTAGTGGTCCCGTGTCTGCCAATGCTTCGACAGCACCGGGCGCAACACGGTCGCAAACTCCTGGGGCTCCTGCCACCTCCAACACACAGCAGCCGGCCTCTTTCGGACAGCTTCGGAACCGTGCCGCCGAGAGTCAAAGTCCCTATGTGCGCCTACATGCCAAAACACCTGTTGCGTGGCAGCTGCTCAATGCCGATACCCTGAAGCGCGCCCAGGCTGAAAACAAGCCCATCTTCATGCATATTGGCTTCTTGGCCGACCATCGTATGTTCTTGTCTCTTGTCCTGCTGGCCTTCTTGACTGCGGCTTTTTGCTCATCATATTATCTATCCAGACTGTCGCCTCACCACTCAAGATTCCTTCTCCAACAATGCCGTTGCCGCCTTCCTGAACTCGTCCTTCATCCCCGTCATTATCGACCGCGAAGAGCGTCCCGACCTCGACACCATCTACCAGAACTATAGCGAAGCTGTGAATGCTACCGGCGGTTGGCCTTTCAACCTTTTCCTCACCCCCGACCTCTACCCCATCTTTGGCGGTACCTACTGGCCCGGTCCCGGAACCGAGCACAGCCTTGCTGCTGCCCGTGGGGGTGCCGGCGGCGTTGGTGGCGGTGCAGCGACCCTCGAGGCTTCCAGCATCAATGGTGGTGGCGAAGAATCCTACAACGATTTCCTTGCCATAGCAAAGAAGATCCACAAGTTCTGGGTGGAGCAGGAGGAGCGATGCCGTCGCGAGGCGTTTGAGATGCTTCACAAGCTGCAGGACTTCGCGCAGGAGGGCACCTTTAGTGGCACGCCTGCCGAGCCAGTGCCCGTGGTAGCTCCCGTGGCCGCAGCCGACGTGGAGGCGGGCGCTGATCTGGACTTGGACCAGCTTGACGAAGCTTTGGACAGGATCTTCAACATGTTTGACCCGGTGGACTGCGGCTTCGGAACACCAAAGTTCCCCAACCCGGCCCGGCTTTCGTTCTTGCTGAGGCTGCCGCAGTTTCCCAGAGAGGTGAGAGACGTGGTCGGCGACAAGGAAGTCGAGAATGCCGCTTCCATGGCACGGAGCACCTTGCGTCGCATTCGCGATGGCGGATTGAGGGACCATGTCGGCGCGGGCTTCATGCGATTCAGCGTAACCAGCGACTGGAGCATGCCGCATTTTGAAAAGATGGTCGGAGAAAACGCACTTCTTCTGGGCGTATACCTCGACGCCTGGCTCGGTCGCGTTGAATCATCTGCCGCCGAGGCCCGGCTTTCTTTGGAGGACGAATTTGCCGACGTGGTTATCGATCTTGCCGATTACCTCACAAGCCCGCTGATTCAGTCCTCCGGGGGCGGCTTTGTTACAAGTGAGGCAGCAGACTCTTTCTATCGCAAGGGCGACCGGCACATGCGTGAAGGCGCTTATTATCTCTGGACGCGCCGGGAGTTTGACGACGTGGTCGGACCCGCTGGGTCTGCCGAAGTGGCTGCAGCGTACTGGAACGTCCTTGAGGATGGGAACATTCCCCGCGACCAGGACCCTCATGACGAATTCATCAATCAGAACGTACTGTGCTCCGTCTGGGGTAGAGATATCCAGGCGCTGTCCAAGCAGTTCGGCATCCCTGTGAATGATGTAAAGAAAATGATTGCAACGGCACGGGAACGGCTGAGGGCACGCAGAGAACAGGAGAGGCCCAGGCCTGCGAGAGATGAGAAGGTGGTGGTTGGTGTTAACGGAATGGTGATATCGGCGCTCGCGAGAACAGCTGCGGTGGTGAGTGGCCTAGATAAGACCAAGAGCCAGAGATATTTGGAGGCGGCGCGGCAGGCTGCAACCTTCATAAAGGAGAACTTGTGGGTCCAGGATGGTACACAGACCCGAAAAGTGCTGAAGAGGTTCTGGTTCAACCAGCCGAGCGACACAAGGGCGTTTGCGGATGATTATGCGTTCTTGGTTGAGGGCTTGCTTGACTTGTACGAGGCGACTCTGGAGGTCAAGTGGCTTGTTTGGGCGAAGGAGCTGCAAGGTACGCACCGAATATTCCTCAACCTCTTCATTTCCCAACGGTGAGATACTGACATCCCCCCAGACGTGCAAAGTGAACTCTTCTACGACACACCGGCCGTCGGCAGCACTCCCTCCCTCCGCCACTCATACACAGGCGGCTTTTACTCAACCGAGGAAGCGACTCTCAGTCACACCATCCTTCGCCTTAAGAGCGGCATGGATAAGTCCCAACCGTCAACCAACGCCGTCTCCGCCTCGAACCTCTTCCGTCTCGGCACCATTCTCGATGAGAAGCCCTTCATTCGTCAGGCTATTGAAACCATCAATGCCTTCGAGGCAGAGATTCTGCAGTATCCCTGGCTGTTTGTCAGTCTCTTGGCCGGCGTTGTGACTTTGAGGTTGGGCGTCAGGGAGACACGTGTCAAAGTCGAGCAGACGGCTTCTTTGAGGCAGTATTGGAAGGCGCCCAAGGCTGGGGCAAGCGCTCTGTTGCTTGGGGCGGATGCGTGAGTGAGCGTGTGAAATAGAGTGGCTACTGCCGAAGGAAGGAGGAGGATTCTTCTCACGGCCCTACGCCCTCAGATTTTTCGGAGTTTTGGAAGATTTATTGATCATTTGGAAATAGTTGCATAGTGAGCGGATTTCGCAATAGAGTTGATACCATTTATCCAACTGTCACGGTAATTGATGTTTATCTGTCGGTGATTTCGTCAAATCATATGGTGCGCCAGTCCTCAATCTAGGTGCTGTAACAGAGCCCCGACCAGTTTACCACTATTGATCGAGCAAGGGTTCAACACAGCGACCTACTATGATCTTGAGCTTGACTTCCTGTGCCACCCCTGTCGACATCGCGCACCCGCTTCTCCAAGTAATTTTTTTCTTTTTTCTTTTGGGTCACTGCACCATCTCTTCAAATTCTCAGACATCACTCTTCATAAAAGGCCTTGGAACGTCAAACTTCAGTATTTGTGTCTTTCCCCTCTGGTTCAACAGTGGCTTCGATTTTAAAGTCATCGTATACTGGGAACAGCTTCGAATTTGAGAGTGTCCGCTTACCTCGAATATTCACGGAAAGTACTTGCCTCAACACACTGGCAGTGAATGAGGTCAGCAGATATGTCGGCGAAATCCCTCTCTTTCGATCCATGATCAAGGGAATGTTGGCTTTATCTGAGACGCGAGTCCTCCATACATCCTATCTCGCCGGCCGAGACAGGATATGTATGGCATCGGGTGATCAGTGACCGACACTCAATGGCATCATCTACAGCACATCCGGATGCCAGTGTGGCGGTTCTTTCCCCGATATCGTCAAACCAAACTACAAACTAGAAAAGACCTCGCTCCTTACGACTGGAACGACACTGCCAGTTCCTTCATTGGTCATGGCTAGGTACCTATTTGGGAAGTCAAGCTCCTGCGGTCATGGTTCCCTAAAGTAGTCGTTCGTCCCTGCTGAGGTCCTCTGAAGGAAGGCGCCAGCTGGAGTAGATAAAAAGATGTCATGAACCGAGAAACTACATTTGTTTTCATGACCTTGGGTTCTGTCATGAATGTTCCCCATAACACCGAACTCGATCTTTTCGTCGTCAACATCAACATACTCATCGGTCATTTCATTCGACAGTCGTTCAATTGTCAATATACTCAACAGTCATCAGAGTCACCATTTACCAAGAATACATCCCAACAACCCTCAGTGGATCAACAAATCACAAGCATTGCCAACAACCGTCCGCTTTGCTCACCACCAAGATGTACGGGATCCTTAAAAATATCAGTCGAAAGCTCGAAATGCTCAGTGTGAAGCTCCCCGTCCTGTTCAGGGACGAGTTCATGTTTCTTTCGACATTCGTTCCTGAGTATATACCCGATTTGAACTTGGACTGGGTCATGGCTCCATTCCGACGCTTTGAATCCTTCGAGCACAGATTTCGCGTTGCTCGCAAGAATTTTGGCAAGATTAATCGATGGGACAAAGAGCTGGCTAAGTTGGAGTTGTTGCTGGCGGAGGTGGAGTTGACAGTTCAAAAAATTATGGACATGCACTACAAAATTTCCCAGGTGAGTGATCTCAGTCCCCCTATTACCCCTACCTACCGACCTAAACAGCAAGAAAGAAAGATCCCCTCTAACTTAGACACGGTCGTTCCGTTTGGCTCGGAAATAACAGGGCGAAGATTTTGCCGATAGAGATGGAACCGCTCAAACCATCGTCGAGGTAACCTTTACACACCTCATCAATCGCATGGACATGTGCCATGCTCTGGAGCTTCCCTGGGGCGATTCCACACCCAAGCAGACCGACACGCCCAAGCAGAGCTACAGTATGGTTCTCAAATTGCCCCCCAACCACGAGAAGCCCGCCTCCGCGGAGTATATACGCCGACTCCAAATGAAATCGTATCATTGAACAGCTGTTGGAAACAAAGTGTCCGAGATGGGCAGGATGGGAATAGCGGTATTTTGGAATTTGGGATACATCATGATCCATAGGAAAGCGGAAGAGCGTTGTTACGGGATATTGGTTGGGTAAAGAGAGACTACCTGTATGGTCCAGAAGCGTGTACGGTGATGTATCCGGGGAGAGGAAAGGTCAGGAATATTGTCGGAGCAAGAGCCAAAGCTACCTAGTTACCTAGCCGAGCGTCAGAGGGGCAATGGCCCAGGTTGGCCGAGAGGATGTTTCGAGGCAGTGTTATTTGATGTCTGGGCTAGGCAAACGGCTTTTTCAATCGTTCGGGGCGGATGCGAAGGGATAGGCGTACATGAGGGATTGGGAGTCCATGGGCAGAGGGTAGTTCACTTGATGGTACCAGGTAGTTACGTGGTCAGCGGAACAAGAATGGTTTCGGTACGGCGTCTTCACCCCTGCGATGCTGGCTTGTAGCAAAACGCCTGCGAGTTGAAGTGCACCGTCGCGTAGCCCTTAACGTTGCACACACCCTTCCCCCTTGGAGACACTTGACAATAACTTACTAACAAAGCTAGTTGCATTATTGAAAGCTACTAGGGTATAATATCAGCCTTCGGAATTTATCGTAAGCTTTTTTTCTTTAACCAAGAGGCTTTTCGAAGGTACTTTTTGATCGACTATTTTCATTCACAGCGCCCGATTTCTGCGACGTACTCTGCATAGCGTATGGACAACAGTTAATCTAGAATTGCCAAAAGTTAAGGCGTAGAATTGCCTATGCGTGGAGTGATCAATGATCATGGTAGGTTGCTAGGCGAGAGGGTGCATGTAGATTTGAGGCGGGTGCGGGTAGTTTTTCCCATCAAACCCAGTCACATTGAGACAGGAAGGCCTTCACTTCTTACTTCTGGAACGACAGAGCCAAATCCTTCATAATTCATGTTTGGGAAGTTATTTACCTGCAGTCGTGGTTCCCTAAATCAGTAGTTCGTCCCTGCTGAGCTCCTCGGAAGGAAGGCGCCAGCTGTGAAGTAGACAGATAGCTGTCATAAACAGAGAAACCACATTTCACCGATGTTGAGTATCATGATAAATGCTCCCGTCACCCTGGGTTTCGTCTTCTCGCCATCAACATCGACATATTCAACAGTTAGTGAACGCCCCGGTTACTGTAAATCAACAGTTCTTTTGTTCGAACAGTCATTATCAACAGTCATCACATTCAACACACCCATCATCACGACACACCATTTACCAAGACCACCTCCCAACCAATTCCTCAGCGGGTTAACAGATCAAACATCCCGTCCTCAGCACCCACCATCGCCTGCTCTAAAATCATCACGCACCAACCAAGATGAGCGCAACCATTGACAGGTACCTCCAAAAGCTTACCCTGTTGGGAGACAAGGTCGACCTCCTATCCAAGGATTACGTTCTTGCGGCATTGCTCCCCCACCCCACAATGGTGAAAATAGACAACATCAGGGCTCAATTCCTAAACTTTCAGACCACCTTGCCAGACACACTCAGCTTAGCTCGCAAGGAATATTTCGACCAAGGGGCTATGAAGTACAGCACTAATGAGTGGTTGAAGGTTGGGCTATTGCTGGATGAGATTGAGATGACTCGTAAGTACCTCTACCTACCTCTAGGCACCACCTACCTTCCCTACACTAGATGTACTTTTCATACACATCCTCTTGGGGGAGCCTACATAACTGCTGGGACTACCTACAGGTAGGCTTACTAACTATAAATGATACCTAACTCTTTCTTCCATTATCAATAGTCAACAACCTTATTGGAGTCGGCAACAAAATTTTACAAGTGAGTGATCTGATCCCCTCCATCTCACATTCCCCTATCATCCGTTCAGGTTGACTTGCACTGTGCTCCCCCTACCTACCTTACCTTACTCACATAAACAGACAAAAGACCTCTCTCTAACTCAAGCTGTTCGGCTCGCTAAATCGAGATAATAGGGCCAAGAGGTGATGGAGAGCCCCCAAGGAATCGAGGCGAACTTTATACAGGTCATGAATTGCATGGACATGATGTATGGTCTGGAACTTCCCTAGTCTAGGGCTCAATTAACCAGCGATGAAATGTGAATTTTTTGGGCACAGTTGGAAAGGAAAGAATGGAAGCACGAGACAGGTACCTAGGTACATATGGGATAGGAATAGCGGTGGTGTTTTGGAATCTGGGATACATCATGATGCAAGGTGGAAGGGTGGAAAAGTGAGCGTTGTTACAGGAATACAGGATACTTGGTACTTGTTGCAAAGGGTTAGTTGAGTCAGATCAGGCAGAATCGGTACCACGGCAATGGATACAAGGAGGATCAGAATCAGGAAGAAACATCGATCCGGCGCAGCAAGGAAAGCCAGCCAGCCAACCAACATGTATCATCAGTTCATCAAGCGTTATTGATCATACCATAGTGCGGTATATGTACCTGAAGAAGATTTTCTATTGAGTTGGGTTTGGACCATCTGGTACTGCGAGGTGCGAGGAGCAACGCTGGAGGCGAGGATGGAAGGCATTCGCTGTGTTGGCTGAGGACTTGTGTGGACTATGTTGGATCTCTCTGTGACCTTTGCCTCCTCACCTTTATGATCCCCCTTGTATCAGGAGCTGTTGGGTGTTGGTTGTGGATGTGGATGTGATGTAAAGACGCCAACTGACTCTGTAGTTCAAAGATCCGTAACCGCCATTTATTTCGGGTTTTTTTTCTACAAACATCGATGCGTTTAACTTGCAGGGTAAATCGTGATTGTGGAATCTGTTTTCTTTTGTGATGGAAGCGCGGCAGTGTCCTGTTGGCACTGTGAGCTCTGGAGAGCTGGTGTTGGTGATGGCCCGTTGGGCCGTTGGTGTTAAAGGAATGTCGTTTCTTTGATCATCGGCGGAGCAAGTCGCTTTCACCGATGATAATTGAAGGCAATGGAAGGATTTTGACCAACGAAACACATCATGTAGAAGAAGGAGGTGAAAGTGCGGCTTGTTGGCTCTTTCGACACTCAGCATAATCTCCCTGGAAGGTGCCATAGCCAAAAAGATTTTGAAGGAAACCGAGTATAAAGACCAAAGCGCATGACTACCTAGAGCAAGCTGAGTGTCTGTTTCTTCCCATCATCGCATTCAACGAGCTCAGAACACTCTTGCTCTATATCACTCGATCAACACTTCTCAACTTCACAGTTCTCGAAGCAACATCTACCGCCGTCACTCAAGCTCACCAGCAATATGTCGAGCCCCGCTACCCAAGAAGCTACCCAAGCAGATGTCGATAGGTTATCGTCTTCAATCACTCTTACCATAGGCGCTCTCAAGCCAGAAATCAAAGAGTTCAAAATAAAAGCCAGTCCGGAAATCTATTCGAGAACCGATCCGGAAAAGAGTCCGGAAAAGAGTCCGGAATACCAGCAACTGAGGATTGTGCTTAAGAAACTTCGGACTACAACGTTGTCTCCGGGGCACTTTGAATTGCTGAACAAGATCTTGAACGCACTTGAGGGGAATGACGAAAGCGGCGTAAGTATCTCTCCTTGGCCAGAGAAGACCAAGCAGCTCATGAGCGAGATATGGCAGGGTGTCTTTACTTACCATCCGCCAATATAGTGGCCTAAGTTCACGCCAGAGCGCCTGAAGGAGATTTCGGAAAACCTCACGACGCAGAAGGAGGATGACAAAAACGTCCAGAAGTTGATGGATAAGTTGTAGGAGAAGGCCAACCAACCCGACGTGGTGTTCTGGTCAAGGACGCTGAGGGTTCTTGAGGGAAGTGGATGAATGCTGTCGTCGAGTTTTCGTCGAGTTTTCTCCAGAGGATAACTTGCCTTGAGGTGATCCACCGCCTTCGGTTCAACTATTGGATACACAAATGATGGCTTAGGGAGAGGGTTTGTTTGGATTGTTAAGACGCTGGTCGTCGACGTGGACGTAGTAGTTGCTGATCAACACGGAATATCGGTTTCTTTACAACCTTGACCGTTCTGACTTCCTGCTTTTTGCGATGTGTATGACATTCTACCGGACCAAAGTACTGTGTCTGCCATCGTCGTCACGAACTGTAACGTACAAGCGATAGGACTCTGTCTATTTCATAAGCTTTTTGTCTTTTCTGTGTGATTGTGTGTATCTTATCGTACATTTTAGGGGAGTGTCGTGGGTCGGTCGGCCACTATCCCCATCACGGCATAAAACAACAACACACCAAAAAAAGAGGAAAAAAAAGGTAAAGGAAAGCATGCCGGGAGGGCCACTAACCTCGAAGTGTTTCTACTACATCTACCATGCCTCTAAACTTCACTCACAACGTAATTCATAAACGTCGAGTCTTTGTCTTTGATCCTACTTGGTTGGATCACGGCAGTGGCGTATTGGCACTGTGCGGTCTGGAAAGTGTTGGTGTTGGTGTTGGTGATGGGCCGTTGGCATCCACGGAATGCCGTTTCTTTGACTGTGGCGGGACGAGTGACTTGAGTTCTACTGACAGCAAGGCAACGAAATGGCATTGAATAGCACGACGGTAGTATACGGTGGTAGATTGTCACCATGAAGGATATCTCACACGGGTGGTTAGTTCATTTGCTTGCCGTGCTGGTTAGAGGTAGACTCCATTTTTGCTGGATGTTTGGCAACGGAGACAATGAAGTGAGCAAGGAAAAGAAGAACACCAACCTGCCGTTAGACAACTTGTATGGCTCTGATATTATCGCGAGCGGGGAGTTCGACAGTTGGTTCATGCCCCCTCTACCGCTACTATGATCGAGTGCACCTTCATGGAGCGTGTCTACATGTAGTTTTGCAACCAACTTGCCGTTGAACTTCATCTATGGTTCTGATATTATCGCGAACGGGAAGTTGGCAGTTGGTTTAAGCGCTCTAATACCGTCACTAGAGGTAATATCGAGTGCATCCTCATAGAGCGTCTTGAGATGACTTCGCGGGCTGTTGGCTTCTTCAAGACAGACACTCGCCTCCATGGGAGATGTTATGAATAGAGAGATTTTGAAGAAAACCGAGTATAAAGATCAGAGTGCATGGCTTCTCATAACAAGCTCGTTCTTCTGTTTTCTCCCATCATCACATTCACCAAACCCACTAGACCAGCCAGTTCTCTGCCCTTTGATAATCATATAGCCATCACCAAAGCAGTCATCTGAACTCTCTCGGAAATCATCATCAACATGTCAGCCTCTATCGCCAGCACGTCGGCCTCCAGTGACTCCACGCCCGGCTCCAAAACGTCTTTTAAAGACCTCGTAGAGTCGCTTGACTCTCTCAGAGACAGAATCGAGAAAAATAAAATCAGCAAACCTTGGAGCAACAGGATGCCCCAATTCGAAGTTCTCAAGGAACAACTGAAGAGACTGCAGGACAAGAACCTAGAAGAGGGCATATCCACCGGTAATATGGCACAGACACAATTGCCAGGAATCTGGAGGTGGTTGGGGAAAGATGTTGAGAAGCCTGGTTGTCCTGGTGTGGTAAGTACTACTTCGTTCAATGAGAGTGACACAGTCAGAGAAATGCGTGCTAACAAAAAGTCAAATAAAACATAGTTTATAGCGTATAGCGGCGAGCGTGAGAGAACCATCTTCGATGCGTCAACGGAGCATGACGATGGGAAGAGCCAGCTTGAGAAGATGGTTGATGGGTTAGTGGAGCAGATGAACTCATTCTTATTCCATCCACAAACCCAAACTTGGAAGCCCATGACACCCGCTGACTACGTTGCTGGAATCTCAAGGGCACTCTCAAGTATCCTGAAGTTTGATGCCGACTGTCTTTGGGCAAGAGACAAGGAGGAGGTTTTGAAATCTTTAAAAGAACGGATCGAGAAACTCGAGATCGAGAACATCTCTCACCACGGCAATGAAGCTGGTATGCTCAAGGAGTTCTACCAGATTCTAAGGGGAACTGGCAATCATGTAAGTGGCTCCTCTTGAACTCCTATTAATGAGCGGATGGGGGGCAGATCAATCCAACCGTGGTCCTGACAAAAATGTTTCACCATGTTTAGGAGTTCTTGGAAGTGCATAATCCCTCAGAAAGAAAAAAGGAGATAGTCAAACCCAACTTCGACAAACTGATGAAGTTGATTGTGGATCTCGAACGGGCAATTCAGGGTCATCCTTGAGCAGCATCTGCCAGTGGGAAGAAACCGACGAAGGGGATTTCAGGTTTTTTTCGGGAACCCGTTCTGGTTTTTCCCACCTTGCACTAGGGTACTGTATCTCTGGTGATGAGAGTTCAGGCTGATACAACCTTTCTCTGTGGTATTGGATTTGGATACATGATGGGATAGGGAATGTTAGGACGCTGGTCGCCGGGATAGTTGGTTGATTTGGTTGGAATCTTAGGTCTCTCTGTTGGAACTTTTTTCGTCACATCGTCTTCACATTCCAAATCTTGATCGGAGCTTCGAGATTTGAATATGAATGATGGATTTTGGATTGGGAAGGTCATGAAGTGTTAGGTAGGATGCTGGTCGTCGAGGTAGTAGTTGCTCATTAACATGGAATGTCGGTTTCTTTATAACTCAACCGTTCCTTCCGATTGACTTCCTGACTCTTTGTGGTGTATTTGACTTGTCACTAGCCAAACCACCTTGTCCATGATCATCATCATCACTGACTGCAGTGTGGCTTCGTGGATCAGTCAGCAAAGCTCCAGCCTTCAGGTTTGTATGCGATAGCTACCATAGTGGGAAAGTGCGTACGGCATTTGACCCAGAAAGGGTCCCGTCGTCTTGCCCAGATGCGTTGAGATGAGGTGTCTGGTCTTGCTGTTCAAGACTATCGATTATCTGGGACCCTTTGCCCAAGGTCGGTTCCTTCCCAAGTCCTCCGGCCGAACTGTCTTAACTGAAGTGACGATGGTTTCTTCCCAGAACGCAAGACCTTCCTATGAAAGAGGAATGAGCGGACCATTCTAGAAAGGAGCCACTGGCTCAGTGGATTTTGTTCTTGCTCTTTTTCTTGTGATTGCAAGTTTGACCTCCCTATGCGGTAGTTTTTTCCGTCGCGCGCAAAGTTCGGGATAGCTTCAAACTTCGAACTCGAAGTCTTGCACCACCTACCCGGCCGCCCGCCTCCAACCTCCCAATCTTCAACCTCCCACATTAACTGCCATACATCAGCATTTGTTCGCCGTCCTGAAGCAAAATATGTGTAAAAACAACGAAGAGTGTTGGTGTTGGCGCCGGATACCAGATCCCGTCTTCCCCCTTTGATCACCGACGGGACGTCCCGGCTACGCTCAACTTTTCCCAACATCACAGCAAAACAAAGCAAAAGGAGAGCGCATGCTGAGGTCCAACACAAAACGAAGCGCCCAACGACAACATTCCAATCGCCAGTATGGTTGGAAATAGCAGCAGCAGCCTTTGCCCACTTGAAGACAGGAATGCGCAAGTCAGATCCTTGCTCGAGATAATAACATGACCTTGTGAGTTCAAACCACCAAGCGTCAACAGTTTTTATACCAGTCCTGGCGCGGTTAGAATTATTTTTACCCGGACAGGATCAAAACAGCAGTTACCTGATGGCCTTGGAGGGCGGTTTGTTGGTCGTAGATATACTCGAAGTGTATTTACACAAACCGCTATGCTTGAAATAAGTGAGAATCGATGGGCACTGTTCGAGTATAAAGATCTCAGAATCGCTCAGGACTGATCGATTCAGCGTCAACACATCCCGGCAGTCTCCTAGAGTAAACGGATCAGCCTTCATCTTCTCAGCAACAGCAGGAAACCACCAACCTCGCCGTCAACATGTCAACCACTGCAAACTCCGCAACTCCCAATCGGCCTAAATCCCTTGACGAAATCTTGAGCCACCTCAAGACGTTTGTAGACCGGTTGAGAGACAAGGGCAAAACCCAGGAACACGAGCAATTCAACCCGATCTACCAAAGCCTCTACACGTGGAACAAAAGCAACCCCGAGCGAATTTACGACGCCTACGAGACGACGAAGCTGAATGGCTTGTGGACCGAATATTTCCAGCCCAAGAAGGGAGCTCGGGGAGAGTACGACCCCTTTGGAAATGGAACTGTAAGCCGTCTCCTCTACCTAATGAGCAACCATGAAAGAACCCAGACAGAGAGGCTAACTGGAAGTATCTTGCACAATTCACATACAGGGGGGGCAAAAATACAAGACGAGACTTTTAGGCAAGGGCACTGAGATCGGAGAGGAAGTGACCGCTATCATCACTGGCGGTACTAGGCAACAACCACAACGACAAACAAACACGAACACGCACACGCACACGACGGTGTATGACGGGGGCGTCTGCCAGACATGTGATGAGAATGGAGGCGGTTCCTATGGCGAGAACGTACCGGCCGAGGAACGACATAATTAGGCCTTTTCCAAGGACGGACAAGCCAAACCCCCCAACGGAGAACAAGCAAGCAACAACTCGAGGAGGACCAGGAGGAGTTGAGTTATGGATTCGGCGGGGCCGAGTCAAGATGGTCGAGTTAGAGGATGATAATTCAAGGATACTGGCTGCGGCGTTTTCAGTTAGGCAGTTTCATCATCGGCAAAAGGAACCGAGATCGTGGATAGCTTGAACTGAAGGCTCAGAGCGAGGGTTTGGGTAGGGTTTCTGGGCGTTGGGACACTCGGACGCTGGTCGTCGAATAGTTAGCTGATTAACTCGAAATTTTGAATCCATTGTTTTTTTACCCATCATGTTCGCCACTGGGGATGTTGTGTCTGACTTACTCACTGCCAACAGCCACCATAGCTGCGGTTTCATCACCAGCTCACCAGACACGAGTGCTGACCATGTGCTTTTGCCATTTTCCGTACGCTGATGGGTATCTAACAGTACATTTGGGAGGAGTGCCTACATCATAGCGGTCTCTAGGCTGGGATACCGTCAGTGACAAAAACTTGAGATAATTTACAATATGATGGGTTCGGCTTGTGTGAAAAGCCAACAACCATCAAGCAACAGTATACTTTGCTCAGCAGACCAAATCCCCCCAGCCAGTCGGCATCATACGGGTTGGGAAGTTTTTTTTGCACATAATGGGGTAGAGTAATCATAGGACACGAGGCACAAGGTAGACCAGGCAACAGGAAGACGGCGGCAGCGGATGGGTATTACTAGTGATAATATGATATTCGGAGCTTATGATTGCCGGCTCCTGTTCATAAGGCCAGTGAAGAATGCTTGCAGGTTCTCGGTGTCCATCTGGGGAGTCTCCTCCACAGTCTCGCCCTCGGGGCTAAGGGGTTCGGGCGAAGTACCGAATGCTTGGCGTTCCTACAAGTTGGGTATGATGTTAGCATATAGACTTCCAAGACGAGGTAAATCAGGATTCCCCGTATATCACCAATAAGTGGTAAACTTACCTTGAGTCGCTGGAGCATGTCGTCGGCATCCACCTGAATGCCTCCCATATTGAACTGCACCGGGCCAATATGCTCCAAGACCTTGGCCTCGGCTTGCTGTTTGAGTTGGTCGTCCTCCGCCGTCAACGAGTCCGACGTTGTTTTCCTTACGCTCTTTATCCTAGCCAGATGGCCGGTTGGCTCCTCGTTCTTTTGCTTGTATACATCTAGCAACTTCAGCTGCTTTTCCAGGAACTGTTGTGTCTCTGTTGTCTGCACCTCCAACTTCGTCGAGTGACTGCTTGAACCGGCAATATGGAGCGCGTCCATGGTCGGGTCTTGTACAGAAGCCTCGTACAATGCGACTGAGGATCCATCGGGCTCTGTTGGCTCTTCGTACTCATCCTCGTCGGGTTCTTGCTCTTCGTCACCAGTCTCGTTATCGTTTGCCTCGCCTTGTTGTTGATCGTCACCATTGGCGACGCGTTGAGGTTGCCGTGGCCACGGTATACTTAGATCCGCTGTCCACCCGGAGCTAACTGCCTCGACATCAAATCCTTCCCTGAGCACACGGATTTTACCCCAAGAGTCCCAGTTCGGGGGCACGAGAATCTTATCTCTGTCGATAACGTTGTGTTTAAGTGGTTGCTTCTTGAGGAGAGAGTGAATACCCAGGCTGGAGTGGACCAAGGTGGGTAGTTGCGAGGGCAACGAAGGAGTGGTGTAAATCAGCGATGCGCCGTCTGCGAGGCAGTGTCTGTCAGTTTCCTGTCATTGAGTAAAGAGGTACCGGATGGAGATGACTTACGCCTTAAGAGGATCGTTCGGAGGAACTGTAGTACCACGTCAAACTCCTCTTCTTTCCAGCCTTGAGTCTTTTCCAAGTGCTCCATCTTCTCGGCCTGGATCAACACATTAGCTTCCCATTCGTGGTGTTCACACAGCTCCAGTTGAGCAACCCACATTTTGGCACACTACGCAAAGTGGCATGCCCAAGGCGTCCTCCCACTCTCCAGGACCAACCGGAAGAGAGACATCAGCATCCGTAGACGTAGTCGGAACAGCACTGGTACCATCCAGGTTGAGCCCGCCACCTCGACCCCGTTCCCTCCAAACGGTCATGACCTCTTCCATAGTTGCCGAGCATTCGCGGTTGAGCTTTTGAAAGACCGTTCGCAAAAGCAAAATCCACTCTCTCAGTTGGCGCATCCATTTCCAGGGCTGTGACCAGTCCAATAGGATAACTATCAGCGTGTTCGGTATCGACTGTGGCGTGATAAGAGGCTGTATAAGGGAGGCAAAGGCGGGCGAGGGGTCGGTAAGGGTGTAAAGAGAGATGCGCGCTAGGGTGTCTTCCTGGTCGGCATCTAGGACGTCATAGTAGGTGTATCCGAGGGCGAAGCTGTTCGCGATGGGTGGTTTGCGTGAGCCCTGGCGGTCGGTGTTGCGCCGGAGCTCGTTTTTAGAGAGTGATTCGAAAAACTCGCGCTGGGAGTCAACACTGCCACCTAGGAGCAAGATGTTCTTTTCGGGGAGACGTTTGGCGCTGGCAACGGTGTCCAGCATGGAGCTCCAGAGCTCCTTCTTCTCCTTTTCGCCATTTCTGGAGTCGGAACCCGTCGACGCGGTCGTATAGGTCGAGTATCTGTTTGTGTTGGTCGCCATGTTTACGGGTCGGTCTCTGCCGTCCTATATGAACCGAGGAGTGCTCCCAATTCCTGTTTGTCTCCACCAAGCTTTACGCAATTCGACGGCACGGGGTGTTGATGTTGGTGTTGGGAGCTGCGCTGGGACTATCGCATCTGTACCCAAGGGGTAGGGTCGGGAAGGATGTAGCAGTGACGGGCTCAAAGTTCGTGTCGTGAGAGGTCTGGCCTTGTCATGGCGCGCTGAACCTGCTATCGTGGGGTGGCGAGAGGGTCTTTGTCGTGAAAGGCAAACAGTAGGAAGAAAGCCGTCGTAGAGGTCGATAAGAGTCCCGTCGGGATCGCCCTGGTGAGCTGGACCTTCCCAAGTGTTTCCCTACAGTACTGGCGGGCCGTCAATTGCCCGAAACGCGAGTTGCTTCCAGGTGCTCCAGCGCTCAGTTCGCGTGCTGAAGTGCAACCCAACAAACGACACAAGGCTCGTTGTTGCGCCGGTGGACCATTGAGCTGGGGAACGGAAGCCACGCAGGCGCGCAGGGAGGACCGTTGCCAGTCCCTTCCTATTTGGTGGAGTCCCTTTGGCATGTGTCGATCAGGGCGGGGCTTTGTGACTGGTGGTTTCAGTTGTCTCCCCTCCAACCCTAACCCTTATTCCGCCCACTTACGACCAGGCTGGCTCGGCTGGGCTCGTGTGGTCAGCAGGGCCAACAAAAGCGCAACCCTTTCAAGGTAGGCGCTGACGAAGTTTCGATAAAATGGTGGAAGGTTCGGGATAGTGACCCGGACATAACAGATTCACACCAAGTTTCTGTGCATTTCGGTTAGTGATCTATCGAATTGTGACTCGCTGCGCCACTCTGGGCAACCCGTCATGGTCCAGGCAGGCGGCAAGGTCAAGTCCATTCATCCCCGCCCCGGGGTCCTAAAATCCATTACATATCCACCTTGAAGTCCACTGCTGCTGCACTACAACACCGTCATCAGCGGATCAATCACATCTCTCCGGCGCCTCTTATAAACTCTCAGCCGTCCACTTACATCACCTAGAATCGTCCTTTTTCATCCGTCCATCTGCTTTCCGTCCAGTGACATCTCTTCGTTCGCCTCAACCTCTTGATTCAACATCGTGACAACGACAACCCAAGAGAGTATCATCATCAAAGAAACAATGTCGGGAACCAAGTACACACCTGCTCCGCAGGAGGACCCCGATGTCCACCTCGACTACGCGCAGCCTCCTCCGTCGTACCAAGCAACAGCCGAGAGCAGCACCGCCAACGCCGTCCTCGGTGATCAGGCTCGCCTTTTCTCTGGTGCTCCACGCAGCAGCCAGGACAATGATCATGATATTCCCGATGATTTCAAGGTAAGGGAAACCGTTCTACAATACACTATCGAAAAAGGATATACAGTAGGACAACCAACTAACACAACCACAACAACGAAAACAGTTCGGTGGTTCCGTCGCCGAAGCCACGGTCGAAATCCGTCACCAGTTCATCCGCAAGGTCTACACCATCCTGACGGTCCAGCTCATCGCCACGGGCGCCGTGAGTGCGCTCAGCTTCCTCAGCGATGGCTACAAGAACTGGATCCAGTCTCATCCGGCCATGATTTGGGTTTCTGTACGTTCAGTTCCGTTACCTTAACCTTATCCCCCTGCCCTTCTATCTCCCCTCCAGTTCTTTCTCCTGCCCGCCAACAAGAACAACAGTAACTGACTAACCAACCAATGTACAGTTCGCCGGCGCCCTCGTCTTCATGCTCCTAACCTTCTGGAAGCGGCAATCCTACCCCACCAACCTCCTCTTCCTCTCCGGCTTCACCCTAATGGAAGCCTACTCCATTTCCGTGTGCGTCTCCTTCTTCGACAGCGCCACCGTCATGCTAGCAGTCGTCATCACGGCGGGCATCTTCGTCTTCCTCACAGCCTTCGCCTGCCAAACCAAGTACGACTTCACTTCCTGGATGCCGTACCTAGGCGGCGCTCTGTGGGGTTTGATTCTCACGGGCTTTGTCTACGCCTTTTTGCCGCACACGAGCACCTCGGAGCTGGTGTATGGCGGTATCGCGGCGCTGGTTTTTTCGGGGTATATTCTGGTTGATACCCAGCTGGTGATGCGCAAGTACCATGTGGAGGAGGAGATTGCGGCGGCGATTAGTTTGTATTTGGATATTCTGAATTTGTTCTTGGCTATTTTGAGGATTCTGAATAGCCAGTCGGATAACTAGGAAGAAGACGGGGACGACGATGATAGTACGGATTGACGGAATGGATTTGTAACAGTGCTGTGCTAGTGGGCAGGGTCGTGGATGGGTAATGGGAAATGGGAAATGGGAAATAACATGCGTGGGATAGGGCTCTTGGATTTGGGTTTCGTTGCTCAAGTTGTTTCTTGAAATTGTTATTTCACCTGGCAATGCGAATTTGCAACTGGATGGGTAAATGTCATCAAGGCTAGTGTTGGTCCAAAAGGCCAACACATAATGGTGATGGAAAGGTCTTCCTCATATGTCGACTAGGAACTATCAAAACACAGCGTTTCCGACCTATCGATATAATACCACTCTCTCAATATAGCTTACCTGAGCGGAATTATCCGGGTGATCCTGTGACGTGATCATTAGCACGTAGCTATACTCTCATGATAATGCAACTCAGGCAAGAGCAAGAGCTTGTCGCCTTGTATGTCACAGTATCAATGTGCCATAGCAGCACAAACACGCACACAATGAGCTCAATGTTCTACAAGATAATCCGAGACGAGTGAAGTACATTTAATTTAGTTGATATCTGCATTAGAAGTCCAATAGTAAAGTTGGAAAATCCGGGGTGGTGCAATAGGCGTTGGATAAAACCTAAAGCCTCTAAAATAATCAAGACAAGTCATACGGGTAAAAATCATTTCCCGTCAATACGTTCCCAGGCCCTTCTTGTCCCGAGCAGTCATGTTTCGGCACCCCTTGCTGCATCGACGGCAGGCAAGCTGAGCATACCAGTTCCACGGACTGATCGAAACGCAACCTCTGCGGTGAAGACAAGGCCCTATGCCGCAATGCGGGTTTCCCCATGAAATTTGAGGCTGTACTGAATGCCAACTTGATTGGATGTCCTTGTCGAGACTGAACCCCCCACCGTGTTGTCGTCGTCACCATCATATATGTCTTCTTTGGAGCCATCATCTCCAGTAAAAAAAAGTCGCCAAACAGCGGGGAATATTTTGTCAAACAACATCAAAGAACCAACGCCTGCATAGAATGACCCGATCGCCCTGTGGGGTATTGAAGCTGTTCATGTGGATGTAAACAGTGACGACAGATTAGGTATGTGAGTGCTAGTTGTCGTTGGTGCTTAGTTGCCATCTGGGGAGCCGTTAATTTCCTGATGGCTGTGGCTGGTGGTGGGTGTCCCTGCTTGGGCAGCAGCATTCGCCGCCACCTCGCGTTGCATGCGGGCTTCAATCTCACGAAGCTGAGATTCGCGGGCGAGGAGCTCCTGGCGCTTCTCGTTGATCTCGCGTTGGACCTTAACCTCAATCTCACGAAGCTTCTCCTCCTCACGACGCAGCTGCTCCTCCTTGAGACGGACGGACTGGGAGGCGAGATCCTCGGGGTTCATAGAGGAGTCACTATAGTAATATTAGTACTGTGATCGCCATGTGGCTGGAACCGGAAGCTTCATGGAAACACTTACACTCCAGCACCACCCTCAACGCTCTTGCTGAGCTTCTCGGTACGGTAGTTCTCGTATAGGAAATCGTGGGTGATCTCCTTCAGATCGGCAAGGTGCGAGTGCAACAAGGCGGAACGGATGGCCAAGAAGTCGGAGTGGCGCGGGTTCTCGACCTCAACAAGACCCCATGGGTATTGGCGAGCGCGGACCTTGCGTCCACCAATCTCGATGATATCCTCCGAGCCGACAATAGCGAACGGCATGAGACCTCTGAGTTCGGCGTTCTCCTCCACGGTATCCTCATCGTCCTCCTCGATATCGTAAGGGAAGTTGTAGACCGGAATGCGGTAGTGCTCGATATCCTCCATGACCAGCTTCTTGGACTCGGCAAGCTCAGCTGGGGTGAGCGTATCAGCGCGGCCGATAACGGGGATAACGTTGACTCGGGGCGCAAGGCGCCTCATTAGCTCGATGTCCAACTCGCGGAGACTGGTAGCACATGTTAGTCGCGGTTGAGATGTGTAATGGAAGGACTGAAACCTACCCATGGCCGGTCGGGGTGATGAAGTAGAGCATGGCGTGGACACGGTTGTCCCTGAAGCGGGGGTTACGCTTAATGCGCGACTCCTCCGCAAGAATATCATCGTACTGCCTTTCGAGGTAGCCAACGATCTCGGAGAAGCTGGCCTCGTTATCGATCTGGTCACCGAAGCCGGGTGTGTCAACAATGGTGAGGGCGATACGCGTCCCTTCCTCGTCCAGCTCAAGCTCTGTAGTATAGACAGTTAGACAACCGCCAATCGCACCGTGGAATCCTCGAATGGGATGCGAAGCGTACCAACTGTGATGGGCTTGATCTTGACGCCCTCCTCGACGTGGGCGGTAGCGGGATCATCGGAGTCCTTGTGGGTGAGAACCTCTTTGCCGCAGAGGGTGTTGACGAAGGTGGTACGGCCTGGGAGATACGCGATGGTCAATCCTTGATCAAAGCACGACGGGATAGACTCGTCGGGGGTTGGAAGGACTCACCAGTTCCTGATGCACCACAGACCATCAGGCAGAACTGGATACCCTTCTTGACATTCTTCTTGCGGCGCATCATCTTCTGCCGGGAGGAGATGGTGTTAGTGAACATGACGTGCAACCGGATAGCTTATTTGGGTAGTAATTGGTAGTGCTGTAGGTCGAAGACACGAAGATGGAGTGCCAGGACGGTGAGAGGACGACGAGAACGAGACAAGCAAACAAACAAAACATACGGCAGGCAGAGACATGGTGACAGCTGGCGGTTGGCGCCCCTAATTTCTCGACGACGGGTCCGTAAAAACAAGCAAAAAGGCAATAAGGGGAGTGTCTACCTCGGAGGATTGACTGGGGAAGAATAGTGGTAGTATGGTTAATGGGATTGGCTATCCAGTCACCCAAAATGCGGCGACTTGAGAGCGAGATGGAGATGGAGTCGGGTAGAGTTAAGGTAGTGCTGGCCGCGTGAGAGCGAGGGTATAACCGAAGTCGTGGAGAGGTCGTGGAGTGGGCGTTCAGATTGGAAAAGGAGAAGACGGGAAGTGCAATTTCACAAAATGTTGCGGTGTTACGGCAATGGACTGGACTGCTTGCCCAGAGTGGACGTGGGCGTTGGACGCTGCCAGTGACAGGACGGGACGGGATGATGGGGACACCAGCCCGCAATCGGTAGCTGGGTAGTCCCAAACTGGTCCCTGGGTAGTCCCCCCCACTTTTTAACGCTGAGTAAGCCCAGCCGCCTAGCCGCCGTACCAGTATATTACTACCCAACCGCTACCGTCGTCGCGCGCTCTCTTGTTAGCGATAGTTAGTCTTATACAATTCAATAAAACTATCACGAAACCTTACCCTAATATTAAACAACTGTTTACAATGATTATTTATCGTCTTTATTATTATTTCGTATAGTATCCTCGACCTCGTAGTATTTATTAATATACCTCGCCCGCCCGCCGCACGTTGCGTATTCGCCTATATAAATTAGACTTCTAGCCTAGCCTAGCTTAATCGACTAAAATAATTAGCGTTAACAGAATTTAATTAGAATCCTTAACTAAAATGCCTTCAAGTCCGAAAAATCCGTTTCGAATAATTACTCCTAATAGGAATATAATCCCTTTTACTGAAATCCAATCGCTATTAATCCGCCGCCGCTCCCGCGAACGATTAAGAATATAATTACTGTCCCTTAGCGAACGCATTACCCGATTAGCGAAGCTATGACTACTATTTATATCCTTTAATTATAATAATATAATTGTTATATTCGACGCGCTATAAAATTACGCCGTATAATAAAATTTTATAATTATATCGTATAATTAAATAAAAAGTAAAAAGAAGGGAGAAGTAGGAGTTATTAAACGTATTAATTATTTTTATATATATAACCGCATTTATATATTAATTAAGTAAAGCGTTCGAAATACTAATTCGAAGCGGCTCGATTACCTATATTAAGTAAAAGTCGTATTAAAAAAGAGGTAGGGTAATTAGTAGTTTACTAAAAAATTTAAAAATTAATATAATTATAATTTCGATATCACTAACTTCGCCGGTAATATTATTTATCGATAGTAGATTCGTTATAATTATAAAGAGGCTATTAATATTACCGTCGAAAGGTTATTTAGTATTATTAAAATAAATTCTTATAAAATTATTTATTATTTAAATAATATTGTAAATCTTAAAGTAGAAGTAAAAAACGTTACTTCTATTTAATACGCTAATGGTAATAACCTAATATTAGAACTTTATAATCTTCAAATCCCTATTACTACTTAGGAGGTTTGAAATATTTAAAAGTATATTCGCTATATAAAGTATAATCCTTATTCCTCGACGAAAATACTTATCGACTTTCTGAAATAATATAAGAACATATACAATATTAAATACTTTATCGATTACAATCCACTCTTTCCTAACAAATAAAAAATATTACAAATATTTTAAACTTTTAATTAATATATTAAAATATAGAAGAAAAACCTCTATATATTATTAATAAATAATATTCATCAAGTAAATATTACCCTTATTTTTATTATCCCCCTTATTAACTCTAATTACTCGGATTTAGGGGTTTCTAATACCTATTTTTAAAGTCTTTTATCAATAATAATTAACCCCTTTTTTTTCCGTATAAGTTAACCACTTTAACCTCCCCTTACTTATATTTTTAATATTAATACGCTAAATTATAACTTTAACGTCGGCTTTAATCTCTCGAATAGAAAGAAATAGAAAGACTTTTAATAGTAACTTAATTACTTAAAAGGCTCTAAGAAAATTACAATATTCCCAACCCCGTAATATTTATTACCGATTTCAATAGAGGGTTTAAAAAGGCCGCTATTGCCGCCTACTTAGAGGTACCACATCAATTCTATATATAGCACATTATAAAGAACGTAAACTATTATATTAAGAAGAAGTAGGTTCAGCTGCCTTCTAACAATAGGAGTAATAGCAATAATAATCCTACCCCTGATATTAACCTCTTAAATCTCCTACTAACAATTTAGGATTTAAATAGTAATAGTCCTAATTCTCTATTATATAGAGGCTCTATAGTAACGGTCGATAATAAAATTAATAACGAAGCTATCGATAATAAATATATTAATAATAATCTAGAAAAAAACGACCCGGAAAAAATTAACGATGTCGCCGCTACTAACTACCTTACTTAATAACCTAATAATAAATAAGAAATTCGTAAAATAATTAAAGAGCTAATAATTAATACTATTATTCTACGTAGCCGTACCCATAATATACTAGCCTTTAACCTTGCTCGTTAATTCTATTTAAATATATATGAGGGTTTTTAAGTAGTTTAGAAATAAGTAATTTATACGGATAACGATAATTACCTTAAACGGCTATAATATTTAATAATTTATAAATTTAAATAATAAATTCGTACGTATTTAATACTCCCCTTCCCCCTTCCTTTCTATAATATATTATATACTTTTTTTGCTAATACTTTTTATTTACTTATAACTCTCCTCGTTTACTTTTACAAATATTACTTCCTATAAATTAACGAATTTAGGATTTACGCCATTTCAAAATATAGGAATTTTAGTATTAAAGCAATTAATAGAATCGAATTTATATATAAAGCCATTAAACGCCTGTTTAAGAACCGTTTCTCCTCTTTGGATTAACTATACGAATATATATACTCTACCTACTACTCTCAAAGAGAAATATTTAAATTACAATATACTGCAACAAAATAATCGTACTTATACAAATATAAGAGGGTAAGGATATTTCATAATCTAGTATTGAAAGTACGTAAAAATGCAATTATTTTATATACCTTTAAATTTATATAGTACTAGTACCGTTATACCTATGATGATTAATTAAAAGACCTTTATTAAAACCCAAATACTAATTATAAGAAGGTATTTATAGTTTAATATAATTTACCTTATAAATATTTTATATTAAAATTATTATAAATAGATCCTCTACTAATATTAATTATGAAGGATATAAATATACATTAATAATTAAAATTAAACGGCGTATTTATATTATTTAAAACTTTACTTCTTTATTTAGCTGCCGACGAAAAGTAATTGTCCCCGATTTAAACTTTATTAATTATATACGTAAAGTATTGGGACGAAACCTTATAAACCTAAAAGTTTTCGAATTATACAATTTCGAAAGTAATTAAAACCTATTCGCTTAATTTACCGCCGCCTAATTTACTACTATTACGCCTATCGACTATAACTGGTATAATAATTAATATATATTCTCTTACAACGAACCGCCCTACCGAATAATATAGTAAAATATTTAAAGAAAGAGGGAAGAAAGAAAGTATATAGAAAGGGGGTGTATAAAGGACGTTTCGTACCCATAACGTTATTTAAAAAAATTTAAAGTAAACCTTTACTAAAATAATTAATAATATAGCTAATAATATAATTAAAACTATTATAGTATAATTAATTCTAATGTTAATACTTTTTCTAATACTTTTACGGTCAATTCTAATTCCCTTATAGAAAGTTCTAGCGCCCTCCCTATTTCCCTATCCCTAAATTTAGTAGCTGCTAATTTAGTAATAATTATCTTACAACTATATATTAACTCTTATTAATTCTAACTGATTTAATTATAGGGTACCAGCGCCTATTAAATAATTAATACTTATACCCTAGTCCTAACCAAATTAAAATTTCCTTCCCCCTTTTAATTAATAGTAAAAAAGCTGGTAAGGTGAAATTATACTAGTAATGTAATATAATCGAATTCTAATCGATATAGGACCGCCTTTAATACTTTACTCCTAATATATAGGGGCTTTCTAACACTCTAGGCAATATTTATATAGCGGGTATTAAAATTAGAGTAGGTACGTACACTTTAGGCAGTAAGTGTAGCATATGCAGTTACAACAGGGTTAATATAGAGGATAACAATATTATTAGCAACTATAGTATTAATCCTCTTAGTAGTAGATAATTGACTGAATTAATGATTCTGAATACCCTTACGTAAAAACAATACGTAAAAGACGTAGATCTAGCGATGCGCAGCTATCGATTATGTGGCCTCAGTTGCATGGTGTGCTGGGCGGCTGGGCTGGGTTGGGCGGCTGGGCTTACTCAGCGTTAAAAAGTGGGGGGGGACTACCCAGGGACCAGTTTGGGACTACCCAGCTACCGAAATCGACACCAGCCAGGACCAGAGCAGTGGCCAAGGAACGACGGGGGCAGGCGTGGCAGGGGGAGCGACAGAGGGCAGCGCTGTGAAGAGGGCTGCAGCTACAGTAGCGACCCCCAGCTACCTCTTACGGTGCTTGCTTGCCCAGAGCACGGATGTCATCCACTCATCACGGGCTAGAATAAACACACAGTGGAGACAAACGGGAAACCTCATGTCGCAGGGCAGAAGTGGAAGCTCGAGGAACAACCTCCAGATACGAGGGCGTCTGGATAAAGAACTGAAGAGAACATGAAAAGCCTCGAGTGGCTCACGTTCACTTCAGTATTCGATCAGGTAGTCCACCAGCCACAAACACCGAATCACATCTTCAACTTACAGCTCATTCGACTCGTCACGACCATCTCGACCTGAAGCTGCAATCAGATGGGAATTGGCAAGACCTCTCCCAATAAACAACAGCTCCATGGCAATCAGGGGGTCATTTGCTAAGCTCCTGACGCTTGACTGTTTCTGGAAAGGCGCGTAACCCAAACCCCAGGCTGTCTTGTCAGACCCCTCCCCGTGATTCAAGCTTCTGAGAGTGGGCAGCTGGGGTACAGCCACCAGCAAGTGCATGGCCAGCTGTCAACCAGCTGCATGCATTTTCGCTACAGCCTGCTGGCGTCCGTGCTTCTTCCATCAAGTTGATCCCATCGATCCATCACCAGGGCATGCTCCATTTCATCGCCAGAGCTCCAGGCGCCGTCCCCAACATCCGGGGTGTACATACTTGTCATCGGCGCGGGGCCAGGCGGGAACTTCCTCTTGCAATCCATCACTCGCATCATCTTGACCGAGCCGCCATGTGAGACTCTCATCGTCGGCCCGCCCCTGCTGGATCCCGTTCTTCTTGTCTTGTTATCTTATTGTTTCTCAAAGAGCCTCCAGAGCAGGTCTCGTTAGGCAACCTAAACAAAGCCATAGGCACACAACTCCCGCTCGATCACGAACGAACGAACGTTGTTTGATACGGCTCTAGTGTATCTGGATTACTCCATACCGTTTTATGTCCTGCAACTTGGACATACTGAATCCTTCTGCAGTGTGTCGAATGGATGTGGCATTTTCAAGGCGCCTGCTTTGAGAGCTTTGAACAGCCGGTTGTGACTGCTGCGCGCACGCAGGTACTACAATAAATAATTAGGTATACATATCGACGGGCTAACGATATCACTACCACTCTGAGGCGGTACCTCACATTTAACCATCTACAACCTCGCCTATCGAGCTCCTACGTATATCAGTATTTCCCCACGATTTTTCAGCAAAGCTTATCTCTTCATCTGACCGCAGAGCTACCACTCTGTATCATTTCGATCCCTCTCTTATCAGATTGATCATCGAACCATTCATGGCCGTGTTGGCTCTGACCACATCCGCAGCCCGAACCTCCACCTCCGCTCTCTACATCCGAAAAAGACCTCCAGGCTGAGCGAGCATAGGACATCCAGTGCGCCAACTACACTCTGTCAACAAGTAGAGACTCAGCTGCAGCTTCACACCTTTGGTCACCACTTGAGATTGTGCTTGTAACACCATATACATATCCCTCTTAAAGGAATTCCTCTCCACAAAGAGGTTCCAGGGCGGTGGGATTCCTGGGTTCGACTCACAGCCCGAACAACAACCCTTCCCCTTATCAACGCATCCCTTCTCCGCTCTACCTGTAGCGATGGACACTAGAAGGATCCTCGAACACCCGGTACTCGCACCCGTGCTGTCGGTTACCTTCAACCATGATAACAGCTGCTTCGCCGTCGGGTTAGACCATGGTTTCCGCAGTAAGTCTCCAAGAAAGCCTTGTTGTTTGCTGTCTTGATATCATCAACATGGGACAAACGCTGATGGCATATGTTCATCTAGTTTATGAGTCGGGATCATGCGATCTACGAACCTCTCGCGGTAAGTTCTGACAAAACCACGCACTGTCACTTTAACAATACAACAATTTACTAATAGATATGTCCTCCCACAGACTTCGGTGCTGGTATCGGGATGGTCCAGATGCTTGGTCGCACCAACATTCTCGGACTAGTTGGTGGTGGCCGGCAGACAAAGTTCAGCCGGAACAAGGCAAGTCATGGCAACTTTCATCCTTCTCCCAGCTCTACGAAGTCGCCATTGATTTACTAAAACTGCTTCATTACAGCTCATTTTATGGGACGAGAGGGCCGGAAAACAAGCAGGCATCATCAGCGCCTCGACATCAGTTCGAGGGGCCAAGATGTCCAGCAAGCGACTCGTCCTGGTTTTGATGGACCGAGTGCAAGTCTACCAAACCGCCAAACCCCACCCGCTGCTTTCCACATACGAGACGACCGACAACCCTCTAGGTCTGTGCTGTCTCTCCTCGGAACGCATTGCCTTCCCCGGCAGGGCGACCGGTCACGTCCAGCTCGTGGAGATTTCAACTGGCAATGTCAGCATCATAACCGCGCACACGTCGGCGCTGCGGGCGATGGCTTTGAGCCAGGATGGGGAGTTGCTGGCCACGGCGAGCGAGTTGGTAAGGACCCTTATGAAGAGATATTGAAACACATACACAGACACACAGACACACACACACACACACATAGTGAATAAAAGACGACCTGCTAATACCAGCGTGAAAGGGAACCATCATCCGAGTCTACGCAACATCCAACTGTGCTCGACTGCACGAGTTGAGACGAGGCATCGACAAAGCCATCATCTTCTCCATCGGATTCAGTCCCTCGGGCAAGTATCTAGCCTGCACATCCGATAAATCGACACTTCACGTCTTCGACGTGACTCGTCCCGGCGGCAGCAGCGGTACGAGACCGACCACCAGCAACGGCGGCACTACCGCTGCCGGCGGCGAACCTTCAGCCACGGGTAACAATCGACCCTCCAGCCCCTATTCAGTCGCATCGAGCAGTGGCGGCGGTGGTGTCATGGTCAATGGCACCATCGGCGGTTCAGACATGACCGCTGACGACGGCGGCCAAGGTCGCTGGGGCTTCCTCTCCAAACTCCCCCTCATGCCGCGCATCTTCTCAGACCCGTACTCCTTTGCCTCGGCCAAGTTCGAGATGGCCGACGAGCCCGTGTCCAACGGCAGCCGCGAGCCGGTGGGCGGCATCATCGGGGGCCCGCTCAAGGGCAACCTGGGCTGGATCAGCGAGACCGAGATGGTGGTGATTGGGGCCGGGAGGGACCCCAAGTGGGAGAAGTTTGCGATTCAGGAGGGTGGGCAGCAGGATGGGTACCAGGGTGGAGGACGTCGGCTGGTCAGGGTTGGCTGGAAGAGGTATGGTGGGGAGACGCCTTAGGTGGACGAACGGTTGGGGAATTGGACGGTTGTTGTTTCTACAACCTCTCGGAATGGGCCGCGACAACAGCGGGGAGGGGTTGATGATGATGGGTGATTTGGTGATTGCATTTCCCGTCTTGCACTACTTACTATCCGGGAACTGATCGAGAAATAAGGGTCATGCGCACATTGGTATTGGCAAACACGCAGGCAGGATCTATGTCAACTACATCGTTCTGTTTATTATTGAATTGAGGAGGGGGTGTCTAGACGGTAACAGTCGTTTTCCAGGTGGTATTACTTCATAACAAGACGTCAGATTGTATATCGTCACGAGCATATAGGCGTTATATTAGGGCAGCGATACAAATAGGTCCAAATACGCAATATCATCGATGTATTTATGGTACTTCGCTAGCAAAACCAGAGACTCGGCAAAAATAACTGATGGCACCGTTGAGGTCTATCTTAACGACAGTAAAAGCTTATCCTAGACACGGCAATACAAGGCAACTTGTACTCACCGAGTCATCCCAGCCGCGAGCGATTATCCAGCACTGACCGTGAATAATGTTATCAGCAGCCAAGCGCAATTATATCTCAACCGCTCCATCTAAGCGAATATCTCGTCTAATCTCTAGACGTCGGCCGTGGGCTCCTGCTTCTGTGTCTGCTCCTGGGACCCCGATCCTCCAGGTCCCGATCGCGGTGGCGACGGCGTTCGCGATCTTCTGTGGTATCGCGTTCGCGGTCGTGCCGTTTGCTGCTGTGCCTGTCTCCGTCTCTGTCCCTTTCCCGGTCCCGATCACGGCGGCTTTCCCGGTCACGGTCACGGTCACGGTCCCTCTCCCTCTCTCTGTCCCTATTTTTGCCTCTATCCCTTGAGGAATCTCGCCGCGACCGCCTGTCCTCAGGCTTTGCGTCTTTCATTTCCACGTCGTCGTCCACGTCATCGCGTCTTCTTCTCTTGTCGGCAGGGGAGGTTTCTTCTCTTTCGGACATTGGCCTCTTTCTGTCGGCATCACGATCACGATCACGATCACGATCGTCTCTGCTGCTCCTGCCCGTGTCTCTGTCTTTGCGATCACGAGAAGGGGAACGGTCACCACGACTCCGGGTGCGGTTGTGATCGCGGTCGCGGCCTCTGATGTCGCTGTCAACGTCTTCGACTCTCCTCGGTGACCGGTGTGATCGATGGTGGTGGCGACTGTCCCTCTCTCTGTCCTTGTCTCTGTCGTGCCTGTCACGGTGTCTCCGACTAGACCTATGCCTCTCCTTTTCCTCCCTCTTCTTCTCCCTCCTCAGCGCCTCCTCCACCTCTTTCTTCTTCTCCTCAATCAAAAACTCCTTCATGGGATCATCATCATCATGACCCTCCATAAGCAACTGCAGCTCCTTCTCCTCTTTTAGCATCGGCCTCCTCGGCTTTTTGTCATCATCCTCCTCTTCCTCCTCTTCGTCGGCAGTATCACCACCCCCCTCACTCCCCACCATCCCCCTCTCCGCTCTCTCCTTCCTCACCATATCCTCCCACCCAATCCTCCCCTCCTCCGGATCCTCATCATCCCTTATCTTATATCTTGCATGATCGACTCTTATCAATCTCCCGCCAATCTCCGCGCCCCCCAAATTGTCGACGGCCAAATCGGTGCTGCGCTGGTCCTCGTATTTCAACCAGCCGAAACCCTTAGACTTGCCGGTTTCCTTGTCGCGCACCAATTTCAGAAAGACCGGCTCGCCGAACTGGCTGAAGATGGTGATCACGTCGCCTTCCGACAGGTCATACGGCAAACCGCCAAAGTAGACGAAGGCGGTGTCGCGGTAGTCGACGTGCCAGGAGGCTTCGGGCGGGATGCCGGCTTCGATTTCGCGCTTGTTGAGGGCTTGGATGGCGCGGATTTGGTTCATTGTTTATTTTTGTTCTTTTTCTTTCGCCGGGCGGGGGTTTCATCCGCTTGTTTCTGATTGTTCTTTTCCCCTTCTTTGCGCTGGCTGATTTCTTTTTTTTTTTTCCCCCTGCTGGTGGGAATTGTCGTGCAGGTTATCTGATCAGGCGATTTTTTGGTACCGGACTTCGTTTTTGCGCCCGTGTTGCGCTGCGAGGGATCGCGACTTTTGTTGGAGTTGACGTTGGTGATGGTTGCGATGACGATCGTTGGTGCCTTGTCAAAGATGCCAAGAACTGTAAAGAAATCTGGACCATGCACTCCTACGCGCTCGAGACTCACCGCGCTTGACAAGGGTTAGGGTTGCTGTGCCAAGCGCGTGCAGCGCGGTGCAGAAAAGGGGTTCCACACTCATAGTACATTTCAACTGGTGAGGGGCAACTTCAGGAGAACTTTCAACAACGTTGCGATTGCGGCGCGTGTTGTATTACATAGACTCATTGTTGGATACCACTGGTATGATCTGGAGCGTTTGATCTTGGTTGCAATTGCACCATCCACTGGCCATTTAGTTGTGTCCTTACTGGTGTCTGTGAAATACATGACCACTGACGGACCCCCTAGATATTCAGGGTATTTCAAACGAACGGTAGCCCGAAAAGTCTAAATTAACCTCCAGCCGCCCTTCGAGACACGGATTGAGCAAATCATGCCAGCTCTTTGCCTGCCCTCGCTGCCTCGTTCTTGGTGAGAGTTGGCTCACAGGATACAGCGAGTAAAGATAGGGGTTGTATTGGGCTGATCCTTGACCGCTTTGTCCAACTTTCACACTAGGAAACTGACAACTCAACAGAACCTTGCGAAGTCGCCATCCAGGTTTCCAGGATCATCACTGACAACAGGTTTCAACATCATCTGATGGAGAAGGCAACTCGTCTACCTTGTCCTACTCGTCAATGGCATCAATGCTTCATATCTTCTTTTCAATGGGTCACTGCTAAGGAAATTCTTTACGTACACTACAGATACAGCACGGCAGCAAAGTACATCGTCCCGTCGTATCATGGAGCTGTCTGGTGGCACATGTGTGGGATGGGATGCGGAGGAAAGGTGCCGCAGCCGCCAGCAAGCACTGCAGCCAGCCAGCATTGAAGTGAGGTGGAGGAAAAGGAGGGGCGGGAAGCATCCATGCAGCCAACCTCAATGGCTGTGATTGTTTGCAAGAAGAAAAGGAACAAGTTTCCCATTGAAGACATTTTGAAGAACGACATCCTATCACGAGCCTGGATTTTAGGTAACCTGGCCAAAAAGGGTCCATGCTTCCCCGCCATTGGGTTCTGTGAGCTTGGCTGTGGTGTTGCTGTCTGTGCATCAATGCCGCCAAAAAAAGATGGAGCTTTGATGGAGCTCGGTCCAATCACTGCAAACATGTTCGTCCCAAAGGTTGCCAAGACAGCCGAGCTTCCCCTTTAGAAAAAAAAACATTGAGAAGTTCCCCCAAGACAAGCGACAAGGACGTGACAGACCCTCGCCTTCCACCGCTCCCCCTCCCCTCCCCTCCCCACCGCCTTGGGCCTTGTTCTGGTGGATCACCTTGTCTCCTCCCACTTGGCTTGGGTCGACATCTGGCCAAAATCCAAAAAGTTCAAACACATCCGCCCAAGCATATGCCGTTTTTAGAGTTGTACCGTTGCAAAAAGAGACTACGAACGCCTAGGTCCCCTCAAGGCTCCCCCCTCCCCTCTTCGGTGACAGACAAGGCGACCCTGTTCCCGTCTTTTTTTCTCCTCTTCCCTCTTTAAAGTCGCCAAACATTGGGCGATTGTATTGTTAAGGTGATCCACACCCTCCTCCTCGGGGCTCGTCCTGCTCTCGTCTAGCTGTCCAGACTTTCTTCCTGCCCATCCATCTCTCGCGCCATCCCAACTTCTTCCTCCTGTTTACATTCGCTATACTACCTCTACCAGACACGCTGGCGGCGACAAGAGTGTCTCTTTGTGGTTGCTTGTATCGCATTCGCTATCCCATTGTGCAACACGGCGCATAGTTCTTCGACAGAACAGGGAATCCCCTCCTCTGCCCGCGTCTCTGGATCCAGTTCTGCCCTCTGGTCGCCCACCTTGCGGACTCGACCACTCGACTCAGCCCTTCCCCGGCCTGTGCTGTATCCGTCACCAAGAATCCCGTCGAATCTACTCCATCGTTGAGCTTCTGAAAGCTGCGCCCAGCCAGCTCCACCGCCGCCTTCGCTTTCAGGCCTCATCAGTCCACTGCTCTTCAGTTGTTTACGAACCAATTGGCGCGCCGTCGCCAGCTCCAAGCTTGATCATGGGCGATTCCCATACCCAGAGCTCCAGCAATGGCCCCGACCCGCGAGTGAGGCGGAATACCGCGACATCCTCCGTTCCCTCCTCCGGAGTCACCAGCAGTAACAGCGCAGCTCTCCCACCTCAGCGAAGGACTGTCAAACGCGAGAAGTCTGGCAACCCCAAGAATATGAATGGTCCCCTCTACATGCAGCGCAACGAAAACATCGTTCTTGTTCGTCGCGTCAAAAGGAAGGGCGAGGGCCCTCTGAAGCAGCTGACGCGCTGGTTCGTTGAGAACCAGATCGGTATGTGAACATATTTCCCTTTAGAAACTCAAGACAACCGTCTAGCCAGCAAAATACTAACTTCTCTCTGCTTTATCCAGGCTTCGCTTTCAACCTCCTCGCTCTCCTCTTCCTCGCCCATGGATGTATGCCTCGCGCCCGCTCCCACACCGGAAAGTACTTTACGCTCTCGTACTACAACCCAACGACCGGACAATATGGACTCGGCAAGGATGACGGCTTCCTCATCTTCTTCTGCATCATCCTGTTTACCGGCCTCCGCGCCGCCACATTGGAATACTTGTTCGCGCCGTACGCAAAGTCCAAGGGTATTACCAAGAGGAAGGACATCACCAGGTTTAGCGAACAGGCTTGGCTCCTGATCTACTACAGCTTCTTCTGGACTCTCGGTCTCGTATGTTTATTTCCCCTTGCCATGCCATGGCGCCTCTCGATCGTCGCCCCGTTGCCGCCGTCCGTCGTTTCTTTCCGGCGCGGCGCGGGTGAACACAAGCAAGTTTTGAGACTGACAAGCCATGCTTTTTTTATTATATAGTATATCTACTGCCAATCACCGCACTTCTTCAACCTCCGAGAGCTCTGGACGAACTGGCCCAACCGCGAGCTCGCCGGTCTCATGAAGGGATACATGCTTGCCCAGCTTGCCTTTTGGCTGCAGCAGATTATTGTCATCAACATTGAGGAGCGCAGAAAGGACCACTGGCAGATGTTTACCCATCACATCATTACCATCTGCCTTATCTACGCCTCTTACAGATATGGCCACACCCGTGTGGGCAACCTTATTCTGGTCTTGATGGACGTTGTGGACTTGTTCCTTCCGGTACGTTTCTCCCCCTCTCTACCGCCAACAAGCGCATCACAGGTACTAACACCATTTCCCATTCCCAGCTCGCCAAGTGCCTCAAATACCTCGGCCACTCCACCGCCTGCGACTACATGTTCGTCGTCTTCATGGTCTCCTGGTTCGTCGCTCGCCATGTTTTGTTTCTCACGGTCTGCTACTCCGTCTACGTGCACACGACCGCCATCATTCCGTACGGCTGCTTCTCCGGTCATTCCGGCAACTTTACTGGTCCCTACCAGCCGCCCGCCGATAAAGGCGTTCTCTACCTGCTCGAGCCGCTCTGGAAATCCGACGGACCGGTGTGCTATGACGACACGGTCAAGTGGACCTTCCTCTCGATGCTGCTCTTCTTGCAAGCCCTAACCATCATGTGGTTCTCGCTCATCATCCGCGTAGCCATGCGCGTGCTCAAGGGCGAGGGAGCCGATGATACGCGCAGTGATGATGAGGGCTGTGAGGATGTTGATGCGGAGGATGATGAGGAGGAGTCCGAGTTTGTCTACGAGGAGGCTCACGCGCTGGCGGAGGAGGTTGGCGTTGATGAGCTCGACCTCAAGAACTGGGCGGAGAGAAGACGCGGCGGCGCCGGCGTTGGCGGGGTGACGGCCACGGGCGTGAGTCTCCCTGGACATAGCGATCGGAAGGAACTGCTCGGTCGGATTGGGTGTGAGAAGCAGGTTGAGTGAAGAGGCTCCGCATAAAAAAGATAGGGTGTGGTAGATGTCGATGTCATCGTTGTCGTCGTGTCATCCTAGTCGTCGAACGTTCCTTGATGAACGTCCGGGTAGTGGAATGGCCGACTTCTCTCTTGGTTGCTACGCACCGGATAGGGGAGAAGCAGGCACTCATTGGAAGCACGAGAAGAAAGAAAGGGTTCCCTTTACCCTTCGTTATTACATATACCTGAAAAGAACCTAAGCGCCTACCTAGAAAGGCTTCTCTTTTTGGACCATAGAACGGGCACAGTTGGGCAGTTGGGATGAGAAGAGGAATGAAACGAAATGGTTACTCTATGATATGACTGATGGTTTGGGCCTAAGGGACTATGAGACGAGGAAAAGGAAAAGAAAAAATGGTTGAGGGTAACTTCGTTACCTATAGAGCAGAGGGGCAGGCTGCGGGCGGGCGTTCAGGGTCGAAGTGAAACTTGTTTATAAAGAATCATACCTTACGAATCATTCCCAGGGCTACTTGGGCAATCAATATGTTATGTGAACTTGGTCTGTATTGGTGTCTATGTGTACTGGATGAGGACCTTTTGGTCCTGGCTCCGAGAAACCCATGATGCCTTCAGCGACGCCGTGGTCAGGTTGCCCCGAGACCAACATGCAAGCGCACCATGCACAACAACATCTACCAAACCAAGCAATCCTCCACAGAAATACCTTCGGGCTTGAGTAAACCTCTGACAATGACGAAGGTAAAACTCCAAGCCAAACAGACGAGCGGAAGATATCCGACGTCCAAAAGATTCAAAGAAGAATCGAAGCTTTCTTACGTACAACATGGAAAGGTCAATGTTCAAGAAGTGAACCAGGGTAAAGAAGAATGTTACAGCCAGCTGACGCAGCCAGCCAATAACATTCAACGCCCAAAGAAAGAAAATAATGCCGATACCACCATTATACCGGTCGCTTTGTCTCCAAATGTTTCCCGTGATAGCCTTTTGGTGGTCTTTGATTTCTCTTTGAAACCGAAATGTCATGTCGTCGTAAGAGTCCAGATATATGGCGTTTCAACGTTGCCATGGCTGGACGATGCATGCTGGTTTGCGCAACTGCCGATGTAGATACAGACCTCCTAGTAGAGGAAAACCGATCAAGGTTTGCGCGCTCCAGGCGTATGGGAAGTAAATCGAAACAAAGATGTCGCTAATGGGGATCTGTGTACATGTGCACACCCTACTCCAAGGGGAGCTTTGGCGGGGGCCACGGTGTAGCCAGAGCGAAGGAGCCCATAGTATTACCCCCGCCTACGAAGATGCGAGTCTTCGGGGTGTGTTTAAGCAACAATGCGAGCCTCGCTGAGAGGAGGCGCAACGTTCGTGCCGTAGCCACCGCCCATGTTGCCTGGGAAGAGTGTTAGTGACTGTAAGTTGCTCTTGGATAAATCAAACTTACCGGCAGGATAATAGTTGCAGACAGTGTACCAGGCGTCCATATCCGGGCTCATGGTACCCTGGGGGCAGAACTGGGTATAGCAGCCAAGCTGCTGAGACTCCTTCCAAACGAGCTGAGAGAAATGGCCCCAGCTCTCGAAGTTAGACATGTCCGGGTTCGCCTTGCCATAGTCGGAGGCAGGCCAAAGGGGAAGCTCCCCGTTATACCACATGTTAGTTGTGGCCTGAGCACCGGCTTTGACAGCGCCGACATCTTGGACGGTCTGCTTGTTGGTAGAGCCCCACATGGCAATGTTTTGACCGTAACCACCACCGCCGGGAGTCCTTGTGGTTTGTCAGTACGATGAAAATCAAAAATATGGTCAGAGAATATCTTACAGGTCGTGCTGGAACTTGCATCCGGCCGCAGCTTCCTGAGCGTACTGGGCATAGGTCTCTCCCCAAGTCATAGCACCAGCAGAGTGGTTGCTGCGGTGGATGTTGTGGTGATAGAGAAGGGTACTGGCGTAGTCGCTACTGCTAGGGGCGCTAGGGGCCGCAGGAGAGTCGACCTTGGTAGTAGCAGGTTCCTGCTGGGTGCTAGTGGCAGCAGGAGGTGCAGCAACGACGGCAGGCGCAGTAGTCGGCGCGGGCTGCTGAGTGCTGGAGCTAACCGGAACAATGATGACGGTAGACGAGGTAGTCTCCGGAGCAGGGGGCGGGGCAGCGACGACAATGCTGCTGGAAGAAGGGGTCGGCACGGGAGCGGGAGCCTGGCTAGTCGGCTGGACCGTGGTCGTGGAAGCTTCCTGAGGATGCGGAGAAAACACCGGGCGGCCGGGGCCGTGTTGGAGAAACTTGAAGGCGTTCGCGGTAGCAACAGGCATGTCTGGCGCAATGACGGTAACGGTAACCCACTCCTCAACAACCAAGGTGGTGAGGTGGAGGCGTCTGTCCTGGAGAACGGGGCTGGCCGAGGCCATGAGAGCGCCAGAAGCGGCGAGAATCAGAGAGCTCTTCATTTTTGCAGATTGAAAATCGCTTGGAGAGAGGATTGTGAGTCTGTGGTGATATGAAGTTAGATGAGTGTAAGAGAATGTTGGGACAAATTTAACGGCCCAGACAAAAAGAAGAAATAAGGATCGTGGTGAAGTGAAGGTTAAGGATCGACAGTTGCGATGTTCGCAAAGTTGTTGAAGAGGATGAAGATTGGAAAATTCAACGAAAAGTGCAATCATCCATGCAAGACCCTTTACTCGGGTACGGGTCATCACGCGGGACCGCCTTTGTTTGCGAGAACAAAGTAGTTGTGCGCCATGGGATGAACGAGGGGTGAACCACCAAACAGAGAACAAGGTGGGTATGATAGGGCTGAACAGTCACGTACCTTGAGTTGTAGTCGATGTTGTTGACGAGGTTATTTGATGGATGGAATATCCGGGGGGTTATGTAGTCAGATCCAGCTGGTGGCAGCGCTGCTGTTACCGATAATCGATATCCTTCAAGGACGTCGATTGTGATCGTGTGCTCAAGTGAGCTGTGGGTGAGACAAGAACTGGGTCGGTTGTCGGAAATCGAACAGCCGGCTGGTTTCTCTTTTTCCGAGAAGGTGACAGAGACGGGTTGCTTGGCAGTCTGTCTCGATCGGGGTCCACGAGGTCGAGGTCGGATCAAGGTGAGATGGAGGTTTTAGAGGACAACGCCGTTGTCCAAAAAAGAGCGTGGAGGGGGGAAAGGAATGTAAGGCGGGCAAATACCAGGCCGGTGGGTTCAAAGGAGTGAACGAAAGTTGGTTGACGAGCGCCGAACAAGCTGAGCCTGATGAAGTTCTCGTGAGAGAGAAAAGAAGAGAAGGCGGGGTTTTAAGAGAATGGAAGGGTACGCAGGCAGAAGAAAAGAGACGGGTTGCGGAGGTGGTAGTAACGAAGGCGGGAACTGGAAGGGTGGATCGACTGTTACCACGTCAACCCCCGGCAAGGCGACGGAGCTAACGAACGGGACCCTGGGTTACAGTAAGATGGAAGGAGCGCCGTCGTTTGTTAGGGTAAAGCGAGGGCTTGGCAGTGACCGCGGTGACCAAATCCCAGCAAGTTGGTCCTGGCCGTTTGACTACTCGTCCGAATCGACCCCCTCAGCTTGATCAAACCGCCGCTGGTTTTTCGGATTTCAGGCACGGGTTCGAGGGGGGTACAAGGTACCTTGCGGGGCGTTAATTTGGTCGCAAAATGGGACAGACGTCACCAGTGATCAGTTTGACAGTGTAGACAAGTGACGGCAATGATATGATGATCCACCGAGTGTGATCCTCTTCATCAACAATATGGGAAATGCAATGTCGGGCATCACACAAGGCACGTAGTCGCGAGAACCGTCATCGGCACACACAAGCCGTCGAGTAGCCAGGAAGCCAGGAAGCCCGTCAAATGTAGCAACTAGGTCTAAGGCCTGGGGCAAAGAAGGCTCATATACTACAATGCCCGTCTGCTCATCTGGCGTTGATTGTGAGAGATTGTCCGTCATTTGTCATGGCCGCACATGTGTAGCTTTCTGTAAAAGATTCAGTTGCGTTGGATGACCATTTTCGCCCGGCAGGAGCGCGGGTATCACACACAGGATGCAAGTTCTAGGCCGTCGTCAGCGAGGGAACGGATGGGAGTGGTCGACAGCAACCTACCTGACAAAGGAAGGTATTCTGATCCCAGGGTGAATCCCCCAGACATGGACTTTCAGATGCAACAGAAGCTGCTCACCCGGGGGCGGTAATTGGTTCGTCTTCCCGAAGGTGCTAAGAAACGCTCACCGTTCGTCCCATGTGTCTGGGCGAGGCGGATGACGCTCCGTCTTTGGCCTGTCCCGTTCGCTTGTGCGCATTTTCATGAGACGACCTGACCCAGACACTCCACAGACTCTCTCCGACGCGGCCTACTGGGCGGACTCGTTCTCGACTCGATCTTCAGCGCATCGCAGGACACCACCTCAGTATGTAACAGCGGCGCGGGGTTGGCCCTTGCTGGCCCGAGGTGGTTCCTGCCTTTTGCTGCTCCACGAGCCTGGGCAGTTGTGGTTGTTTCCTGATCCCGGTCGTCGTCATCCAATCCAGCCAATCTGGTACCTGCAGGAAGAAGTGGGGCTCTCCGCGGCGTGTCGGAAGTGGACAGGGGCACGAGGGGCATCCCTTACTAACGGCGCAAACGTATCATTTTCAGCGTTCCCACAAGTACTAGAAGTACTTAGCGCCTTGGCTTGCCAGCTAAGAAGTCCGCCAAGACAGGTTGCGAACGCTAACAGTATTCGAGCTTTTGAAGTAGCATCATGCGTCAAGCGGTATCCTGCAGGCAATCGGGACAATTGATTGGCCACAACCTGTGTGCATGTGAAAAGATACATTCTCGCCGTTAAAGGGAAGACAGGGGCACGCTTAAAAATGACAGGGTTTTGCAAACACCCGCACCACATCGGTGCCCCATTCCACGCTGAAACGGCGCCAATTTCGATCTCTCCCCAGTCCCCACCACTCAAATGGGTGACTTTTGTTCTTGATATCTTTCCGCTTGTTGCTGCGGTGATATCCGTGAAACCCACCTTTCAATATCCCAAGGCCACCGCTATGGCATATGCGTCGGTCTTGGTGAGTGGTAGGCAAAGCCTGGGGTCGCCCAAGGGCGTTTCTAGCCCAGACGAGTAAAGCTTGCGATTGATCTGCAGCGGAAAATACCAGGCATCAAAAGCCGTGTACGTGCGTACCAAGATTCATATACAATAAAAAGGCGAAGGACCCGTGGGAATGGACGCCTGAAAGGAAAGTGGGGCTAAGGTTCTTGACTTTCGCGCCTTCCATCTTACGACGACATCAGGTCTGATTGACTTTTTTTTTTTTCGCATCCAGGATATGCGCCGCGCGTCCACATGCTGCACTGCATCGCTTGAAGCATGCAGTCAGCTTTCTAAGATGCTCGGATGCTTCTGCCCTCAAAATAATCATTATACATATCCGACATTCACGAGGACTACCACAGCCATTTATGGGACTTGTTTCGACATCATTTCTGTCTATTTTGAACTCAAGTCCATGAACCACCTTCCACTTCATGTTGTGATGATTGTCAATTCACAGTCATCAGCACATTACTTATCGAGGGATCACTTCCCCGCATTTCGCTTGGGTGTACTTGCATTCATCCAACCCGCTCTATTAACCCTGGGTAAGTACTTTCAATTATCTTCACTAGACGGCCACCCATCTCACACCTTCAATGACCGCCATCAATCGATGGTCCACAAAATCTCCGAGATCAACAGCATCTACCTACCCGTCCCTTTTCCGCATCATGTCTACAACAACCTCTCATCCCCATCGACATGGCAATTCCGCATGAACCGGTATCCTCACACTCGTTCGATTTCGACGATCCGGAGTCAGATACGTATGGGTCCGTTCTGTGGACCCTTCCCCCGTTCCCCGTAGTTGGAGGTCGTGTTCGCATTTTGAACCCCTATCCAACCTTGCCCGAGTTGGAGAGAGGAACACTCGGCCCCAGATGCGCTTTTCCTGTTCCTGCTTTGTTGTTTCAGATCTCTGCCGCCCTTCAACCGGCCCCGCCAATTGGCTGGAGATCCGATGAGCTGACGCCCACTCAACCGGGTTGTATTTCTCCTTGACAAAGCAAGAAGGTAATTCCCAGGGTAATGGGTCTTTGTGCCCATATCAACCTCATCCTATCTTGCGCGCCGTGGAGTTTGACCTTCCCTCAGAGAGTTTTGGAAGTTCCAGAACACACGAGACATGCACAGGCCCTTGACCAAGTGCTTGGGTACCCTGCACAACTTTCAAGTTCTCCAAATCCTTCAAGAAAAAGAAAGCAAATAGGAAGGGAAAGACTTCAATTCACTCATACGAGAACGGAGATGAGGGCTTCAAGTGCGAAACTCGAGATTTCCGTTGTACTCCACAGCCTTGACACCACCACATGGTCCTTCATGAGCAAAGGCGGGCAGACGGATGCTCGCAGAATCACGAAAACACCCCGCAATGATCTCGGATAATGGATCGAGAATTACAGCTACTGTTCGGACTGCTGGATTGAGTTGTGGTGCCGGACTACGCCTCCTGTTCCCCGGGCCCTCAACAAGGACCTTCTGAGAACGGGCAATCAATGGGTATTGTGAAGCCATGTCTCACAAACTTCTTCTCCAGTCCTCCGTTTCGAGCAAGTGTTGCGTGAGAGCCCACAGCCAACTGGAGAGGACTTTCATCGGCACTCTGCAGGGACTATCACTACTCAGGAGCCATAATGGTCCTGTTTGGCTGCTATCATGAATAGCATGACTGCAGTGCCTTGGTATTGTTCCGATGACACAGCCTGGGAAATCAAACTTGCCCTCCATCAAGAAACACATGTGTAAATATGCCAAGCGGCTCTCTGTCTCCTCCGAAACACAGTGTCTCTAAACTCCTTGACCACAGGCTAAATTTGCGGCTATCACCCTCGCCTGAACCTTTCTGAGCTCATACAAGAAAGCCACTATGACAATGCCGAGGCCGCCGCTTACGCTTTCTGTTTCTTGACTGAAAGGAAGTCAATAGATTGCTTGGACTTGCCGATGCCCTTGGTGGAGGAGAAACGCATCTCGCCCTGGTGGGCGCAACTCCCACGTGCTGATACTGTTGTTAAGCGTCCATCTACCGCAGGGTTGGCAGTTCAATATAGTTCGGCAGGACCTGCATCTCAACACCCTTCCGACGCCCTCATATGGAACAACACGACGGCTACCTACCTTGAAAGCCACTTCTACGCCGCCTGCAAGAGCTTTATTCTGGCGATAATCGAGAAATTTGAGTCGATAACTATGCAACAAGACCCTTTTGCATGAGCATCTTGTCAAAAACATCCACTCCGAGGACCTATAGTTTGCCCTACCGGTATTGTCATTGTATACACGACAGAAATACCTCATGTACTTGCCTTTCATTGCCGAAGTCCCATTTCCTGTCTGTCTGTCTCTCTGTCTATCTTTCTGCAGCCCCTGAATGTCAAGAGATGGCATTTTCGTCTAAACTTCCATGTTGGGGGGAAACTCTCCGAATACCTACCTGCTTACATGTCACACGCAGGTAGGCTGTTACCAAACGGCCGCAGACAGCAGGGCCTGTGCGGTAGTATACAATTCCTTCTGGGTTCCATAGAATTTCTCCCGGTGATGATTACCTTTCTTAGCTCACGTACTTTTTTGTGCCTAATCTATGTAGATATTGGAAGGGGGTAGGAAAGGGGAAGTGGAAGGGGTCCCTTGTATTCCACCGCGGAACTCTTTCCTTTCAAAGCTTACAGGGTGCACAAACCTGAATGACTGACAAGTGACAGGCAACAGGAAATCAGGCTACACCAAAGCCCTTCAAGGCATCGCTCATCTGCTGGATCTACAGATACAAAAGTGTATGGGAAGCCCCGGGGAAGGTGTCAGTCAAGCCAAATCTACGTACCTTAGCCACCGATGACGGAATGACTAAATAGGTGGTGAGGGCGACAACATCACAAAGGGCACCACGACCATGACATAGTCGTGGTAGGCTTTCAACAACCATTGTTAGGGACTGAGGGTTGACATCGCTATGGATCTTGTCGTGGTGTCACAGAGTGTCAGTGTCCTACCCTCCTCCCCGAGACCGCAGAGACTAGACTAGTGAGGAAAGACACTGAACTGACACTGACACGGACATTGACACTGCTGATACCTCAGCTCCGGGTTTTGTTCGAAACAACAAAAAACGGAGGATTGCCTTGTTCTGGTTGCAACAGTTTCTCAGTTTCTCAGTCTCTCACAGCGAGACCGGACAAGGTTACTTTCTAGAGAGGAAAGCCATTACAGACAGGAGCTGGGGGATTGTATGTGTGAGGCTGAATCAGGAGGCTCTGATGCTCGTCAGGATAGAAGAAGGCCTGAAGATACCATCACTTGCTTCATATCCATACCTGCCTTTGCCTGCTTGCTGCATTAGGTTCCATTCCGCCGTCTCTCTCAATCCATAATAATGGCGATGGAGACAAGTAGAACGAGAATTCTACCCCTTCATCAACCACAAAGCGAGCGAGCGACCCATCAAACATCATCTTTAATATCCGTATTCCGTTCTTTCCAGCCTTCCTCTTCGCCTAAACCTGTCTACTACCTACCATTTCTACCCTACCACTTAACCCCCCCACCACATGTCCCACTTGCTCACCACTATGATACCTACTTGACAGGCCTGGATGATGATGACGAATGAGGCGCATCACAAGCCCCCAAACTCCAAAGCCAAACGCCGAGAAGCTGAGGGCCCTGAGAGATAATATACAACACCTTATCTCCGGATACAGCTGCGTGTTGAAACATGTGCTCACTGCTCAGACGCAGGTGGGTGGGTGTGTTTTGCAATTACTTGCAATGGCTCCGAGCTGCAACAGTTGAGTCTCATGGATTGCTTTTCCCATGTCCTTTTTTATTTCTTGTGTTTCCTTTTTCTGGATGGAATTTGTATGGGTGGAGGGAGGTGAGAATGCGGCTCTCGGTAGTAGGTAGAGGTAGGGTGTTTGTTGATTTTTGTATGGGCACTCACAGTCCCGGGTCTGGAAATGATCCGGATGCTGACTCCGAGGCTCTCCCAGCTGGGCAAAGAGGGAAAGAAGTTTCTTCAGACCTGATGGTGAGAGGACCTAGAGGTAATCTTGCACACTCGTTAGCCAAAATAGTTAGGTACCTGTTGATTCGAGTATTATTTTTACCATGATGATATACGACACTCAAAGCACACGCACACCATTGAATCACGTTCCTCCGGACGTTACCTTAGGAAAAGCACATTCTACCCTATCCTCCACTTGAGCTTTGTGTCAACCGATAATCCCTAGTTATGAGTAGCTGTAAGATAGGTATCTAAATACCTCTAGCTTCCAGCGGTCCCTCTATCATTCAGTCCTACCGTCCCGTCGGTCATATACAAGTAGCGAAGTAGGTGCCTGCCAATGCCGCATAAAACTCAACCACATGTTCCATCGGACGAAATCGGCTGCCGTGGACCACCACCTGCGTCGCCGCGCTTGCCCATGCTTGATAAGCGACCAAGTCCAGGCCGACGGGAGTTAGCAGGATCTCCTTGGGACTACTTACATAGGTAGCTCAACTGGTCCCATCGATAGTGTAGGGTCTCTTCAGTGCGTCGTACCTACCTACCCCCGGTCTACGAAGAGGTCCCGCATTCGACTCGGTTGCACGTTTGCGATCTTTTTTTCGCGCAAAGCTGGGATTTCGAACTTGTCGACAACGAATGCCCTCCCGCCGTGTTCGCTCCCGAGGAGAGCAGCAGTAGTGCCCTGCTACTTACTGTTTTTTTTTTTTCGTCAATTTCCTTTTTGTTTCTCGTCTGTTCTTTTTTCCAAGGACCACGCACGTAACAATTCACGATGCCCATGTCTCTCCCTCCACCTCTACTTTGCCCTGCTAGGCCTAGCTAGATAGGTTGTCATTCATGTATATTTCCGACCCTAATGCCACCAACAGCAAGCAGCGCTCTGTTATTTGTCCCTCTGTGTGGCGGCTCGCAAGAATCTATTATGATGCAATAGCCCACCAACCACGACGTTATTTCCGAAGGGGGTGTGTGTGTGTTCTCACCTTTCGATAGAGGACGCGAGCATGGTTGATGTCATAATATTGCCCTGCCTGCTCTCAAGTCAGACTCGGACCTGGCCTAGGTGAGACCCGGAGAAAACCTACCTACCCAGAGAGGTGTAGCCTTATGGCGACGACGCCGTACAATGACTCACTACGTATAAACATTGAGTAGAAGAAGAGGGTTTAAGGGTTTTCTCTACAAAGTCGGAGTCGGGCAAGCCCGGATAAAGATGGCACAGGCACAGGCACAGGCACAGGCACAGGCAGCAAGGTGAGACCGCCGCGCTGCCCGACGAGACTCGAGAGAAGGAAGAGAATGGGATATGTAAGCAAGGGCTTACCGTGTCGTGTGGAATCGTTGCGCCGTTGTACTCGTACTAGTTAGTACTCGTAGAACGAACTCGCTTGTGAAATGGAATGTCTGTCAAAACGTAGTAGTGTAGAGGTCATGTGTACAACTTAGCTGTCAGTTGTCAATCCTGTCGTTTCAGCGTCAGAAACGTCAGAAATGGGGAGAACGACTGACCTAGTCCTGGTCTTGACACTGGAGGCTCAAACCCCTTCCTTAGGACCCTAACAGATTGGAGTAAACGGACCACCGAATGACAGACATACCCCGAGAGTCGTCTTTACGACATTCATGATGACGAGGGTGGATAAACGTATGTACAGTGAACCATCGTTCAACTCGTAGACTCCCCCGCCCCAACACAGGACATGCCACAGCCTACACAAACAATATTCACTTGCTATCCTCAAAACGCTTGCTCTGCATTGTCGATTCTTCACCTGAAGGACTTAGGAGGGTATGTAGAAGTTATGATCATTACCATACCGACCGATCTTTCATCACCACCACATATCGTTGTCCCGGACATGTTCACCCTTGGCAAATTCTCTTTGCAGTTCTGTTCTTCCTGCTAAGTCCTGTTGTTCTGCCAGGTTTCCCTTCCCCATGCATTCTTTCCGGGCTTTACGACGATGACGAAGCGGCAGCTGGTGCCTTGTTGCTGTCACCAGTCTGTGTTGGGGGAACGAAAACCTCGGCGGAACGGGGGATGGGCCAATGCGCATAGATCATCTGCTTCCTGAGGTGCACGGGTGTGACGTTGGGAGGCTGGTCGGGGATTTCCTTCTTGAGACCCTTTTATAGTGGGAAAGAGACTTGGTAAGTTATCGCACAACGGATTTGGGATGAACATGTGGTGAGTGTTGGTAATATCTTGTAAGGCGAGAAAACAATAGGTAGAGCCCATGGACGGGGCGCATGCCAACATGGCTTTGCTCGAGTCATGCACTAATACCACGCGGATTGTGCTGGTGATGGATGAATGGATACCGGGCGTCACTTACCAAGTTCTCAAAGACACACTTGTTCAGCTTCCATTCGGCAGGACGGCATTGCCAAAGCTGCTGGTTGTTGTCCTCAAGGCATGTCCAGTGCTTGCGGAACTCTTCCAGGCATGACTTGTTGATGTCGGCGATACTGCGACAGAGGTTCGACCCCGTATCCATGTTAGCCAAAGTGTCTCCACAATGTTCCCCATACTCCTTATCCACGACATGACTCTCTCCCCGGCGTCTTTATATTCCACCAAACCTCCAACATATATGTTGACTTACACGCTCCGGGCGCATCGGGTAACCCTTCGGCCCTCCTTCAAACACTCAAACTCGCCCTTTCCGGGGTTCTCGTTCTTGCACTGCATGAAATCATCGTTGTAATCGCGGCACCGGGCTCCGATGAAGTAGGCGGCCGACATAAGCGGGGCAGAACTGGCACCGAGCTCCTTGACCTTGGGGATCGAGTCCGGCAAGGGGGTGGTGTCGTAAAGGACCTGCTGGTTGAACCTGTGATATGTGAATGATGGTCAGCCCTTCGTTATCGCCAAAATTGCAGCAGAATCTCTGTAGTAATGATGGGGTCACAGTCGCAGTCGCCGTCGCCAACTGGACATGGCGAAACAATGCCAATTGCTCTCCTGCAGCTGGGCGCAAGCTGGGGTGTTACATACTGGGGAATCCGAGAAGCCATCTTGTCGGTTCAGGCGAGCCTGTCGTTGATCGCAAAGGCAACAAATCGAGGCTTCGAGGGCAGGTTTTGGACGGGTAGCTTGGTGATGGTGTCGTACCTCTTGCCGGCTACCCTCGAGTGGCCTGGCTGTGAGTGGACCGCGGCTGATTGCTCTTGATTGGCTGGTGAATGTCAAGCTCTTGGCGTTCATGCCCGCCGGCCTCACCTTCCAGCAACCTCGGTGAGCCGCAACAGACCACTGACGCGCTAAAACCGGCCGGAGGAGCTTTGACCTCCTCAACGCCTGCACGGCAAGTGAACCAGAAGTGGGCGTCGTCGCTGTCGCTACGTACAACCCCGTAAATTTCTACTCCAAGAATTGCCCAGCAACGACGGCTTTGCGAATCGCGACAACCGTGACTCCCGACTCAGTATCCGATATAACGACGTTTTCGATTATTCCAGCCAAAGCGAACCTGATCGCGTGCCTATAAGCTTTGATTTGGACCGCGTTTAGTCGACCAATTTATCCAAACTCGGCCGCGAATCCCCACCGTCGCATTTGTTTTCTTTCACGGGCTTCAGCTGTTTCCATCTGCACGCGCCGTCTTCCTTTCCGCGCTTTTTATTTCCGCCAGTATACGACACTACCGGCACCATGAGTCTATTCGGTACAACCCAGCAGACAGGCCAATCTCTTTTCGGCGCTCCTCAGACAGGCACTTCGTTGTTCGGGCAAACGGTAAGCCATCCCTCTGCCATCTTCCGTCGGAATTTGTTTGGAGCAGGGGCAAGCTGAATGGACCCGAATGCTGACGTGCCGGCTTTAAACAGCAGCAACAGCAGCAGCCGCAACAACAACAACTGCCAACTGCCTCCATCCTCGGTCAGTCGCAGGCAACCCAGAACCAGCAGTTGGGCAGCTCTCTATGGCAGCCCGGAAGCCAGACAACCTGTACGTTGTGCCTGTAGCTGTCTTCTACACCATTCCTCGATTTGCTACCATTGCCGAATCGTTCACTCATGCCACCTTTCCCAAACTACGAGCACGAGATGGAAAACAGCCTCGCAATGTTTGCTAACCTCCGACTGCGTGCAGACCAGAAGCCGATCCCGGAGCAGATCCAAGTCATCACTCAGAAATGGGACCCAACCAACCCCAACTGCGCCTTCAAGACGTACCTCTACAACAAGGTCGATGAGCATGCCGCTCCCCTCTACCAGCCCGGACCGAACGACGACCCCAAGGAGTGGGAAGAGGCTCTCGCGGAAAAGCCAGGGCCGAACTACATCCCCGTGCTGTGCGCGGGCTTCCCCGCCATCGTCGCGCGCCTGCTTCTCCAGCGGCGCGTGATCACCGAGTTCAACAACAAGCTGCACGCCATCAACGCCAGCCTGGACGAGATCCTGTCGCGTCACGGCCTCGAACACTCGGTGCGCGCGCTCAAGGCGAGGAGGAGACATGCGGAGCTGAGCAAGCGGTGCTTGGCGCTGGCGTCGCGAGTCCAGGTGCTGCGCAACAGGGGGTACGCGCTGAGCAGCGACGAGGACGAGCTCAAGCAGAAGCTGGCCAAGATCGACAAGAACATTCAGGACCCGGCGCTGAGCGCGCGCATGGAGGAGCTCTGGAGTAGGCTGATTATCTTGAGGGGATATGCGGACAATCTGAAGGATGAGATCAACAAGCCTGGTTTTGCGGAGAGCGACGGACTTGGTGAGGAGGTTGAGGCGAAAGCGAAGAAGGTTTGTTTTTTCTGTACTAATGTGCCCTGATCATGTCAACTTGATTAATGCTAACTTGGAGATGCAGATCCTCGAGGACTACGAGAAGCAGTTGCAGCACCTCAAAAAGCAGGTCGAGGAAGCCAGGAAGGACTATGAGGACTGGGAGAAGGAACACCAGCCTACTCCGGCACCCATGTAAAGGGGAGAGTCCGTGGTTGAGTAAGAGTGGTTCAAGGGGAGGAATCGATCAGAAAGTCTGGTAGGGCCACCTGAGAGCTTGACGAGAAAACCAAGCCCATGGCTAAAGGATTTAATGTGGAAAAGCCGTGTTGGAGCGGAACGGGATGAAGTGTACAAAGCATGTATTGGCGTTCAGTGGTTTGTGTGGGAACTGGAGGCGGCGGCATGGAGGAAATACATCAAACTCGTGAGGGGCTTCTTGGTCTCAGCACCGAGGCATATCAAACTTGGCTGCGAAACTGGGCGCCGTGTATGTGGTTTGTCAAAGACGACATCAAGCCCAATTTGCCCCATTTTTCCACATACACTACTTAAATGTGATGGCTTGTGTCACAGATAGACGGGTTCCCGCACGTATACCGCCATCAACGGGCAATCCGCAAAAGGTCCCTAGCAGTATTCAGACTTGACCGATGTGTCTAACAGAAAAAAAAAGTGCTTCATACTTCAGTCCAACGCATCTTGACACATATCGTACAGCCTCGGGAGGAAGGGAGTCCCGCCCCGGTATGGGTATCATTTTTATCCATTCCATTTTCTCAGCCGCGCCGAAAAATCGGAGCTCAGGCAACGCAGGCGTATTATTTCATGTAACGCTTTGTTTCTCTCGAAGTGATGTGGATTGGTTTCCCGTCTTCTTGTTGCAACTCGTTCGTTGTTTATGTATAATACATCTAGAGAACCTTGCTGACGGCGTCAATGACGAAGGGGGCTATGTGGATTTCTTGTTGTTAGCTTTCAGGCCAGACCGGAGAACAGGGAAGCGCATTGGCAGTGCAATGAGAGAAGGAAGCTGCCCGGCTGGCGAGGACAGGTAGAGGTAGGTAGGTAGGTAGACGAACAGAGGTAGAGAGCAACGGCAGTAAAGACGGCGCGCTGGATGGTGAAGGTGGCCTCGGCCTCGGCGGCCTGGAGCTCCTCGCGGGAGAGGGCAGGGGGCTGGACTGTGAAGTGGTAAATAAATGTCAGTGTTAGGTATGTACAATGATGGCGGCGATGGTGGTGGATTCAGTGGTATTGTTTGTTTGTTTGCTTGTGTTGTTGCTTGTTGCTTTGCAAAAGCTAATAATGATTTTTTTCTATGCTGATGGAGATTGACTGCTCAATCATGAGGTGGCACTTACATCCTCCGAACATTTTGGTATAAAAGTCGCGTTGACGTGTTACTTGTGGCAGACTGGTCGCGATATGGGCTGCTGGACGATACGATGGGGCCGATTCCCGTGATGGATGGTCGTCTTGAAATTTTGGATCCCCAGCTGTTTGGGGTGCCGGCCGGGCTCCCGTCGTGCAGTGACGCCCCAGAACGGCTTTCCGCGCCTTGCAGCGCGCTCGCTTCAGCGCTGAACGGGTCCAGCCGCAGGGGTTCACTCAATCGCCCCTCATTCCGCTCGCTTGTCTTATCAGCTCTTATCAGAAGGAGCTAGCGCGCTTATCGGTCAATGTACCTGTGGTCCAAGCTCTTGAGGTCGCAGCAGATGTAGGTAAACCCTGACTATGGCCGGCCCGAGAATACCCGACAGTCTCGACATTGTTTGCTGCTGTTGCCGCGCTTCGATAACGACGTAAAACGGGCCAGCATGTACCCTGTACCTCTTACCCCGTACCCCGTACTGTTCGACAAGATCTGGGGACTATCTTTTTGGCTAGTGAATGACAGGACTTGGCCGAACACTAGCAAGTACTTTCAAGATGGCAAGATCGGACAGGAAGGATAAAAAGAACAGTTGGTGATGCAATCAAGTCCAATGTCCTCCCCTCTGAACCAGTCTGCGTTTTCAATTCGACTGCGACTCACCGTACTCTTTTGTTTTTGTTTTTTCACATCATGTGCCAGCCACTGCAGCGTGTGTCGTTGATATTGGCCTCGACAACCCCCTTCAAAAGTAGAAGGTACTTTGGGATGGATTCCCTGTCTCCAACCGCATTCCAATGTGTCACTCAAACTTCATCGGCCGAGAAAGATCCTCGATTGCGTTAGTCACTACTACCGGTGTCGGGCCTGACTGGTCCATATTTTTTTTTTCTACAATCGCTATCGCTTTGCGGCTTGTTACTGCTATTGCCAGCCATTGGGGTCGTCATACTAGTGTTGCTAGTAGTCATGGGAACTGCCTCTACGGGACGGGGATACGCCCGGTCTTTTCTCTTTGGATTGGGACATGATCCCTTCCAGTGGACGGTGTTGTGACTGTTCTGTCCTGCTGTTTTGTTTGTGACTGGCTCCGGATGTGTGTGTGTCAGTTCCGTCCCTTGTCGTTTCCTCCAGAGATATCGAGATATCGTATAGATACCCGGGGGCGGTCCGTCCAGATTCGCCCCGCCTCCCTGACTCCTTCCCTCCAGGTCCTTTTCCTTCTTCTCCTTCTCCCTTTCGTCTCGTCTCTTCTTCCTCCCTCATTGTCATAGCACAGTACTCTAAGTTCGTCCCATCTTCCCTCCCTCCACCCTATCAACCCGCCAATTCCGCCGGGCAGTCCGGGCCTGCCTCATCCCTCCCCGCCGATCCAATCGCCGTATTCATCGGCCAGTCCCGTTAGCTCACCATCATGACTGCTCCGGGACGTGTCGGCCGCTTGGGCCACATCGTCGGGCCCTCGACAATGGCCTTCCGAGCTGCCATGCCTGCCCGCCTGCCGTTGAGGCCGTCCACTGCTGTCTCGTGCCCACAACCGCTGGTGGCTGCCTCCGGCCTGCGATGGGCATCAAAAGGACGTTCGCAAGGAAAGCTGAAGAGGGTTATCCCCAGAACTGCTTGGGTCCAGTATCCCGAGCTGTTCCCCGTCCGCGAGGACTTTGCGAGTCGCCATATCGGTCCCGACAACTCCAGCATTCAGGAAATGCTTGGGGCTTTGGATCCGCCTGTCGAGTCGTTGGACCAGTTCGTTCAGGAGGTCATTCCTGCAGATATCTTGTCGAAGCGCGAGCTCTTCCCGCAAAACCGCGTCAGGTTCCACTCGACCAAAAAGTACCCTACCCGTCAGGGCCATCAAGAGTGGGAAATCGTCAAGATCGCCGAGTCTATGGCCTCAAGCAACAGACACAGCATCAAGGCTCAAATCGGTGCCGGCTACTATGGCACTCTCACCCCCGAGGTCATCAAGAGAAACGTGCTCGAGAGCCCCGCTTGGTACACAAGCTACACGCCCTACCAGCCCGAGATCAGCCAAGGCAGACTGGAATCCCTTCTCAACTTCCAGACCATGGTCACCGACCTGACTGGCCTTCCAATTGCGAATGCGAGCTTGCTGGACGAGGGAACCGCTGCCGCCGAGGCCATGACCATGTCGCTCAATGCTCTCCCTGCCTCCAGAACAAAGAGCCCCACCAAGACCTATGTCCTCTCTAACAGGCTTCACCCTCAGACGAGAGCCGTCCTCAGGAGCCGCGCCGAGGGTTTCGGTGTCAACATCATTACTCTGGATTTCCACGATCCCGAATTCCCCTCCAAGCTCGAGGAATTGGGCGACGACCTGGTTGGTGTCATGGTTCAATATCCAGACACAACTGGCCAGGTGTTGGAGCACCGACAGCTCGCCGACCTTGTTCACAAGCAAGGCGCTCTTCTCAGTGTTGCGACCGATCTTCTGGCTCTTACCATGTTGACTCCTCCAGGCGAGTGGGGTGCCGATATCGCCTTTGGCAACTCTCAGCGGTTTGGTGTGCCTCTGGGCTTTGGTGGCCCGCATGCGGCCTTCTTCGCGGTGCAAGAGAAGCATAAGAGGAAGATGCCAGGTCGTTTGATTGGTGTCTCCAAGGATCGTCTCGGTGGTCGCGCATTGAGACTGTCCTTGCAAACCAGAGAACAACACATCCGCAGAGAGAAGGCTACCAGCAACGTTTGCACTGCTCAGGCCCTTTTGGCCAACATCAGCTCATTCTATGCTGTTTACCACGGTCCCGAGGGCCTTCGGGCAATCGCGGAAAGGTGCAACCTGGGTGCCAGGGTTCTTGAGTCTGCAGCCAAGTTCTGCGGGCTGCAGCTCTACTCGCCAACTGGCTCGGTGGTGCCGTTCGATACCCTCGTCATCAACCAAGACCATATCGGCAAGGTCCTGGTTTATGCCGCCAGAGAGAGAGGTATCAACATTCGCTTCATTTCCACCGATTCGGCCGGCATCAGTGTGGATGAGACCACCACCGAAAACGATCTCATTAACCTCATTGGCGCATTCCAAGATGCTGCGAGGAGCCTCAAGACCCAAGGCAGAGATGAGGCCCTTGACGCTAACCCGCAAGTGATCTTTGAGCACTTCTTGAAGCACCATGTCGAGCAGATCAAGCAGTCCGGACCGCTGGGCCATCTTCCGGAACCCCTGCGTCGAACTTCGTCTTACCTAACTCACCCCGTTTTCAACACACATCACTCTGAGACGGAACTCCTTCGGTACATCCATCATCTGCAGTCCAAGGACTTGTCGTTGGTGCATTCCATGATTCCCCTGGGCTCCTGCACCATGAAGCTCAACGCCAGTGCTGAGATGGCCCTCATCACGCTTCCCGGCTTCTCCAACCTTCACCCTTTCGTTCCGCCAGACCAGTCGGAGGGATACACAAAGCTCACAAAGGTACTTGAAAACCAGCTGAATGACATCACCGGTATGGATGCCTGCTCGCTTCAGCCCAACTCGGGCGCCCAGGGTGAATTCGCTGGCTTGCGCGTCATTCGCAAGTATCTCCAGAGCCGGGCGCAAAGCCATCGTGACATCTGTCTCATTCCTGTTTCCGCTCACGGTACCAACCCTGCGTCGGCAGCCATGGCCGGTATGCGTGTTGTTCCCATCAAGTGCGACACCAAGACGGGCAACCTTGATCTTGCCGACTTGGAGGCCAAGTGCAAGCAGTACGAGAACGAGCTCGCTGCCATGATGATCACGTATCCCAGCACCTTCGGTGTTTTCGAGCCTGCGATCAAGAAGGTCTGTCAGATCGTGCACGCTCACGGAGGACAGGTCTACATGGATGGCGCGAACATGAACGCCCAGGTCGGTCTCTGCTCTCCTGGAGAGATCGGTGCCGACGTCTGCCACTTGAACTTGCACAAGACTTTCTGTATTCCCCACGGCGGTGGCGGTCCTGGTGTTGGTCCCATCTGCGTCAAGGATCACCTTGCCAGCTTCTTGCCCACCACCAAGACCATGTCGAATACCGAGCTCAACTTGCCCGTTAGCAGTGCGAGCTACGGCAGTGCCAGCATTTTGCCCATCAGCTGGTCCTATAACGCTCTCATGGGTAAGTCCTCCAGTCCTTGGAACTGTGTCAGTGTCATTTGTGAATGTGTTTGCTAACCTCTGGAAACAGGCGGTGCTGGTCTCAAGAAGGCTACCCAGGTCACCCTGCTCAACGCCAACTACCTCCTCAGCCGTCTGAAGGATCACTACCCCATCTTGTACACCAACGAGCACGGCCGTTGCGCCCACGAGTTCATCATCGACGCCCGTCCGTTCGAGAAGACTTCCGGAATCCAGGCCATCGACATCGCCAAGCGTCTGCAGGATTACGGCTTCCACGCTCCCACTATGAGCTGGCCCGTCGCCAACACGCTCATGATCGAGCCTACCGAGTCCGAGTCCAAGGAGGAGCTCGACCGTTTCGTTGACGCCTTGATCGCCATCCGCGAGGAGATCCGTGAGGTCGAGGAGGGCAAGCAGCCCCGTGAGGGTAACGTCTTGAAGATGTCTCCTCACCCCATCTCCGACATCATTGGCGGCGATGGCGAGGCCGGAAACAAGTGGGATAGGCCTTATAGCCGTGAGAAGGCTGCTTACCCGCTGGCGTGGTTGAGGGAGAAGAAGTTCTGGCCTAGCGTTGCCCGTGTTAACGACAGTAAGTGATGTGCAACAATCCCTTTTTTTGTATTGGAGCAGTGACTAACAACCCATCTTTTACAGCCTACGGTGATCTGAACCTCTTCTGTACCTGCCCTCCGGTTGAGGACACCACCGGTGGCAACCAGTCCTCCATCCAGGAGCAGTGAGCAATAGGTCAGCTTTTGACTTTGCAGGTGGGAGAAAAGAGACGGGAAGGTGATCAGGTTTCAGATTTTCAGTTTTCAACAATATACCCGGAGGCTAGCACACACGAGTAGCCCGATGTAATTTCAACCACTCAGGGGTGAGCGGCGCTTCCATGTTTTTTACGGCTTACGTTTAACACGTACTTTCAACACTGTAATGAAAACGGATTAGGGGGGTCTAGAAAAAAGGAGTTCAACAGGATCTAATCTAGGCTTGGCTTGCTTGGGTTTTTATAGGAAGGGATAAAATAAAGGAGGGAAAAAGACATTAGATAGCGTGGGTTGGTGCATTTACATGCTGGCTGAGCATCAACTGCCTTGGATTACGAAGAGAAAAAAGACAGAGGGAAGGGACTACTGTATATACAAGAAAGAGCTTATAGATTTCTGAGTTCAGATCATCGTTGCTTTCACGGGCTTCAGAGATAACTCTTCACTATGTGCAATGTCGACGGGACAGTTTGGTCACACATCCGAGAAAACAAGTTGCGTCAAAGTAAACCTGGTAATCTTGACAGAAAGCGAGAAGGCGGGTCGGAGAGTCTCAGAACTGTATTTTTTATGAGCCACTGCGCGGAGTTGATAACTCAGAAAGCGCCATGATGTCCCATCACTTGCTCATATCCATCACATATCTTCCAATAACCCTATTCTCCCTCATGGCATCGAAAATGCTCTCAATCTCACTCAGCCCAACCACCTTATACGGCGCATGAATCATACCCCTGATGAAGAAATCAACCGCCTCGGCCGTATCCTCCCTATTGCCCACATACGACCCTTTAACCTTGATCATCCTAATCACCGTATCAAACACCGGCATGCTCACCCTGGCGCCCGCCGGCATTCCAATACAGACCACGGTGCCATGCGACCGCACATAGCCCGCGGCCTGCTGGAACGGCTGCTCCTGCGGCGCCAGCAAAATCACGCCATGCGGTCCCAGCCCATCCGACGTGGCCTTGCGGACATCAGCCACCAGGTCCTTGGACTCCCTGAAATCGATGAACGTCTCCGCGCCCAACTTCTTGCACGCCTCGCCCTTTTCCTTGCCGCCATCGATGGCGATCACGTTCAGCCCCATCGCGTGCGCGTACTGGATCCCGATCGTGCCCAGCCCGCCCCCGGCACCGACAATCGCCACGTACTGGCCCGGCCGCGTCTCGGATTCTTTCAGGCCCTTGTACACCGTCAGCCCGGCGCACATGATGGGCGCGACGCCGGCCAGGTCGGTGTGCGGCGGGAAGCGGGCCAGGTGCGCCGCGTTCGCGACGCAGTACTGCTGGAAGGTGCCGTCGACGGTGTACCCCGACAGCTGCGCCCTCGGGCACAGCGACTCTTGGGCTTGCTGGCAAAAGGTGCAGTGGAAACAGGTGGCCATGAGCCACTTGACGCCGACCTTGTCGCCGATTTCGACGTTGGTTACTAGCGAGCCCTTTTTGACTACAATGCCGGCCCCCTCGTGGCCGCCGACCAGAGGGGTCTTGCGCGGCAGCGGCCAGTCGTTGTTGAGCGCATGCAGGTCGGTGTGGCAGACGCCGGAATACTTGATGTTGACGAGGACTTGGTCGTGGCCGGGTTCGGGCACGGGGATTTTCTTGAGGGTCGATACTGCGTTTATGGTGTTAGTATGGATGGTATAACACACGAAAGTCCATTCAATTGGATGATGGAGAGAAGAAGAAGAAGAAGACGTACCGCCATCCTTCTCATAGACCTGCGCCCATTGCTCCTTGGGGATGTCTACTGGCTGGCTCATGATGGATGTCGGTGCAAGTGCAAATGATGAGTTCCGTCTAGATGATGTTGTCGTGATGAACAGAACCTCTTTGGTTTCTTGATAGGGATATGATGGACAAGACGAGATAGAGAACCTCTACGGGCAGCTTGTAGGAGGAAGAAAACTCTCCTTGAGACAACACAACTAGGAGGAGAAGGAAGCATGTTCCGGAACTACTCTTCGGAGAGCTCGTATTTAGCAAAAGGAGGCCAGTGCTGGACAGCAGACGCGTCACTACCACGCAGCCGTGAGATAGAAATACTCTCAGCTTACAGCAACCGGCAAAGCTGTGCTACTTTTGCTTGTGTGGTTTTCGGGTGATGTGGTTATGATCCGTCGCATTGACAAGTTTGACGTCACTTCCCCCCTCCGTCAGGAGAAAGGGTCAGTTCTCAACGGTAAAATGGTCCTGGCTCAAATTATGCGCGGTCGATACTGAGAGACGGCCATGTGTAGATCTGAAGGCAGTTTTTCTCTGCGATCATACAAACAAACAGCTTGTTTGTCGTTCACCCTCACGAGGACCCATCGTTCCCAGCGAGGTGCGATTTGTCGGAGGCCGCTGATGCCAAAGGCAGGTCGAGCTTCCACCACTCTACGCCGCCGCGTTCATAACCAGAAAAAGTATCGAGTGACACGAACGGCCAAAGGTATTAACCGCCGCCTAAGGGAATCACAAGAAGTGAAGCTATTCACATTTCCGTGGCTGCCCCATCAAACAGGTGTTGAAGATGAGGTGCTATGCACGTTGGACGCCATGATGGCCGGTTATGGGAAATTTCGATGTGTTGGAAAATGATTCGATTGCTTCGCCAAGATGTTTACTGAGAGCCTTCAAAGATCCAAAACATCCAGGGCATTGATGTGATGCCATCGTGAAGGAAAAGTCCAGTGTCGGAGTCCAAGCTCGAGGAGTTCATCCGCCGTGAATTTGGCGATTATGTCAGCGATCAGCACTGACCAGGGATCCCTGGACATGCCAAGAGGAAGCCCCTGGAACCCCGCGATTCCAGATTTTATCGAAGCTTATCAAGCAAAAAATTATTCAGCCGCCCCTCCTTATATCCGCGATAACGAAGAGGCCTGTTGCCCGCGATCGCAAAGTCTCACCAACTTCAGCACTGCATATACCCTTTTTCTTCCTTGGACCTCGCCAATTCGTCCTCATACACCTCCGATCTCATCAATCTACCAGAAATAACTCTTGCGCCAAACCACACATTCCACCATGCCGTTCCCGCAAGACCCCCAAGATCCTAACCACCAGGATCACCAGGACAACGATATGCACGACGAGGACGAGATTATCCAGGGGGATGAAATCGACGAGGTTTTTGAGGGTGACGACGCCGAGGGTGACGTCGCCATGGACTCTGACGACGAAGACCACGAGATGGGTGAAGGCGACGAGGAGATCCTCCTACACAACGACAGCATCGCCTACTTTGACGCCCACAAGGACTCCGTCTTCGCCATTGCGCAACACCCCATCTACCCACAGCTGATCGCGACCGGCGGTTCCGAAGGCGAAGCCGACGACGCGCCCGGCAAGGGCTACGTGTTCGACACCTCCGCCGCCGTCTCACGCCCCGTCCTCCCTCCCAGCTTCCAGTCCGACCCGAGCGCTGGCCAACAGCAGAACCCCCAGCTCACCCCCATCTTCGAGATCGACGGGCACACCGACAGCATCAACGCTCTCGCCTTCACACTACCCAAGGGCGAATTCCTCGCTAGCGCCGGCATGGACGGCCGGTTACGCGTGTACGCCGTTGGCACGGGCAACAACCAGTTCCAGTTCCAGTTCCTCGCTGAGTCGCAAGAGACCGAAGAGATCAACTGGCTTCTTCCCTGCCCATCCGCCGACTTCCCTAACACCCTCGCCCTCGGCGCCTCCGACGGCTCCGTGTGGGTCTTCACCATCGACCCTACCGACTCTGCCTCCCCGATCCAGATCATCCAGTCCTACTTCCTGCACACAGGCCCTTGCACGGCGGGCGCCTGGTCGGCCGACGGCAATCTGCTGGCCACGGTCTCTGAGGACGCATCCATGCACGTCTTCGACGTCTGGGGCGTCGCCGCCGCCAAGAACCTCGTCACCGACAACGGCCAGACCGTCGTCTCGCTCACCGAAGCCGACCAGCGCTTCGCCGTCGAAGGCGGCCTGTACTCGGTCGCCATCTCGCCCTCGGGCAACTTCGTCGCCGCCGGCGGCGCAGGCGGTAACATCAAGATCGTCGGCTTGCCGCGCCTTTCCGAGCAGCCTCAACAAACAAAGCCAACAGCCTCCCGCCCCGCCCCCGCCATCCGCGGCCCCGCCGGCCGTCGCATGCCCGCTCCCTCACAACGTCCTTCCGCCTCCGGCGCGGGCGCCGAGCCCTCAGCCCAAGCAGGCGCTATCCTCGCCTCCCTCGCCGTGCAAGGCGACGGCATCGAGACCCTCGCCTTCTCCCCCCTTCCGAACACCCTTTTGGCAGCGGGCTCAGTAGACGGCAGCATCGCCGTGTACGACAGTGCGCGCTCGTTCGCGGTGCGCAAGCACATCCGCGGCGCGCACGAGGGCGAGTCGGTCGTCAAGGTGGACTTTGTCAAGAGCGCGACTTCGCAGCCCGGCACGCACGGGTGGCTTTTGACGAGCTGCGGATTGGACGGTGTGGTCAGGAGATGGGATCTGCGTGGCGCGACGGCAACTCAGCAGACGATGCAGGGCGGCGCGGCGGTGAGCGGGTTGATGAAGGAGTGGAGGGGACATGCTGGTGGAGAGGGCGGTGGTGTTTTGGGCTTCGTGCAGGGGGAGACGGGCGAGAGGGTTGTTACTGCTGGTGATGATGGTGTGGTGTTGGTTTTTGAGGCTTGAGGTTGATCGTGTATAGATGATGGTGGATAAGGAGTTTGTGATACGGAAAGATTTATACCTTAGACAGCGAATTGATTGTTGCGAATTTGGCAACCTTAGACAGCGGTCCCCATTGATATTCAACATGAAAGAGTATTTGCGAAGCGAAGCGTGTGAAAGCAGCAACGATCTAGACCACCATCAAAGACAGGCACCAACCAACATTGAAGGAAGGTAGAGTCCGAATCCGATTTTTTTGCGTTTACAAGTCAATGAATGAGATAACAATCACTTACACGCACGTTAGTTACATACAACCAACCATGCTGGCGATCCGGGTTGGAGATAGATGTTGTAATCAAGATTAACGAGCCGTTCGTTCTAAGCTTCCGACCACTACCGACTGGGAGAAAAAAGAAGAAAATAAAGAAAGAAAGAGGTGTTCCAACATCAACATGTTTTTTTACCTTTACCAGGGAAGGAAAAAAAGAAAGTTAAGTGCGGTTTGTGTGGATCGAACACACGACCTTCAGATATATGAGTGAAGTGGACTTCAGTCTGACGCTCTCCCAACTGAGCTAAACCCGCTTAACATGATATTCTCTAGCAACTGTAGTGTCTATAAACTAGGTAATGCGACGCTGGCAGGTCACTCAGTCTATTGTTACCGATGTGAAGGCTGTCCATCCAACCTTCCTCCTCCATCCATCCATCTTGCCACTCTCTTCTCAAACTGTTGGGACAGGCAGGTTTCACAAACGCATAAAGAGGAGGAAACTTTGGAGCAGCTAGTAAGTAAGCCTTAAAGATTGAAGGCGCTCAAAAACACCTAGTCCTCCGAGCCAAAATCCTTTAGTGACTGGGAAGGGGGGGTATATGCCAAGGTATATATAACCAAACGAAAAATACTTGTTCAAACAAAGGATATCAAAACAATTTCATCCAACGAGACACCCTTTTAGCCATACTTCCGTTACATCCAATCCAGTCCAGTCGTTAGTAGTTTGTAAAATCCAATCCAATCGAATCCCACCGTATCGTATCATATCTCTTTTCCTTCCCGTCATTCAGTTTCACCCCAACAACCCCATTCATTCATTCATTCCCCTTCATCCCTTCTCCTTCTTCTTCATCTTCTTCACTTTGACATACATCCACACACACTCAAGGCTTAGCAACCTGCTCCTTCCTAAAGAACTTGAAGAACCCCACGGGCAACACCAACTGCAGTCCCAACACAACCCAAAACCACGGCCTCCCCAACCCGGGCATTGCCCCGCCACTAAAATCCGGGAAGACATCTCCCGGCCCATCCTTATCCGGCGCCGTCGCCCTCGCCAACATGGTAAACACCGCCCCCAAAAACTGCGCCCCGATAAGCGTGGCAGCCACATGCTGCCGCGTGAGCGTCAGCAACAAAACCATACCCAGTCCGACACCCTGCACCGTATCCAGGAGCCCTAACCACAGCCACAAGCAGCGGGAGATGATCGCTGAAAGAGCAACCGAGCCGCACCAGGGGAGATAGAGCCCGATTCCGCTGGTGGCCCACAACATCTGCGCCCAGCGCGGGGCTCCCAAGCCGATGGCGAAGAGCGGGACGATCCACGGGTGGGTTTTGGTGAAGTAGGCGAATAGCCAGAGCAGCAAGCACCAGAGGCCGACGAAGAAGCCGATGGCGAGAAGCAAGATGGCCCAGCCGGGGACGGCCCTCGAGTAAAACAAAAACTCCCAGGTGCGCCCGTAGGGGGCCGAGAGGAAGTAGTTCTGGATGACGACCATCAACAAAAACCAGGGCACGATGTGGCGGCGCAGGAGAGATTTGTAGAAGGAGGGGATCGTGTCGGGTTGTTGGCGGTAGTAATCGGGTAGACCGATGAAGGAGATTACGCCGAGGGACCAGAGGATGAGGGCGATGGGGACGGTGATGACGAGGACCACGGGGACTTTGTTGGCGATCCAGACACCGACGTGGGGAGAACCGGTGGGGGTTTGCGCGGTGAGAAGACTGCCCCAGTACCAGAGGGCGAGGACGTAGACTTGTTGGATGCCTTGGATGATGGCGGCGCGGAAGATCCAGGTCATTATGGGGACGCCACCTGAAGGACATGTTAGCATGGGTACATTTTCTTGGAGGATACCGGGAGAAAAGAAGTCTTACCTTCATCACCAAAGTTCATGGCAAAGAACAAGGATCCGCTTGATGCACCAGCGGCGTACAATGCCGACGCAGTATTCTGAACTGGGAAACGGACGTGTTCAGGCATGAACGGCGTTACGCCCAGAAGCATGAATGCCAGACCATAGAAGAGCCAGGGCAGCGAGAGCGAGTACAGGGCCGGGAGGCGGCGGAACATGAACCACCAGAGAAGGGAGCCGAGGGCATACGTGCCCGCAACGATATAAAGTGACGTAGTCGTTTGTGAGGATTCGCCAGCGAGAAGAACGATCTGATACGTGTTGGCAGCGAGAATCTGGCCAAGGGCGATGATGAAGGAGTAGATAGGCCAGTCGCCGAGGCGGATGGAGAGCAGCTTCTTTAAGCCAGTGGGCGGCCTGTACCCTTCGCCGAGCAGGAATTGGTCGTCGCGATGGTGACCGACACCCTCATTGTTGTTGTTGTTGCGTTCCTCGTTACTGAGTGACCCGTCTTCGGAAGGCGAAATGCTCTGGACGCTGGCAATGCTCGCGTGTCTGGTCTTCTTGATCTTCAAGCCTGGCATGGGGCTCCGAGAGCGGCTCGGACTGCGGCTACGGCCCAGTTTGGCGTTTCTGAATTGCTTGAACCACTCCTTTTCGCTTTCCTTGAGGTAGTCCTCGATACAGAGTTCAGTTTCCGAGTTCTTTGCCGTGAGGCCGTTGAGCTTGCTCTCGAACTCGCGGTAATACTGGCCATTCGCATCAGTGAAGAAGGGATCAACCTTCTGCAAGCGGAAGTCCTGCCTGTCACCAACGACATCAATGACAGAGAGACGCGAGCTGTTGCGGTTGCGGGCTTGGTAGAGACCTGAAGCACCGGGACGAGCTTGTGGGTTGAGCATACCAAAGGCTTGAGGACGGGTCTCGGAGCCATCGGGAGACATCATGCGCATCGCGAAGGTGTCGACACTGCCGCGGTCACCCGCTTGGCCGAAGGCATTACCTGCGATAGAGGGGACATCCGTAACTGACGAACTCGCGGACGGGTTAAGGAATAGGGGGTTCGGAGGCATGAGGGGAGGCATGAGGGGTTCATCGGCTCCATCTTCACCATCATGGTCGGAATGATACACGTTAACGGTAGGAGGAGATCCGGGAGCCCCAGGAGGCGGGGACGCGGCAATGCTAGGGATGTCATCATCAAAGGGGTTGGAGGGGGTTCGTCTGTGATGTGTTGCACTGTCTTGAGGCCCCGGAGTCGAAGAAGTGGATGCCGCTCGGGATCGTGCGCCCGCAGGAGTCGAGACTGCATCATCAAAGTAATCGCGCTGGGTATTATTGCCGTTAAGATCAATATTGGAAGGAACCGTGAGCAAGGAGCCACTGGAGACTCTCTTCCGCTTCTTGGCTTCCTTGTGATGAATGCGAATAGCCTCGGTCTGAAGCGTATCTAGGTCCTCAACCCATTGAGCGACAGGGAAACGTTGCTTAGCACTCCAGGCTCTCATCATCTGACGGTTCTTCTTCTTGCATTCCAAAGCGCCGACAATGGCTCCACGGAATTGCTGAATAAGATGCTGAGGAGCGGTCGACTCGATCGTGTACCAGAAACCAGGCATCTGTCCAAGGCCACCGACGCGGGCACCAACGCCGAGCGCGCCCTTGCGACCAAACTCAACAGCAACCAGACCAAACGGTTCGTCGCGAGAGGGAATCAAAGCAAATTCAGCGCCGCTGAAAATACAAGGAGGCAGGGCGGTAAACTCGGGCTTGCTGTAAACGCGCTTGGGATACTTCTCCATGAGCTTTGCCAATTTGAGCGCCGCGAACTTGCCATACAGATCGATAACCGGGCCGACGCAAATGAGCTGGGTGGTAGGATATTTCTCCAGGATGGACGGGAAAATGTCAGCGATAAGATCGACGCCCTTCTGGAGCGACCATCTGCCGACGAAGACGAAGAGCTCCGCATCCGGGTTGACTTCCAATCCAGCCCACTCCTGAGCCTGTCTTCTGAGATCACCACGCTTGGCCTCGGCCTCGAGATCGACAACGACGTCCTTCTCCTGGACCTGCTCGTCTCTGCTCCACTCGGCCGTGTCGCTCGGGTCAGGATTAGGCAGCTGGCCGATCTTGGACAGACCCCAGAAGATAGGGTAGCGGGCGTAAGAGCGGTCGCCATACTTCTTCGAGACGCCCACGGCACCAAAGCCCTTTTGGTGGACACGCAGATAGCTTGCTCCGGCGTGGAGGAGGTTGAAGACCGATCCGAACTGAACATACTCCTTTACGACTTCCGGATCCAGGTTGAACACCTCGCACACCTCCTTAGACTCCTCAGGCGTGCGCATAGGCCACATGCCTTGGAACTCAGCATTGTGAAGAGAAAGAGCGCAAGGGATGGTGCGTTCAGGAAGCAGATACAACGGCGCCGCCGCACCGTGATAATCGTTGATGTGGTACATGTCCGGGTTAAACCGACGAATGGCCTCAGCAATGCAGTAGTTCCAAGCAGCATAGTAGATGGCCGAGTCCATGTCGTCCATGCGCGGCGGGTAGGGGTCGGCCTTGGACTGGGTGCGGAAGATGGGCGCGTCGAGCAGCACGTACGTGATATTCTGAACCTGGTGGTACTGCACTTCGATTTCGTACTCCTTGCCCATGATGGGCACGTACATTGGCTCAGCGCGCTGGTCGATCGGGTAGTCGATGCCACCGACGCAGGGCACAACCCAGATTAGGTCTTGGTGCTCCAGCGCCTTGCCCATGAGCTGGGCCATGACGCCGAGACCGCCAATCTTGATCTTGATGTTCCAGTCGTCGATATTGTATTCCATGGTGGCAATGATGACCTTTCTGCGCTTGCCAGGGACGACAGCGAGCTCCGTATCGCCCACGTCCTTGTGACGGAAATTCTCGAAGGAAACGGTACTGCTGATGCGCTTGCCAATGTCGCGTAGAGGTGAGCGACCGCGGCGCTTGAAGCCGACCTTGTTGACCTTGACCTTGTAGAAGGAGCCCATGAAAATCCAGACGGCAGTGAGACCGCCAACAATGGGGAGTGAAGCCAGCAGGATGAACATGATGATCTGAATCCACATGTTTCCCTGGGGCTCCATGCGGAAAGTGAGCAGCGCATCGTTGAAGACAAGCTTCCAGGAGAGCGCAGGCATCGGTGGCGGTTCCGTAGCGTTGATCACGTTCATTGCCAAAGATGTAGGCGGCATACGATCAAGGACCCCATCTCCATCCACATCGCCAAGCACCCAACCGGCGTCAGGCTTCTGGTCGGGATTCATGCCCCATACATTAAGCTGGAAGTATGTAGGCCACTCATCCATCACGTGACCCTCCCACAGCCCGTCGCCAACCTGCTTCAGCTCATTCTTGACACCAGCATCGAAGCCGAACTTGTTAAAGAGACCTTGGGCGAAAAGATGCGGGAAGCGGCGCGCCTTGGTGTCTTTGCTGTCACCAGACTGGACGAACGAGGCGCTACCCAGCAGCTTGGACCAGTACTGAACCATGACATGGTCACCATCCCATTCCTGTCTCTTGGTTCCAACCCAATCCAGCTTGTCAATTTTCTCCTTGCCTCCCTTGTACTCGGTCCAGTTGCTCCAGGTAGAGCCCCAGTTGGTCGAATAGCGCCACTTATCGGCACCAGCCGCGGCGTGGTTGACGAAGAGATCACTGCCCTCTTTCGTCACTAGCGTCTTCGAATAGTTGGCGTTCATGGGATAAACAACCGGGTTGTTGGATGAACCGACGCGGAGGAGGAAGTGATCAGTGGCGCCCGTGCTGACATTGCGACCGGACATGGGACCCTTCACGGTGATTCTGTGAATTCCGTCCTTGACGTTTGACAAGGTGGCGTTGAACCTCCAGGTCGAGGGGATGGCGCCGACGTATTCGACGATGAAGCTGGCCTTGATATTTTCGCACTGGTGTTTATCGATCTTGATATCGGCCTTCTCTTCGGTTGTCGAGTTGAAGGAGATCGACTTGAAGACCTCCTCACAGTCCATTTCCTCCGAGAACTCCAGTGTGATATTGACCATTCCGTCTCCATGAGACTCGACAGAAGCGTCATGGCCAGGAGTGAACTTGGTGATCATAGGCGGGGGCGACTCCCAATCATCCTTGAGTACGTAGGCTCGGAATTCGAAGGGTGCCATAGTGACATTGCTGAGGCAGCCGCTCACAGCATGGGAATTAGCGAATCCTAAACTCTGAGAGGATTTCTCCAGTTTGATCTCGTCATATGGGTAGAACAAGTTCTTGATCGTCGCTCCAGCATCGAATGGAGAGACGAAGTCCTTGTCCTTCTTGGAGCAGTCGAATGTATACTCGGTTTCCTTTTCCTCGTTGTGATAAACAAGCCAGACGGGTTCAGCTGGATATAATTCCTTTTGAACCCCAGGATAAAATGCGCGTGCAACGGACCAAATTCCGAACTCGGTGCTTGTGGTGCTACCTTCGAGCGTCACAGTCCTAATCTTCGAACTAAGGGTTTGCAGGAGCCATGCTTCACGGAAAGTCTCATACTTCTCGCGCATGTGGTACATCGACTTCATGATGTTGCGGACCGGGGCCGATGGGTCACGATGATCCAGCGCAACCTTGGGGTCGTTGCATCCGGTTCTTGCTGATTCAATGGGCCAGCCAATGTACTGTGTACTGTTTCCGGCATGGCAGCCATGAAGCATCCAACCGGGGGTAGGCGAGAACGCCTGTCGCCCAAAAAGGTAGTTGTCCGCCGTACTGTCAAGAACGTAGAATTCCTGCTCCTCGCCATAGAAGACCAACGGAATACCGGGCATGTGCAGAGTCATAATGAACAGACCGAGAAGCATCCTCTGTGTACCCTGCTTGATGCCAGACCACCGGAAAACGTCCTGATTCATGGTTCCGTACATGTGCCGTGGGTCGAACACGCCAGTATTAGGGTTGACGAAATCGTTGGTGAGGATCATCTGGTTCCACATCTGAACCCAGTTGAGCGGCAGGTCATAACCGGCTTCCAAGTTTCCGCTCATACCGAGAAATCTAGTAAGAAAGCGGTATGCCGAATAATGGAAAGCAGCAGCGTCGAGGCCGTTTTTGCCCTCGTCGCGGATAACCAGGCTGTTGTTCTTGCTCAGCTCTTTGGTCGTCAGATTCATGACTTGGGGAAAACTCGGCCTCTGGTCCCCTTGCCGTCCTCTGCCGATATATATCGCACCGTAGCCGTTGCCACCGGTGATTTCGCCGGGCATGAAGAAGTTGTCTTTGTTGTGTTCTTTGGCACACTTGCGGACGGCTTCGTTATGCTCGGCCATAGCATCAACCGTGACTTGTGTGGCCTTATCGAAGCGGAACCCGTCAACGTCAAGCACCCTGATCGAAAGACAGGAGAATAACTCGATGCGTTGGCGAACAGACGGTACCCATTCCCTCAACCGATCCTGGACACTAGCGAACTTGGCCAAGGAACGTTGCCAGTCCGGATGGACACCGAAGGCTTCCATGTCGCCGTACTGGTCGAAATCACTGTCGTAGCAACCTTTAAGCTGGCTGGTGACGTCCTCTCCAACAGGCATTCCCGTTTCATCCCAAAATCTGGGATACTCGCATTTGTCCTTGTATTCGTTGGATGGCGCAAAGTCGAGATACTCTCGGTTACCCTTGTAGTGCACCTTGTGTTCCTGGAGGGTGAAGGGGGCGGTTTCGTTCTCGAAGCCGTTGAAGGCCAGAAGGTCGCTCATACTGAGTTCACTGTAAGCCATTTGCCAGGGAAATCGGATGGAGGTGTTTGAAACTTACGTCGAGAATGTGTGGTCAATCATGACATACATATCACGCTTGTGAATCTCGTCCACCATGCGTTGCCAGTCCTTGATCGTGCCATAATGCATGTCCAAGAGAGTCAAATCAATGGGCTATGGCACTGTTAGAAAAACCATGAGCCCGATCCTTTTTGGATCTTGACCACTTACCGAGTAGGAGTCAACACCCCAAGGCAGGTTAATAAATGGTGAACCAGCAATGTAGATAGCCTGTGTCAAAATAAGTATAACTGCCATTCCCATTACCATCTCCTTCCACTTACCTTCATTCCCATGCCCTGGATATAGTCCAGGCTGTCAATGATACCCTGAACATCGCCTCCATGCCGCAGCTGGTTGCTTGTAGGATCTTGCTCATAGACAGTGCCGTTGATATTGTCATTGGTAGGGTCGCCGTTGGCAAACCTGTCGAGGAAAAGCGTGTAGAAGGGAAATTGCCAGTCCTTTGGGGACGCTGTGTAGTTATCTCGTTTTGGCGCGGAGTAGTCCAACGGGTTCACGGCGTCCTTATTCTGATTAAGGTTGTAGTCGACGTAGTCTGGATCGTACCGGAGACCTTGTACCAAGGTCGCCAGGACGAGTGTGAGAAGAACCGCCGCCATGATGTGTAGAGTATCGCGCCCACGAGGGCGGGTGAAATGAGGAGCTTTTCAGATAGGAAAAAAACGATTAGAGAGTAAGGAGGAAAGGCTTGTGAGAGAAAGTCGCGAACACAAGAGAAGCTTGACCCTGCCCAAAGCAGATCTCAAGCGGGTATCGAACAGTCAACAAGTGACCAACAGTGTGATGCTAGGGGCGGAAAAGAGGAAGATGGAAGCAAAGGTTGGGCCGTGAAATGTATTTATTCGAGGTGCAAGTCCACGATAAGATGGAGCTACGGTCCAAACATGGGGGGTAACAGAGCCACCAAGAGATCTCTTGAGCATGGATGTCGAGAAGACAGGGTGCGGATCTTGGTGCCTGTGGTCAGAAAATAGAGCTTGACTAAACCCAATCGGTGCTCCGCCCACCAGAACTACGGGCGAAGCTGGAAGCTTGAGGATAGCCATGGGCAAAAAGATCTTATTCTCCGTTGGCCTATTCGGGTTTAGAAACGAGGAGTCCCGTCAGCATGGAGCGACCCACCAGGTAGGTTGGGCACAGCCTTTGCGCATTGGGATTGATGAGTGGATACGGTGAGGGTCAAGGCCTGACGCTCTTTGGTTGAACTCAAGAGGCGAAGGAAGAGAAGCTTTGATCCGAGATGTCAACACTCAACAGCATGCCCGAGCCAATGAGCCGAACGTGGCTGGTGAATTCTCACTGGTACTGGATAACCTAGCCTCCCCGTAGGGCAAAGGTGTCAAAGGTGGTGAGACTGCGTTTGTCCTCGTAGCAGCTGGCCAGTAACAATTCGGGACTCGTATCGGGGCTCGTAGGGCTGTGTTAGATTGACGCCCATCCAAACAGCAGCTGCTCCAGAGAAAAAAAGAATGGAGAAAATGAAGAGACCCACACGTCTTAGCGTCGTCAGGACCCCTGTTCGCGAGCGCTTGGCCAAGCAGACGAAGGATTCGGATGGACTGGTGATCCTCCAGATCCCTTCGGAATTTACTGGATATAAGTTGTGATCTTGACCAAGTCTTCAGAATTGGATTCAGGCATCCAATGTGCATAGTTCCGCCTGTAGACTGGCTTGATCTTGACTGAAGTCTCGATCAAGAAGACCCAATGCCCGAGTTCACCACAACCTCGAACGTATGTATGGCATGGCGACTCCGTGGCGGCATTGGTAATGCAATTATCCTTCACTGCCATGTCGTGTAGCACCAAAATGGACGGTATCCGATGGTCCAAGGACTGTTGTAGAACTCAACCACACGTTGTGAGTTGTTCATGTGGTTCGTACGAGCCACTCATGGATGGTGAAATCCATCCGGTATGCAGCGCTTCGGACACGCGAATCCACCCATTTGGCTTTTCCCTAGCAGGGGGCGCGGGCAGGCCGCTCGGGAGTTGCAAGATTGCTACCGGACCCGGGAAGCGGGATCTTGGATTCACCGTTGGAGAAGTTGACGAGAAGGGGGCACTGCCAGAGAAAGCCGGAGAAGATCTACTTGGGGGTGCTAATCCCAGTGTCTCCAGCCCCGTCAAGCATGAAGCATCTCATGTCAGCGAATCTTGATCAGCCACCAACTTGTATGGAGGCGGGAGAGATAAGCGTTGCACCCGTGCCAGTGGGCAATGCCGTGATAGGGGGGTGGTCGCAGTTTTTATCTCCTTTTGTCATTGTATCGTGGAGTGAACGGTCTGGGGAAAACCTTAATTAAACAAGCGTGACAGTAACATCAGATAGCCGGACATGACCCAAAGGGGAAATGTACTGGAATGGGACCAGTTGCGATCGAGTTGCCATGCGGCACAGTGAAGCTACCCAACGCCATGCCGGTCAAGCCGCCAATCGTCGTCGAGCGAGCATAACTTGGTAGAGGCAGCCTTTCTACCTTTGAGATAAGCGCCGCATGCTGTTCAGCCCGGTGAAGTGAGGCTGAAAAGAGATGAGAACTTCTGAACTTGCCCGAGGTCTCAGTTGAAGAAAGCCGGAGGTAGACATCTACCTGCTACTCTTCGCATGCCCGTGAGGCCCTTCGGTCCAAGTACACAAAGGCGAACATATGGCGTCATCTGGGTAGTGGTCAGAGAGGTGACTCATGATAAGCAGCTATGGTTCCATGTTGATTGCGATAATGGTTTTGGTATAGGTGTAATCGATCGTCTTGGGCGCTCAGTAATCCCTCCCCATAAAAAGGCTTAATTCCCGCGGCTAGGTATGGACATTACTGCGAGGACAAGTAGGAGAGCGCGTCAAGCGCGTTGAGTCGCGGTTGTCTGTCAAGTCCATCAAGAGTCAGGACCTGGAATCACCGCCTGGATTTCTCTTGTGAACTCTGGTAAAGTTGATAGAACTCGCCGAGATGTCTGGGGTTCCAAAACGTTATCGATATTGTTGGGGTTGATCATTGGGCGAGTCCCTCGACGGAGTGTCGTTGCAGAAGAAAAAGAGAGAAAGTTGACCATGGGCTTGGCGCTGCCGTAGAGGGTTCCACTCGTAAGACTGCCAAGAATCGGAGCTTGGGCGCCAATGAAAATGTGGGTCCCTCGATCAGGGTCCATCGTTGCATCCAAAATCCGAAACTTTGTGCACAACCACGGCACCGCTTTTCAACTCCCGCAACATTTCCCATCTTTGCACAACTTCGCGCATTCAGGTGCGTTATTGCTTGGAAATATCCAGAACCGGTCTTCAAATCTACATCATCCATCTTTCAGCTGCAGACCGCTGAACGGGTGCTAGCCGGTATCCAACATGCGCTGCTACAAAAGAGCGGTTATCGCATCTTGGATCGGACAAAATGCAGAATCTCGCAAAAGCCATTGGTGACAGATGGTGTGTCAGAGAGGGGAAAAGAAAAAGAAGAGGATTCCTTCAGAAGTTTCTGACAACACCCCTCCCCCCTTCTAGCTTTTTCATGATTTCCTTCTCTTCGGTTGGCTATTTTCCGCCCACTCTCACCAGTCCGCCCTTTTTTAGTGCTGACGATGTGTGGCTCAAAAAACGGCATCACAATCATCCTTTCCCAGCCGCAGCAGGCAGCCGCTATTGGGGGAAATTAGCCTTCCAAGCCCTTTCTCCCCTTCTCCTGCCCGTAATGGTAGCCCTGTAGCCCAGCAAGGCAGAGAATCCTTCGTCCTTTTGCTTCGGCTTCTGCCAAAAATACCTCGCTGATCAAGATGATGGTCTTGACGACGACGACAGGGATTCTCTATACACCGAACTTGCCGATTCACCGAACAACCTTGGACTACTTGTTGACTTGATTCCCACGAAAGTTGTAAGATGAGGAATGAGGAAAGCCTCATCTTTCTTGACTTGCTTTCCAATGCTGAACTATACGTCCACGTTGGAAACGAATGTCTCAATGATAACACAATATGCTCATTGCCCTACCTGCCTGTAGACTCTCAAGGGCAATGTTGCAATGCTCGTACCCCAAAGAGACAAGCATCGTTCTTGACTCTTATCACGGCGCCATAACCCTCAGTCGACGTCCTATCGAACTTTCGGTAGTGCTACACTTACTCTTACTCCGATGATCTGACATCAGGGTCTATACTTACCATCCGCTCATTCTCACCACCACCAACAGCAGAAAAACCCTCCTGCAACTACTTAGGCAGTGGCAGTGGCGCGCCTCTGGTCAGAGATATAGCGGGAGAAGTGAAGTCGTGAGAGAAGTGGTGAGAGTGATACACTAGGTGTCACACATAAAGAAAACCCGACGTCACACATTATGGATGCCGTGACTCCTTTCTCGAACGTCACAACTCACAGCCCCCTCGGGATGGTTCCTTAAGACAGACAGACAGTGATTTGAGGTAGTTTCGTCTCAGTCGGTATTCCAGAGTGTTCCCGGCCTTTTGCCTTCCCTCCGTCGACTTCGAGACTCGCGGGAGAAGCAAGAAGACAACGAACACCATGCTACTCTGGAGGATGGTGCCTGGCCACTCTTCACTCTTCATTATCTGACTACCTACCGCTTGTGGTGCTAAAATTTGGAAACAATTCGTCTTAGAATGAATGCACTTACCTACAAGCAACATCTGCCCATTTTCCGACTCGCCGCGAGATTCACAACTAAGACTCTAAACCATGCACTGTCACGACTAAAAAAGCTGTTCCATGTTACCTACCCTTCGCATGTTATGTTTTGCAACTTAACTGAGAACTTTAAGATAAGATTCACATCATTCACACATCCAAGGACAAACGCCTGCTTTACTTGTGATGTAGGTAGTATGTACACATAATATTGGATGACACTTAGACCAATGGGCAACTAAGGAACCCTCAATCACTCCTCCTTCATTTTATAGAATCCCACTTCCGTGACCCATGATTTCCTTCAAGTTGAGAGCATTACACGACATGACACAGAAAGAGTGTGCGACCGCAAATACCGACAGACTGGAGTTTGTTAGGCCATCACCATCGCCACCAATTCGCATCCGCGCCGCCGTCCTACCTTATCCAAGCCGCACCCGTAAGTGAGGCGTGAGGACTGAGGGTTGCATGCCGCAGTCGGGACCCAAAAAAAAGAGAGCCATGACCACTGCTAGCCTTAATTTGACTCGGCGCCGCTTGACAAAGTCTGATTTGAACTAGAAGAATGAGTGACCCGAGTAGAGTTCGTCAAAGAAAGTGTTGCCGTGAAAGGTAGAAAAAAAAAGAACCACCGTGGTTCGAACGCACCACCTCCTCCACTCAACCTGTTCATCCCATCCACCTCCGAAGAAAGTACAAAAAGCTACAAAGAAGATACAAAAAAAGACCAACAACCGCTCATTCGAGTGGCATCTCAGGAACCGTCGAAACACCTCAATCTTTTTCATTATTATTTGTGATTACCTTCTTCTGTCGCTGCAGATACTAACAGATCCTTGATATAGGACGCGGCCTACGATGTGGAACTGCTCTTTGGGTTACTTGAATATACATCATCGTTTCCGAACCGACAGGTATTTTTTTCGGGGGTGTTTGAGGTGTTAGGACGGTAGACCGTTACGCCACTCGACCAAGTGGTTGTTGGTGAAAGAAGGTGCCAATCGGGTCAATCATATACCCGTATAGGCGGTCTGATCTGGTTTGGGATGGGATGGGATGGGATGGGATGGGATGGAAGGAAGCGAGGCAGGTTCGGCAGCTGGGCTGGAGTATGGTGGACGAAGTGGTGTAAGATATAGAACAAAAAGGCGCTTCCATCCGGGAGAACCAAAGAACATCAAAGACATAACTGGGTATCGCATTAAACTGTTTAAAGATGCGAATAAAGCTATCCAACTTCAAAAATGACTCCAGCGCATTACAACCCAAGAACAGGAAGCCGCAAAGTTCATTAGTCGTGACTCATGACTAGAACAAAGGAAAGCGTTCGGTAGTTTAGACGGTCTCGATATACCTCTTCATCTCCCTGTTCAAACTGTTAGCATCTTGTCTTCAAACTGTCATCCATGAAAGCAGCGATAGAAAAGGAGTGTAGTGACTTACCAGTCCGTGACGGCCTCATCCCAGAGCCGGATCTCATGCTCTCTCGTCCCTCCAAAATGGTCCACAAACTCGTCTCCAAACACTTCCCTCGCGATACTATCCTTGCTCATAAACCGCTCGGTGGCCTGCTTCAGACTCTTGGCCAACCTAGCACCGGCATCCGTCTCTCCGCCAACCTGCTCTCCCTTGCCTAGCGGCGGGCAAGGAATCTCAAGCTTCTTCTCTACACCGCGCCAGCCCAATGCTAGCACGGCAGACAGAACGTAGAACGGGTTGGCATCCGCACCAGGGACGCGAACTTCGAAGCGGGTCGCACCAGCCTTGGAGCCCGGAGGACCGATAAGTCTGATCGAAGCGGCACGGTGCTCCAGACCCCATGAGACGGTTACAGGTGCCCAGAAGTTTTCAACAAGCCGCTTGTAGCTGTTGATGGTTGGGGCAACCATGGGCATGACATCTGGTAGACCTTCGAGGATTCCGGCAAGGAAATGTCTGCCCAGGTCGGAGAGATAGGCCACATCGGGATATGGAGCGTTGGGATCGGCTTCTTCGCGAGCCAGAAGATTCTTGCCATCTTTGTCGACGATCGATATGTGCATATGTCCGCTGTTTCCAGGGAGGCCTTGCTTGGGCTTGGCCATAAAGCAAGGAGTGATTCCGTATTTCGTGGCCACCGACTTGACAACATATCTGAGATACCTGTGTTAGAAATAACCTGGAAAGTGTGTACATGGGAAGTAAAGGGGAGATGATGCGTACTTGAACAAGCTCGCACGGTCGGCCATCTGCTTAACTTCACCGAACTCGAGCGCAGCCTCAAATACACCCGGTCCACTCTCGGTATGCCAGCCTTCAATGTTGCACTGGAACTGTTCGCATGTGTTGAAGATATCGTAGTAGTAATCCTTGTTGTGGACCGGTCGTGTCAAACTGTAGCCAAACATGCCCTCAGTCAGGGATGGTAGTGAATGAGGAGGATTCTCTTTCAGGTACGACGCTGTTGAATCGGAAGCACTTTCTGACGGCGCTCGGAACTGGAAGAATTCGTACTCGGCTGTTGTCGTGGCTTTAGTTAGCCCCGGTTCTGCAATATCTTGTTGCCCAAGAGTACCTACCTCCAGCCATAGCCCCATATCCCTTCTCACCCAGCTTTGCCAACTGTTTCCTCAGCAGACCACGCGGGCAAGCCGACACGGGCTCCATGGTGTCAGGGTCATGGAAGCTGATCAAGAAGAAGGGCACATTGTTCTCCCATGGGATGCGCCGGAAGCTGTTCAGATCTGGGATAGCAATGATGTCTCTGTATCCGTTTTCCTTGTTGCTGACCTTCAGCTCTTTTATGTATGTCTGATCGTGCATATCCCACCCGAAGATGACAGAGCAGAAGCCGAAACCTGACTCGGCAATGGAGAGGAACTTCTTCTTGGATACAAGCTTGCCGCGCAGCTGACCGTCGACATCGACACCGGCGAGTTTGACCGAGTTGTCATTGGCGAGCAGGTCGGGGAGTTGTGACGCCGTTATCTCCTTGCTATCGTTGCCGTTCGGAGCCATTTTGAATATCGGCGACGTTCTATCTTTCAAGGGAGGAGGTACGGAGAAGCTCAAGGACAAGTTCGGGAATCGAAGCGGTGATCAAGTGTTTGAGGAGAGAGTCTGAGAGCGGTGCGCTTGCAAAAGAAGCCTCGCCGTCGGTGTAGGAAGATGTTGTATTGTGCTTTGTCTTTAGGTTGCTCCTAGTTTCTGTTGAACCAGACGAAACACAACGGCGGATGGGATGATGACGATCACCTCGAGGGGCCCTGCAGTGGTTCCTGAACTGCAACCGGGTCGCTGCACAGTGTGCGTTTGAGAACCGATAAGCTTATCGGACAGGAACGACCGGAAAAGCAGCCAATCACATTCATCATTGAAGAGACACTACGTCACTGCTTCAGCTTCTAAGCTTCTTCACCAGGGTTATACCTTGACTTTCTCGGCTTTCACTTGGACGGGACAGTGCGCAACGAACTGTACATCTTGAGGGTCACCATGACCGTGACCTTCCAAATGCAAGATATCATCTCATCATGCGATTCTCGATCTTATCGAAGACCTTTTCCCGTATACTACTCGCAGCCGGCACTCGACGATAAGCTCACTGTGTCACAACAGCCATCTCTCCAAGACAGCTCCGTCATCGGTGAGTACTGGCAACCCCGCCTTTGAGCAGCTGATCAAGCCCTCTGGTGTTTTGAAACTGACCGACTGGGCCTTCCAGAACATGTCATTACTTTTCTCATATGCGATGAAAGCCATCTCCGACACTCGAGATGAAAGTTCATAGACAAATGTGTTCAAAATGCCACCGAAACCAAGACAGTTTGTGAAACCGTACCATGACGCCAGGAATGTCCACGATTCCATTTACTCGAGTCCGTTACGTAACCCCCCACGAAGCTAAGGGCGGCGGGGCTTCCCATACCAAGGACCCATCACCCCTCATTCTCCTGAGTAGGTCCCATCCATACCTTGCTGGCTAACTGGCGCTTGGGGTTGAGAGTTGACAAACAGAAACACAGAAACTCACCAGTGAGTTTGCGATGCTTATCAAACGTCACGGACCAGCTGACAGCCGCCATGGCTTGAAGGGAAGGACACACTGCAAATCCGTGGTTGCGGTGGAGCAGCTGAGGCATGATAACACGATGTACCGTTCTGTGTGTCTCTGCCCTGCGTATTACAATCGCCGATTCTCGGATCCATTTTTGGATCAGCAACAACCGCCTCCTCCTGTTTGATAGCTTGCGGGGTCACCGGAGCTGCCTCCTCCTGTTTGATAGCTTGCCGTGTTTGTGCCTCTTGTTGGATATCAGCTGAAAAAAATACCCGAGGTAGCCACTCGAGGAGGCAACTTGTGAAGCTATCTAGTTTGTGAGAATCTCTCTTTCTCTAAATCCCAGAACGTCATTGTCTCCGCCAGATCTCATCTACATTGTCCGTGAACCTTATCTATCAACAGCCTGCCCCGCTGCCACTTCTTCCAAGCAACTAACAGCTTGATAGCTTCCCTTGTTCACCTACGCAAGACGAAACCTCCAAACTTCATTCTTAACTTCCGTCTCCCTAACAAACCATACATCATGCCTGGACGTCTTGCGGGCAAGAATGCCATCATCACCGGCGCTGCTGGGTAAGTCTGGACACCCAAAACACCGAAAAATAAAACCGATTTTCTGATTCTCCCACGTCCAAACAGAGGCATCGGCCTAGAAACCAGCATCCTCTTCGCCAAAGAGGGCGCCAACGTCCTCATGGCCGACATCTCCGCCGAAGCCGTCCAGCGCGCCGAAGCAAAGGTCAAGCAGCTGGTGCCCAACGCATCTCGAGTCGAGTCCATCGTACGTTATGTCCATTTCTCCCCCAAGAATAAAAACCTAGACTAGCTCTTCTCCCAAGCCGTGAACAAGCCAACTAACCGTCGCGAACCACACAGGTCTGCGACGTCTCCAAAGAAGACCAAGTAGAAAAGATGGTCTCCACGCTCGACCCCTGGGGCGGCCTCGACATCATCTTCAACAACGCCGGCATCATGCACAGCCAGGACGACGACGCCGTCGCCACCCCCGAAGCCATCTGGGACCTAACGCACAACATCAACGTCAAGGGAGTCTGGTTCGGATGCAAGCACGCCGTCCTGTCGCTGCGCAAGCACAAGAAGACCAAGGGCAGCATCATCAACACGGCCTCCGTCGTGGCCCTCGTCGGATCCGCCACCCCTCAATTGGCTTACACGGCCTCCAAGGGCGCCGTCCTGGCCATGACGCGCGAGCTGGCTATGGTGCATGCGCGCGAAGGGTTTAGGTTTAACTCGCTTTGTCCGGCTCCCCTCAACACGCCGTTGTTGCAGGATTGGTTGGGCGATGATAAGCCGAAGAGGCTGAGGAGGGAGATCCATTTCCCGAGTGGGAGGTTTGGAGAGGCGGTGGAGCAGGCGCAGGCGGTTGTGTTTTTGGCGAGCGATGAAGCTAGTTTTGTTAATGGGCATGATATGGTGGTTGATGGAGGCATGACGAAGGCGTATGTTACCCCTGAGGGGCCAGCGACGGTGGCGCCGGTTAATAATGCGCTGAAGGAGAGTTTGGAGGAGTAAATGGGTTGTGGCCAGCTCTTCTACGTATTATGAGTTATTACGAGTATTGTACATATGCACAATGGACAAATGTATTCGTTCCCTGATATGTAAAGGTGCAGTTGACACGCGATGCGAGGTTCATGTATGTGATCAAGTTGATGCGCAGCGAGCTGTGGTATGCAAGGAGGCAAGGTACACTTATCGTCGTACGTTACATCTACATGAAGATGATACTGTGTACATATCCACAAAGAACCTTTCGTATAACAACTATCTAACCGCGTAGCAAGCAGCCACGCTACGTATAGACCAAAAACAGTATGCTGCGATAACCAAAACGCAAAGACAAAGAACATTAGAAAAGGACGCCCCATGAAATGCCATGCAAAGACTTCGCCTTGAGCCAACGAACCGAACCCAAAATAGCCGCCCGCCAAGCAAGTCCCCCATTGACCTCATCACCTACTGCCTCGTAGGTACGTACTGTATCCCAACCAACCTACCAACTGATAAACCCTTACACGAACTGGTTCTCAGTGTTACCCTCGCCCATACTCTTGCTACTCGAGCTACCGCTCTGAATGTGTCCCAGAATGGCGTCAACATAGTTAGCGCCGCTCCATTTCTGGTGCGTGAGCACATCAACACCGAGCTCCTTCTCGCGCTTCTGCACGAGCTCAACATACGCCTGCATGCCCTCGTCCTTGAAGCGGCGGGCCAGCTCGCTGGTGATGGTGGCGGTGCTGTGCAGACCCGCCAGCGAGACAAGCTGGATGGTGAACCCTTCCTTCGCAATGTCCCAGATGAACGACTTGAGCGTGTCCTGGGTGAAGCCGTGGGCCATCCAGTTGAAGGATGGGGACAGGTTGTACACGAGACCCTTGCCGGGGAATTGTTCGCGCACGGCGCGGCCGAGCTCCGTGCACACCTCGACCGACGGATCGCCCGTCTCGACCCAGAGGAGGTCGGCGTAGGGCCCGAAGGCGAGGGCGCGCTTGGTGGCGGCCGCCATGCCGTTGCGGAAGTGGTAGAAGCCTTCGCGCGTGCGCGGCACGTCCCAGTCCCAGTACACGGGGTGCTCGGGGGTGATGGAGTTGGCGAGAGCGCGGCGGGCCGTGATGCCCATGTTGGGGTTCTGGGCAATGGTGGCCTTGTAGGTGCCGAAGAGGTCCTGGCGGACGTTGTGCTTCTCAAAGTGGGCGAGGGCAGCCTCGTCGAAGGTGACGAGCTTGGTGTTCTTGACCCACTCGGCCTCGTAGGCGTCGATCTCCGGGCCGGGGGCGCCGCGGGCCTCCATGTCGGCGAGGGTCTCGGCGAGGGAGGTAATAGAGGGGTCGGCGACACCGAGGATGAACTCGTGATCGCGGGCGTCGATGGAAGAAGAGAGCAGCTTGCCACTCTCTGAGTCCGTGCGGGCGATCACGAGGTTCTCGGTGCCCATAATGTCCCATTGGAAGCGGGCGGCCTTGAGGCGGTTGATGTGCTCGCCGGTGGGGACGAGGACCTTGCCGGCAAGGTGACCACACTTCTTACCACCGTGCATCTGATCCTCAAAGTGGACGCCGGCCGCACCGTTCTCGGCGAACAGCTTGGCAAGCTTCATGACAGCGGTCAAACCGCCGTGGCCGGTGTCGCCATCGGCGATGATGGGACGGAAGTAGTCGGTATAAGGGGTCTTGGCCCGCTCCTCAGGGGTCATCTTGCTGCGCAGGAACCATTGCTTGCGGTCGTGCATGCTCTGGGCCTTGTGAAGACGCTGGACCTGGTTGGGAACGGTGTTGTAGGGGTAGTCGCCAAAGTCAGGCGACACCTCGTTGGTGGTGGTCAGAACCGAGGAGCATGCCCAACCCGAGATGTAGAGAACCTCCTGGTGAGGCGCCTGCTGGGTCATCTGAACGGGATCGATGGCACCCAGAGTATGGATGGGCTTGCCCTGGGTGTAGCGCTCCTGCACCAAGTTCCAGAGCTTGCGCGCCATGATGGACGAAGTATAGGTCTGCTGGAGCGAACCGCGCTTGCTCACGACATCGGCAGCAGACCAGTCGCGCTTGATGCCCTTGAAGCGCGGCGACGCCCACCAGGCCTCAACTTCCTTGATCTGTTGTTGGAGGAGGGCATCCTCGGCGGCACCGGCTTTCTGCTCCTCAGGCAGAAGCTGGAAGGACTCGGAAGCGATGGTCGAGGAGAAAGGATGCTCGACAGGAGCCAGAGACGAGGGAGCGGTCATCCTGGCAGCTGATGTCGAAAGGAGCCGAGCGTGTGCGGGGGTGGTGGTGGTGGTGGTGGTTCTCGCGGAGCGGGCGCAAAGGCCAGAGAGAGAGGATGTTGAAGTGCGCGCCGGGACAGCTCGCCGGGAGACTCTGGGGATTGCCCTGCAAAGCATTGTAGCTTTCAGAGCGTGTGAAATCGGTAACTGACTCGTGTACTTGCAGTTGCTTTGAGCTGGACTTGTAGAAGTGCAGCTGTGTTGTCAGGGAAGGGCGCGGGGCAGCGTGGTGACAGCTAGCGGTTCCTGAATGTGGGGGAGAAATGTAGGTATAAGGGAATTGGAGAAAAGAAGACGGGATCTGTTCAAGTTGGAGAACGACAGACTGCAAACCAATTATTAAGCTAATCTTTCCCCTTGTATCTATTACGTAGACAGGAGGAGACAAGAGGACAACGAAGTTTGGCAAATTGTCGTGTTTTTGTTGCGATATCGCCCCCTGCCAAAACCGCTGACCACCGCTTCCCCGACGCTGCCCCCGACGGTGCCGACTCCATAACTCCATACATCTTGTGACGTGACAACCTGGGCTTCGCCAAGTTGACCAACGTTATGCCCAACATGGGCAGTGCACCGCGAGGACTCTCCATCTCCCCGCCATGAGAGGTTAGAGGAGGTCCATAAAAAGGAGCGAAAAAGGAGAGTGAGGTCCATCTCGGCATAGCTATCGGCCTCACGACCTCGCTGCGACGTCCGTTCCTCCGGACATCGACACGGCCGCTGCCAAACGCCGTCAGACAATGCAACCCTGAGTGGCGACAGCCGAGGAAGATTATCTTGCCTGTCATTGGCCAATGGCTCCTGTCACGCTTCCCCGCGTCTCCCCAGATCGGCCGTTCAGGGGGCAATGCGATTCCATGAGGGGCAGGGCCTGGAGGAAAGGAGGACGGGTTTGGACAGGGCAGACTAACACGCCACTGTGGAAGACACACGCAGACTTTGTTAGTGAAGCCATCCTCTAGTCTCTTTTGAGGAAGCTGGCCGTGGCCGCCGTGGGCGCTGCCGAAACGGCTTTCCTCGGTTGTGAGACTGGAAACTGGATGCATTGGCGTGGGGTTGGACCAAGGCGATGCAACGTCGTTATGACCGTGGAAAGCCGCCAAGGGCCCTGGTTGGGGGGAAAAAAGACAAAAAGGCGACGCGGTTCCTGGAGATTGCTCGGCGTGCTTGTGTCTTGTGAATCCCATCTCTTGTTTATAAGACGACATCGACGACGACAACGCTCACTTCAACGAGTCAGTCAGTGTCCGCTTCCCCAGACTGTCAACCAGAAAGCCTCAGGTACGGGATGGAGTCCTTTCCCCAGTTTGCCCGCGCTGTCCCCCCAAATGCCCCCATAGCTCCCCATACTTGCCTCCATTCCAACCCCGCTCTTGTCATTTTGACAGCTCAGCTGTCTTCCAGCACGTTTGTTGTCCCCATTTCCCCAGGCCTTCAGCGGTGGGGCAGCTCCAACTGGGACCCCACCACATCCCTCGGCCTGGGCAGCGGTGGAAGAAGCGGCGTGTCGTTGCATATCTTGATTGAGCTTGTACTGACCGGTGTGCGAGCATATTTAGGGTAGATCGAGCAGTCGGCACCTCTTCTCGTTTGATTATTCTTTTTCAGCAGCGTCGATACCCCCGATTTTTGCTTGTTACCTTAGATTTCAAAATGGCCATGAACCTTAGAACTGGGTCCCGGGCCCTTGGTGGAGCCCTCCGTGTAAGTGTTATGCGGACGCGAGTCAGGTCATCGCATCTTTCTCCGTCTCTCGCGCATCTCCCGTCCCTGCGCGTCCCTGCGTTCCCCAGCTTTTCCCCATTTCCCGTCTTGGGATGAATTCCACTTTTGGTACACAGGACAGCCTTGCTAACATGTGCATTTCCCTGTCTGCAGAACCATGCCCGTGTCTCGCGACGAGGCTACACCACCGCCGAGCCCGATCTCAAGACGGTCCTCAAGGAGGCCATTCCCGAGAAGCGCGAGCTCTTCAAGAAGGTCAAGGCCCATGGAAACAAGGTGCTGGGCGAGGTCAAGGTCGAGAACACAATCGGTGGCATGCGCGGCCTCAAGGCCATGATCTGGGAGGGCTCCGTACTCGATGCCAACGAGGGTATTCGCTTCCACGGCCGCACCATCAAGGACTGCCAGAAGGAGCTTCCCAAGGGCAAGAATGGCACCGAGATGCTGCCCGAGGCCATGTTCTGGCTTCTCTTGACCGGCAAAGTCCCCTCCACCAACCAGGTCCGCCAGTTCTCGCGCGAGCTCGCCGAGCAGGCTGCCCTGCCCGACTTTGTCAACAAGCTCCTCGACAGCTTCCCCAAGGACCTGCACCCCATGACCCAGTTTGCCATTGCCGTCTCGGCCCTCAACCATACCTCCAAGTTCGCCAAGGCCTACGAGCAGGGCCTGAACAAGGCTGACTACTGGGAGCCTACCTTTGACGACTGCATTTCCCTGCTCGCCAAGCTCCCTACCATTGCCGCCAAAATCTACCAGAACTCGTACAAGGGCGGCGGTGCCCTCCCCGCCGAGGTCGACCTCGAGCAGGATTGGGCCTACAACTTTGCTGCCATGCTGGGAAAGCCCGGCAAGGAGAACGAGAACTTCCAGGATCTCCTGAGGCTGTACCTCGCCCTCCACGGTGACCACGAGGGCGGCAACGTCTCTGCGCACACCACCCACTTGGTCGGCAGTGCTCTGAGCGACCCCTTCCTCTCCTACAGCGCCGGTCTCCAGGGTCTCGCCGGTCCTCTCCACGGCCTTGCCGCCCAGGAGGTGCTCCGCTGGATCCTCCAAATGAAGGAGGCCATCCCCTCTTCCTACACGGACGCCGACGTGCGCGACTACCTCTGGAACACGCTCAACTCGGGCCGCGTCGTGCCCGGCTACGGCCACGCCGTTCTCCGCAAGCCCGACCCCCGCTTCGAGGCCCTGATGGACTACGCGGCCTCCCGCCCCAAGATCGCGGCCGACCCCGTCTTCCAGCTCGTGCTCAAGAACAGCCAGATCGCGCCCGAGGTGCTCAAGCAGCACGGCAAGACCAAGAACCCCTACCCCAACGTGGACTCGTCCTCGGGCGTCCTGTTCCACCACTACGGCTTCCACGAGACCCTCTACTACACGGCCACCTTTGGCGTCTCGCGTGGTCTGGGCCCGCTCGCGCAGCTCATCTGGGATAGAGCCCTGGGTCTGCCAATCGAGCGCCCCAAGTCCATCAACCTCGAGGGTATCCTCAAGGAGGTTGAGGGACAGTAAATGCGGGTTAAGATTGAACGAATGATGTGAACGAACGACCTAGAGTTGGTTGTGTCGTTGTTAGCGATTACACAGTGTCGCGATGATATTCTTCTGGATCACAGGACAGAAGCGAAGCGAGCGAGAAAGCAATGTTCCACTTACCTTGTATGTATGTATTATAACTAGGACGCGCCTGTTGGTCTCATTCTCTCTTCTCATGGGAGAATGAGTCGAGTTGCCGAGGCCGTCTATTTTGTATTTTTCATTTTTGTTAATTCAACTTTTTGCAAGTCCCACCGTCTTGCCTTCACCGGTGTGATGATTCTGCGATTGTTCTTCATGGTGTTTTGACCTGAACTCAACTGCTTCTATCTGGTGGACGCGTCCATTCGGGTCGTGTTTCGGAAGATGAAATCCGTATACGTCGTTCACCACCGCCAACGGAAAGCTGAACAAGCCCGACCGACTGACCGAGGTTTAGAACGAGACAGAAAACAACAATAGATGATGGTTATTTTTGGGGTCAATATCCAGCTGTAAGGAACACACGGCACGCAACGGCCATGGGTCTCCCGAGTTGTGGAATCGGGTTTAGCGAGACGTGTTTGGGGAGGTTAGAGTGGTTAGAGTGGTATATATTGCATTCGCTACCTTACCTCCATCTATCATATTCTGACTTGGCCCAAATCCAACCACTAGAGCCTGGATTGAGCGAAGTATGGTTCGCGCTTGTAATGCAACGGACAATGGAATTGAAGGTTTTATCTGAAGTGACGGGTCTCTTTAAGTCGTACAATATTTTGTAGTGTACTATTCTAGTTCTAAATACGGAAACGAGCTCTACCCTTTCCCTCTAATGCAACGTCGAAGCTTTTAAAACCCCTCGACGAATCCCTCCATCTTGTCTCTCGGCCAAAGTGTCCCGGATCATCGAATGATCAACGTGGTATTGCACCTGTCTGTACCACCAATGACACCAATTGACGGGTTGGGAGAACCATGGGTTTCGTTCGATGGTTTTGCGCCAGGGACCATTGTACCTAGGTAAGTTCGTAGTTGTTCAGGCTGACTGTTTTTGATCTGAATGAGTGGAAAAAGACGTTAGGGAAAAAGGATATGAAAGGAATGGTAGATATACCTACCTAGTAGGAACCCAATCTATGTGTAGCTATTCTTGTCTCCCCTTCGTCCCTCACAGCAAAGGGACGTAACGCAACCTGTAACCCGGAGAAAGCTTTTCTTGGGTGGTGGTTAGGTACCTGTATGGAAAGATGGGTGGCATTGTCCCAGTATATACCTACCTAAGGTACTGGTGCGTTGTGTGTGTGTGTGTGTGTGTGCGAGTGCTCGTGATGGATCGATGTGGTGAAGACATCCTCACCACACTGATTGATCCTGATGTACTAGAAGGAATTGTGGGACATATTCCCCACCATAATTCGGGGACAACAAGCAAGAGCGGAAGTGGCGGAGGCGTAGAACCTGTAAAGTGCAGAACTCCCGCGCAAGAGAAATGCAGGGCTCATGGCAGGCACATGGAAGAACCGTGGCCCTTGATCTTGGCTGGGGAAGAGTATGCGATCTTGAGAATGTGTTGATATGGTGTTTTTTTTCAGTTCTCTTAGATCTCTTCCAACTCAATATGCGAATGTTGAGCCTGTGTTTCCCCTGCGTGGTAAGACGTGAGGTGACTGTTTCATCTCTGTCCAGTTACTCCTGTCGTTTCCCCGAATGAAGCCAAGACATAACGATCAATGAAGGACCCTCGATAACGCCTTGAAAACTCACGCCACGACGACGTCCTTGGAGCGGGGGAAGTTCGTCCGGTGGAGAATAACAAGTAGATTGCTATAGCGGCCATGTTGTTGCCTAGTATGCAGGCGGGTCGAGGTACGGAATACCTTCTACACAAGGGGAGACGGCGCTGAAGCTTCGTGAAGGGCTTGTATTGTTTTAGTTGTTTCTTATTGGCCAATGGCTTTCTTAAGATTGTGAGTTGCTATAAGAGGTCAGAGTTCGGAAAATGGAGCCGGCAGGCAAGTATCGGCACGTTATGGCCACAACAGGCCTGCGTGAGTTAAGGAGAATGAATGGTGCCATGAAACGAAAAACCTAGATAACATCTGTCAGCCGGGACAGAGGGAGCAACCAGTCTGACATGCCTGGCGAACACAGCACGCCGATGTATTGAGGATAGTAGTTTTCTGACCAGTGGCAAATACAGTGCAAGTGTTAAACGGAAGTAAAAATAGCATCAATATCGAGGGTTAGTTGACTTGGAAAAGTGTTACTAACAGATACCCTTTAGTTCCCTTTGTCCATACCTGGAAATGGTTGCGGGTTTCTACGTCCGAGATATCTGATAGCCCCGAACCTCGTGGGGAACGAACGCCATGGGAGCGGAACGCAGATGCTACGCTGTAACGGGGTGTGTTGCATCCCCCCGTTACGGGATGTTGCTGACATATGTAGAGGTTGTTCCCCAGCGACCGGATCTGGTGTTCACGCTGTCAGGTTACATCGGCCCTCGTGAACCACCCGGACAATACTGTGGTCTCGATCCAAGATGGAAGAGCTGGACGTTGCAGCTGCTGAGCAAGGCTGGGATGGGGGGAAACTAAAAAAAGAATCACAGTTCCTCGATACCCCACAACTTTAAAGTGTCGACGGAGGTGTTGTGAGGAAGCGAAGGCCAGTAGCCTTGGTCTCGGCACGGCCAAAGCCTGGTACGACATCCCGATGAGGCGGCCCTTTAAAAGGCAGACGTCCCGTTTTAATATGCGCTTCATTTATCCTCACTTCATCCGCAAATTCGTTGCAGCGACCCATGAATCTCGTCGACCTCAAATATCGGTTCTAGCGCGGTCCTTTTCGGTTCTAGACGGGAGAACCAAAACAAAGTTCAATATGGGCGGTCAAGGGTTGAGATCTCTTTGCGGCTGGGATCGAGTCATAGTTGAAGGGAAGCAAAGTGAAAGCGGTACCGGTGCGAATAGTCGAAAGGTCATGGGTTCTTGGTGACAGGTTAGCATCACCACAGCGGCCAAACCAGGGATGCCATGTATGGTGCTTTCCAAGAGCCTCCGTCTCCGTGTCCGAAGCTGAAGCTCTGGAATCTGATGGCGAAGAGAAGAGGAAGAAGTCAGCAGAGAACACCAAAGATGACGAGACGGGCTCACCTCCGACACGAGTATAAAGACGATGGCTATCCCACGACAAGATGGACTTTTTTTTCTGCATCACAGCAGTCTTTCCTGATCTCCATCGAACATCTTGATCCCTTCGAACGATCATCTTTGACACGCAGCCAAAATGCGTTTCTCCGTCGCCTACCTCCTTCCCGCTCTCGCCGTCGCTAGCCCCTTGGGTGTTGTTCAGCCCTCTCCCGATGGCTGGGCTGATGGCCCGGATCCCAAGCAGATTCAGATCAGCAGCGCCACCTTCTCTGGCAACGGCTGCCCGCAAGGCACCGTGTCGACCAGCATCTCTCCGGACAAGACGGTACGTTGGAACAACGGCACCGGTGCTGGCTGGAACAGCACGGGGTGGTTGACCTTCCTGTCCTGGAAGGCGACCAGTATGAAAACCGAGTCTGGCGACCGATACTGATTTGGACAAACATTCAAGGTCATCACCTTTGGCTTCGATAGATTCCAGGTCTACATCGGCACCGGGTACAACCCGACAGAGAAGACCAAGAACTGCCAGCTTCACTTGAACCTCAAGGTATGCCACCCAGAACCCACCAGTCGGACATGTTGTCTAACGAGCCAATGATGGGCAGTACCCCGGTGGCTTCCAGTTCTCCGTTCTCGAGAGCACGTACCACGGCTATGCCCTCCTCGAGCCCGGCGTGACCGGCACCTTCTTCAGCACCTACTACTTCAGCCAGGCGCCTTCGGACACCACCACGACGCAGACCACCATCAGCGGTGGCGGCATCTGGTCCCAGGGCCAGGTGTACACCAAGACCGACAAGGTCCCGACTGCCAGCTACATCTACTCGCCATGCGGCTCCAACGGCATTCTCAACGTCAACAACCGCATCGCGCTCACCAGCTCCAACTCCAGCGCCATTGGCGAGATCACCGATGACGATGCCACCGTCGCTTTCACTCAGCAGATCAACCTCATGTGGAAGCCGTGCACCAAGAAGTAAATGGTCAAAGTGGCGCGATCCCGGGATTGTTGGTCCTTATGGTCGGAGTGGTTGGGTCGAGGTAGTGGCTCTTCTTCTGGAGCATGATTGGGGATGGGCGGTGGTTGCTGGCATGTGTGTCTGTCGGATGATGTCGAGTTTCCGGTGATGGTGAGGGCTGGACGTTTGAAGGCCTGAAAGGATAGCCGTTTGTACTTTGACGGATATTTGTTGACGTTGAAATAAAGTTCTGTGTTCCCGTAGAGTTCGAGGTTGCGTTCGTTCGCAGAACGTTGTTTGGATGCACAGCGCCTGTTACCCGCTGTCACCAAGCGGCGGGCCCGGTCACTTCGGCATTCGGCCTTCCACTTACCGGTACAGACGCCCCGCCCTGCAGATCATCGGGCCCCTAACTCCCATCTCACAACTCCAACGTCCATTCTCTTCTTCTCACAACTTCTATGAACAGTTCCACCCCAATTTGACATGGACGCCAACGCCAATTTGCAGAGCACCGCCAATACGATACAGCCGTGTACGGTAGCCGGACGCCTCTGATTGACTCTCCCTTGGGTCCACAGGATTTTCATTGCGTTAACGGACATTACCGACGACTACTGACGGGCATTCGCCAACGACTTGTCACGGCCTTCAATGCACCTTGGTAGTGTATGGTATTTGCAACATTCTATTGCCAACCAACAAAGTGTCCCAACACCATGGATATGGAATATTCCATCCAGATGGTAATAGCTCGGTCAAATTCCGGTCCCAAAACAGCACATGGCTTGACAAATAAACTCGACCTGGCAATATCCAGCACAGCTTTTGACAGAGGCACAGCCTACGTGACCGATGGTCTTGGATTACCCTCGTTGCTGAACAGCCCACTGAGGAAGGAAATTATGCCCGTTAGATGCCCGTTAGACGACGGGCGAGTCCACCGACTCGAGCCACGCTCCCGAGACATCAACGGCGTGCTTTCCGGCATACCCTACCACTTTCAACCCGCCCCGATCATGCACCCCGTCTTTTTGCAACAGCCTGGACTCACCAACGGCTGGGACGGATCGATAGGACCACTTGCGGTTTGTCCTTGACTAAAGTACGTCATGGCTGCCCCATGTCTAGCTGCCCACTGGCGGGACGATCACTTCTCAACCACTGTCCTCGACTGTGCTCGCTGCTCGTCAAGCACTGGCGCTTCATTGAACATATACCCGGAGACTTTCAGGAGACATACGGTCCTGGAGCCAGGTTCGACGGTATAAACGGGGTACAGTACCTGACAGACTCACGAGGCCAAACCTGTCGATGAAGGATCACCATGTGCGTCACTTTACATGCGTGCCTGAGACTTCAGACCCGGATTGTCGAAACGCGTTCTTCTTTCTTATCCCGCGCTGCTGGGTCATGACCCTGGATTTGGTTGCATACCCGGCCGGGGCGTAGCATTCTTGCTCGCAAGCTTTTCCTTGTCGATACAGGAAGCATCCGTCCGAACATTGGGCGGCGATCACTACAAGGTCATCCAATTCCCGTCACCCGCGCTGTTATCCGGGCCCTTCAGAGGTTGCAACGCGCGTGTGATATGTGATATGGCTATCTCTGCCTTAGCCATTACAGTTCTGGCGAGTTCGGGAGTCTAGTCATCCGGAATTTGACGCCGGGGGTCTTAGAACCAACAAGAACGCACGGAGTGCCTCCCGCCAAGATTCCACCGCAACGTCTTTTTCCAGAGCTTCTCGCCGACATCAGGCCTTCAACCAGATCAGGTAGGAGAGTCCGAACTGCCTGGACACTAGGTACACATTTACAGCACCCAACCTACGCTTTGGTTGTTTTCCGATGTCATGATCAATGTACGCATTTCCGTTGGCTGTAATAAGCGCAACAAAGAGTATTCTTGCGCATCAAAAAGCCATGTCTTCTGTCAGTTATATCATATTTGTTCCTCTCAGTCCGGAGATGGCTTCTTCGCTTTCATTCTCGTCGTTTTTCGGGTGATCCTCCGGTTGCCTGTCTGACTGGTCGACGGAGCAGAGGATGTGTGCTAGGGTTCGTGATTGGGTCAAGGTCGAAGCCAGTTGGCGCACTGGAAACACACCAAAGTACCTAAGCGACCTTGAAGTAATTAGCTGGTCAGTGCCAGCCATTACACCCTGGTAAGGGTGGCTTACCTTCCTACCTAATCCTCTTACAGTGTGAGAGTAAGCACTGTCTTCCTTGGCTTGGGGAAGAAGAAAAGACCTTAGTAGCAAAGCCTTGATCGGACGTTCCTTTTCCCGATCTCTGGAACTATGGCTTTGTGTCGTGGATCGAGACAGCAGTTTTTTGTTGTTCATGAACCATTTGCGTTTCTTTTTTTCCCTCTCTAAAGCCGGGGCAGTCTTGCGAGGTTAGTGTCCACATCGTGTTCGCAACTTCAACAACATCCATGCCCATATGCGTTTGAGGTAGGGCTGATGAAGTTTGTTGTGGAGAGAGACAATAACTGGATTGCGGATATGATGGAGACCCGCCAAGTACAAGAACGGGTATCGTTCCCGCTTCATTTTCCGTCATTCGCTCTGATAGCTTCAGTCACATGAGCATCATATCAACTCCATAAACCAGTCGATCCGCCCCATCTCAGGAACGGTTTCAGTTTCTACGGGACCAACGACCAAAAAGTTCCAGTCCAGTCCAGTCACTTCTTGTGCTATCAAGTTCTGCACACACTTAGGGTTCTATTAGGAATCATGTGCGACTACATTCAGGTAAGCCTCCTCCTCTTTACAAAAAAATAGGTTACTAACAAATCATCACACCTACAGAGAGAATATGCCTGCCGGCACATGCGCTGGATAGCGTCCCACTGGTGTCGTGAGTACACCATCACTCACAAGAGGTGTAAACCGAACGTAGCTCACTTTGAGCAAAAGTGAGTTCACCTCTCCCCTCTAAAGATGAAATGTTCAACCAGAATACTAACACCCTTTCTCCAGGGATATCGACTGCGGGGAATGCAAGAGCAGGCAAAGGGGAGCAGTCCCATGGGAACATATGATTCGACGCGACAAGAGCCAGGTGTATTAAACAAGGGGAGAACAACATCAACCGCCAAAAGAACGACACCACGACGACAACCTTCAAAAACGGAATGACTTTATGACAACTCTGCGACCTTCATCCGGCTCTTCTTTACTATAACAACATTTTACAAGACAACAACCACACGGTTACCATCATGGGCAGTTCATTCGATTGAACGGCACTGTCGAAATCAAACATCGACATCGACACACTTTCTCAAAAACTACCGGGGCGGCCTTTTGCAATTATTCGAATTCATCGTTTCTGGGAGGGATAAAATTGTTCAGCACCTTCGATTGGGGCTTCAAGCAGGCGGCGGCAAACTCGTCTTTCTACATTGCACTTTGCAATCTTGCGAATTCTTTCTGTTCTGGGTTCTGGCGGAAAAATCTCTTTTCTTGTTCTTGTTCTTTGGGGACGGCCATCTGTCATCGTCATAATACCCCTTTCCATTGTTTTGCTTTTGGTCTTTGTGTCTGTTGTCTTTCGAGCTCCTTTCGAGCTCTCTTTTTCTTCGAATGGGCTAGGTGACTATTTGATTTCTCGTTTTAGCAATTGCATCTGGATAGCAGAAGAAGAAGGGGGGATTGATTGCATTTGGCTAGAGGAGGTAGCTTGGTGCGAGGTAGCTGCTCTGTAAGCTCGCAACTACATCACATACCGACTACTCTCTTGAGACAAGGGGGGGGGGGAGCGGAATCATCATTGATAGAAGGTTATATCAGTGTGTTTTTTTTGAATACCAGCATTCTTAACCCCAAATGGGGTTCAAATCCTAAGGACTAGGCATGCATATTGATCGTTCTTCTTGACATTTTCAGTACACAGATGGACGTATGTTGATTTTGTTCCATACAATGTCAATATCAAAAATCTTTTCCATAACTGACCATCTACCTTTGTTTTCTCATCATCATTTGCGCCCACAGACATATGTCTCAGAATTCACGTGCATTTTACAACACCCGTTAGCATTTCGAATCCGAGAAAAGAAACGTCCAAAAGTTGAGTTGTACCGAACGCGAGTCGCAAAAGTAAGGTATCCGAAAGTATCCGAACAACGACCGACTTACCGACCGACCAACTGACTGACCTACCGACCGAGTTCCCAACCGAGTTTTTTCCAGTCCAACTTAACCAACCGACGACCCGGCCCCGTCCAATAATATAATTATCTTGAAGGCAAGAACAAATGAGACAAGACGGAGAAGAGCCCGCGCTTCTACCACAGTATCGGGTGGGAGGTGGGGGTAGCCAGTTTAGTTTAGTTTTAGCGACCTTGACCTTCGTTTCGCTCCCAGAGAGTCCCAGATCAACCTAAAGAGCTAACGAAAGACTAAAATGTCTCACTTACCAACTTCCCTAGTCCCTGCCTCTTCTCTACAATCTCGTGTGAACCAGTGCTTGCTAGTGCATGACCGTTGGTCCGTTGTTGATAACCGAACGAACGTTGTTCCAAGAGTGGAAAGTGAAAAGCGTTGGTTGACCTTATCGGCCGGGCATTGCCTACCTTACCTGGGTGGGAGTTGGGAGCTGGGAGCTGGGGTAATTCTTTATTCCTAGGTACGCAGTCAGGTCTGGTCGCCGTTCATAATTTCATCTTCCTTCTTCCTCTTATGGAAGTGATGGCTGAAGGGCTGGCTCGCTTGGTTGAGAGGAACGATAACCTTACATGTTGAATATACCATGTCGAACCGAGCCAGTGGAGTGGACTGCTATGTATGTACATATGTACATAGTAGATGGGATCGGCTGCTGTAATGCCCGGGTACCTGTCCCTTATATCCATCCATCCCTCTCTTCCTCCCACCCACCCTTCCGGTCGGTTCCTCTCAGTCTTCTTCAGTCTCACACATTGGTACCTACCTAGGTATGCTGCAGGGTACGGCAACTAAAGAAGAGCGAGGAAGCGAACAAGCGAAAGAAGCCCTTCTCTCGTTTCCTTTTCTGTCACCTTCTTCATGTTCCTTGACGTTTCCTTTGCGGACCCCCACCTCACCTTTGCACCGCCTCGCCGCAAAGGAAGGCGGACAGGCAGCAGGCTCGGGATTCGTTCGGTGTTCACTGTTCGAACATGGAATTGGAGAAATGAGATGAGATCATAACTAATCCACCACTGCACTCACCCACCCACTTACACGAGATCCGGCATGTACCGGTCGGTATCTTAGCTCAAGCTAGGTTGTCAAATGGAATGGTTACCGTACCCGTGATGAGGGGAGCCCCCTTTTTGATGATGAAAACGCGACTCGCTATGCTAGCGGAGGTTCGGTGGGGGAGCTGGTGGGGAAGGTTAATTAAACTTCGTGAGTCGTGAGGTCTGTTGTTGGTTTGGTGGGAGTGATGACTGGGTGTTATATAAAAAGAGTGGTCGGACGCTTGTTGTTTTGTTCCGTAGGTTGGAATCATCTTGTGGTCTTTCTCTGGTTTTGTTGATGACTGGTTTGTTGACAGGACTGCGAGTTCTTCAAGCTTAAGTAATGCCTGCTGCTGTTCACTGTGGCGCCGGCATGGGCTGCAGGTCGCTTAACTTGACCTGCGTTAGGTAGACTTCATGCTATGTAGACGCCGCGCATTGTGCTGGACTTCGTGGCCTCTTTTTCTCGTTGCCCAAGAATTCCCCAAGTTCAGGAAGTCGTTTGTTTTGTTGATATTGGGATATGTAGCATCAAGCCGGCATACCCCTGATTGCCGCTCAGGAACCCTTTTGACAGCTTGATCCACCGAGATCCACTGTTCTTTGCCTGTCCAAGTCAGCAAATGAGAAGACACGGAATTGTACATCCGTCGAACTTATGAACATCAAACGAAATCGTTACCCCAATTGTCTCGAGAACAACTGCCGAGTGTCCCGCACTTGAAGCAATCAGCCCACTCCCCGGAATTTGGGGGGTTTGAGTGGAGGTGGGGCCGAATGGGGAGTGGGCATTCGGTCCGAGGCCTTGAGGGTTCTCGGAAAGGTGGGGGAAGTGGGTTTCCGGGGTAGCTTTTATCCCCGGTCGACCCTACTGCTCCCCCGGGGCCCTCCTCGTCCGGGAGATCCAGTGTCCCGCTCCAACTTCCCGTCCGTCTCACCCAATCCCACTGCCTCGGCCAAGAATATGATAGGATGCATGGAAGACATGATGATAAGCCGGATATCAGATATCTGGGAACGGGTTCTGAATTCGGGGTCAAGGACGGGACTTGTTCAATCTCCCATCTCATCATCATCATCATCATCATCAGTCACTTTGACTTAATCCACAAGGCTAGATTTTGGGGCAGATTCCCCACATCATGTAAACAACACCACCATCAACCATGACGAGCACAAGGGAAGCGTATTCCGGAACACCGCCCGGCCATGTTCCCCTCAACAACACCTTTGACTGGTGTTTCAGTCAGCCCTTTTCATCCGTGAACGACTACACTCCTCAAGCTCAAGTGTTGGACAAGATCGAGGATGAGAGGCCAATCTTTGTGGACAATGCTTCAGGTTAGTATTCTCATATCTTTAACCTTGCATTTGGTAGACTTCAAAGTTGACACATCACACTTCCTACCAGACCGCAAACTCACCTTCGGCCAAATAAGAAGCGATGCCCTAGCCCTCGCCGCCGGTCTCCTAAGCCTGGGTCTTAACCCCAACGACATCACCAAACTCCCACCAACACCGACCTGCCCTCAAGGGCCCGAGATCGCCCCCGTTGTTCTCATCCAGCTCCCCAACTCACTTGCCTTTGCGCCCGTGCTGCTGGGAACCCTCGCCGCCGGACTAACCGCTACCCTCGTCTCACCCGCCCTCACAAGCGATGAAGTCGCCTGGATCATCCAGAACTCGCGGCCACGGGCCATCATCACGGCAAAAGCCTGTCTCGGCGCCATGCGCGAAGCGCTGAAGAAGCAGGAACCGCGAGACCGGGCCTTCTTCGACGCTGTGCCCATCTACACCTTTGACGCCGCCAATGACCACTACCCCTCCGTCTCGTCATCGCCACCATCACTCAGCAGCAGCAAGAACAAGAAAACCCAGGACTGGAAAGTCCTCCTCAATACCGCCAACCACTCCCAAACAGTAGTGGTCCCCTCCTCCCTCACCCCCTCCCCCTCCTCCCGCGCCCGCACAGCCGTCATCCTCTGGTCCTCCGGCACCTCGGGCCGGTCCAAGGGCGTTCTCCTCTCGCACCACGCGCTCAACTTCTCCGGTGCGCACATGTGGCACGACGCATCCGACTACCACTCCCTTGCCAAGATCCGGCAGCAGCGCTGGCTCGGCTACGTGCCCTTCTACCACGTCTTCGGCCTCTGCAACATCATTTTGCTGGCCGTCATGACGGGCGCGACCGTGTACGTGATGCCATCCTTCAGTCTCGACGTCATGCTAGCCGCGATTCCCAAGCGCAAGATCACGTACCTGCACATGGCGCCGCCCATCGCCGTCATGCTGGCCAAGGCTCCCGCAGTAGAGAAGTACGCCAAGCGGAACCCGAAGACAGGTAAAAACGGGTTCAGCTCCATAGTGGCGGCCGTCACGGGCGGCGCTCCCCTCGGACACGAGGTCGTCGTGGAGGTGTACAAGCGGTGCGGGTTCCGCGTGCGACTGGGCTACGGACTGAGCGAGACGTGCAGCACCGCGCTGCAGCGCGGCACGGGCGAGAAGGACATGATTGAGCAGGCGGGCGAGACGGGCCTGCCGCACTGGGGGGTGGAGGTCATGGTTGCTGATATGGATGTGCCCGCCCCGGGCCTGGTGGATGGGAAGACCAAGGCGGCGAGGATAGACCAGGAAGGGGAGATTTTGATTCGGTCGCCGACGCTGTTGAGCGCTTATTTGCCCGTGGGCGTTTTTACGACCCCTAAGGGCCAGGAGCCGGATATGTCAGTCACGAGGGAGGCGTTCACGGCTGATGGGTGGTTCCGCACGGGCGATGTGGGCACCATCGGCGCGCAGGGAAGGCTGCGGATCACGGACCGCCTGAAGGAGTTGATCAAGGTGCGCGCGTACCAGGTTGCGCCGGCGGAGCTCGAGGCCGTGCTGTGCAGCAGCCCGTCGGTGGCGGACGCGGGCGTGGTGGGCGTGTATGACGAGTCGGAGGCGACGGAGTGGCCGAGAGCGTATGTGGTTCCGCACAAGCCGGAGGCGCTGGAGAATAAGAAGGACCTGGAGAAGCTGGCGCATGAGCTCAGGGTGCTGGTGGAAGAGAGGACGACCAGGTATAAGTGGCTTATGGGAGGGGTCGTGTTTGTGAAGCAGATCCCCAAGAGCCCTAGTGGGAAGATTCTGAGGAGGGTGTTGAAGAGTGGTGGGGAGGGCACCAAGGGGGTTGAGATTCAGGTTTATCAGAAGAAGAGGAGGGGAGCTGCTGCTGCTGCTTCGAAGCTGTGAGGCTCATGGTGTTCAATGTTTTCTGGCATCATTTCTCGGTAGAAGGTGAAGAGGGGTTTCTGGTTTGTATGCTAAATCGGTATGAGCTAAACGGATTTCATTAAACTGAGGAGTGTTATAGTTCGGCCAGTATTGGTTCCCGGTTCCAACTTGAGAAAAAGGTTAACGGCAGACTACGTACGTTTAGTTTTGCCATAGCAGATTACCCTTTTCGCCTTCCAGACGTTAGGTGTATCGTCTTTCAACAAGCCATTTCTGGTCCTCGCTGACCCACCTCGGTGCTCGCAAGGAGAACAACCTACAAGTAGGTACTCCCCACCAGACGTTCATATTTTCCACTTGACGATATCAACCCACTAACCATCGCTTAAACAGTTCCCTCCCTCCTTCTACCAGCCTCCCCTTTCCCATCTCTACTACTTCCCAGTCATCTTCAACCAACGGTTCGAAATAACCTTGAACCCTTTCTTCCAGTTATCATTCGCCCTAAAGATCAAGCCCTCCTTAACTCCACCAAATTTCCCGGGACCAAGCGCATCCGCATAAGCCAAAAGCTCCTCCACACTCTTCCCATACTTGGTAACAGGACCGTACCCGAGCACCGGCACATGGGCGATGTCAAGTGTCTTGCAAAGCAGCTCGACACTCTTGGTCGCGAGGTAATCACGGGCGTCCATGTCCCAGATGCCGAAGACCACGAACTCGTGTTTCCCTTCGGGACACTGCATCGTGTTTCCCTGGATGTGTGAACCGACCAGCTCGCCTTGGATGGCAATGTTGCGGTAGGGGATCTCGTGGATTTTGTCGAGAATGCCGCTTGCCTTGGCGGTTTCCCAGTAGATGTTCTTGCCGTCGTCGAAGAACTCGTGGTCGCGGTTGCAGACGCCGACCCGGCCGCGAGGGGTTTGCATGGTGGGAGGGATGGGGGCGCCGTCGGCCGAAGGCTTCAGGGCGGGGAAGTAAGTGAGCAGGTCTGGCGACTTGTTGGAGACCTTGTAGACGTGCATGCTGATACCGTCGAGTTTCTCCGTGACTTGGTAGATCATGTTTTTGACCGTGTGTGTGTTGAAGACGTAGTCGCCGATGTCTTGAATCCGAAAATTGCCTGGCTTCTGGATGAGCGCCGAGAGCTCGCCGATGATGCCCGTGACAGGCCGCTCGTGAGTAGGGTATTGCCACTTCTTGATGCCCAGGACGTCCGCGAAGGAGTAGGACAGGAGTTCCTCTGTGGCTTTGTCCTCGCCGACTTTCTCGATGCGACCTTGGTAAGGCAATATAATCTCGGGAAAATTGATAAGGGGAAAGATCATGCCCTGCGAGTATGTGCCGGCCACTGTGCGCGACCTGACGCGGAGCCCTTGCTCTCCGTTGAAAACATCGTTCATGCTGGGCCAGAGCTCCCAGAACCTGTCAATCTTGGGGATGAACGAATCGATCTCCATGAAGACGACCAGATCGCCGACCTAAACAGCGCAAGGATTGACAGCTTAGCCAGCCGCTGGTTATTGTTATTTGGCATGGATAAACTCGCGAATGCTACTTACCTTAAGGCGACGCATCTGGGAGGTTTGGCCAACCACGGTCCAGTTATCCACCGTGACAGCGGTGCAGTGTCCCTCGATTTTCTTCTTTGCCATAACTTTACGCACGCTCACGAGCTTGCGCTTGTAAGGTTTGCTTGGTTGTAGCGCGTTGGATGAGGTGGCTTGGGTAGTGTTCTCCATGATGTTAAGTATCTTTTCGCGGTGCAATATCTCTTGAGAGAGTTCGTGGAGAAGAGAAGTTTGATTGAAAGTGTGAGGTGGAAGAAGGGAGCAGGTTTCCTATGGCCGAGTCCTAAATATTTAAAGACCCTTCCTTCGAAAACGTGGGAAACATCTGGGTCAAGAATCTGCGGTAGGGGTATCCAGTGGATAGCCCGGTCGTAACTTCCCCAAGGTTCTGGAGTCTGCGGTTTGATCCCTGATTAACTGATGCTTAAGTCTGAAAGATGACGACGGAGGAACATGAATGGGATCGAAACAACACCCGCGCTGATTGCAGCGTTTGGTGGGTAATCTACCTTGAGATGCCAGGTAAACCAGCACTTCTGCTTCTGCTTCCATCACTAGAGGTACCCGTTCAATCGTTTCGATATTTCACTTTACCGTCTTTATCTGTTTTGCACCTACACCTGCACGCTGGTGCTCAACATATCGGTTATGATGCTACCACCCCTGGACATTTATCAACTCAACAATTTAACACATAGTGGTACCCTCTCTTCTACTAAGGTACCTGTACCTATCCCTACTTGAGAAGCATCTAACGCTTATAATGCTTCTAACCATGCAGCTCGATATACTGCCTGCCAAAACGGCTGCTTCATTAACATCCGCGAAAGATCCCTCATGTTCAACCCCGAACCTGTTTCCTTCATACGATGGTCTATCACACTTCCAAACAAATGAACTCGGTTTGATCCCAGCAAGAATTACTGAATTGTGATACGTCCGTAATGGTCCATATAGGGCCTCTCCCCTGACAAGCAGACGTACCTATTCAATCAAGATGTCAGTGATTGTCCCAGTTTGCTTGGAATGACGGCGTTTCGAGAAAGTGTGTACTTACGACTTTCGGCCGTCGTCGGTACGGTCAAACCCTTCAGGCCAGATCTCCTCCATATCCTGGCGATGCTTAGACTTTGGCTTTTTCTCCTTGATCCGCAACTTCTCGAAGAAAACATAAGCGCCATAGAAAACGGAAGAGGTGGCGCCCGCTTTGGCCCCCTTCATACTACGGAAGCGGGTCAACTGCGAGGTGTGAATATTGGCCGGTCGGGAAATTGAATGGAACTGCGCGTGGATATCGCGGCAGAACTGCGCCATGGTGACGCCAGGCTTCCTCACATAGGCATCAATCTTCCTCCGCATCTCATCACAAGTCTCGTAAACAGGCACGTCATCAGTCTCCTCGCCATCGAGATAGACGTCACTGATATCGACTCCCGCGCTGTTGCTGGCACCAGCCGCCTGAGCGGAGGAGCTTCCAGCCTCGGCGCCGGCGGCGGAATCCGTCTTCTGCTTCTTGGCAGCGGATGTCTTGTTGGGGATCTTGTAACCGACAGCCTCGAGCTTCTTGAAGTACTCCCACGCGGCAGGGTAGGAGCTGTAGCCTTGGCCTTTGTTGGCACCGTGCTCGCGAAGAAAGCCGCTGAGAGACTTTACGCTCACGCCAAGCTCTCCGGCCAAGGCCGTCTTGGTGATGATACCCGCATCGAGAGCGCGATTGATTTTACGGCGCACTTGATCACAGTTGTCGGTGAGAGGTGTGTCGATGATGATATCCTCGAGTTCATCGGATGTCGGCAGAGGCCGCGGGTTCGGCGGAGTCACGGGTGCCTTGCGCTTCCGGTTGTTGGGAGCAGGTTGGCTTGGAGTGACAGCTGGAGTGACAGCTGGAGTGAAAGCAGCTTTGTCGGTAGGAGAGGAGCCAGTGCCAGTGGGAACGTTCTCCTTGTTCGCAGCGGCTGAAGGTTTGGGGCAATTGTCAAGGTAAGCTGGCGGCGGGGCATTGATTCTCGCTGCTTCTGGAGCGTCCCGGAGGACACCACGCTGATTCTGTGGATGGGTAGTCAGACAATGGTGGCTAGAGACGTTTGGCTGAAGGGTATGGTCCTGTTGTAAAGGACGAGCAACACACTCGCAGTCTTCGCCGAATGACAAAGAAGACCAGAGAAGATAGCTCTATGGTGTACTTACGTCGGACATGTACTTGCTGTTTGCAACAAAAAAAATTGCTACTGGTTGAGGCTCGTCGGAAAACAACGTTGAAAGCAGTCTCGAACCCGCTGGATAAGTTGTGGGATTATGGGAATTCAGGACGGTAGAGGTATGTTAAAAACCGAGCTTTGAAATAGATGTCGGTAGCCCACCAGATAAATCCGAGTTGAAAGATTCAAGTTTTTTCATACACGTGAATGGTGAAGACCTGCGCGGGGGGGACGTCGGGTCAATGTCAACAAAGGTTAAAGTGGGGCTTTACGTCAATTCTTGGATTGGACATGGGAATAGTGGGGCACCTGCACGCGAAATCACACGAAAGCACGTGAAGGGCAGCTGTCCAGCGGACCGACTGCTGCTTTCAGTTAGCACGTTAATGTGAAATATGTGCAGAACCTTGGTAAAAGCATGACAAGCACTATCTGTGTGTTAGTGCACGAGCCAGTTTTGGGCAGAAAAGGAGGGTCAAACTAACTACTCAAGCATCCAGCTCTGTTAGTGCAAGTCTTCCCAGGTTCAAGGCTTAAGGTCCCGACTCCCGAGTCCAGTCTCGGCCACTGCACGATAACATCAGCATGGGACCGAAACCTGTATCGCCAAGTAGCCTAAGCATCGAGATGGGAGCTTCCCAGAGTGGGCCTTGGTTATATCCGGATGGATAGCGCGGCAGACGTACCCAGCTGGCTGCAGGTCTTCGCTTCATTAAGCTGCCTTTGGTCCATGTGGGTGACTTCGGGGCCCGGGGAATGCAATTCCGAACGGTTGATGCAGCAGTTGGAGGTTCCATGGAGTTGCTACTGAGGCCCAGACTCATGTAGGAAACACCGAATCGCCGCCGGTTATCACGGACGAACTAAACCCAAGCTGTCCGGTTACATATCTTGAGCGGCAACCGCGGATGAACGTCCTGAACGATAAAAGGGGATCGTGCCGCACTCGGTGGGTGATGACGAGCCATCCATGATCACAGTGTGGTGCAGTACAGTTGTGTTCTCAGCTGCTCAGCAAACACTGTACCCAATGAATGAAGAAACCAGGTGGACGGATTATGTCCACTTTACCAGGATGCGCCTCTGCCTACCTACCGAGATATTTCCATGCATGGTACGGTTACGTTCATCTCTGGTGGCTGTCAGGGCCTCTCTATAGGTAGAGGTGTGAAATCTTGTACGGCGTCCAGATAACTTGAGATAACACAGGAACTATCCGTCATGCACACACTGAGGATACTTTCCCTTGGCGATCAAGCACTCGTCGGCTTATTGCCCCAGATGGTCGGAACGGACGCCGTCATTCATCAAGTATTAGGTCCGGAATGAGCCGTTTGTTCCTGCTCGGTGGGTGAGGTAGACCGAGCAGGTTGAGTGAGTGATACGATAAGACGTGGCAGCCCTCTCCATCACACCTCATTTTCTTCGCCAGTCTCGGATCACGTTTACCATGAACTCCCAGATCCAACCAGTCAGAGTCCCTTGTCTGCCCACACTGGCCACTTTCTTTTTTACTAGAGGTATTAAGATCTAATAAGTTTTATAAGATGCTCCAATACCCCTGGCATCAGATTCGACATACACACCCAACTACGTCAGTTCATCCTAGTCCCTTACTTGGTCATTCTTTATTCGGGTGTCAATGATAGTTCACCAAGTCATTACACCTGCCAAAATGGCAAGTTTGCTCTGGCCTCCTCATACACAAATTATCCTACGCAGACTACATGCTAACCATCCTACCACAGCCCACTCCTGTCACACTCTCCAATGGCCTCCCAACCATAATCACCACAGCCATCTCCAACCTCGAAACAGTCAAACAAACCCGCCACAGCATCGGCGGCGCCAAAGAACCACTAGACTCCATCTCCGCTCAAGCCGACATCCTCATCCGCTCCCTGCTGCTTATCAAAGACATCCACTCCCTCCAAACCTTGCGAGTAGGCGAGCAAATCTACCAGATCATGGATCTCGCCTCCCGCTTGGGCGCATCGATGCTGGTGATTGCCGCAGACAGCAGCCGCCGGACGACGTCGACGACAACTCCTCCCGAAGGGCAAGAGATCATCACGCCGGATAGCTACGTCTATGGACACTTACAGACTATGGAGGGGCAGTTGCGGGAGGCAAGAGATACGCTGTTTGAGCTGGTCAGGTCGGTGCTCGTGGGGGTGTCGGGGAATCCCAAGGATGGGTTTCGGGTGGTGAAGGGGGATTTGGTGGGGGTGAATGACAGGGTTAGGGAGGTTATGGGCGTTCAGATGAGGTTGTTTGAGCGGTTGAGGGAGAGGATAGTAGGGGAAGGGGAAGGGGATGGTGAGTGATTGATTGATCTCTGTCTCCTCTCGAAACCCTCTCAGGCCAGTTCCCCATCATGTTTACCTACTGACTGATTTGTTCCATTTTTTTTAGCAGAAAATGCAGTCATCGAGCTTGACGACACGGATATTGAACATCTCGGGTTACCCCGTGTATCGGGGGATCTGTAAGAACTCCAACCTTTCATTGCAGTTTTGATGATACTGGCTGACAAAAGATCAAGGGTCGAACAATGGCGCGCCACGGTGGGGGTTGAGACCGGCATCACCCGAGAGAACGGGCAGTAATCGGCATCAGCACTACACCGGGCGGATGTTGGGAGGCTTTCTTCAATGAGTTGTCTTTCATTTCTGGGTCTAAGGAATCTTTCGTGGTGTGGTTATCTGTCTATCTGCCTTTTTTTTCATTTCCCTTATTTGCTCTCTGTTAACTTGGATACCCTGCATTCCACATAAGCGTGGATGGGTGGCAGTCTGCTTTTTTTTTGCAACAACGATATCCTACCTAATCACACGCACACTTCGACATCAAACTCACCTTCCATTGCAGCGGTCCCGTGATCTGTATTTGCTTTTCTTCTCCTCTATCAACCGTAACCCTCAAACCCCCCCCAAAACCTCCCCCATCCAGCCCAGCTGAAAACTAACAATCCACTGTCTCAGATCTCAGATCTACCCAAGCCCCTATCAAGATCATGATCAAAGCCAGATCCTCGGCACTTGGAAGTGCCGAGAGCCACACACTGCCCATTTTGCTGCCACATACTTGCCACTTGTCTCATCCATTCCACATCCAGCCAGCACCCGACTACTCGTTTCTTCTTCCATCCCACGTCCTCGGTTCCAACTGCTGAAGGGTAGGTTGACAGTGCCAGAATCCTCATCACCATCATCATCTTCTTCTTCTTCTTCCCATGGATAGAGAAAGATATCATTTTGATCCGATCGTTACACACAAAGATTCCATGTTTATGCTGTGTTTCAGTTGCCCCTGGGAAGGCTACCTACTGTGCATGAACTCCTGTTCGTGTTGTGCAACATGAACCGAGACCGAGGCCGAGGCTGAATCGGAGAGCGAGCATGAAGAGCAGAAAAGGAAGGCTGGAAATGTGACGAGATAATTCTTTTTTTTGTTGGTATTTCTTCCCCGCCCCCCAAAACAACCTACCCACTTGCCTCATATTCCATACATTCGTACATCATATAATCGTACAAAATCTACCTTATCGTATCATAAACCCTCCGTCCAACCCCAACCAAAACGAAAATTCTAAAAAAAAAAAAAAAAGATCGTTGTCTGTCCGCTATGTCATGACTGTAAGTTAGATGGTATAATGTGTATAGAGACAAAAGAAATCGAGACGCGTCGTCGTGATGTAACCCGTGCTGTCAAATGTCCAAAACCTAAAAGTGCAAAGCCGGCCACAACATCGTATAATCCCCCGACGACAAATCCCTCAACCGCTGCTGGGAATCACTCGTATCCGGCCTCTTCACACCATCCACCCTCCCCCCTTGCTCTTCTCCTTCTTCAGTATATGCTACTCTCTTCAACGGCAACAAACCCCCTCCTCCTCCCCCTATTCCCCCTATTCCCCCTACTCCTATCCCTCCTCCTCCTCCTCCTCCTCCTATTGTTGTTGTTGTTGTCGCATCATCAATACCATGTTTATCCTCCTTATGCTTCTTCAGATTATCCAGCCTGCTAAAAGTCTTGGTGCAACCAGGAACGTCACACGACAACCGCAGCCCTTTGTGCGTGTTCTTGTGCTTGCGGAGGTAGCCTTTGAGGTTTTCGCGGACTCCGCGGGGTTTCCATTGGCATTCATCGCAGATTAGGAGGTCGTTGTTGTCGTTGCCGCTGCCATGACTTAGACCCAGGCTTAGGTCTTGTTGTGTGGTGTTGTTGGGTCTGCGGTGGTGGATGGCGATGCCGGTAGTAGTAGTAGAGGTGCGATGTGGGTGTGAGTGTTGGTGGTGGTTTTGGTGTTGATGTTGGTGTTCGGAGGGCGGGGATAGTGCTATGTTGCTGGTACAGGAGGGAGTTGGGTTCCCCTCCCCAGGTGTTGATTGCTGTCCCATTTCGCTGCATGTACCTGTCCCTATTAGTGTGGTGTTTGGCTGCATTGTCTCTACTGAGTCGAGACTTGGTGATCGAGCTATGTCCTGATGATGTGTCCCTGGTTGATAGTAGATTTGATGTTGTGGCTCGTCAGTATCTCTGACCTTCACAAGAGTATCTGGAGTTGGTATGTCCCTCCCGCCAGTGCTGGATAATGTCATAGCCGGTGGCGTTTGAACATGAAAGCTGCTGCTTGTTCCAGAGGAGTCGGGTGTTAATCCTTGGATGCCGCCCGTCGTTCTTGGACTCCACCATGAGTGGCCATCCACTTGCATAGCAGGAGGAATGCTCGTTTGAGTAACGGGAACGCTGGTAACGGCAATCGGGTCGTCCAAAGACATGGCCGTCGGCGGGGGGAGACCATCGAGCTGTAATGTCCCGGTGGGTATTGTTGGTTGTGATGTAAATTGGTATGGCTGGGACGTAATATTATTGTTGTTCCCCTGAATGGGTGGCGTTGGGGATTGGTAGTGCGAGAGCCTCGGAGGGAACAAGGTAGTGCGGGAAGTGTTTGTGGACGCTCTCTGCGATGGTTCGACCTCGATGGTGGACGAGGCCGTAATCGACGACACGGCAGACTGCAAGTCCGACATTTCCTCGGCACTGAACCCTTGCCGGAAAAGCTCTAAGCTGGCATCCATCATATCAGTCGTAGTTGGTTGCTTGTGGAGAGAAAAGAAATCGCCTGTAGCGCTGTGACCCGAGAATGGCATCGTAGAGTGCGGCGTAGGGCATCCGATCATGGAGGTGCCTTGGACTACCGATTCCATAGAGGCTGCCGTATGTGTCCTCGCGTGGAGCATAAACCCATGTTGATGCGTTTGAATTTCCGATAATGTGTTTGTCTTGCGAGTGTTGTCCCGTTTACGAAGTGTAAAAGTATCCCTCATCTTGGAACCCAGACTTCGCTTCCGCTCCACGTTGACCTCCTGATGCTTCCAACCTGTCCAATGCGCCCAGTCTTTCTCGTTGGTCGGAAATTCGTGCAACGTGTTACATTTATCGCAGTGAAAGACGCCATTGTGAAGTTCATGACAGGATAGTAAATGCTGAATGAGTTGCAGATGTCCTAGGAATGGCTTTCGACACCTTGCCATTGGACACCTATACTCTGGGTGAGATTGATGAAGAGTTGGCCGTTCCAACAAATCGCGCAGGAACATCAAAACGACACGGGCAATGGTCCCATCCGTAACCACCTTTTCTTCATGTCTAGCGAAGTGATGGAGGTCCCAGTCAGCCGCCTTGTTTCGAAATATCTCGTAGGATTTGGAAGACTCACGGGCATGAACCACGGTGGTGCCCCAGCATGGAGGCTTGCGAGAGAGTGACATGTGAAGCGTTGTCTCGGATGAAGGTCGAATAAAGTCCTCCATCATGAATAAGTCGGTGCTGAAGAGACGACATGGAGGTGGTATGGGGCGTGGCTGGGTTGATTCATAGGTGCCACGGTGCATCAAGAAGAGCCCTACCAGACTAGTGAGAGAGCAGGACAAGGAGAAATAACTCTTGGGGGGTTTGTGGGTTGTATCTTGTCGTGGTATAAGCCAGGCATCAGGGGTGACATTGGAGACGGGACGCAGGGCAACGCTCGGCCAACTGCTACCTTGGAACAGTTAGATGGGCTTAACTGACAGAAATATCCTGGCATGGTTCCCGGGGTGAAGGACCTTCTTCTCCACGGTTCCCGCTATCCCGGATGCATGCCTCTTTGGACGAATGCACGGCAGTTGTGTCGTAGCCCGTCGAGTTGGCGATGGACAAACCAGGTGCACCGGGCATACACCAAGCCAACCTAGGCCAAGGCCATGTCTGGGGGCTGGTCTGGAGATGTCGGGCAGGCAGGGTGCTCTTGGGCCAGTCAGAAGAAGGTTTAGATTTCTAGATTGGGACGTAATATAAAAGCTCTTTACCTGACTGGGGCTTGGCCGGCTGAAACTGTCTTCTTTGCAGCCTTCAGGCCTGAAGGTGGGTTGCTGACACAGGAGTGGCCTCTTGACGGTTGGCGTTGTTGTCGATGGCCTCAACAACATGAGCACTCGGCTCTCGCAACCAGTAATTGCATGGTCAAAGATATCCATGGTATTTCCTGAGAAGGAGTTTATTTGGACATTGTGGGATACGTTCATTGCCCATGCTGAAAATGATAGATGGTCGCTTGTGGAACGGGGAATGCAGTGGGAGAAGTTGGAGGGTCCGAAAGTTGTGAACAACGGAAACTGGGGGGAGCTCGAGCCAGGTAATGGACAGGACAAAGATAGGGAGGATTGTTAATGGTAAATGTACCTTTACACATATCAAGGCGGCAAGTGGTACCTCCTGCCGTATCGCTTACAAAACCCTGGCCCTAAACTTCCCCACAGCAACATTGCATCAAACAGTTTCCCCAATTCATCTTCCATTTTGGCAACGAACTTCTTTCCCGACTTGAACATCAAAACAATGGAACAACCACGGACAACGCCGAAATGAAGGGGACCAACCACCACGTCTTGGTAAACCGCCCCAAACGCCCCAAACGTAGGTATCTACTCACCCAGGAAGGGAACGTCGGCGAATATAACCGGATGGCGCCTCCTGCCGCTGCTCCTTGGGGGCAAAGGCAAGCGATTCACCATCTACGGCACACTTTGTCGAAACCAGCGCACACGTCCTGTTGCTCAGGTGAACAGTCGGTGATCTTACAGAAGCTGCACCGGGGGCTGGCTGGCTTCCAACAGAAGCTTGCCACGGGCGGGCGTGTCTTCCATATTGCGGTGCTCCTCTTCATTCTTATCTCCTCTGAGCACTACATAGCTCTTCTCACTTTGGCTGTGCTAACGAGAATCCCGCAGTTCAGTCTGATGGCCCCCAGGTGTCCTTGTTGAGGCACTCTTAGGCGACGGGACCGGATCCCGGATAAAAATGGGGATGGTTTCCTGTCGTCACTCTGTACATAGGGGATCATCAGATCTTCACCACCTTCGGCCTGTTCCCGGAGACCCTTCCATCCTTCCTTCTCAAATGGGCACTTCATGTCCAGATCTTCGGATCACACACATGGGCGAACCGAGATTTTGGAACGAAGAATATTCTGGTGCCCCTGATTCACTCACGGCCATTTCCAAAGAAAGCAACTGTCGACATCAGAGTCTCGCCAAGAGGGTGTTGCTGCTCTGCGGTATCGTCGCCTTCCGACGCACCTACCGAAGCTGACACCACGGAAAACCTCTGTTGCCATTACCTGGTCTACTTGGCTGTCGACTTGTTGCTTCATGTTGCATACTCGCTTGCCAGAAGAGGAAACCCTCACGAGCAAGTTTCTGCAAGTCACGCTGGGCGGCACTACCAGGCTAAATTGCATCGTGTTTCTCTCGTGTCTTGGCATCCATCCAACCGTCCGCTCGATAGCCCCCAGCCTAAGCTGCATGTTCTCTGGTTGTTCTACTACTCTTCTTTTGACCTCGGTGCCGGCCTCCGTCTTGGAAGGTAGCTTGATCTTCTTCGCTTCCGTCTCCTCACAGTCACCTTCGGGATTTCGGGTTCGTCCATCTAGATCTCTCTGGATGTCAATCTGTTGGCGCATGTTTCAATAAAGATATACAGAAACCCACTCACACTCAACACCAAACTCCAGATATCTTGCCGCTAGTTGTGGGAGGGATCGCGCCCATTGTTTCTTCAGCGTGGATACCGGCAAGTGCACGACTAACTACTCCAGGATCTTCAACTATAGAGCACACCGGCAACGAGAGATTATAGCCCTGCCGGCCGAACGAGTGACGGGAATACGAGCTCGTGGAGTCAAGATGTGCGACACGCAGGGACAGGGGCGAAATCTGTTCTGTCCATGTTAACATGATATCGTTCGAGGCGGTCATCTATCGATGCCATGAGAGATCACCAGAACCAACATTTACATAAACATGTCGCTGTCCAGTATCCGGTCGAGTGCAACACCACCATTATTTGGGGCGGTTCTATTTCTGGAGACACACGGCATGCGTACTTCATCTACGTACTGACAGAATCGTCCATTCTGTGATATGGACTCAGCTTGCAACCTTCTAATGCTTCCACAGGATCTGGAGTGGGCTCACTATCTGTCTCAAATCGCACCACTCTATTGAATCGTTATCGCCCAAACGGTTTATTTGACTCGCTAGGATCATCTAGAGGAACGGCAATTAACTAACGAACTCCAAACTCCTACATACCATTCAGCCTGCCAGGTATATTGAACCGCTGTCGCCAAACTCCATGGAACCCTTTCAGCGCCTCTTTGGATTGAACCACACGAGGATCTCATGATATCCTTTGGCCATTGAACTCCCAATCGCCGCAAGGATCTTCCACAACTGTTTGGGCAGGAACACTGCAACTTCAAACAGTGCCCTCATAATCCACCAAAGAACTTTCCCCAGAAGCCCCAGCATGTAGCCAAGCGCCTTGTACGAGGCCTTTCCAAACCCTCTCATCCCAGACCATACCGCCCGTGGTAGGTCGACAAAGAGGGCTTTCAACGCCACCAAGACCCCGTTCCTGACATCCTTGAGGGTAATATTCCGGAAGAAGCTCAACACCGCCATAACAGCCGTATGCATAGCCGACACCACCTTCAGAAACACAAACCCTGTCGCCATCCCGACCTTCTTCAAACTCTCCCATATCCACAGGCACATCACCTTCATAGCCCCCGGTATCCTCCTGATAACCCACCACATCCCCTTAGCCAACGCCTTCACAAACCGCGCCACCCCCTTGGAACGTGCTTCAAGGCCTTCACCGCCCGTCCAGCAGCCTGCGCCCCCCTCTTCGCTCTCTCGGGCATCTTCTTCACCTGCTTCTTACACCACGACCCAAACCGATGCTTATTCTTCCACGACCACTTCGCCAACTTCACGCTAGGCAAAACCACCAAGTGCTTCGGCAAGCTCCACAAGATCGCCCTGGGGATGTACCACACAAAAAATGCAAAGAAGGCCACGATTCCCTGGCCGGCCCTCTTGATCCGTGCGATAGCCGCCGCGTGGTGCGTCCTCCACCGCCGGAACTCGCCGCCCCTGCGCGAGGGGAGCAGGTCGACGATCTCCCCGTGTCCGTTGTCGGCTGCCAGACGCAGGGCGAGCTGGCCGTCGCCGGCGATGAGGGCGTCGTCGGCGTGGAAGTCTTGGAGGAGGAGTTTTGCTAGGACGAGGTTGCCGGCTGCTGAGGCGGCCATGAGGGGTGTGCGCGCATCTGGAGGCGGTTTGTTCTTGCCTTCTTTCCCCTTTTTGCGCTTGGATGATGATGATGATGACGATGACGAGTATCGGTAATAAGCTGTGCTCCGCTTGGAAGGAGTACCAAAGGTGTTGACGTCCGCGCCGAGATTCAAGAGCGCACAAACCATGGCGCCGTCACCGGCTTCCACGGCCGCGAGGAGCGGGGTTAGGCCATACTCGTTGGGCACGTCGGGGGAGACGAAGCCGGCGGTGATGAGCTTGGTGACGAGGTCGGTTTTCTTGGAGCGGATGGCGTCGAAGAAGAGCCGGATTAGCTTGCATTGTAGAATGCGGCGTTCCTTTTGGATGTGTGGTGAGTTGGGGTCGTCCAAGTTGATAGCCTCAGGGGACTTGGAGGATGAGGCGGCGTAATCAACATGAGGAGGGAGCGGGGAGGGGTATTGGGTGAGTGGTAAGTGAAGGTCGATGTCGATGTCGAGATTTGAGGATGTTTGTCGTGGGCTGTTCCCGTTGATAAAGTCCATGAACCCGTCGGTGTCGGTTCTGGTGTATGTTGGCACAGGCGCGTCGGCGCCTTCGTTTGAGAGCTTGTTTGCAGTTTTTATCGTCGCTGTCTGCACGGTCGGCGAGGCGCAGAAGCAAAGGACGAGCTCGGCCTTTGTTCTTCTATGCGGTTGCCGACATCGACTCCGGCGGCTGTTGGTTATATATCCTACAATCTGTTGGTCGTCTGGAGCCGAACTGCATCCACGAACTCAAAGTATCTTCCTCCGAGGCTTAAAATACCGTCCAAACTGGGTATCGTGCTTAGCAACTTCGCCGTCACCACAATGTCCTGCCCCTACTCCCCAACCGAGTCCTCCTCCACCAGCTCCGGTTCCTCGACCATCAAGAGCTCAAATACTCCCGCCAGCACGAGCGCTATCACGACCACAACCACCACAAGCAGTGGTGGCAGCAATAGAGACACTACAACTACGACTCCGCCTTGCACTTGCAAAGGGCGTCACTATTATTGGTCGACCATCTGTAAGAACACGTTCAGTGCACAAACGCTGGAAGATTGGGAGAAGAAGATCAGTTAGAGAACTGAGCCCTGGTGGAGGGAGTTGAAGGGTTTGGGTCCGCTGGTGCCCTCGAGAGATAAAGATGCAGAGGACGCAATCTAGTGTTCGATCAAGGAATCATGTCAGCAAGGTTGCGGCTGGGTAACGTGGGATGGCGAGAGAAAGTATTGGGTTGTGAGCGTGGACTCGGTAGTTCAGATATCTGACAGTTTCGAAGCAAAAAGGGCCGAGATCGAGAGAGTTGAACAAATCTTCTTGTCGGTGTCATCTGTTTCTTCCGTTGCCGTTGATGACCAATCATTGAAAGGGTACCACAAAGAAGGTTGATTGCTCAATCATCGATAAGTCGTTTCTTGCTGTTTCATGCTGGCGGCGTCAATGAGATACTGTGTAGCGAGGAGTGAAGGGAGGCCCGGGGAAGTGGTCCGGAGGAATGGGAACCAGGGTCGCACAGCCGCAATGCCCAGCGGCCGGCCGTTTCGGCGGCCAGGAACCAATCTGCCTTGCGATTGTGTTTCCAATTACATCCCGATTTCCGAATCAAACAACGGGGCCGTTTCAATGCAGAATGTTCTAAAGTTCGAAAGCGCCTTACAAGGCTGACGAGGATGAAGGGCGCACCGAGATACTTGCGCATCGCGGTTTTTCGATCGCGAACTAGCCTCGACAGACACTGCACAAACACTCGCACCCAAGCAAATCAAATCGAGTTTTAATTTTCTTACTTCACATGCTACCTCCCATCCCTTCGTTGGCCTTCATCCGGAGACCTCAAAAACCGTTCATAGAGGTAACCTCACCCAAATCACAACAGAACAGCAACACCACCAACAACCCCGGCCATCATCGCCCCCTCCGTCGCCCTCGGTCTCGCTGGGGAGCCACCTCCCTCGGAGCTGGTAGTGTCACATCCCTCCGACCCGTTACCTGTACTAGCAGGCAAATTCTCCCACCCAGCCGTAACAGTAACCGGCACCAGTGACCAACCCTCCTCCGCCCTCATCGTCCTGACCAAAGTCTCGTGCCATGTCAAAGTCGAGTCCGTCACGGTGGAGGTGGTGTTGAAAACGCGCTTGTAGGCGTAGTCGAGGGCGATGGTGCCGTTGCAGGTGGTCACTTGGAGGTTGGAGGCGTGGGGGTTGGGGTGGGAAGGTGCAGATTGCTTTTGCTGTTCTGTTTAATCGTTAGCTTTTTTAGTACGATTTACCTGCCCGAGTAGGTAACTTTGCTAAGCCGATCTGGCTTGTATTGAGGGCGTAGGAAGTGGTGGGAAGGGGAAATATGCTTGGACATACTTTGGGGATAACACAAAAGAAAAATCGAAGAAAAATAAACAGGGGTAACACATACGTAGCACCATCAACCACCCTCTCCGGCCCCCCATCATCGGGCAGTCTTCCTTACCACCTCATGTAAATGCGTATTATCATATTCCATCCAAGTCGTCGTTCCCTTTGTATACCCTCCCGTTTCAAAATTGACTGCTCCTGGACCTGGACCGGCAAGCTTCCCCAGAGCAAGGTGCAGTAATCAATGGGCTTGGGCTTGCCATCATCATTATCGGTGTTGTTTATGCGACTGCCACCGAGACAAGCAAGGTTGTAAACAGTCTCAGAGGCGTCGCCGCGGACGATGGAACCGTAAAGACCGATTTCGGGTGGTAAGGTTTCTAGGGGAGGGATGCTGATGAGGGTGGTCTGGCCTTTGGAGTTGGCTATTGCTGCTGTGGACGTGGTGGTTCTGGTTCGGGTTTGGGCTTGGGTGAGAGGGAGGTTTGTGAAGAGGTGAAGAGAAAGGAGGAGGGGAACTTGAAGGAGGAGGGCGTGGAAGGTTGACGTGACAAATGCCAAGCATCCTAGTGCCCCGGTCACGATCGCCTGAAGCTGAGCCGCCAGAGGCAACCAGAGACGATGCCCAACCTCTGTCGTGTGTAACTCCTCAATTTTCTTCCTTTGCAACAATTTCTCCTCACTTCGTGTCGAAGTTGGCGATTTAGTCAGTCTTTTTTACTTTGACTTTCGTTTTCTTGTCTTCAAATCGAGTCTTTGCCTACCTACCTACCTACCATGGCCGAAGTCATAGGCATCGTATCCAGCGGGATCGCAATCGCGCAGCTCGCCGGTTCAGTCGGAGCAGTTGCCATAAAACTCAATGGGCTCTGGCAAGAGATCAAAGACGTCCCCGAAACGATCCAATACATCATGAATCACCTGAGCATCTTGGGCACTATCGTCAACGAGATGGAGACGATAGGAAACAGCAATTCACTACACTATAGTGCCGCTGGTCAGCCGCACCGCCCATCCCCGAGCCCGCTGGCTATTCAGCAATGCCAGATGGCATGCAAGGACCTGGAGAATATTGTTCGGGATCTGTCTGTGGACATCGAATCGTCCAGGAAGCGAAAGCGTCTGATGGGGAAGGTGGCAGTAGTGTTGAAGAAGGACACTCTTGCCAAGTATGAGATGCGATTGCAGAATGCTTTTCAACTCTTGTCTTTGGCTCACCAGGTGTACACAACGTGGGTGAAACCAGGTTTTTTTTTTCCCTCTTTCTCATTTTTACCCGGAGAAAATAAGGTGTTTGTTCTTGGCTCTAATTAGATCAACGGTGTAGGTCCTTGATAATGCGACAGCCAGAGTTCATCATGGTTTCGGTTACGAAAGCTCTTGCTTTGACGTCCAGTAGTACAACATTGGTAAATGCAAATACACACACTCTCGAGATCGAAGAAGGAAAGCCCCCTGAGCACTATCAGCAAGTAGTTCGGAAAAGCAAAAAATTGCCGAGCGACTACGACACTGGAGTTAAGCGTGCAAGATACCGCACCAACTATGAGAGGAATCTTCTCGGTCTTCTGAGGTACAATTACTCGGAGTGGGAAGACCAGGTTATTTCTGAGTCCACTGCTCAAGGTAGGTCACCAACAACGATAGCCACGAGGGGCTTGGTCACGGGGGAATGCTGATGTGCTATGCATAGAGTATCGATTTCTTCTATGACTCCCAAATTGGTTGTTGAATAAAGCATGGGAGTTTCATGTCTCCGCTGCATCTTCGGGCTGGAGAACCCATCTGAAACAGTACGTGGTGGTATCTAAGTCCTCGCCTGTGTACAAATACGCAGAAGACGGAAATATTGTCGAGCTCAAGAAGCTCTTTTCTCAAGGACTCGCCACGCCGTTTAGTTTGAGTGAACAAGGTAGCACGCTACTTCATATTGTAAGTTCGACTCAGACATTACGACTCCATCATCCAAATAACCATTATGCAGGTCGCCGAGGGCAGGAGAAATAGGAAAGTCGTGAACCTTGAAGATATTGAATGGCTCATAAAGTTGGGTGTCGACCCAACAATATCGAATGACCATCGGGAAAAATATACCGATCACTTTTTTTATTATATATTGGTCTCTACCGTTGGCCCGAGAACACCACGACCACGTTTGACTACAACACAACGAGAGGAGGCTTACCATCATCTGGTATCAAAAGGCGAACTTCCGGATGATCTTCACAAAGTCCTGGCCAAACTTGACTCTCCATCGCTCTCTCTTTCTGACATCCTTCAGGATGAAGAGAACCGGGCCGGATTTTACAACCATTTAGTTCTGATTTTAGAGGTTCCTGAAATTTTTGACATATATGTCAGGGTATATGCCCCAGAGCTTCCAACCTGGAAACTCAGTCGGAGGCTGAGCGTTGTCACCGCTGCCATCAATGATTTTCATATCACTATACACCCGAAGGTCCTCAGGCGGCTCTTGTGGGGAGACCACAGTCTATCAGCAGGCGACCTGCTTACCACAGCCGTACGATGGAAGCCCCCTGGCGAGATAACGGTATGGAGTTTTCTTGCGTCTGTCTGGACTGTCGCCGCTCATGATTATCTGCCCGGGAACAGCTGGGCAGAGAACCAAGTACGTTGGACAGAGAACAAAGTACGATGGTCTTTCTATCATGATCTCGTTCGAGACTTGGCTTCCATTTGTGATCCTGAACACATCTCCTGGAGGTCTTCTCAGTCCGAGATCTCGGCCCTTTTCTGGGTGATCCTGGAGACCAGTTGCTGCTGCATTCCGCTTGGCGAAGTCCAAAGGATACAGCGTCAGCATTCTCAGAGGATGACCAGATATTGGCTCAAATACCTGCAGTCGGGTGGTATAGACTTGAAGAATTACGGGAAAATTGAGATGAAGACATTCAAACAATTCCGTCAAGGGAAGATACAGGAGTGGTACCAGACTCAGAGGGTAGGATTGTTCAGAGATGTTGGTCAAGATAGGCACGCGTATACCGTGCTTTTTCTTACGGGGTTTACTTACGGCCCACAACCTGAGGATTGGGTTTTCTTCTGGGATCCTTTCGTCGAAGACTTTGTGGAGGACTTCTGGAGGCTGGTTGAAGACCCGCCCCTTGCCATCCCGGGCTCGTGGGTTGACTGAGGACAAGGGCCAGCGAGCTTCCCGACGACTGGCTATGACTTTTTGAACCAAAAGGTAGCCCAAACAAACCATCTTGGTGTATATAGCCTAGGCAGAAGGTCCCCGAAGCATCGGTACTCAAAAGTGAATACAGCTTTTTCTACAGAAGCTTTCAAAGCCGAGTGTTGAGGGAGTGAAGTCATGGTTTACACTTGCCTTGTTTTCGGCAACCACTTCAAACCCTAACCCTTCAACTTTTTCGTCTAAACGGCGGACAAAGCAACTGCTGGATGCCAGCTGGCCTTCTGTTTAAAACCCCGCCAAGCCAATACGATGCAGTGGTTACATTGGCCCAATCGTGCAAAAGGTGTCCCCTGAAACTTTTAAAACAAGCCGCTGGCATTTTCTAACATCCTCCCTTTGCCTGAGCACGACAGGAGCGCCGGTGTTCAACGCCAGACAATAATGCAATCATGAGATTTTCGGCGCTATCCCTCGGCCTTTTGGCCTTATTGACGCCGCTCACGGCAGCGTGGTCCAAGGAAGGCAAGTCATCCACTCTCCCAACGGTCTCAAAAGTTCCCCCGGGTGAACAAATGTGCTGGCGATCCCTGCACGACACAAGCTGGGATAGGCGATGATGGCGGATGGCTACACATGAAGATGTAGAGAAAAGGACCTCCCCAGTCTAACATAGTCTTGTACGACATAGACCGCGAAATCTTCCGAGTCCGCGACGAGCTCATTGCCCACGAGGGCCCCGACGTCACCTTCTACGAGTTCCTCGGCGTCAGCAAGTCCGCCAGTCTCGATGACATCAACAAGGCCTACAAGAAGAAGTCCCGCCAGCTGCACCCGGACAAGGTCAAGCAGCAGCTCCAAGCCGAGCGTGTCAAGGCCCAAAAGGAGAAAGCCAAGCTGCAGCAGCAGACCGGCGGCAAGCCGATTTCGCAGGTGATCAAGCCTCCCACCACCGCCGAGGTCAAGGCCGCCGTCAAGCGCGCCTCGGACCGCCAGGCCCGCCTGTCCATCGTCACCAACATCCTCCGCGGCCCTATGCGCGACCGCTACGACCACTTCCTCAGCAACGGCTTCCCCACGTGGAAGGGAACCGAGTACTACTACAACCGCTACCGCCCCGGCCTCGGCACCGCCATCACGGGCGTCTTCCTCTTCGCCGGCGGCGCGGCCCACTACCTTGCCCTTTACATGAGCTGGAAGCGCCAGCGCGAGTTCGTCGAGCGGTACATCAAGTTTGCCCGCCATGCCGCTTGGGGCGAGAACCTCAACATCCCCGGTGTCGATGCCGCCGCCCCTGTTGCCGCTCCTCCTCCTCCTCCTCCCCCGCCCGCTCAGCCGCAGATGATGGAGGACGAAGACGGGAACATCATCCCCATGAACCGCAAGATGCGCAGGATGCAGGAGCGCGACGCCAAGAAGGAGAAGGACAGCAGCCAGAAGACCACCAGCCGCCGTGGCCGCCGCGGCCAGCAAGCCGCTGCCGTTTCCGCTTCTGCTTCCGCCTCCGGCTCGGCCACCCCCCAGCCTGCGGCCCAGGGCAGCGGACCGACTGGCACCAAGAAGAGGGTCGTTGCCGAGAACGGCAAGGTTCTTGTCGTGGACTCTTTGGGGGATGTGTACCTCGAGCAGGAGGACGAGGAGGGTAACACGGCTGAGTATCTGCTTGACGTAAGTTTTCCATTATTTCTCCCACAAAGACGACCAAGCACAAGTTACTAACCGATACTCCCAACAGCCCAACGAACTCCACCGCCCAACCGTCTCCGACACCGCCATCGTCCGCCTCCCCCTCTTCGTCTACGGCCTCACCATCGGCCGCCTGTTCTCCAAGAAGCGCAACAACGCCGACGACGACGACCTTGCCGAAGGAGAGTACGAGGAAGTCGCCGGCGGCTCCGACCACGATGACGACTCGGAGCCCGGCAAGGCCACGCCGAGCACCACAGACTCTGCCGAGGACTTTGAGCTGTTGGAGAAGAGCATAGATGAGCTGGGACAGGCCAAGTCTACGGGAAGCCAGAAGCAGCAGGGTGGTAACAAGACTGGAAAGCGCAAGAATAAGAAGAGGTAAACGGCTTAGTAAGGGATGTATGTTAAAAGGGGATGGGTAGTTGATCCCTGATGGGGAAAAGAAAAGAAGGCTAGACAAGTCATTTTGGTTACAAGAAAGAAAGGACTATCGTGTTTTTTTTTTTTTTTTTTTTGAGAGAGACAGCTATATAGTGGACAAGTAAGGTAGTCTTTAGACGACATGTTGATGGCCTTGATCGCAGCTATTAGTTTCCTCGTGGCGCAGTGACCACTCGGAGGTTTATAGTCATGGCATCCTGGCAACAACCTCAACAATTCCATATGGTCCGCTGGCTCAATGGCAGAGCGTCTGACTACGAATCAGGAGGTTCCAGGTTCGACCCCTGGGTGGATCGTAAATAACAAGGTGCTTCAAGCACCTCGTTTCTTTTTTTCCTTGATTTTCTTTTTGCACTTTGTCGTTTGGAGTTTGTACGCATGTCGAGACCTTTGTGACTTTTTTTTGTCGTCAATATGAAATCGAAAAAAGTTGTGAGTGGGAATGCCATTGCTACCCGTCAGGATTCGAATCGCCCCAGCTGCTAACCAAAGTGGAACCATTTACACAGAATTCTGGTATAGTTAGAAAGCGAGCGCGCTCCTTCTCCGATTGTCTGTTATTGTGACCCGTATCCCTCTTTCGCATCTGTACCCAGTATCGAATCTCTGTAGAAAGTCATCAACTTGCCCCGAAAGCCCAGCCAAAACTACAAACAAACCTAGCCGTTACCAATCATGAACCCTGTGTATATATTTACCCGAAAGAGAAACAACAACCCCGTACGCCAGCTAGATCGAAGAGGCTGGTCAGATTCCCACAGTATGGCTGAACACCTTGGCCGCCAACTGGGTAAGAAGCCTCGTCTTGTCGGCTTGAGGGAGTTCCTGTGAATAAGAAGAAAAGAGGAAAAACCAATTAATGCCCGATCATCATCAAACGTCATTCGTAATCGAGACCGCTGTCTTCTTCCGAATCTTCCTCCTCTCTCAAGAAGTCCACACCCAGGGCACTTACCTGAAATACAGCATAAACGCTCTTCCCCTTTGCGTCTCTGATAGCGCCCAGTCTGTTCCCGGCAACCGCGCCGGCCAACAGACCGGGCACGTTCGCGACGATGAAGCCCAGCGCGCCACCGCTGATTCCGCCTAACAAGCTCCAGAACTTGTTCGTCGGTCTGTTTGTGCCGTCGGCTTCGGCCATGCCTTCCTCGCGCAGCATCTCCTCGAAGACATCGGCGAACTGCTCATTTTGCGTTTGCTCGCGGTCCTGCTGCGCGCGGCCGTTGTTGTTGTTGTTGTTGCTCTGGTTCTGCTTGGTGAAGAAGTTCCATGCCCACGAGAAGGCTTGGCCGGCGGGACTGGTGCCGGCGCCGTCCGCGCCGGCGTCCGCTTCGGCAAAGGGATCGGAGGTATTGTCGAAGCCGCCTGGCATTCCACTGCTTCCTCCTGAGGCGGTACTGCCACCCCAGGATGAGGACGCTGACGATGGTGGGACGTAGTCGGTGCCGACGCCGAAGATCTTGCGCTGCTCGTCATATTCCCTGCGCCGGAGAGAATCGGAGAGGGTGTAGTAGGCGTCGTTGACTAGCTGGAACTTGCGGGTGCGCTCGGCGCGGTCGGGTGCGTCGGCTGCTACGCGGTCTGGGTGCGTCTTGAGGGCGGAGCTGTCGTCGTTATCAGGACACTTATTAGTTGATGGTGATCATCATTTGGGTAGTCTGTAGTCGTGAGTAGGAAAACTGTTGTCGTACCGTTTGTAGGCATCGCGGATTTGATTTGTCGAGGCAGTTGGAGAAACCCCTAGGATCGCATCTATCAGAGGATGTGTTAGCGATGCGTCTAGCTTTGCCGCTCGAGCGCTTGGTCCATTAACGAAGCTGAAGTCTCTTTTACTAACAGTAATTGGGAGGGCGAGCTGTAGGCATCGTAAGGTAGTCTTGGTGGCTCGATATGTAGCTGCTTGTAAGTCCGGAAGTATGAAGCTAATGATAGACAGTCAAAGAAGGTGTATAGGAAAAATGAAAGGGAGTGTTTTCGAGGATGATGTCTGATAAGATAGATCAACGGCAAAAGCAAAGTGGATAGCCAACTAACACCGCTAGCCCTGTGAGGGAACCTCTTCCCGGGGCAAACTTTCAATAGAGACTGACTCAAAACTGAAGGGCCAGCTGTTCAATGGGCTGCCTCACTTGCGATCGGATGGCTGTTTATTCGCCCAAGATGGGCAGTGGTCAATCGATCTGGACGTGAAGACGGGAGGGATGACTGAGTGGCCTGCTCCCGCCGTAAGCTGTGAAGATAAGATGGTCCCTAGCGTCCTGGTGCCAGCAGTGTCAAGATCAACGTCATCCGTGGCGGGTAAATGTGGCTTGTTTGGCCGCGGTTGACCAATCAAAAGCATTTGGATAGCCTTGCACGTGGCTGCTCATTAAGCCAATCCCTGCCACGGTTACAGCCGATGGAGCCTGGCCTTGACCCCGCCTATGGGTCCTTTTTCTCAGCGGGGATGTCTTGATCTCCCGTCGTTCTGGACCCTTTCATATCATCGCTCTGGCTTATTGTTCAGTCCCTTCGTCGTTGACTTTGGAGTGTCATGAAATTCACGACTCCAAGTTTCCTGCTCCGTACGACTTGAAAGACAAGATGAGGGTTCTCGAGTATGATTGCTCTGCCCCCAACCAGAGGGAAGTATCTTTCCGATTTATCATATGCGTCACTTCCCTTCTCTGGTGATTGGGCGGAAAGGCTCGATTGATAGCCGCTCCAGGCCGGGCTGTTTCATGTCGACCTTCCTTTCATTCAGATCAATGGACGCATGATTGCAGTGATGACGCTAACAGCCTGACTGTGTGACTGCCCAACCCAACCACCAAACACTGCACCAAAGTTCACATTCTCGAAACCCGTCTGCGCTCAATTGTCTCAGCAAGATGCTGGAAACAGTTTTTTGCTGCCTGATGGGCAATATTCATGCAACCACCGGCGACAGGACCTGCATCTGGTCACCTTTTTGGGGGCTCAAGGCTGTCTTTGGGTGTTGGTATCACACACAGCACACCACGGCGAGAATTCGTCGAAGCATGATCGACTTTCTTGAATGGTCAATGTTTGTTCAAACGCCGTCTTTGGTGGTGCCGCCGGGTCATTATTCTTCAATCATGAGCCTAGCGTCCCTGACCGTATCTGCCGCCCGAATACCGCTAGTTTGCAATCATCCCCCCCCGCCTCCCCGCCGTCCCAAACCCAGGTGTGCCTGCCTTGCCCCTCCATCTCCCAACGCTCCTTGATCTTGCATGCAAATGTGCGTGCATTTTCGTTCACATCATACTCTTCATCACGAGGATATCTTGAGGTTGCCTGCCCAAATAAGAAGTCTTAACTTCCCCCACACCCATTCTCACCTTGCTCCCCTATCTCTCTTCACCTCAGACTACACACATCACAGTAGCCAGTCGGCAAGCATCAGACTTTCGAAACTTCACAAAGTTCGACGACCGAGAAGTGCGGCAAAGCACTAGACGAGTCACGTTGCCATTTCTAGTCGCTCATCCCAGACCACGAACTCTTTGATCTCCGTTCACTCTCCATACCGCGGAAGGAAATCGTATCTTCACCGCTTGAATCTCCACCCTCGAGTCACCGTCTCTCGTGCTATCAAGAGTCGACCGAGAACCGTTCACTTTCCCTTAAATAGTTGACACCAAATACAAACGAGTTGTACAAGCATACATCCGTTTCCAAAGCTCCGGTACAAGCTCTTCATTCTTGTTGCCAGTTCTTGCTTTGCTTCTCAACCAGCTAGCTGGATATCACCACATCTCCTTAGCTCAAACTGCACAGCAGGAAGGGTCGTGTAACCAACCAACAACAGGCATCGTCAAGACTACCAAGAAAGAAGAACAGCCCGAGTCTCAGGTAATGCGCAACGAAGCTGTCCCTACCACGGCCTTTTGTGGTCACGTCCCACAAACTCTCCGTGTATCCCGTGCTAACAATCTCTCATGACATCACAGCATATCAGCAAGTCAGACGATTCACATTCCTCCTAGAATCACATCAAGATGCAATCACACGACGAACTTGCTGCTCTCTTTTCTCGGTGGTCTCTGGAGCCTGTTCAGCAACTCGCACAGGTCCAGGTCCCGAACCAAGAACCGAAGATTGTCTACGTCTCGGCGCATTACAACCACTCGGCTCATACTCGTCCCCAGGATACTCAACCGTCACAGCCTGCGCCCAGAGGGACATCAGAGCCGCCTGCGCTCTCTGAGGTTGAAGCTGTTCTCAGAAAGCACCATGTGAACACGGCAGGCCTATCCCGTGGCCAGCTCCAGCTGTTCAAGTCAGTGGACGATCCACAGCGCTATAGGCTTATTGACCTGTGGCGCAACTGCCCTCCTACAAACCGTAGCGACAATCCTACACTAGACTGGAGTATGACAAGCGTGAACCAGGAAGAGATTCTGGCCAAGAACCGATGGGAGCAACAACAACAACAACAGCAGCAGTCTGTTGAACAAGAGGTGGTCATGAGCCTCGATGGAACTCCCCTGACTCCGATTCAGGCAGGGGACGGTCGTTGGATTGCGGCGGACTCACATCATGATATGGAGCCCTATATGGCTTTGGGTTATGAGGAAATGGCCCGCCGTGAGTATGAAGAGTCCGCCCGTCGAGCATTTTCTGAATCTGTGGAACGGACAAAGGATGCATGCCACCCTCTCGCCATTGCCACCGGTGGCCCGATTTTTAACCCCGCGCATTCGGATCCTGTTTATGCCAGCTCCGGGGTTGACTGGAGGCAACAGGAGGCTATGGCAAACCAATACGGAAGATTGATGGCGTACAGGGATGACGAGGAGATGCTTTGAGCTGGGAGTCAGGCTATATGTTCATCTGTTTCAAGGGAGGAACGGAGGAGGCTGTTTGACTTTATGTACGGCGTTATTTTGATTGGGCATGTACAACTATGTTTTTGCTGGGTATGTATATTGTTAGCGGACTTCCAAGTATCGCTGGGTGTGTTGGTCTCAGGAAAACAGAGCTGGTAAAAGATGTGGCCCCCTTCTACTCAACCGGCGCAGATAGGCGAATTAAACCAGGAAAGGCTGGGCAGCTCAGGTTTAGATACTCTTTAAGGTTTGACATCTCGTCTTTTTTCTCGTTGGGTTCAAATATAATGGTAGCCTGATTATGCGTCAATCCTGCCTGTTGGTCCCAGCCCATCTGGGATTCTGTGTGGCTTTCGATGTTGTGGTTTACATGGGAATGTAGAAGCGTTCATACTGGTGATACAACGGTTTGTTTACATAAAAAAGGAGGCGTTTCCGTTTTCGTGGGACGGCCTGTGGGGTGTTCCTGACATTATATGGGGCCGGTGATGAAATAGGTGTGGCTGGAAAGTTGCAAGGCTGGCTGTTCCATGGCTGAAGCTCTGCAAACGCCACAGCACTTCAGCCTCAGGACGACCAAGCTTCTATCCCGCACGCGGCACGGCAGTGGAGCAGGAGGGAGGTGCTACGGGGCAATAGTGCAACGCAGCTCCCAGGCTGCCTGATGGAGCTCACCTTGAACTGAAGCAATAGCAGCGAGCAGCTACCAGCAACACCACCATCACCTCTCCAAACAAACCCATTCCGACGACCCATTTCCTGAGCAACCCACCTTCTAGCCCGAGCCAGTGCAGCGAGAACCTCTCCGTCCTCTTGAATCTGGAAACACAAACAAATACCGGCATCGCATATCGCCACCTTCACATTTAAGCCACAATGGTACGTCTTGTCAAACCCCGGCAGTCCCTCGTTAGCGGGCGTCCATCCCCAGATGACCAAAACGTAGCCGGGCGCAGAAAGTCATGGTTCTCGAACATGAAACGAAACTGACCGAGTCGCCTTCGACAACAAACAGACTTCCATAGGAACAGGCTACGATCTTGCCAACTCTATTTTCTCCCCCGATGGCCGCAACTTCCAAGTCGAATATGCCATGAAGGCAGTTGAGAATGGCAGCACCTCGATCGGCATCCGCTGCAAGGACGGCATCGTGTTGGCGGCGGAGAAGGTTATCACATCCAAGCTGCTCAAGCAGGGCGCCAACAAGCGCATTGCGACAGTCGACAGGCATTTGGGCATTGTACGTTTACTTCGATTTCTATCTCTGTTGTTTGGGCAGGATTCATTATCAGCGAGCTTCGACCGTCTGCGGGGCAGCAACAGCCAGCTTCACCACCCTCCCCGCCATCGCAACGAACAAACCACACCCCGACCTTCTCGCCCCTCATAATATTTGACCCGGTTCGACGAATACTAATACTAACTACGAATTTGTCATCAATAGGTATACTCCGGCATGATCCCCGATGGTAGACACTTCGTGGACCGTGCCCGCGACGAGGCGCGCGGCTGGCGCGACAACTACAAGACGCCCATCTCGACAAAAGACCTAGCCGGCCGCATGGGCGGCTACATGCAAGCCTACACGCTCTACCAATCCGTGCGACCCTTCGGCATCACGGCCATCATCGGCGGCTACGACAGCGAACTCGAGACGCCCGTGGACGGCGAGGTCGGCAGCGGCCCCAGCGTCGGCGCCGGCGGCAAGGTGGAGGGCAAGAAGCACGGCGGTCCGTTCCTCTACATGGTGGAGCCCTCGGGCCTCTACTGGGGATACTACGGCGCCGCGACGGGCAAGGGCAGACAGGCGGCCAAGGCGGAGCTCGAGAAGCTGGACCTCAGCAGCGACGGCGAGTCGAGCCTGACGCTGGAGCAGGCGGTCAAGGAGGCGGCGCGCATCATCTACGTTGCCCACGACGACAACAAGGACAAGGAGTTCGAGCTGGAGATGACCTGGATCAGCGGGGCGGACGGCCCCACGAAGGGCCGCCACCAGGAGGTGCCCGAGGCTCTGCGGAAGGAAGCGGAGAAGTACGCGGAGCGCATGACTGCGAAGGATGTCGAGGAGGAAGAGGAAACGAAAGAGGGCGGGGACAAGATGGAGGAGTAAAGGGTCTAACCTCTGGGATATTTGTGGATGGACGAGGCAGGGAGTGATGATGCTTAGCATGTAATTCTAAACCATGAGGCACGACTGCGATTTGATTTCTTGACGAGTGATAGAACTCCCTAATTGCCATCTGGGATTCGGTCTAAGTCATGGCCTGTGATGGACTACAGTGTATCCCAGGCAGTGACCCATCATATCTTACAGGTGTGTATATCACGTAGTGAAGCATGTAGTCTTATGTTGTGAGACAGATTCAAATGAGGAAAAAAATGTTTATAACCAACCAGAAAATGCTTCAAAACTCCCATTAAATGATATTTCTACTTTTTTCCCAACCCTAACCCAACAACAAAAAAACAACGTACATCAACCACCGGGTATTCCATTCCATTCCATTCCTTTCCTCCCCCTCCTTTTCCTCCTACACCACCTCCATCATCACCACCTCCCTCTAACTAGCATGATAAGCCTGCCTAGCATCCCTCGCCTCCCGCCCCTTCTCCTTCCTCTTCTCCTTCTTCTTCTCAAACTTCTTCCTCTTCTCCCGTCCATACTTTTCCGGTGCCGTAATCGCCTCAATCTTCCTCTTACTCGACCGAGCGTTTCTCCTCTCGCGAATATCCTGACCAACGGCCAACAGCGCCCTAGTATACTCTGAGCTTCCCAGCTTTCGTTGCAGCACATCCAGGACCGACAAGGCCTTCGTCTTGAGCAGCTCGTAGCGGGTCTTGAACACCTCGTTCAAGGAGAAGGGGCCAGGGATGGACGGGTCCGTCAGGTTGCGTAGGGGGCGGATGATGGTTTTGATGGAACCGAGCAAAGTGGACGGGTCGGATTTCTCGCAGAAGGATTCGAGCAGGTCCATGGCGGAGAGCTTGGCGACGAGCATCTCGGGCCGGGCGGCGCGTTCTTTTCGGATGATGGAGGCGAGCTTGTAGAAGAGGTAGCCCATGTCTACGGGCTTTTTGTGCTTCTTACGGACGCCGGCCTCCTCGTCTTCCTCCTCATCCTCCAACTCCTCCTCCTTCTCATCGGCACCCTTCTTGTCGTCGGTGTTCTTGGCGTCTAGGTAGCTGCCTAGGAAGAGCAGGATCTGGACGACCTCGTGAGCCAGCGGCTCGTCAACCTCGGGCACGTTGAAGGTGTTGAGTGCCAGGCGGACAAGGTCGCTGATTTCTTTCTTGCTCAACTCGCGCCCGTGGGAACCGTGTAGAGGTGCTTGTTGAGGAGCTTGTTGCTGGCCACCGGCGGCGTTCTGGGCAAAGTCCGCGAGGTACATGCTGAGAAGCCTGGTCGCGGTGAGCTTCACGGTGGGGTTCTCGTGAGCAAGAGTGTCGCGGACCTCGGTCCACAAGACGTCAGAGGCAGGCGACAAGACCTTCTGGGGATGCTTGGCGACAAGAGTCTGGACCGTGTTAAGACTGGTGTCGACAAGCTCCCAGTTGGACTGAACGGTCTCATCATCACCGAGAACCTTGGTGATCCTGTCAACGACAAGGTTGACGTCCTTCTTGTCCTTGGAGGTGGGTTCGCGACCCTCAAAGTAGAGTCCGAATGCCTGAATCGCGAGCTTGAGCACCGCCATGTTCTCGCCTTGCTCGGCCCAGTTGCGCATCAGAGTCATGAACTTGGTAAGACGCTCCTTATCTGCCACGCGGAAGGTCTCCTTGATCAGCTCTGCGGCAGCGAGTCTGCATTTCTCGCTGTCATCATTGGCCAGGACGAACACAAGGGGGATGAAGCATGTCGCCGCCACCTCCTGGACGAAGTCGTCAGACGTCTTCTTGAGCAAGAGATTGATGACCTCCATGACTGACAAGCGACCACCCTCACGCTCGTACTTGAGGTTGGCCACGATGAACTTGAGCTGCTTCTCCCACCTGTTCCTCTTCTGGGGATATTCGCGGAGGAACTGGAAGAAAGCACCGCGAGCCAGATCCCGGGTGTCCTTGTCGTCGTTGGTGATCATGACAGTACCGACGTGGTCGAGAGTGTCATAGACCGAGGCCGTCTCCATCTTACGTTCAAGCACCGAGCGGAGGAAGTTGAAGGTGACATGGCGATACAGAGGCTCAGTCAAGTCATCCTTCAACTTGCTAAGCAGCATGTCGAGGGCGGGCTCCTTGATGGGAATCTCACGCCTGTCTCTGAGGACAACAGAGATGAGCTTCAACGCCGCCTGCGCAAGCTCAGACGCGGTTGAGGCAGACAAGGTCATGGACCTGATAGCTTCCTTGGTAGCCACCTTGTAGAGGGCAGTGGAATCACCATTCTTGAAGGGAACCTTAACGATGACGGTGAGCAGCTTGAAGGCCGCAACCTTGACTTCTTCCTCAATCGACAAGACAGCATCACCGAGCAGAGACATGAATCCGGCAATGTTGTTGGCTGTGCGCAGGTTATCGTGCTTCTTGAGGACAGCACGAAGGATGTCGATGGCGAATTTGATGAGCTTGAACGTATACTTGGCGGTAATTCCTCCATCAGCCCTCTTGGCGGCCTTCTGGACGATGTATCTCTTCAGGCGGGGATCCATCTTGGGCCCATCCTCTGGCTTCTGAGCCTTGTACACCTCCTGCATGACCTCATAACAGAACACAAGGATCTCTTGGGAGGCAGCCGCCGGGTTCTCCAAGAGGCCCTTGGTGATGCGGGTAAGAAGCTCGTCGATCTTGCGAGCTGTCCTAAGATCAAGCTTCTCGAGCAGAAGCGCCTGCAAGGGCATGGTAAGGTCGCTGAGGCGTGTGATAGACGCCGTCTTGGCAATCAGCTCCATGGAGTCTTGACTCTTGCTGCTCTTCACCTCCTTCATTTTGCTGACATAATCCTCAGCATCCTTCTCTTGACCGGCAGCACCAAAGATATCATCCATGAGGACCGCCATGATGGTGGAGAGGCAGTAGTCGAGATCGCCTTGCTTGAAGGTGGGGATGACAGCCAACAACATGGAATGAAGGGTATAAGACAGAACGTGAAGGTGGGGACCACTGCGAAGAGCGCCGCGCAGTTCCTTGAGGATGAACTCAAACCTTTCGGGGCCCAGAATGACCGCGATCTTGGAAAGAGTATCGCGAGCCATCTCACGAGCATCCCACGCTTTGCTCCTGAGGATATGGCAGATGTCGGTGAGCACACCGGGCAGCTTCTCATTGAGCAGCGGCTCGGGAAGGAGGGTGGCAAGCTTAGCGATGATCACACCGACCGGAACTCTGGTGCTGACCGTGGCCTCATCCTTCTCGTGGAGGTGCTTGATAGGAGTAGGCAAGAAGTTGTTCACAATCTCAGCGCTAAGCTTCTCCTGATCAGGGATGGTCTTAGCAAGTCTGCAAAGCTTGGGAGGCTCAACACCATCGACATCCATGGCGTCGGCACTAGGCCTCTGAGCAATAGCGGCGCGCAGCACATCAACCTCCTTCTCAAGCAGACGAATCAACCGCTTCTGCCATTCTGGCTTCGACTCAATGAAAGAGACGAAACGACGCATAATAGCGCGGTATTGCTGCCACTCCAACGAGGCAGTCAACCCAGCGATGGCAGCAATAGTCTGCGCGCTAAGGCCGTGATCATCACCTCCTTCCAGCTTACCGAAAATGAAGTGTTCAAGGAGCGGAATGAAGAACTGGCTGATGTGCTTAGACCGGAACTCGCTCTTCTCATTGGCCGCTTCCAAGATACGCAGAGCCTGCAGCTGTCTGGCGATAGCAGGACTCATGATATGGAAGAAGAACGCCTTGTCGGATTCATCAGAGGCAGGGACCAACAAGGTCAAGTCAGAAACCTGATCCCAGGAGGGGAGGTGAGCGACCAAGTATCCAAACACACGCACGACCTCACGGCGGACAGTCTCCGAGGCCTCTCTGGACCCAGCATAGATGACAGGCAGGATGATATCGGACATAATGCCAGTATACGCATCTTGTTGAGGGCCAGCCCAGGCTGCCTCAGCCGCCCTGATGAACTTGCACAGTCCGTCAGCAGCGTTGGTTGACAGCACACCGAACTCCTCGTCCTGGTTGATATAGAACAAAAGGTTGTGCAGCAACGGCATCCACTCGTCGATTGTGAAGGGGGTCTCGCGGTCGCCAGAGATGCGGTTGAAGGCAGTGAGTCGGGTGTTGTAGTCCGGCTCGTCCAGCCTCTTCACCTTGTACGAGTTTAAGTCACGGCAGATATCTGCCACCTCCTGAGCCCACGGCTCCGTGGAGGCAAACACAAGCAAGACGTCGGCAAGCGTCTGTCTGTTCTCCTTATCTTTGAAGTATCCAAAGAGCGAAGCGACGGTGCTGTAGACTCTCTTCTTCAGCTCCCCATTTGTCTGAACGTCTTCCAGGACGAGGAACTGTTTGAGGATCAGCAGGATGGATCCCTTGATCTTGGGGCTGACGCGACGTGCTGGCTGGTTGAGCAAGTAGGTAGCAATATCCACCATATCCTGAACACTGGCAGAGGAGGCCTCAACAATTGGCGCAAGGAGAACAACAGTATCGACGGCAGTGCCGAGAAGGTCCTTTCCGATGTCAGTCTGATCACGGAGGAGACCGCCAATCTCCTTGAGCATAAGGTTGACATTCGGCACCAAAAGCTCATCCTTAATGAGCTCATTGTACTCGGATTCAGCCGCAGGAGCTTGGGCGAGACCGATAAGGCTCTTAAGGATCTCGAGCGCGTGGACCTTGACCTCGTCCTTGCCCTTTTCAACACCAAGACTTTCGATAACCTTCGGAAGAATGCGCTTGTCGATATTGAGGAACAACGCTGCCTTGGGCAGAACGGCCCAGGTCGACAGAAGCCTCCATACACCGGAAACGCCTTGAGTAGTCTCGGCCGGGAGCTTCTCAATGCGAGGGCTGACGATCTCCTTCACCATCACATTTTCATACGGCTTCCAGTCAAAGGTCTGCGCATTCTGGAACAGCTTGCAGAGACACTTGAGACCAGTGGTCCTCACCGACTTGTACAGAGAAGCATTCTGCACCGGCTCCGCCTCCTCCGGATCCTCAGAGGCAGCTCCCAGATTCCTGCACGCTGTGATCAAACAGAACAGGACAGCATTGACAAGCGCGTCCATGTACGGAACAACAGCGGTTCCGAGCTCGTTGATGATGGCCTCAACCATGTTCAGCAGACCGACCTGCTTGCGAACTGGAATGAGCTCCTCAGCAAAGGTGCTCTCCTTGACGACGTCACCGTCCAGGATACGGACACTGCGAAGCTCGCCAAGGGCGATGTCCAAGAACTTGCCCATATCCGCCACATCCAGCTGTCTGATGACGGCCAAACGTGTGTTATGAAGACCGTGACGTCCGCTAGCCGCGCCCTTCTTGGAGATGGTACGACCATACAGCAAGCGAAGGAGAACTGGCATCAGTTCAGCGCGGTGCTCAGGGCGGATCTTGTTGTCACCCTGGAAAAGAACAGTGAGTTCGTTCTTGAAGCGGGCTTCGTCCAGGAGATACTCAAGGTGTTCCTGATACGGCTTGATGGCATCGCTTTTCCACGCCAGGATTGCCTTGAGCGCCATCTTCTGAAGCTCGACATCACCATTGGCTAGCAGCTTCAGGAGCGCAGTGTAAACCTTTTGGCTTTGCCAAAGCACCTTGGGGTTGCCGAAGTGGGAGAAGACACCCACAAGGGCCTTCCTGTCTTGGAGTGACCAGCTTCCGTCTTCCTCGGAAAAGGGCTGATCCTCATTCTCCTCAGCAGCCGGAGTCTCGCCTTCTTCCGTAGTGAAGGACAGAAGGTACGGGACGATCTTCCTCGAGCGCTTTTCAGCAGAGCCAGGAAGAGCAGTGAATACCTTGAGAGCTTTGCTGCGTGCGCGATCCGAGCGAAGTTCGACCGCCTTTTGTCCCTCTTCGAAAGTGCTCAGCATCTTTTGCGACAACTCGCTGACCACCTTGCCCGTGTTGACTGCAGCCTCCTGCAGTCTCATGAGGCCAGTACACTCGAAGTCCGTCATGGCTTTGCGGTGATCGTCGATAGGGGGCTCGAAGGGGCCTGTCCAGCGAGGGGACGGCACCTCAAGCCACTCAAAGGCCAGCTCGGCAACAATCTCCTCACCATGCTTAGTCTCCGAAATCTTCTTCATCGCTTCCACTGCGTCATCCCAGACGGGCGAGAGTTTTACCGTTGTAAGGCCGAAAAGGAAGGACGGGATAGCTTGGACCAGCCACAAGCTCTCCTCGATGTGATGATAGATTTGACTGAGTTTTCGTAGATGCACAGCGACAGCGCGGACGCTTTGCATTTGGTTCAAGGGAAGTTCTTCCACTTGGATCATTGTCGACAAAGCCGAGTTCGAATCAGGTGTCGTCTCCAGGACATCGAGAATCCGCAAAGAAACAAGGCGCAAATCGTGTGATGTAGAAGCGAGGTTCTTGATGAGAGACTTCACCAAAGGATCCTCCTCTTGAGGGCTGTTACCCCGACCGTTATTAGCTTCCGGCGAGCTTTGAGACTTGCGGTTTAGTTCTTGCTCGTAGTCCAACAAAGCCTCAAGGAACTTAGGCAGACGGCAGAATCTCGGCGCAGCGGCTCTGAGCAACGGAGCAAGGCTGAGATCGACAGACCCCGCGGCCGCGCACATTCTCAGGTAGGCACGGAACCCATCACTGACGATGAAGTTGGCCTCGTCAGTCGGGAGGGATGAAGACGGCCGGAGAGCAAGTTTGAGCTTCTTAAGCAAGACTTCTGCTATCCGAGCATTTGTGGAGGGATGTACGGAAGTAGACTCCAACACGCGCAGGAGACCAGAGTACATCGGCAGACACTTTTCCTTCCAAGTTTCGCGGTCCTTGCCAAAGCCGCCGCTCTCGGGAAAAGGGGTATCTTCGAGTCGGACAAACTTGCTCACAATCTGGTCCTGCCAAGATTGTGGCAGAGGGAAGCTCTCCTTCGCATGGGGGCTAGGAAGACCACCCGTCTCAATCATATGTGGTATTAGTACACAAAGCAAATCTTCGTTGGCGGCATCAGACCAATGTGCTACAATAAATCTGCAGAAAGTCAGAACCGATCATCACTAACAGAGGAAGAGAGGAAGCTTACTTTTGGAAATCTTTCTGAAATAGTCCCCTGAATCGATCGGGGTGCAAGTCTGACAAGTAAGAGCAGAAGGGGATATACCACCTCATGAGAGGCTCTTTGGTCATAGCGCCGTTGAAGGCCGACAACGAGGGAAGGAGAGCGTCGATAGGTGCCTGGGCCCAGATGATAGCCGCATTCATCATTATGCGTTGCCATAGCCGTGGCGAGGCCATGAACTCCGCATTGTCCTTAAAGGTCGAGAGAGACGTGAGAAGTTGACCCAACGTCTTGACTAGGAGCGCCCAATCGTTGATCCGTATTCCCTGGCGGACACCAGCAGCAACGCCGAGGAGCTGAACAAAGAGGATTGGTCGTTGTGTAGCCGCCGCATCTTCGAAAATCCTTGTTTCCACTGGTGCAAACGTCTCGGGTGTCGAGTGGTGGATAGTGGATGTAAGCACGCCGCAGCAGACGTCAGTCCAGATTGTTGGTTTTTCCGATGCCAGATCGAGCTCCTCCTCGGGCACAGCCTTTGCCAAAGCTGTGATAACGTCGGATCCTGTCGAGTGTAGCGAGTTTCCCGCGCCCTTGATGGCCTCCGCAAACATGACCATTATTCCCTGGCTATAAAGACCGAACTGCTTCGTCCCTTCCATACTGTAGAGGTCGTCCCGTACATGCTGCACAATCAAGGGTAGCGCCGTCTGCTTGTGACTTGGGGCGGCGGCCTTCTTGATCAGGAAGCTCATGGCCTCGGCGGCGAATCTGGCGATATGGCCGGGCTGTCTGGCCTTGCCCATCAGGGGAGCAACTGTGTCGTATGTCGGGCGCAGATCGGGGACTAAGAGTCTCGAAAGGTATTTGAAAAGGAAGGCCAGGGCGGCGAAGGTCCACTCGATAACCTCCACATCGTGCACCTTGCTGGCGAGGTTGACGATAAGGCGCAGGGCTCGTGGGTAGTGCTTCTCGAAGCGTACGCCCAAGTCGTGGGCGAAGGCGGTGATTAGGTCCAACAATGGCTCGAGGGTTTCCTTGTGGTGCTTCTCTGTGTGTTCGACCAGGAGGTCCATAATCCTGTCCTCATGGTAGAGGATCTGGGCGAGGGAGTCGGTCAGCGACGTGACCTGGTTCCGGAAGTTGACGTAGGCGCGTGAGATGTTGAGTTCGGACCATTTGTCGAGGCCATTGCGCAGGTAGGATGTGGTGGCATTGAGGTCTTCGGCTTCGAGATCGTGACGGCGGACTTTGCGCAGCGGGTCGAGCGAATGGAGTTTGGAGATCTTGGTGCTGAAAGACTCCCATCGGTGGTTCTTTTGATGGGGGGTCTTTTTCACCCCCCTCTGAGATTTGACGATACGTCCTGACGTGGTGGACGGCATCGTGGGCAACGGTCCTGTGTGTGTTGTCGGTGGTTGGGGGAGGCGGACCGTGGGTTCGAAGTTTGGATGCTTCGCACGCGGCGAGCAAAATGACAAAAGGCGAAACAGAACAGACGACGGATGACAGGCGTGACAGGCACAGCAACCCGCGAGACTCGAGAGCCTGGAAATTTTTTGGCCAGGGTGCTGCCGGGGTGGAACTACGATAAGCTGATAAGAGCGGGGCGCTGTGTCCTGTGGGGCGGCCGGGATTCTGGGCTCACAAATAAGCTACCGCTAAGTGCATATTCAACAATATGCCTCTAAGAGACAGCATCTTGAGTTTCCTTCTATTTAAGTGCATACTGTTCCCTATAGATGCTTCATTCAGCTATTGAACGAAGATGATCAGAGACCTCAATGCCCTGTGGATAGATATGTCCTTGAAACCCCAAGTCGAATCGCAGATGTGAACGATCATCGAAGAGATTAACAACCAAGAACAATCCCGACGAAGCCATTGCCATGTCTTTCATGAATGTGTCCCAATCAGAGCGTAAAGTCCCATTCCTTGAACGCCGCTCTAAACGCCGCAACATCCTGCGACTCGTCTTCCACTGACTGGCCAACATCCTGCCAAACAACCCTGTCTTCCTCACCAAGCAGTTTCGCCATCACCTTGCGGGGAAACTGGAGATCGAAGCGGACGTTCTCATCAATCTGCAGCAGCAGGGTCTTGGAAATGACCTGACCGCCCTCCGCGCCGCCCTTTTCCGCATCGCCCTCCTCCTCCGCCCAGATCCAAACACGGAGATAGTCACCGGGAACCTCATCAGCCGTCTCAAACTCCCTCGAAACAAACTTTCCGATATTAGTATCCTTAGCTAGGACCTGGAACCCGGCCTCCACAAGTCCCTTGCGCACCATCTCCGCAGGCACCGGCATGAACTGCCAGTGGACGTGAATGTTCCTCGCGCGGTTGATCTCCCAGGTAACGGCACCCAGCTTTCCCTTGGACTGCTTGGACACCATGCCCTGCAGCGACTCGCGGAAGCGCGTCATCTCCTTGAAAGTCTTCTTGACATCTTCGCCGCTCTCGGCGAGAGCCGCGACATTCAGGGAGGGGATGTGTGGGGTAGGCGTAATGATGAGATGACCTGGGAAGTCAAGACCCTGAGCCTTGAAGGTCTCAGCGGACGGTAGGGGCCCCTTGGCAGTAGCAAGATATGCCTCCTCGCCGATGCTGCAGATCATGTGCGTGGGCAGATTGGGGTTCGACAAGCAGAAGAAACACCTTTCCGGTCCGGGTGGAGGAGAGCGTTCGCGTCGCTGGTGCTTGCGACGCTTCTCGTGGTTTCCGTTTGCAAAGCGCGAAAAGCCGGCTTCGTCGGCTGTACGTTTCTGTGCAGCGGCAGCTGGCTTGTAAAAAGGCGTGAGGGTGCTTCCCACAGGAGGCGACAGAACCGCTTCTCGGTTGAGGGTGAACGCATACATCGACTTTGCCTTGGCCGTGTTGGCCCATGGAGCCAGTGAAATGAACCGTGTCACATCCAGTCCCTTATCCTTATCCTCCTCTCCTCTCGGCTCGGAGGGAAAGAATGGCTCTCGCTCAAAGGCGAAGTTGTCCGGTGACATGGTGAAATGGTAGCGAGGCTTGAGATGGGCGCAAAGGTCGGCGATTGCTTGGCTGGAAGGGATGGCATCCGTGGGGAGGTTTTGCTCTCGCGCTTTCGCGCTGTTTTTCCACACATCGGCCGGCCAAACGGTGGTGAGGAGAATGTCGGCGTTGTTGGCGCCGCGCAAAGACTTGATGTCGCCTTCGGTGTGGAAGGGCAGATGCTGTTCCTTGGACTGGCCCACGACGACGGCAGGATCGAGCAACCCACCCAGAGTAACAATCCGAACGCCTTCTGAGGTCTTGGTGACGCTGCGTTTGCCCAGGTAATGGAGATTTGGCGCGATCTCCTCATCCTTCTCGATTCGCTCAATGACTTGTGCGGGTAATGGGACTGTCCCGACAGTGAAGTAGGTTGGGCATGGGATCTGGATTTCGCCGGCTAGAAGGGCAGTGAGCTGTTCATCATCTTGGCTTTCATCAAACAAATTACCAGTGACAATGGCGAAGCTGAAAACGTTCTTGGCGTGTAATGTCGACAGTTTGCTGAACGCAGACTGGAGCTGACCGTTGATGCTGCCGAAGACGAAACTGATTTGGTCAGTATGGGTGATGTTGTTAAAGTGCAATTGGCTGCGTACTGACATTTTAGCGGCCATGTTGTGAGGTTGAGGACCGCTGATGATGAGAAGAACACCTCGACCGTCTGGGGAACGATACTTTTATACACAGTCCTGGCTAGAGAGAACTTGTCTTCATCCCAATGCAATAAAGAATCGTTGAGAGGCTTCAGTTTCAGATGAATGAAGAAGAAGATCGATTGTAGAGTCAAACGAAAAAATAATAATGAGGGTGTTGATGAAGGTACCAGATGAAGTTGAGGCGTGTAAGCTGTTGGGGCTGCGGTACGTATTTGAGAATGATGCAAGGTCCAGTTGAACAAGGGAACGGAGCCCGTCGATGTTTGCAGGAACGGGAACAGGTCTCTTATCGTGGGCATTATCTTAGTGCCCCGATTGAACGATGTTTTGACATCAAGGTCCTCAGACTTCCGCCCATGTGTCTTCCGGCCTTCGTAACGCCAGCAAGATATGCCAATTCTGGACGGAGCTTTATTTGTAATTACCATCTCACTCGCAAAGTGTTCTTTTAGCAGGTCTTCGAGTCCTGATTGCCAGCGTACACACAGGTACCTCCCCATCCGGCCTCGGGACAAGTGGAGCTCCACGAGTTGAAGTCCGCTCCGCACCGATGAATACCCACACTGTCGGGCCCGTCCCTCAACTCCACCCGTACCGATCTCTGGGAACTATACTTTCATCCCATGTAAGTCGCCTCTGTTCTTTTAGCATCACCACTCACTTTCTCAAAGGATGAAAAATCAGTCTGGTGAGGAACAAGGCGAAAGATCCTTCTACGAACGCAATCAAAAATAGCTGCTTGGGTGGTCACTTACAACCTATCTCATCGTGGCTTTGTTATTGTCAAAATTGCAACAGGAGACACTGGAGACTGTAGATGCTCCCGGTGAACAATTTCTCAACTCTCTGATTGAACTCTCTCTACCTCTCTACTACACTGACTTACATTACTTCACATCAAGTATAACCTCCTTGCAATACTCTGGGCTCCTCTGGGCCTTTGTCCCATGTGCACATGCCTCTTTGACTTCTCCATTCAGAGCCCCTTGTTGGGCAAGTCACACTACACCCTAGTTGATTACGTGACATCCTATGCTTGCGACCACCTGTGAGTCTCCATCAAGTTTCGAGTCTGGCCAAAGCACTGGTGCAGTCAACATCGAGGACGGACAATGTGCTGTTTTGCTTGATTTGCTTTCGCTATGGTATCATCCGTACAAGTTATGATATAGAAGGAAACTTGAAGAACGCTCAGTGTGAGATGCTACTCTAACTGATGCAGAGCAAGAAAAGTATCGATGATCGCCATCGAACGACAGATCTAGCTCTATCCGTTGCCACAGGCTGCAGTGCTGAAAGTCTTGGGTATAGGAAAAAAGTGGAAGGAAGAAACTTCCAAGAAAAAATGACAGCCGAAAGCAGATATATTCATAGGGGTATGTCGTTAGTGGTAAGGCCACTTTGCTGGCCATATGTTCAAGTACACCGTTTGTACACTTTGATCGCAACAGCCCATGATCAAGTATTACCCAGGCCCCAGGGTCCCGAGCGCGAGGTCAGACGCTCTCCATGCAGTAAATCACAGCCCATATCGACAGAGGTGGTGTCTGTTCATGTCTGGGCATGCCACTTCTCGGCTTCAGAAGGTAGCCATGCGCCTAGAATGGCTTCGGTCATTTCCGAGAATGGGCGATGCTCCTATCATGTCCTCCTCATCATCCCGAGAAACCTTGCGGCCCGGCGCGGTTGGCGAAACAGCCTCGAATTTGTCGGACTTGCGTTCGCGCTGCCCGAATGCGTAGGTCTGGGCCCTACTAAAGCCCTTGCGAGTCTGGCGTAGACGACCCATTTCTCGCTCGCACGTGTTGACATGTTCGGCGGCGTTCATCTCGATATACGCTTGAGGACAACAACGTTCTCGGTGGTTTTGGAAGAATCCACTATAGCCGCCATCCAGGATGTAAACATCGGGGTACGTGAGTTTGGGGTAGAATTCGGCGTTGATAGTGCGGTCTTCAGATCGTATGTGACGGGCCATGATGGGCGCGCGGTGGGCCGAATATTCGCAGTGAAAGATCAAGAGCGTGCGCCCTTCCATGGGGGTCTCGAACAAATGTCTCGCCAAAAGCTCCTTGTCATTGTAATTGATAGCCCCGTCAATGTGGCCACCTTCGTACTCGTATTCGAACCGGCAGTCAACAATTATCTTGTGCGAGTACTGACTGCCATACTTGCCGTCCAGAACTTCAAGCAATGTGTCTCGACTGATGCGCGGGATGGAATCGTTCTCGCCTGAGGGGAAGAAGTGTGGCAACAGAGGCTCCTGAGGTTCGTCGACATCCACGACAGACTTGAGACCGGAGGGAAGAGATGTCCGTTCCTTAGGCTTGACAATGTCACCCGGGCTCTCAAACATGGACAGCGAGCGGCGGAATGTTTTCCTTTGCCGGGCAAAGGGGTTCGAAGGTGTATTGGTGGGAGAACGTTTGCGGACGCTGTTAATGCTGCTCACGCTGCCATGATGAGTCCTGCAGCGCGCTGCCGCCGCGTTAGAGCACGGACTACCCGGCAAGACAGGTGTCCGGCGCTCCTGCGGGGGTGATTCCTCGAAACATTCGCTCAATGATAATGACACCGAAGGGGAGATGGGTACCTTTAGGCTCCGACCACCGAAGCGAAAGGGCGGCAGTCCCGACCCGGAGCCGTTGGAGCGGCCGGGTATACTACTCGTGCTGTAACCTTTGGCCCGGGCCAGAGGTGGACGAGACAAACCAAGTTTCCTTCGCCTGGTAAAGAGAAGATGGGATGATTAGCTTCTGCATAGACCAAAGAACGAGGGGAGAATTCGGAGAGTTTTGCTGGTAAAAAGTCAAGCATAAACTTACTCGGCACCAATTCCCTTGGATTCTTGGGACAACTGCCGCACAGCAGCAGGTGAGTCTGGTAAAGTGTCCTCATCACCAGAATCAACCGGAGTTGGAGAAGGACTAACGGCGAGACGGGACAGGAAAGGTGCCCTGATCGGTACCGGAGACATGTCCAACCTGTTGACTGCAGGTGACGATGATGCAGGAGGTGGCGGCGTGGTTGCATACCCTACAGATCTGTCAGCGTCCGAGCTTCAGATAAACCATGTAGCAGATTGTCCACGCCATTAACTACTTACCACGACCTTCAGCAGTGTTCTCGATACCCGTTGAGGTGAACAGCGCACGCCGTGGAGTCGGAAGTAACGGGCTACTGCAGATTTCCATTTGGTCAACACTGTCGACGATGCTATCGGTTGTTCGAGCTCTAGGTGAGAAGGCTAACCCTGCTTCATTAAGCTTGAAGTTTTCTGACGACCCGGCCGCTAACGAGCCCTTAGGCGAAGATCTTTCCGCATGTTTGGTGTTGAACAAGTCTGCATTGGATCGCTTGAAGTTGAAGAGACCTGTCGGTGGCGCCAAGTTGCTATTGCGCGGTCCAAGCACTTCTGGCTGGCTAAAAGACGGCGGAGCAGGCCGAATCGCGGCCAGGGGCGATGAAGCCTCCATATTCTCGTGACAACTCTCCAACCAGTTTCGATTTCCCTACGGACTGATGTTCGGCATATAACGATGTTCCAATTGGTCTGCTGTGAGGCCGGGTTCCGTCTGAATATTGGAGAAGAGCAAATTTCTGGAAACACGACAGAAGCTTGCGCAGCACGCGAAGAAGAGTCGCCAATTGATGCTATGGCTGGCTGATTCGCGTTCGTGGAATCGTCGTCACTGTCGTCGAGGGCTGCTATCGTCGGGTTCGCCGTCGCGATGCTATGGACCTGGACACCGGGAGAAAGGTCCGCTCGAGTTGGCGCGCACGGAAGACCAAGGAACTGGACTTGGGACTCGAAGGTTGTCGCCGAGCAAGTTGACAGACGGACTTGGAAGCTAAATAGTGGTGCAAACTGGACGCGTCGATATCGATGTCGATCAAAGCCTAGTCCACATCCGTCAGCCAACAATTGCCTTCCCGATAGTGCGGGCAGGGAACTCGGACCAGTTTAGAAGATTTGTGGTCGCCGGGATTACACAACCTCCGTTTTTTCCTTGTTCGAATACTTTGGTCGGATCCGTCTCTTGGTTCAATGCCACGGGCGGTATGCAGTTGTGCAAACTTGTGCACACGGCAGAACTTCCTTTCACCACCACCTGAGGTGTTGTTGTATTGTAGGTAGACGGGCAGTGATGGCCTGGCCTGGGGGCGGGGCGAACGGGGACAAGCGCTCAGCTGCACACGGACAGTCTGGTGGGTGACGGAATGGAGTCTCTTTGAGGACTGCGAATGGGCGACCGCATAGGGTAAAGTGGGCTGGCTATGTTGAAAAGCTAGAATAAAGGTCGAAGAGCAGAACGTGCGTTCGATGTTAGTTCAGTTGTAAGAAAGAGGAGCACGTAGGTGTTGTGCGCGCGCAAGGGTCCAATGCTGAAGTGAAAGTGAAGAGCTGGTGTAAACATCCACAAGCCGGACGAGAACTCCAGCAAGTAAACTTGGACCTCGTTCGACGGGAGTGGGAAGTTGACAAAATCGGATGTCTGCCCTGTTCAGTGTTCAGTGGTCCGAAAATTGAAGGAGCACCCGGCAACGTCCAAGCAGGTCCTGTCTTCGACTGGCTGGCGGAAGGGGCAACGAGGAAGGAGGGTTGCAATGGCGTTGCACTGGTAACCGTCGATGGCGGTTGTTGGAGGATTTCCGCTCTAGAACGAGTGGTCAAATCCAGGGCACCTACGGGGAAGCCCAACAACGGCAACAACACCTGGTGATGAGGGTTTACAGCATGTTTATTACCGGGTTGTTTGTAACCGGTGGTTCATGGGTTGGGCTGTTACCCAGCAACCCAGCCGAGGGAGTTCCATGTGGGTAGCACCTGGAGCGAGCGCTGCGCTCGAGCGCCGCTTTTGGAGACCCCTGGGCAGGTGTCACTTTTACTGTCCCATCTGCTGCACATCACGGGCTTTTCACTTTGTTGTGACTTTTGTCTTTCATCCCATCTTGGTTTGTTGTTTTCATCAGTCGCAATATGCGGAGTTATCATTGCAGTACAGCCTCTCTTTCCGTTCACACAGGTTGCTTCCGTTGACGGGATCGGGCGTCTACTCCGGGGTACATCTGCACATCTTCTGTTATGCAGTAAGCGCTCACTAGACTTGCATGCGGTGCATCTTCGCGCCAAGGTACATGATGTCTGCCCAGACCACGCAGTTGATCCAAGTACTCACTATCGCCCGGTAACGGTATAAATGTCACTTTCTTGCTGACACTACAACCTGCCCTCGTTCTAATTTCCGTGCTTTATACATGCCCACTGGTCTCATATATATTCATTGTATCGTTTCCCCAAGGGAAGTCACTTACGGCAGGCAGACCTCCGTGATGCGTGAGGGATGACAGAAGTGTGGACATGAAAGGCATACGGCAAGGGATCGGAACTCGGAAACAATGTCAAAGCTTCTGAACACCAAGAATAACCTCCTGTTCATTGACGACACAACAAAGAAGTCCTCGATCTTTACATTCTTTTTCTTCGTCAATGATGCTCTCTGAGAGCCACTGCTTCTGTCATGTTCCGATGGTAAAAATTCAATGGAAAGATCTGGTTTGAAGAACTTGACCCATGGGATAATGGAGCCTGTGAATGGCTGCTTCGGAAAGTCCTTCTGGTGATGAGCACGGTTGCCACCCGGCGAGACCCCACAGCCGTTCTCCCTTTTGTTTGTTTATGTTTTCGACCCCTGGATAGTATTTGACACTTTCCGATCGATGTCTCGCCCAGGTTGTCGTTGGCCGTCATTCACTATCTCTTGTAACGAGATCTCACGATGTGAACCAAGCCGATGTAAATAAACATTGCGCGGCGACGCGCGGGGTAACGCGAAATCACATGATGACGGTCCCCAGTGCATTCAGATCGCTTCAAAGGAACCATGTCGAGATCGATTGATTCAGCTTCGCAAATTTTGTGAAATATTATGAGGAACAAATGGGCCTCCTCATCCAGCCGAAAATCGATTCGCAATGGTAGAGTGGATGTGGTCATCAAGACGAAGTGGAAGGAAAGCAGCAATGTTCTTGCTAGGATGGTTTGACGAACATTGCATGATAATGTAATCAATCTTCCCTTCCTATGCAATTAAAAGAAAGAATCATCCCGTCGTCGAAGCGGTAGAAGCAGGCAGAACAACAGCGGCCCCACTAAAATTTTCCAGGAGACTGTGATGATGGCCGGCAGCTGTTTATACTGGCATTGCATCCACTGACAACCTGAACCCGGGCAGGAAATTGTCATCGAAACTCACAACAACATCGACGACAGACAAAATGGCCAACAAAAGGAAACGCACGCCAAAGGAGGCTCCCAATGACAACCTCCCTTCTCAGAAAAGATCAAAGAAAGAAACGCCAGTGACAGATGGTTCGACAAAAACCAAGGCATCATCAAAAGTCCAAGACAAGCCGGCGCCCTTCACCGAACACCCCACCGTTGAGGAGCGCAAGAGAGAGCTTGCACTGTATGAGCAGCTCGGCAGCGAAGACCAAAACGAACGCATTGAGGCTGCCAGCATCATCATAGCTGGTCTTTTGGAAGGCGATGGCGTCGAAGAGCCCGTCCTTTTCCGCCATCTTGCCGGCCGTCTCTTCCGCGGTCTCGCCAGCGGGAGGAATGCATCCCGTCTGGGCTTCAGTCTGGTCTTGACCGAGATTCTGGGTCAGCTGTTTGGAGAAAAGTACCTTGCTGGGTCCAAGTACACCGGCCTTACGTTCGACAAGGTCCTGGGTATTCTGGTTGAGAAGACCGATGCTGGAGGCAGTGGCAATGGTCAGGAGGAGAGAGATCATTATTTTGGCCAGTTGTTTGGCATCGAATGCTTTGTTCGTGCCGGCATCCTCTTCTCGGATAAGTCGAGGTGGCAGGCCGTTCTGGACCTCGTCCTCAAGCTTTCTCAGAAGAAGTCATGGCTCAAGTCTCAATGCGGCTGGATCATTGTGCAGGCCATCTCCCAGATGGAGGTCGAACTTGCCGAGGAAACGCTGCAGAGACTCGCCGATGAAGGGGTGGCCAAGACCCCTGAAGGTGTCGGTATCTGGATTGCCGCTCTCGATCGCTTCCCAGACATGAAAATGCCCAAACAGCCGTGGCGAAGCCCTCTTGAGGCTGATTCCCTTACCTCTCTTCCTGCTGTCCTGAAGGACAGTGGTAGAGATACCTCTAACGATCAAGCGGGTAACAAGAAACAGAAGCAAGGTAACTGGACTGCCCAGTTGCACTTTGTCTGGAACTTGATTCTTGCCCATTTCCTTAAGCTTGGCGAGAAGGATAAGTCCGATGCCGCTGAGCAGTTCAAGCAGTTTTGGAAGCGGGTCGTTGATGGTAAGCATCACTGTCTATCGTTGACTGAATCGTGAGCTAACAAGTTTCATCAGAGGGATTCTTCTCCAAGACCTCCTCGGACAGCCAGAAATTCTCCGGTTTCATGATCTTCCAGCGAATGCTTGAAGGCGCAGCCAGCCAGACCTTCATCGTTGAGTCCGTATTTAGCCAGAACCTCATGACTTGCCTCATGAACCAAGCCGCCAAGGAGGACAGGTATCTTCACCGCGCGGCGATCAAAGCCCTCAAAGGAATCGAAGCTACCGTCGACCGCGATCCCTCCCTTCTGCCGATGATTCTTCGCCAGCTTCTTAGTCGCAATGGCGTGTACAACTTCGATCAATGGACCAACGCCAAGACTGTCGACAAGATCCTTCAACACGCCACCCCTGAGACCATCAAGAAGGTCCTCAAGACCCTACAGCTCAAGGACTTCTCCAAGAGCGGCCTTGATGAGACCAAGTACTACCAGTCCCTGAGCAGCTACCTTTTCAGGCTCTCTAGCGTGCCATCCGACGAGGAGAGCACCTCAAGCGTCTCCGTTCCTGGCTCAGCGATCGAGGTCCTCACAGAATTGGCTTACTCGAACCAGTCAGTCCCAGCCAGCATCAAGGAGGCGCTCCGCACCAAGACCACCTCTGCCTTCGCCAAGCTCGTGAAGAGGCCCGAAGACTTCGGCCACCTCTGCGGCGCCATCCTCTCCATCAAGGCCGACCTGGACCCCGAGGACGAGATCGGCGGAGCCGTTCTCGAAGCCTACGAGAAGCTCAAGGACCTGCTCGACCCCGCCAAGGACACCAAGGACACCAAAGCCCCCCGCCAGGCTCTCGCCCTGCTGTACGCCGTCGCCATCCTGCAGTTCTACAATGAAGACCCCGACGTCATGAACCTTCTCGAGGAGCTCGAGGAGTGCTACGACAAGCTTGCCGGCGAGGACATCCAAGGCGGCGAGGGCATCGCCGAGTTCCTGGTGGAAATCCTTCTCGCCATGGTTGCTCGCCCGTCTTCGCTTATGCGGCAGGTATCGCAGCAGGTTTTCGAAGCCTTCACAAACCTCATGTCGTCCGAAGCCATCAAGCTTCTGACCGATCCCCTGGCCGCCGAAGAGAGCGCCAAGGGCCAGCAAGCGCTTTTCAGCACCGAAGATGAAGACATGGCCAACGCCGAAGGCTCTGACGACGAGCACGATCACGACCACGACGGAAGCGACGACGAGGAAGAACTCGATTCCGACGTGGAAATCGTCAACCTCGAAGAAGCCGGCTCCGACGACGACGAACCCAGCGACAACGACTCCGACTCTGACAACGACGACGACGACGACGACAACACCTCAGAACCTGAAAACGAAAACCAAGAAGCCCTCGACGCTTTGGACACGGCCCTAGCCGAAGCTCTCGGCAGCCACCGCCTCGACAAAGACGCCGACGCTCCCGAAGGTTCTTCGGACGACGAGTCCGACATGTCCGACTCGGAAATGATGGAAGTCGACGCCAAGCTCGCCGAGATCTTCAAGCACCGGGCCAAGGCAGCCAACACCAACAAGAAGAAGGAGAAAAAGGACGCCAAAGAAACAGTAATCAACTTCAAGCACCGCGTCCTCGACCTGCTAGCCATCTTCATCAAGAAGGAAGCCGCCGTCGCGAACCCCCTCGCCTTCGAGGTTTTGCTCCCCCTCTTGGAGCTCATCCGCACCACCACCACCAAACCGCTAGCCAACAAAGCATGCGAGATGATTAACCAATTCTCCAAGGCCCTGAAAAAGGCCAAGAGGAGCAGCTTTACTACTACTGAAATCATCAGCGACGAGCAGGTTAATGAGTTGGTGGCCCAGTTGCACGAGGTGCACTCGGAGGCGCCCAAGGACGGGTCGCACGCGTTTGCCAAGGCGGCGTCGACGGCGAGCTTGGCCATCGCGTCGGTGTTGGTGGCGAGGGAGAAGACGGACGAGGTGTTTGAGCTGTATGCGGATTCGCAGCTCAAGTGGTTCAAGGGCGAGGTCAAGATCCAGCCGGCCTTCTTCTCGGATTGGCTTAACTGGTGCCAGAGCCATGCTAGTGCTAGTGCCAGTGCTGCGGCGGCTACGCAGGAGTAGAACTATGTACAGAGTAGGTGGTGTTGATAGGTTGATGGGTTGATGGGGGAGGGGAAGTGATAATACCATACCAGTTGTGTGTTAAATTAGGTGCAAAAAAGGACCGGCGGTGTTATAGAATTGTTAATGTACCCTTGTTTGCTGATTCCTATTCTGCTATCAACATTTGAACCCGCCGCCGCCAAAGGCAGAGTATGTAGACACATCATGTAGGTAGAGTGTTTTCATCGTAGATCAACCTTTCCATCCCCCCAACCTTTCCCAATCCCAGTCCGGTCGGTGGTGAAAGACCGGCACGATGACCTTCAACCTACCCGTATCTGCAATAACACAACTCCTGACGAAATGACAAAGCCGCTGGTGCGCGTAAGTTAGTATAAGATTTCTGTCCGGACTCGTCCGGAAAGTACAGTTTCGCGAATATGCATGTGTCTCACCTCTCCATTTTCCAGAGCTTATGTTCGTTATATATAGTTTTTGCATGGTAGAAAGGGGTAAAGAAGTATGTAGAAGGTCTGTCTGCATCATGGGGGCACGTGCTTGCTCGTTGGGTCACTGGACTGGAGGGCTGACATTATCAAGATTTTGAAGCATGAATGATCTCGCCGGTCCTCTCCCAATCTTGAATTGTTGTTGTTGTTAAACGACTATCCAGTCGGGAGTGTTTATGCTTAGGCTACTACATATACTACTCGTGTGGGCTCGAAACGCCTGTCACACACCTTGGCGCGCATTGGGTCTGGAGGGCGCTTCTAGCCCAGACGAGTACTCGGTGCAATGTGATGGACTAAGCCAAGTATCGGTAGGTTGACGAGTCACCCTCCACCCGCTCCAGGTACTCTCTGGCGAGGAGATCCTCGATTCGTTTCTTGATTAGCGGTACGTCAGGCTTGAAGCGGCCCATGAGTTGCGAGATGACCTCGTTTACGAGCTTTGTGTGGGCGAGTAGCTTGCGTTGCCTGCGGGAAAAAAAAAACAAAAAAAAAACGTTAGCTTCCGGGACAAATAAATACATGCGAATCGAGCAATGGGAACGGGCGAAAAAAAACTTACTTCATGATTCTGACAACCGCCGCATCAATAACATGAGCACGTGTCTGGTCGTTCTTCCTTTCCGTCTCCTTTCGCTCCTCGTCCCCTTCGACCTTGGAAATGCTGCTTATGACGGGAGCCTTGATTCTGATAGCCTTGCTCACAAACTGTGCGTTGTAAGAGAACTTGTCGGTATTCTTCACATTTTTTGTGGCCGGTTCCTTGAGCAGTACCCTGCACTTGGGAACACTCGAAAGCGAAGCCAGTGTTCGCATAAGCTCTGGTGCCGGAATGTTCGTCTTGGCTTGGATCTCGTCGAAGCTCAAACTTTCGCCGTCCTCGAGATCGTTGAATAGCATGAGCACAATCATGCCATATGTCGAGACGTTCAGCTCATATCGCCTTTCCTTGCTCAAGGGTCCGGTCTCCTTGCCCGGAACCTTGGGGAACACACACTTGATGTCCGCATTGCCCGCCGAGCTGACCCACGTAAGAACACGGCCGCTCCTGTCCTTGAGGTAGTACTTGTAGAAACTCTCCTGGAGCCGCTTGATTTCGGGTGGATAGAAGCAATCCGTTTTCGCCCCTTCCCCCTTCGACGTTCCACCACCCATTACCTCGGGTGGCCAGTTGTTGGTGGTCAGGACGTTGATGTTGAGGTCGACCTTCTTATGGTCGGCATCGCCTAAACTGGCGATATGATCACGGTAGTTGTCGGTGAGGTCTTTGGACAACTCCATGTCCTTGAACATTCCTTCAAACTTGGATGTGAAATGGTTGCCCATTTCCGACTTCATACGGGATACCATCTCCTTCTCGGTATGGATCTCGGACTTCCCATGCAGTAGCCGCTTGGCCAGATGTTTCTGGTAATACCTTTCGAACATGTCTCGATCCGAAAGATACCTGAGAAGGACAATGGCCTTGTCCAAGACAGCGTCTACTTCCGCTTCCGTCTTTGTCTTGATGCCGCGTTTCAAATTGTCGTCAATAAATAGTGACACATATTCCGAACTGCGGTTGAAAGAGTTGATGAAGTCAGAGAAGCTTCGTGTAATCGCGGATTGTAGCAGGAGATCATCGCAGAAGCAATCGGACAGTATTCGGTCGAACTTGTCCTTAAGCTGCAAGACGTCATCAACCCACTTGATAGCGGCTGCGGTCTGCTGCTGAGCCGGATTCAAGGTCTGAGCTTTGGCCTTCTCTGCCGCTTCTCCAGCATCCTCACCATCCCCAGCAGCTGCGCCAGCGACGGAAAAGTCTGTATTCTTGAGCGCCTTTTCAATCTCCTGCCCAAGCTCCCGTACTCTACGTTGTAGAATAACCTTCAGCGCCGATTTCGTACTGTCCACTCTGGATATGAGTTGGTACAAGATCGAAAGGTCGTCCAAGCGATCATTGTCGATCATGGGCTTCAGGCCGCTCCCTTCCATGGCCAGGAACACATCGAGCTTTGCCTCGATGAGCTCCTTCTCCACAACACTCGCGATTTTGTCGGTGGTCATAATTGATACCGTAGTGCCACATCGCTCCCGCTCCTCGTTTAGTCGCCGTTGGGCATGGCGGAGCCAAGTGCTGCAGTTTGCTTCCTGGACCAGCTTCTCACACTCTTTGCGGTAAAACTCTGTGCTTGCCTCGAGATAGCGTGGTTCGAAGAGGGTCAGGTATAGTCGCTGGTTCTCGATCTCGTCATCTGTCTCGTATAAGCTCTCGAGCATTGCGGTGATCTTGCGCACTAGGTTTCGGTTGATAATATCGCCGTCGCGCTCCATGTTAATCAGGTCCAATATGACAGCGCAGAGAATGTCAAAGACGACAAAGTCTTGCTCAATGTCGTCTGCGGCCGTGCCAATGTGGCTCTGGAGGACATTATCCCGGAAGAGACCAATTGTAACGGCAAACAGAGAGGGCTGCTTCGTCTCTAGCGTATACACACGGTCGAGATACATGAGCACGTCCGCAATCATGTTCATAGACCTGTTATGATCCGTCCATGAGTCTCGTATTCCGCGAAGAAACTTCTCGCCCATCTCCCTGCGCTCGTGTGAACTCGACCCCGGGTGCTGAAGCAGCGATATGTTGATCAGGTTCTTGGTAATCAGGGCGGCGATATTCGGCATGATGTGGTCTCGGAACCACTCCTGCTCAAAGTCTCTGACCCTCTCGTAGAGCAGGGCGCCCTTCTTTCGAAGCACAATCTTGTATGAAGCTCGGTATAGTTGTTCGAAGGACAGACGGCCGGCGTTCTGCAGGTGAATATCGGTCATAGCGTCGCGCAGGAGTGCCCAGCATGGCTCGAACTCGCCCTGGTCCCGATTCATTATCGGCTATCATATCATTAGCTTTAACTGCAGGGTGAGAAGCGCCCAAATCGCGTAAACAAACCCGAGACACACACCTTCCTAATGGGCCGGATCTTGTTGGTTCTCGACGCCATGATTGCGACGTTTGTGCTCAGCTCTTAAACCGCAAGGGTCTTTGTGAATGGTGAAGTGGAAGTCCTGCGGGTGTGACCCTTCCAATAGCTATTCTCTCAAGCGATCGTAGCCGGTAACCACTCTTGGTATCGACGGCGTGTGCGCGAAGAAAAGGTCTGTATAGAAGACGCGTAATAGCTAAGGGGCTATGGTGATTGTGACCGACGAGTCGAGCTGAGCCAGGGCGCGCGGGACATGTGAGGGGTTCTGCAATTCGCTGCGGCGATGTACACGACACAATCTCCAGACCGAGGATGGAAAACGTTTGGTGACCCGTAAATCGTAACGTATAAGAACACTCGGGGCTAGAAGAACCAAACGGAGAAGTCAAGAGAAAGTGAAAACCCGAGGAATGATAATTGCCAGAAGTGGCAAACACGGTAAGAGAAGTGGTCGAGGATGAAGTTTAGTAATGTAGACGGTATTTGATAAACGGGAAGTCCAGGCACGCCGTAGACACTTGTGGAGCTCCAGGTACTACTTTGTGCCAGTGTATTGTAAGTATTATTACGTCCATGTTACATGCCAACGCAAACGCCGCCCAGTGTTAATTACAGACTAAACAGAAAACTCCATTAACATGTCGCAAGATAAAGAGAGTACCTAACCTTCCCTTTCTACACTCCCGTCCATCATTGACAGCATCGCCGGAAGAGGCGTGGACTGCGAACTGTTATAGCGGGAGAGGCACACTAACGGATATTCTGCAGGGATCGTTATCGATAAGAAACATTTCGACAGGGGACAGGCGGGCGGGTCGCGATGCTGGACTTCTAAGGTGACGGCGCATGACGAAACCGACCGGATTCTATCCGAATCTATCGCATTTTATCTTTTTCTTTCTTCCCAATATCCTCATTTTCTGTCGTGAATTCAACCAATCCACAAACGGGATCCCACACCGGCCCAACACTTCTATCTATACCTCCAGCCATGGCCTCCAAACGAGCAGCGACATCAACACTGCCCTGCATTGCGCGACTCTGCTCGGCGCCGGCGCCGGCGCAATCGCTAAAAACCACAACCACAGCGCCGCGCTTCCTCGACCACCTCGTCCGCTCCTACAGCCCCCAGCGTCAGCGACTAGTACCCGTACCACTATCGCAACAACCAAAACAAAGAGAATACCCAAGTTACACACCAATCCGACCAAAACACACCATCCCTCGTCCACGAAGCCAGCCCTCCTCCTCTCCCGAACCCCAATCCGTTCCCTCCGACCAACAACAACAACCCGAACAACCCAAGCGCAACACCTCCCAAGTCCCGCAGTACGAGCTAACCTTCACCTGCATCCCCTGCGACTTCCGGTCCAAGCACAAGGTCTCCAAACAGGGTTACCACCACGGGTCCGTGCTGATCTCGTGCCCCAACTGCCGCAACCGACACGTCATCAGCGACCACCTCAAGCTCTTCGGGGACCGCAGAGTCACGGTCGAGGATCTGTTGAAAGACAAGGGGATGATGGTCAAGAAGGGGACGCTGGGCGAGGATGGGGATGTGGAGTTTTGGGAGGATGGGTCGGTGACTGCGAGGGAGCCGGAGCCGGAGCCGGAGAGGCCGAAGAAGGAGGTGGATAATAGCCCGCCGGGGTCGACTTTTAAGAATGTGAGGCCTGGGGAGGGGAAGAAGGATGGGGAGGCGTAGTGAGGGTGAGGGGAGAAGTTGAGTGTGGGTTGGGCAACATAGAAGGGCTGGCCGGGGGTGAGGTAGATTGATGCCTTGGCTGGAGGAGAAGGGGCTGTGACGAGCGGATGTATGTGGTTCTTGGGAGGTTTGGCTTTTGGAGTCACCGATGGGTTTTTCTGGCTGGGTCCAGTGAAGGCGGATGGGTAAAAAAAGAGAGGGAAGCGACATAAAATATGCACCGGCGGTGCAGGTCGGTCTATTGGCGTTAGCATACCTGGTGTCGAGACTCGTACCCATTGTACAATATGTGTAAATTTACAAAAATGGGAAATATTTGGAAAGGCCGTCATGCTCAGGTGGTAGCACAGCTGCGGACATGTTCTGGATAGCACGGGCGGCTTGTGAGTAACAAAACACCATTGCAGTCATTGTTCTTGTTCTCTCAGTTCACATCCCACAATACAAAAGGAACAATGGTCACTCTCAGGTATTTCAGGTACCGCTGCGATCATCGATGGCAGCTAGGTCTCCAGGTGGAAGGATGGGTCACGATCATTCTGAGATTGACTGACTTTAGTGTTCCAGCAACAACAAAACTTCAACACTCTAACATATCAATTACCACCCCGAGACAGTCAAGCGCCCAACCAGTAACCGCAAAGCCGTTCAGGTCACCCGGTCACCAAGCAATGAGCAACGAATTCCTAAACAACGAAGCAGAGGGACATGTCACGAGAAGCAAAGTCAGCAAGGAGAGAAGAGCATGTCAAGGATAAAATATTCAAGGCCGCCATCATCGGCAAGCAGCCTTGTCCTTGTATTTTAAGGAGGAAGGGAGGCTCAGAAACTAGCTAAGTACATGTTCCCAAATACCCCCTTCCTACCCTCATGAGAAGAATAATTGATGATGTAAAAACAGGATTGTACAAGTTAAGTAGGAGACTAACAAAAGACCCCTCCCTTTTGCCTATCCAATCCCTTTGTGTGTTAGGTGTGAACCCAAAAAGTGTTTGTGTGTTTATATATAGAGATGTGTTGTTTTTTTTTTCCTGAAAGAAGTGAAAGTTGTAAAGAGGGCGTGCAAAAATCATATATCCAAGCCTTTTTTTGCCCCTCTTGTCTTTTCGTCCCCTTAGGTGAGGAGAAGATTTTGGGAAATCTGCAGAAGTGTGCCAGTTAGCAACTGTGAACTGTCTGGAATATTTTGAGGAGGAAAGTTACGTTACTACTAACCTAGTTCTCATCAGAGTGAGCGGTGACGATGGCACGAGCGACGTTGTACATGGCGTGCAAGTCACGGGTGGCCTTGGTGCAGGCGCCGTCGGGAGCGTTGCAAGCCGCCTCGGGGGAGGCATCACGCTTCCAGCAGGTGCCCCTAACACCACCGTGGAACTTGACGTTGCAGTTCTGGGCCTCGCGCTTGCCGACGCGGTCGACGGGGCTGAAGGTGGTGTCACGGAGGAGAAGAACAGACTCGGCCTCGGCGGACTGGATGGCGGTCATGACGGCCTCGGCGGCGCGCTTGGCCTTCCAGCAGGACTGGCCGTGGATGCGGCACCATTGCGGGTTGGCCTCGGGAGCAGCCTCGGGAGCGGCGTCACGCTTCTTCCAGCAGGACTGGCCGTGGATGCGGCACCATTGCGGGTTGGCCTCGGGAGCAGCCTCGGGAGCGGCATCACGCTTCCAGCAGGACTGGCCGTGGATACGGCACCATTGAGCCTCAGCCTCACGCTTCTTCCAGCACGACTGGCCGTGGATGCGGCACCATTGCGCCTCGGCCTCAGCCTCCCGCTTGGCGACCTTCTCGGTCTTCTTCTCCTCCTCGGTGGAGGGAGCGAACTTCTCGCCGAGGCTGAGGGAGTCGTAGTAGGCGTTGACGTCCTCCTGGGTGAGGGCGATGATGCCGGCGAGCTCGTCGACCTGGCGCTTGGCGACCTGGGCGGGATGGTGGCCGGACTCGTCGCGGGGCGGGAGACCGCCCATACCCTGGATGGCGGTGGCGAAGGCGTCGGCAACACGCTTGACCTTCCAGCAGGACTGGCCGTGGAGCTGGCACCACTGAGCGTCGGCCTCGGCGGCGGGCTGGGCGACCGGAGTGGCGGAGGCCACGGCGGCGAAGATGACAAGAGGGAGGGTGAACTTCATCTTGAAAGGCTTGGAGGAAGAATGTTAAAAAGTTGTCAACGAAGGGGACCCTGTTGGTTGAGAGAATGAAGACCTCTGAGGGTTGATTGGCGATGTCAAAGGTGATGAGGAAAAAAAAGGGTGAGTTATGAGGAGATCAACACCATCTTTTATATCCAAACTATCACGGTTGTTGAAGTCTGTGAAGGCATGATTATTCAAGTGCGATCTCTATAGAATCGCAGGTAAACCTGGTTAGCGACAAGGATCGTCCAAGGGGGCGGTGGCCACGAGGGAGGGAGTTCGGTCAAAGAAGACGACAGGCCGGTCCAGAACTAAGCAATGGACGTGAAAGGGCCATGTTTGTTATTCGGTGATGGTGTGGTTATTGAGGTCAAGGGCTTGCTTTGGTGGAGGTTGACGGAGGGGATTCGTCAATGGCTTATTCAGATCTCTATTCAGAGGAAGGCTTCATTGAGCCATAGAGCCACATTCTGCGAGAGTATGGGATGAATTGCCACGACTGGGGATTCGAAGGGATGAAAGTTCGGTCCCGAGGTGTCGGAAACGTTGAGGAGTTTCAAGGCGATCGAGGTTCGGACGAAGACGTTCAGGTCAGACTCGGTGCTCCGCCCAATGATGGCCTGCCGGAACTGGCCGAGTAGTCGAAGATGCTTCATGCAGCCGGGGATACGGGGACTCGGGGAGAAGCCGAACGTCTGAAGAAGGTAAGATGCACGGAAGACAAAGCAAGGGTGAGGTGAAGATGAGGATGTAAGAGGCGCTTAACGTTGATGCCACGTGAGAAACACCCTCCTTCTAGAATAAAGACCGGGTACGTGATAGGAGAGACACCGTGATTGTTTAGAGCTTGCGGTGTGGCCGACTAGCGGCAAATTTAGGGGTTAGCAACAAAGTGTTTATTGAGGTTCTATTCAAACCCATTTTAGGAAAGCGTGGTTGATTGCTCAAAGGACTCCTTGCGCCTAGCCCCAGGCTTGGGCGAGCTGAACCCCTGGCGCCAGCTTTTCTTCGGAATGAGATCCAGTACCTCGAGGAAACAACGGAGGAACACTAAGAAATTATTGCTGCAGTCAGAGGAGTGAGTGATATCGGAGTGTCCTTGTGGTTCATGCAGGAGACGTCGGTGTGATGTTGGGCGAAGGTGGCACAACAAAGGACAAAAAGCAACAGAAGCGCCGGTGTCCCAGCGCCTAGGTGGGTTTCCTCTTGGTGATCATGACTTATGATCGTCTTTGATAACAGTAGCGCTCTGCCTTCTCCATTCTCTTTCGTGTCTCCACGATCAACACTTTTCATTCGGCGCAAGAAGGTGTGTTTGCTGGTTTCCTGGATTGCCTGTCCATCCGAAGCAGTAACCAACTCTTGCCATGCGAACTGTACGGCATCTTCCATGATATCGGAAGCTTTCCATACTTGTTCTACCATATATGTCCATCGCTCACTCTCGTGGCTGTGGGTAGTGTTCAGTTCAACATGGCGGGTTCCCACGAAAAACTTATGTTTGATCAGTAGCCACGGGCAGTGTACCCGGCATATCTGAATGGGGTTATGATTGAAGTTGACAGATGCTTCCATTCCTGAGTATCGCAGAGCCCAGCCAAGGCTCAGCTAGCAGCGTCTTCAGTGTCGACACTTTTGGGGTGGTCAACCACTTCTATGGGTGCCGTGGGTTGCAGTCCTGCTGATGGCGGTATCGGGAAAGTGAAAATTGGGTCAGCCCAGATCGATAAATGTAGGTTCAAGGAGGAATTCGCAGATCATAATGAGATTCGGTAGGTTGAATTCTGTACATATGGCAGCTCAAGCAGGTAGTATTATTGTTTATTGCCATCTCGACAGTTCGTCGCGGTCGTGAGAGACGGTGATCCGAGGCCTTGAGCTCTGGCTAGCAGTGAGAGTGACTTTCTTACACTGTACTGGTGGATCCACTGCACTCATTTACTAACATTTTCTGCAACAAAATGATGCTAAGCCTGTTATCGGTCTTCAGAGGGTGCGAAGAGCGCTCCGTGTCCAACAGTGCTGAAGATACTGGCCTGATAGGGCTGGCTGTCTGAGTGGACCCTGAAGTCACACTGGGACACCCGCCTGCAATGGCCCGCAGCCGCTGGCCTCGCCCGATCGGCTCAAAATCTCCATGAAAAGATGTCCGGTGCCATAGCGTCATAACCCCGTTGACGAACACTCGGCAGCACGGGCACCCGGCATTGTCTTTGACGGTTTGAACGTGTCAGGCGCCGATCCGAACGGGACCCAAGACCCGAACCCTCCGGCCATTCCTCCCACCAGCCATACACCTCACGTACAAATATCACGTTGGTTCGTCGGGCCAACAGCGATGAGGAGATGAGGTAACATACACCCTGTTCAGCACTCAGGGTTCCAGCCTGTTTATTTCTATTCGCCGAAAGTCCCACCGCGAGGTCATCCCGGCATCAGAGAAAATCTTGTCAGGGCTTCTCCCGAGCTTGTTTTGGCCGAAGATGGGATCCCGGCGCTCGGGACCCTGTCCTTCTCTCGCAACGGCATTTTGTGACTCGCATATTCACGGATCATACCACGCCGATATCGCTCTTGTAAAAAATCGCGAAGAAAAGAAGTACTTTTTAACCAACACCCGGCGCTAACTTTCCCACGAGACGGGCCGAAGGTATACATATTGCCCGCTTACAAAGTTTGAACCGGGGTTCTACGTTTTTCAGGACATAGCAGATTGCCAACACCGGGCCCGTTGAAACGACTGTGTCTCCTAGTTGAACGACTGTCCCTGACCACACAAATCCATCGGCCTTGGCGCGGTCCACCATGCTGAACTGCCAAGATTGGTGTCAGGTCGCGCTCACAATCACCACCAAAATGATCGTTCAACACCACGACGTTCAGAGCTCAAAACCGCGTCCTTCTCAACGCCGAATTCACATTCATACGCGGGGGCCTCTCGCCGGCCCCCTGCACCCCCGGAACTAACCCTAACTAACCCTGACCCTAACCTCCGCGGTAGGCGGCGTCTTACAGCAATGTTAGGTACAGACAGTCGTTTTAATATGGGACACAGTCGTTTTAATGGACTCGGCCAACACCAGTCCATGATGGCTATGATGGGGATATGATGTCCATGAGACCGGAGCACAAGGAAATGAACCCTCCTCTCTCTTTCCGTTCCTGCCCGTTGCCAAGGCGCCAATTGCGGTAATACGCAAACAATCCTGACGTTTTGGTATTCCCATGGATTTGTTATTCTCATCTGTGTTAAGACGGGAAGCAGCAGCGGCTGCAACAGCAAAATGGAAGGTGGGATGATGCATGCGTCTTACCTAACAGTATGGATGACTAATTGACCGAACGGCTATCCTCAAGCACGGTCTTCCTTCTTCTTCATGAAGCCCCGAACCTTTCAGAATGACGGCTTCATGGCCCCTTTAAGTGTCTAGGAATTGCACACTACCGTTTCAAAAGTTTGTCGCGACGCGGCGAACCCATCCTCAGGTGACGACCCTTTGGACCCGACTTCCGACCGAACTCATCCGGACCTCCCGGACCTCCCGGACCTCTCGGGATCCATTTTGTTGACAGTATGCTCCGATCATTGTCCAGCCCATCCTTGCCTTTTAAGTTTTTCTTCCAAATTATGAGCTCCGCTCTTCCCGTGCAAGTGATAGTGCCATGGGTCGATGGTACCTTGAATACCCGTTCCTCTCCATTCACGGCTTGATATCATAATCAATATTTACCTGTCTATCCACTGATTTTACCTTTACTCCTCCAGTCTCTTCTCCTCTCGCATCTTTGCTACCCAACCGACCAGATAATTCACAACAAAGCAACTCCTGCGGCCTGTTGTGTTGTACTTGCTTCCGGCGTCTACATCTCCTTCCATCTCGATCTTCCACTTCGAAGGGCACTGCCACCCCCATTCGCAAAACCTTAACCTTAAACTTCTGCGCCCATATCTCCGCATCTGGGGCTCAAGCATTGCCTCCCCCGCACCCCAGAAATCTGCACGTCATTCGCCATGTCTGTTTCACTTCAGCACCGGGCTTCAGACAGCTCCGACGGCATCGACAGGGTCGCCGAAGAGAAGCAAAAGCTCACCGTTAATGCGACACCATCCACAAAAAAGCAAGATGCATTGGGCCTTGACGACGCCGACCGGCAATCCACTACGAACCGCTTCAAGACCTTCCGGTCAGCCTTCAAGTACATCCACCACCTAACACCAAAGCAGGTAGATGACTACATGCACTCGTATGTCATTTACAACCTCGACTGGGCCGACGAAAATGCCATGATCAAGGAACTTGGTCCCGACTACCAGGCCAAGGTCGGGGAGTGCTTGCAGGCTTACTACGGAGTCATCAACCACCTCTGCGCCATGGGCGATGTCGAGAAGATGTACATCCCTCCCCACATGGACAAGAGGGCCAATGTCATCGAGAACCAGCTGCTTTACGAGAAGGCCGTTGCGCGTGCTATCGGCATGAAGGCCGGCGACAAGGTTCTCGACTTGGGATGTGGCCGAGGGCGCGTGGCTGCTCACATGGCCAGCATCACCGGCGCTACAGTTACCGGTCTCAACATCGACCCCAACCAGGTCGCCCAGGCACAAGAATTCAACAACCAGAAGGGATTGAAGAACAACTTTGTACAGCAAGACATGAACACGCTACCACTGCCCTTTGCCGACAACTCCTTCGACTGCTTTTACCAGATCCAAGCGCTGTCACTGTGCAAGGATCTCCCAACGCTCTTCCGCGAAGTCTATCGCGTGCTCAAGCCGGGCGCCAAGGTCTCGCTCCTCGACTGGGTCAGCCTGCCAGACTATGACCCCAGCAATCCCGAACACCTTGAGCTCATGAGGCGCGTCAAGCCCCTCATCGGCGCCGTTGGCACACCCACACCCAAGAGTTTCGAGAAGGCCCTCGAGGAGGCCGGCTTCGTCGTCACAAAATCCGAGAACGCGAGCATCGACGGTCTACAGGCGCCACTGATTGACCGGGTCGACATTTACTTCCGCACTATGCGCCAGATCATTCTGGGCTTGGTGAAGATCCACGTCCTGCCCCAGCACTTCAAGACGTTGATCGACAGGTTATGTCTGGATGGGCAGGCGTTTGTTAAGATGGATAGGATGCGTCTTATTTCAACGAGTTACTGGCTTGTGGCGGAGAAGCCCCTTTGATCGTTTGAACAACAGATACAACAACAACAAAAAGCCCGGCGCATGGTGATGGTTTCATAAAAGTTGTTCGGCTTATGATACCGTTTGGACCTCTTGCGGTGGATATTCCCCCCTTTCGGTTCTTTTCTACAATAATCAATAATGTATGTGTGATGGAGGATGCTGATAGATGATGATGATGATGAATCATCTCTTGTACGTCGGTTATTGCATCTCTCTCTTGTTTACTGTACCCTTCTTTTCGAACAGTTAGATATCCATAGAAGTTGGCATTTTTGGAATTTGAAGCAATATCACAAAGACAATCAACACCTTTGCATATGATAAGATTCTGTCTGTTGCACCATGGCATACTCTGGACGTTCATAGGTTAGTTGTCTCTCAACACAGATGTCGTTGAATATCGTGGCGGCCAAGCTCAGCCCCTGAACTACACAGTGGTTCCAATGTGCCGCAACAAAACAAACAATTTGCGCCACCACGAAACCGTCGCCGAAACAACCAACATGCAGCACCCTTCTTGATTTCCAGCTCCGAAAAAAAAAATGTTACAACAGCCACAAGACCGTAGAATTATGAAGGCTACCGAAATACAAAAGCAAAAAAGGAAAAAGATGAGGTCGTACCCGGAATCGAACCGGGGTTGCCGGAATGTTCTGAAGAGAATCAGAATCCGGAGTGATAACCGCTACACTATACAACCGTGCGTACCACGTTTGTTATTGGTTGAAAGGACCAGCTCGACCTAAAACTTATAAAGCCCAATCTAGACTTCCAACGCAGGACCACCACAAGATGATACAAAACACTCGACGTTTTCCAAGCAACAGAGGCAGTTAGTTGCAAGCGTGGAATAAGTTTCGAAATCTTCATAAAACCCAATGGATTGACTATAGAAGTTACTAGAGCGCGTTTTGAAGAACTGTTCTAAGAACTGAGCCTACATTCTTTAGCATCTTCATCATGGGCAACGAGCACTATGCCTGCAGACGAGGAAAGCAGTCATCATTCGTCAATGTGCGTGCATTCTTCTGGGACAATCCTGAGAGTCACTAGGTTGTTGCTGCTTGGGAAACATGTCGCTTGTTCTGAGCTGATGAGTATTTGTTTGGGGCTTGTTGACAACACCCACCTAAAAGGCATTCAGACACTACCAAGATACACTATATAGAGCTTTACGACCCTACAAAGCATGCACTTTACGAGAATCTATCGCACCATCATATGCTGAAGAACTGTTGAACCTTCTTGACTACCATCATGTCAGCGAAAGAGAATATTCCCGTAGCGACGAAGAGTTAGGTAGGTAGTCTTCTCTGTTCATCCAAGGCCTTGCCTGTTCCATTGTCAAAGTGCGGATGCGATCATTGCTTCCGACTCTTCTTCTTGCATGTATGTGCCTCTAAGATCCAGAAATCTCTCTTACCAAGGAGAAGAATTTCCGAAAAGTGACAAATAAAAATTTGAATATATTGTACCCTCAGTCTTTGGGTGACGAGATGAAGTCATCCCGTGCGAGAAGACGTTTTCAACAGTTTAGACCACTAGACACATCCCCACAGATCACGCCGTCGACCAGCCATGAGCAACAAGTTAGGCTCAAGGTTATAGAGGCTCTGACCAATATGAGCGTTCATCTGTCAACGGCAGAGATCGATGCTGTAGCAGGGCTGCTGATGCTGCGCAGAGATACCCGAGGCCCTTGTCGTTTTTCATCGTCATCATCGGTCCATGCCGCCGGCCACAGGAAACGAACAGTTTCAGGATCTGTGAAGGATCGGGTTATTACTGCCACACAAGAGCGTCCGCGCACAAAACAGATAGTCGATACCCAAGGAGAAGTTGTAGTCCCTCTTACTTTGCAAGTCCCTGATAGCCGGTCTTCCGCTCAAACACTTTCCTGCTCCCGTCCAGAACCTGCTGCCGGACAGTATGATGCTGCCCAATATCAGTCGGAGAGTACTCAGGTCCCGTCGGCTTCTTTAGTTGCCTCTCACTCGTATCATAGCCAGAATCCTAAAGCAGACAACCCCAACAACGTCAACGAGCTCTATCCGCGACAGCCAGTCAAGAAGAAGAAGAAGAAGAAGAAGTGCTTCCCAAATGCTTCTCAACCACAACACTTGAAAACCCAAACAACACCCCCCTCCACTCCCTTGGGCAACACATCAAATCCATCATCAACAAATATCTTCCAAGAAACGCAGCATACAACAAGTAGAGCACTTCACACCCGGCCAACCGTTACAAATCAACAAGCACCAGCATCACCCAACAAACCAACCCTCATACTTACGGCCCCTACTACCCCCCTGCATCAACATCAATCACAACATCAATCACAACATCAACCACAACCACCTCCTTCAGGATCTTGCTCAGAATCACAACCCCCATCCCAACCCCGACCCCGATCCCTCTTCCCAAATCCACCTTCAACCTCAATCCCAGCAATCCCAAACCCAGCAGCAACAACAAAACCCCCACTCAAGAAAAGAAAGAAATACGGCACAGCCTACGAAGTCTCTCGCGCCCGGCAAATCCAAGCAACAGGCGTCCCCCGCCTTCCCGGCCCTTGTCACTCGTGCGCTCGGAGACAGAGACAACTGGATGAGATAGCTGCTGCTGCTGCTGCTGCTGCTGCTTCCAATGCTGCTTCCAATGCTGCTGTCGGGGCTGCTGCTGTCGGGGCTGCTGGGGGTGTTGGAGGTGGGGTGTTGACGGGTACGGGTATAGGTCTAGGTCTAGGTAAGGGTACGGGTAGGGGAATAGGACGGTTTTCGAGGCCACAGAGGGGGGATGAGTTCTTGCCTTGTACTGTTTTGAGTAATGGTATTGGTGGTGTCGGTGATGGGACCGGGAGGGATGGTCAGGCTGAGGGGGGAGATCTGGAAACTAAAGATGGTGGGGGGCGTGGGAATGGAACTGGAACTGGAACTAGAACTGGAACGGGGCCGACGCCTTGTGCGAGGTGTAAGAGTATCAAGATGAAGTGTGAGGGTTAGTTACTTACTGTTTGTAATGGTGTGACCTTGTTTGGGGAGGTAATTGAAGGGGAATGGAGACAGGAAACAGAGAGGCCAGCATTACACCTCCCCTCGAAGCTGTGGATGTTATCCTGACCGTAGAAAGCTTGACTGCAGCTGTTCCGCTTTATGTGATCTTTTTTTCGTCAAAGGGAGATTGTAGAAATGTTCACTCCACCAGTTCGCGATATTAATGCCTCCTGAACCCAATCGAAGATTATCTTGTATCCGCAGCTATGATTGATTTCAGCATTGATTGGATTCGAGCGTCAGAAGTCCCTCATGGCAAATCAAACTTACCTATACATAGATTGTCACACTCCAGTCTTGTCCGTAGTGTGGAACTCGGATACCCAACCCCTTCCGCAGATCCGAGTATTACTCCTGAGATATGTCGATGTCAACTAGACCTACAACATTTGAAGCACCACAGAAAGGGTAGGTACTAAAGGTAAGCTCTAGGTCTGGAGAATACTGTCAACAATGATTCGTGATGTCCATGGTTGGTGCAGTCCAGAAGCATATGGGTACAAGACATTTGTCCGTGACCGTTCGGGTTTGAGTAAAGCACAAGAACCATGGTCGTGGGCTCTCATACCTTCTCCGCTGTAAATGATAGACACTCAGACCGTGAGTAGCAACTAGGGCCTGGCTCCAACGTGGTAGTTGTGACAAAGTTATTCCTTGAATCTCTGGTAATCAAAGCAAACAAGCATAGCACTCAAGGGCTATACCGTAGGTATCACAACAACTCTCTCCCATGCAACAAAAGACTCCAGTCCCAAAACACAACAAAAACTCCCTCCCACCTTCCCGGTGCCCACCTCACATCAACAAACGCCAAGCACCAAGCAGCAGCGCGGCAAAACCGGTGCAAACACCCATCAGCCACTGCAACGTCTGGAACTTGACCTGCTCCAACTGCTGCCTCAGCGCCGCCACCTCCTGCTCAATCTTGGTCTCCGTCTCCTTGATCTTGAGCTCCTGCGACACAGCCTCCTCGCGGATGCGGCCCTTTTCCAGATTCAGGTCGAGCCGGACGCTAGCCTGGGTTCGACCGATCTCGTCGCGCAGCCGGCTGTTGAGCTTGGCGATGTCGTTGGTCAGCCGCTCGTGGGCGGCCCGCGTCGTGTTGGACTCGGTGCTGTCGGCCGACAGCAGCTCGCTGCGCAGCTTGGCGAAGTCGACTTTTTGCGTGTAGGTTGCCTTGGCGGCGTCTTCGCGGAGGACCATGGTTCGGGTCAGGTTTTGTATGCTGCTTAGAGAAGAGAAGTGGTTAGTTACAGAGCGGGAAAAAAAGAGGAGCCAGAAAAGGGAAAGAGGGTGGTGGACAGGCAGGGGAGCTTCACCTTTCCTCGATTACATCGTTTAGGACTTTCATCATGGCTACCGATTGCTCTTCTGTGAACCCATCTTCTTGTAGTCGCTGGACGAACTTGAGTGTGTCGAAGTGGTGGTCGCGCCTTCGTGCCGCGGAAGCATGGAACGAGCGTCTTAGAGTCGGGTTGCGGGCGATGGTGTTAAGGGACCGCGGCTTGTTGTTGCTCGGTGCGGTACATTGGGCATGATCAGTCGGCCGGCTCGAGTGGAAGGATCTTGGAGAGCAGAGGGGCTGCCATGTTCGTGGTTGTTGCTCTTGGGCGGCTTGTAGGAGGATGGAGGGAACAGTTCTGGGTACGTTTGGCGAGAGAGGACCCTGCCAGCTCAACCGTGGGAGCAGGAATCGCGGGAGGGATTGCGCAGTGTTCATTGTCTTTGGTGGCTTGTCTTCGGCGCTTTGCGTGTACTTCAACGGGTGGGAAGCGGTCCGGTCGGGCGGGTATTTTCAGGAGCGCAGGTAATTGTGTTGTTGAACTGGAGTACGGGGAAGTTTTGGAGCTGCTGGGAGATTGTATTGGAGATGTGATGTCGTTGCGGAACTTGGTCACCACGTCAGTCACACTTTCAGATGATCGGGATTCCGCCCGGCATTCGGGCGGATGCGGCGCTTGTTTCTGTGGCTGGTGCTGTTCCTGTAGCGAAACGTCCCGCCAGACTGGACCCCACCCCGACTTGCGCTGGCAAGCCACAGTCCACACTGGTGCGGCGTGCACGTCCCTCGCCTCCCATCGTCCATAAAAGAAGCCGAAAACTTTTTCGCTTTTGGACTTTTTCTCCTTTTTTTCTCCAATTTTTACAACGCATTATATCACATTCTCGGAATACAACTTGGATGCGAGGTCCCCGGATTCACGTCCGGAGCTGACCCAGGACCAATTCATCAATTTCGAACAGAATGGAGAAAAGACACCAGCGAACAATCTTGGGTGCGGTGCTTTCCTTGCCCTTCGTGGCTCCGTGGAAAGGGTCGCAATGATTGGGCGTACATACCTACTTCAATGTGCTTTATGATGTGATATGAGTGCTTCGTTTGTGTGTATGAGCGTGCCTTGTGTTGGCGCTTCTTGAACTCGTCACGGTCGATTTTGTAGACCTGACGAGTACGGGCGTCTTGGATATATCCTAGCTGCAAGCTCGTGGAGCAATCAAAGCAGGTCGGCTGTTCATGTCCCTTCTGTTCAGCGAACTTAAGTATGTATGGTGAACATGTTGCGGCTGTCATCACGGTGGGCTCTGTGCCTGCTGCGAGGACCCGTATCTCGATGTATACCGTCCATCAGAGGAACAAAAGGCGTCACAGCCTCCGGCGGTTGACTGCTTCATGTTGTTGCAGCTTGGAAAACGTCTTGTGGTCAGACGGCAGACCATCATGTTGCTCATGCGTAACACATGTTCTCCATTGGTGCTTGCGGTCTGAACCCAATATCGAGCCTCTGAGTGAGGCTCTCTTCCATTCACGAGCCCTGAAATGAAACAACAACGAGAGTGAACTGTAGTTTCGGGACTTGCAACGGTCAAAGTGTAATCCTCCAAAACCCTGGCGATGAGAAGGAGAACAGCACCCTAGCGTGCCAAATGAAATGGAAGACACTAGAGGCTGGCCACAGAGCCAGAAGGCCAGAGTATTCCGGTGTCATTCTTCGCAATCGGTAGATGGGTAGACTCAAATCCGTCCGTGGATAGACTAAACCCACTTTTAACGCTGAGTAAGCCAGCCGCCCGCCCAGCCGCCTAGCCCAGCCTAGCATACTGTGCAATTGAGGCCACATAATCGATGCCCGCGCATCGCCAAATCTACGTCGTTGGCGTCATTTTTTACGTAAAGTTATTCAAAGTTATCAATTCAATTAATTATCTACTATTGAGGATATTAATATAGTGGTTGCCAGTAATACTACTATCTTCTATACTAGCCCTATTACTACACTTACTACCCAAACCCAGAGTGCACGTGCCTACCCTATTTTTAATACCTACCCTAATTTTAATACCCGCCGTATAAGTACTGCCAAAAATACTACCCAAAATACTAGGGAGGCGGCTGGAGATTTACCCTCCTACTCAAGTCCCCTAATGCCCATCTTCTGCCCCGTATAAGTACTAGAGGTAGTCGTACTCCTATTGAGAATAATTATTCGAAATGGACTTCTCGGATTTAACAGCATTTTACTAATAATTTTATTCAAATCTTATTAACGCTAATCATTTTAATCGACTAGGCTAGAGGTCTAACTTACATAGCGAATATACGACGTACGGCGGGCGGGCGGGTAGGCGAAGTGTATTAATAAATACTACGCGAATACTACGAAGTCGAGGACACTATACAAAATAACAATAAAGACAATAAATAATCACTACAAACGTTTATTCAATACCAAAATAAAGTCTCGCGATAGCTTTATTCAATTACATATAAAATTAATGGTTACTAACAAACTACGTAACGATGACAGCAGTTAGGCAGCGATATATACAGTATATTAGGCTAGGCTGGGCAGCTAGGCGGACGGCTGGCTTATTCAACGTTAAAAGTAGGTTTAGTCTATCCACGGACGGATTTAAATCTACCCATTTACGGAAAGCGGTCATTCTTATGTTCACCCGCTTGCCATTTCCTTATTATAGGCATTGTAGGACTGCATTCATTTCTAGCTTCACAACGTCCTGAATGTACAGCGTAGGCTTTTGAAGCTACAGCTCTCAAGTCGTCTAAATAGTCTAGCATATCAGTATGCCAGTCGTGGTGCTAATTCCATGTTCGTGGGGAGTACGATGGACAATAAAGTGTAGCGCCCTTCTAGTTCCAGCTGGGGCAATGGATTGCTACTGATCGGTTGCTCCTATTGACGGTAAGATGTCAAGCAGAAAAAAAAGAAAAATGACGGGCCGGCGGAGCAGGATCCCTTTCGCTTTTTCCCTTTCCTTCTTACCGCTCCGCCAGCCCGTCATTTTTCTTTTTTTTCTGCTTGACATCTTACCGTCAATAGGAGCAACCGATCAGTAGCAATCCATTGCCCCAGCTGGAACAGTTGGGTGATATACTTCATGGTTCGATGTATTCCCCAGGCAATTACCGACAGTTCTAGGGCAAAAAACCAGTCGGGGTCATGTTATTTTGAACTCGAAATATTTACCATCACGGGCTGTGAGCTATACGGTTTAAGGAGAACACCTGAGAGTTTACCATGTAATGAAATCTTTATTTTATTTCATGTATACATGAGGCGTCGAGTGTGACAAGCTTCACTCTCTGCACGCTGCCTGGGCTCCTGAGTTGGCCCGGCCCGGCGTCCCTCGATGTGTCCCAAAATGTGTTTGAAGGGATTGATATTCATGTCATCCATCCATCCGTATCTTCATATCAAAATCCATTTGCCATATAACCATTCCCAAGTAACAATAACCCGGCCGGACTCCGGACAACGACGCGCCGTTTCTCATTTTTCCTGAAATGTTCGTCTCATCGTGGAAGAATAAACACAGTTTGGTTGGTAGCTCTGTTGCGTGACACTCGAACTGCCTCTTTTTTTCTCGAGTCTGACGATAGAATGACAGTCTGTCATTCAATCATCTAGTTGCTCATTTGTCGCCGGGCTTGACGATGCGGCAGACGAGGTCAGAGCCATCGACGGAGTCACCCTCGCGGACGGCAAGGGAGGAGACGGCACCGTTGTGAGGAGCGGAGATGACCATTTCCTACAAGATACGGGTTAGTTATGAGTTACTTGCGATAGTAGGGGTTAGGGTGGATAACGTACCATCTTCATGGCGCTGAGGACGGCGAGGGGATCGCCCTTCTTGACCTCGGTACCGTCGCGGACGCGGAGCTCAACGAGAACACCGGCCATGGGGGCGCCGACCTGGCTGGAATCGGTAGGATCGGCCTTGGGCCTGCTCACATTCTCGACCGACGCCTTCTTGTCGTCGACGGTAACCTGGCGGACCTCACCGTTCATCTCGTAGAACACCTCACGCTGGCCAGTGTTCTCAGAGAGAGGACCGACAGCAAGGAGCTTGAGAATGAGGACCTTGCCCTTCTCGAGCTCGACGTGGAACTCCTCGCCGATCTCGGGCCTGGACAGGAAGTACTTGGTGGGAAGGACGGAGAGATCACCGTACTTGGCCACGAACTTCTTGTAGTCCTCAAAGACCTTGGGGTACATGACGTAGCTGGCAACATCGCACTCGGTGACGGAGCCGAACTTGCGAGTAAGCTCCTTGCGGACCTTGGCGAAGTCGACGGGCTCGAGGAAGAGACCGGGGCGGGCGTCGAGCTTGCGACGGCCACGGAGAGCCTTGGTACGGAGAGGCTCGGGGAAACCGCCGTAGGGCTGACCCATCATACCCTCGAGGAACTCGAGGACGGAGCCGGGGAAGTCGAGCTCGCCAGCACGGGCCAAGACATCATCCTTGGACAGCTTGTTTGAAACCATGAACTGAGCCAAGTCACCAACAACCTTGGAGGTAGGGGTGACCTTGACAATGTCACCGAGGAGGTCGTTGGCCTCCTCGTAGGCCTTCTTGGTCTCGAGCCACTGGGAGCCGAGGCCAAGCTGGGCAGCCTGGAACATCATGTTGGTGAGCTGACCGCCAGGAATCTCGTGCTCGTAGACCTCAGGGTCGGGACCAGTGAGGTGGGCCTCGAAGGGCGAGTAGAGGAGACGGAGCTGAGACCAGTAGGTGTCAAGAGCACGGACGTGCTGGACGTTGAGACCAGTGTCCTTGTCAGTGCCATCAAGCGAAGCAATGATGGCGTTGATGCTGGGCTGAGAGGTCATGCCAGACAAGCTGTCAGTGGCAGCATCAACGGCATCAGCACCGGCCATGGCGCAAGCAACCATGGAAGCGACACCGGTACCCGCGGAGTCGTGAGTGTGAACGTGGATGGGGAGGTCGGGGTACTTCTTGCGGATGCTGCCGATGAGGAGGGTAGCAGCGTGGGGCTTGAGAACACCAGCCATATCCTTGATGCCAAGGATATCAATGTCGAGAGCGACAAGGTCGTCAACGAGCTTAAGGTAGTACTCAAGGTTGTACTTCTTCTTAGGGTTAAGCATGTCACCGCTGTAGCAGACGGTACCCTCGCAAACACCGCCAGCCTTCTGGACAGCCTTGATACCAACCTCGAGCTGGTGGATGTCGTTAAGGGCATCGAAGACACGGAAGATATCGACACCGTTCTTCTTGGCATGCTCGACGAAGTGCTCAATGGCGTTGTCGGGCAGGGAAGCGTAGGCAACACCGTTGGCGCCACGGAGGAGCATCTGGAAGGGAATGTTGGGCACAAGCTTGCGCATCTTGCGGAGTCTGTCCCAAGGATCCTCATAGAGGAAACGCATGGCGACATCGAAGGTGGCACCACCCCAGCACTCCAAAGAGTAGAGGTTGTGGAGAGCATGGCTGGTCTCCTTGGCGATGTTCAACAGATCGACGGTACGAACACGGGTGGCAAGGAGAGACTGGTGGGCATCACGCCAGGTAGTGTCCATGAGAAGGCAGCCCTTGTAGTTGCGGACAGCCTTGGCGAAGGCCTTGGGGCCCTGTTCGAGGATGATCTGGCGCCAGCCCTTGGTGCA